AAGTGGACGAGCGCCATCTACACACAAATCGAAATGAAGAGAATGCTCGAGGAATCTACGGAGAAACTCGACTTTCCGATGAAGATGCCGTCGCCAGACGAAGCGACTCAATCCGTGCCCTCCCTCAAAAAAAGTGAGGAGATATCGGGTGTCTCGAAAGGCAACATATCGTCGGACTATAGCTCGTACTCGATTGCGCGATCTGTGGGTGACTCTTTGACAGCCATATCCAAGAGCTCGCGGGATAATGCCAAATCCGGCCTGAGCTTGACTGGGGGCAACAGCAACTGGAATAATCTCTTCCGTCGAGACCGATCTCCCTCCCTTGGAGCCTCCCCGCGGCAAAATCAGGACAACAGCAACTCAGCGCAGTGCCCAGACCCAATCGGTTCCCGATCGGAAGGAGTCAGTGGATCGGCCGCCGCCCAGAGCATAAATTCGCTGACGCGGTTTCGAGAAAGCCCACCCCAATTCAAGCCTCCTGCAGCGCTAGCAGAGCAGCGTTTGATAGAGCCACCGGGCGAATCCATCATTCCGATGATGTCCGTGAGAAGCACGAGTAGGTTCGAAGCTGCAGAGGCCACCGCCATCGGCGCCGGTAAATCCGAGCCACCAGGATCCGCTAGCACTTTGGGCCCACCGGTTCCGTTTGGAATGAAGGCTCCAACCGCTGGCGAAAAGGAGGCATGCTCCACAGTCGAAGCCACCCAACCTACGACGGCCGTGAGGAGGTACTGGACCGACGGTGCCGGACTCCGTGTGTCTAGACAGACTCTTGATGATCCAAACAAGAACCATGATCCAATCGGGGGCACCGGGCCCTCACTACCTCAGATATCGGAGGGACTCCAAAGCTTCAAGGCGGAGGCCCTTGAAAGCATTACGGACCTCAAGGCTCTCATCCGTTCGCTCTGCAAATCCATCAAAGATCAGATCCAGGAACAGGCCGCCGACATGAGAGCAACCGAGTCTCGAATTCAGCATGAGCGTGAGGAGCGCAACCGAATCATGATCAAGGTGAATTTAGAGGTGCAGCGATTTGCCAAGCAATACCAACTCTCGACCGCCACGAGTTCCAAATACAGCTCGTGAAAGTACAAACGGGATCGCTCTCGCTAGCACTGCAGCTGTAGCTGTATCCGAAAAATAAAACAAAATATCCACATGAACCAGAATCATCCACTGGCAATATTCCCTAGCTTAGCAGGAAGCCTCCAAGAACAAACCACGTCATTTTGCCAGTGAGTCCGACCCCAGGCAGTCCCGCCTCGCCGCCGCCGCCGCATCGCTCACTCCCGCTGACCCGGATGCCCGACTCCCAGGTGCGAAATTTATCGGTCCTGTGGAATGGGGGTTGCTGTCGATCGGGGCCTTGGCAAACAACGTCCGTGAAGTTGCTCTTTGTATCTTGGGCACAGCCCTGTTTGGCAGGACCTCGAATGGCGGCTGGCTTGGGGCCGGAATCTCAAGGGCACGCGAGATCTGTGGTGTCTTCGAGGGGATCTTGATGGGGCGATGGCCGATGGGAGTTCTCCCAGCAACCGACCCTTGGGAGCCTTTGCTGATGATCGGCGTGACCATAGCAACGGCGTTGTTGCCTCCGACATTGGGCTGGGCGCCAAACAAATTTACACCGCCGATACGGCCAGAGCGAGTGTGGGCCGCCATCGTGTGAATTGTCTGCACGGGGCCGTGGCTCCCTCTGGCCTCGACGGCGACTTGGAAGGCAGCAAAGCCTGTGCTGGAAGCGGCAGCAGCACCGCCGGCCGGGGCAGGTGCCAGGCGGAAAATATCAGGGGTTCCTGAAGTTCGCCGGCGCTTCTCGTTTCCACTCTGATTTGGCAGCTCATGGTCATCGGAGGACTCATGATGGATAGTAAGGACAGGATCCAGCTGGTTTGTACCGGGGCGGCCTCCGATCGAACCAGATAATCGACCCTCGCGAGTGGGATGGTTTCCACAAGGCAGCGATGGCGACGACGACGGTTCTACCGAGTCGCCGGCACAGGACAGAAGGTGACAATTAGCGTCCGATCGCTGAAGACAGGAGTCCTCGACTGCGTAATACTCGTCCATTAAGTGGAGGTACTCGCTCATGGTATTGACGGGAATGTCTGCCAGAACGCCATCGCTGGATCGGCGGATCGAGGGCTGATGGGGCGGCGGGTCGAGCCCGGACAAGGACGGGTCGTCGTTTTCGCAGAGGTACGTACCCGCCTGAACCTTGTCCATCAAAAAGACTCCTTCGTTCATGTCGACATCATCGAGCGCTGCACAGGAGGGTGTGAGGCGGCTCTCCTCTTCGAGCAATGGGTCAACATAGACCTGATCGGGCTCGCCCGCGAATCCCGCAAAGCCGTCGCCCATGGAGCTGCCGCCGCTGCAGAGGGTGTGCGGGGCGTCACTCGAGGACAGGCTCCTGACCAGCAAGTAGTGATCTTGCAGCGAGTGAGCAAGAGGAGTCTTGATTGGATTGCTGGGCATGCGTGTGGGCGAGCGGGGGAGGCTGGATTCATGGTCATCGGTCTCGCTGTCCGCGTCGGGGGCATGGAGACTGGCGAGCGCGTCGCCACCGACGAGGTAGTCCCGATGGGTCAGGGTCGCTCCAGCGCTCTTGGAGGTTGTCAGGCGGCATGGAAACGGCACCTCCATGCCCTGCAACGGTCGACGGCTGGCTGTCGGGGTCGATGTCGTCAAAGCCTGGAATCCGTGGATGGTGCTGGGCGTCAGCTCGGGACGAAAGTCGGGAGGATAAGGCCGCGGATGGCATGGGGTTTGCGATGGGTCGGCAAAGAGGCCGGGGTGCTTCAGATGGTGACGGGTCGGAGACGATGTTGGGCTGGAGTCGAGATCGCTGCGGGATCGCTGGGACCAGATCTCCCTATGGGGACGCGGATGCGGCTGTGTGCTCATGGCGGTAGATGGCAGTGCCGGTCCGTGGAATGGGAGCGGGCGAGGGCAAGAGTAGGGCTGGCCAGAAGCGGAAATGTGTCAGGCCTCTTTGCACGGGAGAGAAGGGGAAGAGGGTGCCGGGGAGGGAAATGCGAGCAAAGAAGAGCAGCCGGGGAGGGGAGCAGGACAAAAGCCCGCCGAAACGAGGGCAGCCCCTCAGGGCAGGTCGTCGCCGGCGTATTCCCAGGCCGGCGGAAGGCAGGATTTGGGCGCCATTCCAGCCGAGGGTCGCTTGCGGAGGCTTTCTTGACCCCTCGGCCGTGGTGGACCACCGCTTGGAGCTGCACGGCCAGTTCCTCTGTTCATCTGGGCGGTGCTGCTGCGATAGTCTCCCATGACCCGCTCGACTCCGGTTGCTGGGTGATCCCCGCACTCGTCTTTGGGTCAGCAGCCCGCGAGCCTCGAAATGGCGGGAAGGTCCGGGCAGGCAGAGCATTGACCCCGAGCAAATGCGACCGAACAGTGCTTGCGGTGGGGAGGGAGATTGCACAGACACCCGATTCAAGTACCTGACTGTCCACGTTTTCGGATGAGAATTCACACAACGGCCCTCCATCGCACCCTTGGACCCTGCATCTCTGCACCTTGGATCCTGCATCTCTGCGTGCCCCTCTGCTCCAATACAGTGCGTTGATAATGATGCGACACATTGCCTCATTCGGACAGAGACGCTATCATCGCCCTGGGCGTCTGTCCCATGGAGTCCCTCTTCGATCGACATCTCATCGGCCGTGGCCATCGCAGCACCACGAAGCGCGGAACTTGAAACGCAACCTGGCCAAACCCGGGATGCATCCGTGTGTCACGTGTGCGATCAGACAATGAATTCATTGATCCGGTGCGCAGCCGGATCAGATCACGCCGTGGCTTGTGCTGTCCTGGCTGCGCACGCGAATTTTTGTTGATTGGATAAATACCTGGGCCAGCGCCGTTCCTCTTGGATTGCCCATCTCCATCGGCTCGGCTGCCTGTACCGCTGACCCGCCCGCTTGGAACTGCCGCTGCCCCTTTCGCGCACACTTTGCCTGGACACCACGCTCATCATCTGCGCTGTTTGGACGCCGTCCTGGCTTCTGCCCTGCCCTGCCCTGCCCCGGAGGAGTCGAGTCCTCCTCCCCGGTGATTTTTACCCCCCCCCTTTCCCTGATTTTTGCATTGCCGGAGCAATCCTCACGCACGCGCAGCTGATGAGCAACCAAGTGCTTGTCCTGAGCACAACAACGATGCAGCAGACTTGCCTGTCTCTTGGCGTTGAAGCACACGGGAGGGTCTTCGTGCCCTCCACCTTCGTGGTGTATAATTCTTGCCAAGGCATCGAAGAGCAACCCCCGGCTGCTGCAATTTCCTTGAGCGGCTCGCAAGGGCTGTTCGGAAGGCGCGGCGTCGGGTCCATCCTCTATATTCTATGTCTTCTCTGATGCCTTCATTGGCGTGCCACTATGTGGTGCTGAAAGTTGAGAAAAACCATAGGGGATACATTTCTTGAGCGACAAAGTTGGCGTGGCCTGTCCTTGGCTGCCAGCGGCCCATCGTTGGTTGGCTTTGGATTTGGTCAAGCCAAGCAACATTTTACTTGCCAGAGCGCGGACTGGAGTATGGAGTACCCAAAGTGAAACGGAGGCAACGCTATGCATTCTGATGAGGAGTTTGCGGCCTCGTGACATTGCGTGCCGGCCATGATGGCTATCTGCCACACTTGGTTTGTGCACCACTTTGGCGTGTCCAGCCCAAGAGCGAGCACTATATTGCTTGTGTGCAGGGCAATTTCGGAGACTAGTCCTTTGACTGCAAATGGCCTGCTGGATGCAGGTCATCACAGGCTACAGGTTTGATTGGGAAGTATGGTGGGCACGAGCTTGCGAGATGCTCGAAGCAGCTGAGCACATCGCAATGAGATGCAATATCGATCGGTCGTTCCGTGGCGGGAGGGAGAGCACCATCCTTCGTGGTATGCAACTTCGGAGCGTGGGAACAGGCGCTGTCCAACTCCGCTCACGGCCAAGAGTGCATCGTCCACCACTCTGCTCAGTCTGGGAGCAACTCATCCATTTCCATTTCCTAACGAACTGTATTTACAGTGTCCGATTCAAATCGGTAACAATGCCGCACCATCGCTGTCGCAGCGACCGTCGCGCCACTTTGCGGCCCCTTCTTGCGGTTTTACTGGAGGCCGGCAAGAAGGAAAGCAAAAGGAGGGAGAGGACTCCCGCGCCCTTGGGGCAAAGGACGAACGACAGACCAGTCGGAGCCACCTCAAGTGTCGACAGACACTGGACTGGACGGAGGGGTAGTGCTACAAATGCAATGGGACAAGCGAGCGGCAAAGAGCTGAACAGTACAAACGACAGAACCATCAAAGAATGCAAGGCGGTGAGAGAAGGATTGGGTGAGGAACAAGACTAGGGAGGCTGTGGGAAGCGAAGAGAATTAAGGTGTGCGATCATCAGTTGCAGCGGAGAGAGGTGGAGTGAGACAGTTGTCCTGTCCGCAGGTGTATCGATGGGATGAGCCAAAACCGAGAAAGATGGACGCGGGGGATGGGGTGCTTAAGCCTTGTCGGCAGCGGCCTTCTTGGCAGACTTCTTGGGCGCAGCCTTCTTCTCAGCGGCGGCCTTCTTGGGAGCAGCCTTCTTCTCAGCGGCAGCCTTCTTGGGGGCAGCGGCCTTCTTCTCGCCAGCAGCCTTCTTGACAGCCTTCTTGGGGGCATCCTTCTGCTTCTTGACCGCAGCGACCTTGGCAGCGGCCTTCTTGGGAGCAGCCTTCTTCTCACCGGCAGCCTTCTTGGGGGCCTTCTCGGGCTTCTCCTCAGTCTCCTTCTTCTTCAGCTTGAGAGGTCCGGAGGCGCCCTTGGGCTGGACGAACACGCCCTTGTCGACACCAGACTTGATAGCGGTGTTGATCAGCTTGTCGGCGTTTTCGCTGAGACCCTGTGGTGCAAATGCTCGGTGCTTAGGCGTTGTGTCTGGATGGCCCGGCGCTTCAAAGTGCGGGGGGGGGTTCGGTCTCGGCCGGTGTTGGTATCAGCATCAGCATCAGCCTCGCAGACAATGCATGGGTCTCTTACCTTGTAGCTCTCGTGGATGTACTTCTTGATGGCCTGGCGGGACGAGCCACCACGCTCCTTCTGCAGGTTCGCAGCATCCACGTCAAAGGGAAACAGCGTATCAGCCAGATGTTCGGACGAGTCTTTGGTGCGGCTCGATGGTGCTCTAGCAGCGCGCAAGTGCTTCGTTTTCGCCTCGCATCCGGACAAATGTATGCTCTGTCGCAGCCTTTTGCTCGGGAGCGGACCGAAGTGTCGATCCAATATGGGGACGTGGCACTTGCTGGACGCGAACAGACAGCACCGACTCTGGCTGCACTACGGGAGAAGATGCACTGGATGAATCGCCACCATCATATGCTTACCAGGTTGACGATGGCAGCGCGAACCATCTCGAGGTAGGTGGGGTGGTCGGCAACCTTCTTGGCAGAGGCCTTGGGCTTGGTGCTCTTGGTAGTGGCGGCGGACATTTCGGATGTGCGGTTGGGGGGGGGTTGTGCTTGTGGCGAAAGCGGTGGTCGGACTTGGTGGAGCGACGGACGGAATGCGTTGGAAAGCAGAGGGGAAAGGCCAGGCTGGCGCCGGATTGGGGGCCGCTGGCTTTATAGGAGTCGCCACAGACGCACTTGGGGCAGCAGCAGGGGAACGGCGGCCACGGGCCAGGGAGGCCGCCGGGGGTATATATACCTGTGACACAGTGTGCGACGGCTCGCGGCGCGGGTGCGGGCGTGGTGTCGCTGCGACCGGCGGATGTGCCGGTGCGACGGGCGCGAGTTCGGGCCGACGAGAAGCTCTCGCCCCATTGGACCGCGCGCCAGCCAATCCGGTGCGCCGCTGCCGGAGCGCGTCGGCCCCAGCCAGGCCGCGACACGTGCGTGGCGGTGCGAGCGCTCCCGGCTTCCACGTCACCGCGCCGCGTCCCAGGCGCCATGAAGCTGGTCCTGGGGTCGCCGACAGCACTCCTCGCCGACAGCACCCCTCGCCGACAGCACCCCTCGCTGGATCTCCCTCGCCGCATCCTCCTCGACAACACCATGGGCGACGACTACTTCCGTATGTGTCTGCCGCCGGCAGGGGTGCAGAGTCTCGCCGCGGTGTCGCCGTGCGCTGCCCTGCTAACATGTTGCCCGTCCTGCAGTGGACCACAACCTTGCCATCCCCTCACGAGCGGCTCGCTCGGGCACCCTCAATCCCGACCTCGACCACTTCATGCATGACCATGCTCCGCGGCTCGACGGACCGCAACTCCACGTTGATCCACAGCAATTCTTTCATGTCGCAAAGTAAGGAACCGCGGACCGGTGCGCTCACTCGCCGTGGGCTGTATCAGAGGTTCTCCATTGGACAGCGCCCAATCGCTTCCAGACGCTCTCAGTCGCTTCCAATCGCTTCCGTTCGCTGCGGCTGATTTGAAGCACTATCGGCGCCGGCCTTCCGCACGCTGATTCTCGTTGCTGCACAGCATGTTTGGGTCGATTCGGAGCCGCATCCACCACGAAGAGCATCCGGAGCAACAAGCGATTCTTGACAACTTGATTACCCAGCTTCTGGACGAGGCCAATTCGAGGTACGCGGCAGCGGCCTTTGAGCCATATGCAGCCGCTGTTGTCTGATAGATGATGCGTCCATGCAGTTTGCAGCAAGATATTGCCTTGGTGAATGTGATTCCTGTTGATATATCGCCGGATGGAGTTCGGTGTTCGACAACCAAGAGATCACTCCGAAGCCTGAGCACACTTGGTCGTTGCGTTGCCTGTCTCGCGCTGACTCTATTCCGACCACCTGCATTCCTGGGTCGCTGATCATGGCAATGGCCGGTGTTCGAATCGGTCTGTCTTGATCGGCTCTCTGTGGACATATTGGCTTTCAGTGGCAAAGGCAAGCCTCCGGCTTCGGCTCGATTCATCGAGACCCTCGCTTCTGTCAAATCAAGCGATCTTCCCAAAGGCAAGTTGAACTGTGCGATGTGCGCTGTGCGATGTGCGCTGTGCGATGTGCGCTGTGCGTTGTGTGCTGTCATGTACAGCCATCACCCAGCTGGATTTGGGCGTATGCCATCGTTCAATCGATTCGACTTGCCGTGGCAATTCGCATGTGCGAACCGCTAATCCAGTCGGCTGCAACGTTGGTATCCTCCAGACGCATCGTGCTCCGTCTGTGTCGAGCCCTTCAACGATACCGAGACCACGAACCGGCTCCCATGCAGACACCACTTTCATAATGGATGCATTGTCCCTTGGCTGCAGCTCCATAACACCTGCCCAATCTGCCGGAGAGAGTTTCCGACCGACGACGAGGAGTACGAAAGGAAGAAGCGCGAAGCCGAGCACGCCAGGCTCGTGGCCGAGGCTCAGCAGGAGCAACTCGACAGCATGTACGGCTAGACGCTATTCAGAACGAAACGGGACAGTGTCCCATTTGGGTTGTGGCTGTCGTTGGCTTTGGAAGCATAGTCTTGGGATACAATATGCATTCGACCCTTTGGACAGCTCCGGTGGTTTCTCGATGCCAAGACGGTCGGGGCGAACGAGTCGCTCGCCGTGCGTTCTGTTGCCATAGCATCTCTTGTGGTGGTGGAGCTGCTCAAGATACTGGATGAACCAGAGCCGCCAGGGTTCGACGGGAATCCTTTCTGCGGACCCTCGTGTGAGTCGCTGAATACATGGACTTGACATGTCCCCAACAGCATAAGCAACGCCGGCTCTGCGATCTGGCAACAGTGCATCGACATCATTTGCCCCACATGCCCACATGCCAGCAACCAACCCGCCACACGAGGCATGTCGATGCACACGTGATCACCGATTCGACATCAATCCACAGCAAGCCTCTGTCGCTTGCTCTATCCCGATCTCATCCAGCTTCTCAACGATGCTCCAGATTCGCTTGGTAAGTCGCCAATGCATCAAGCGGCCGGTGCCCCCACATCTGGCGGAGCAGGCCAGCTCGACACGCCCTCGACTTGACCACCCGGGAACAATGCGCTCTGCTCTAAAAAACAGCTGATTTCCTTCGCTGACATACATATGCGCCTCGGCTTCTCGCGGAGCTAGCACTTGAGGATCTCCAAAGCTGCCGGCGCTTTTTCGTCGGCGAGCCACACGGGGTTCCGATTCTCGGGATTTCGAGGACAGGGCCTGGCATCCCGATCGCTTTTCAGGTATCGCGTGATATTGTGCCGGCTGCGAGAGGGCTCTGGCTGTAAAATGCCTTCCGTTCGGCCCAGCATAGCAGCGTACAATCCTCCGACCCGGGTCTGACACTCGCTGGAATCCTGTTGATACGTGTGCGCCGCTCATGCCACGTAATGCCGCACCATGCCATGCCACCTAGCTCGTCAAGGTCAAACGGCAATGGTGAGTGCTTGCGCCTTTGACGCTCCAGCATCGCCGAGAGGATTGCGGCAATGTGCTGACTATATCGCTTACCATGCAGGCTACAAATCTCATGGTGGCACCGGACAGCGCACTTTCACCTCATCCGAGTTCTTCCAAGGCTTTGCCATCCTCCTTCCAAGCGGATGTATCCTCGGACTGAAGGCATCGCAATGGCACAAGCAGTATCAGGCCGGGCAGTCTCAGGCCATCCGAGGTCTCTTTTGCGATGCCAGCCTTGCCCAGACCAAGTTTATTGAGGCTAAGGCTCACGAACAAGGTTGGTAGAGATGCCCTCCATTCCAAGGCGAGCCCTCATCCACTCCCACCAACATGAATCGCGCTTCGGCTCCTCGTGCTGCGACTCAGTCCTCCGGAATAGCCCCATCTGAATGCGTATCGCTCGTTCGCCCGGCATTGCCCTTATCCCTTGATGCGAACCCATCTCTGAATCTACTGCAGTCTCCAAGAAATCCGCCAAGGAGCTGACTACCCTGCAATTGCTTTCTGAGATCTGGAAGCATCTCAAGCCAGACTGGCTGTTGCTCACGTCGGTACGGCAGCATCCCTGCATCATTTGAGACGCACTTTGCCTGTGCCAGGGTTTTCCACCTCCAGTGGCTACAGTTTGGCTTTTGGGGCTGAGGTTGACATGCTGCTTGGATTGGAATTCGTCACGTTGGCCGTCAATCTCTGATCCTCGGCTCCTGCTATCGCCGTTAAGATTGTTGTCGTCACGGGCGCCACGGCCATGGTCAACCTCTACATCCCTGTCGTTGTTGGCGAGCTTGTTACTGTTGTTCAGGGCTTGATCGCCAGCGGAGGGGCAACGGGCAATGCCCTGCAGGTCCTGAACGTCCCTGCACTGAAGCTGCTTGGACTGTACGTCGGCAATGGTAAGTACCTTCCGGTTACCTGGGAAGGGTCTGTTCTGCAGCCGGGACTAGATTTGTATAGAATAGAAGGGGTAGCCTTCCAAATAATACTGGAAGCAGGCTGTAATCCAACCCATACCCGTGGCGCTGCTTATGAACGAGTGAGTGCGTAACACTCTCTAACCGCAAAGTTCGATGTGTCCCGGTCTCTTTCTCCCCCCAGGGCTCCTTACATTTGTCGACATCACCCTAGTCACCAAGCTTGGCGAGAATCTCGCTCGCAGCTTGCGTCGTGAACTCTTTGGGGTCTTGCTTTACCAGGACATGGCGTTTTTTGACGGGCATATGCAGGGCGAAGTTCTGAGTCGTCTCACCGAGGATGTAGCCGACTTTAAGGTATTGCCTGCATAGCCTGATAGTTGCTTCATTTGACACCGCCGTCACCTTGGCATCGAGACCGGAGCCGCTCCCTCTCGTTCATATTGCGGCTGCATCGATTGTAAGGGTACGGATGAGCGGTTGTTCGGGCCCGTTGAAATTCTGACAATTCCCTCTGGATCTTGACATGGCTGTAGAGTACCTTCAAGATTGTGATTACACAGGTAGGCTCACGGCAGCAATGCATAGGGCGATGCGTTAGTGGAGCTGATTTCGATTCCAGCACTGCCAGAGTTCACCCTCGTCACACACTCGTATGATGAGAGGGGGCGATTGTCAATCTCGGCGCTGACCGGATCTATTCTATTTCGGATCCAATGAACTCGCCCAATCCAACGAATCCAACGTATCGGGGTTCTCTCGTCTGGCAGGGCTTGAAATGTACCGCCCAGATTGTTGGTGCCGGTGTCCAACTGGTCTCGCTTTCGCCCAACCTGACCCTTACCCTCCTGAGTACCCTGCCGATCCTGTACTTTACCCTGAACTTTTATGGCTCCTATCTGCGCAAGCTCTCCCGCCGCGCCAAGCTGGGTGACAGCGAGTCCACGGGTGTCGCTGGAGAGGTGCGCAAACGCAATCGATCCGGCCGAGCTTGAGGTGCACGAGCTGCACCAACTGCGTGTCTTCGGGCTGACACACGCACTGCCAGCTTCGGCAAAGTCGTACCGGGTGCCAAATTACCAGCACTGCCACGAACCAACTTCCTGAAGCTCTCGGGCTGCGATTTGCCCCCTCCCCCTCGTGATTAGGCCATCTCCAATATCAAGACGGTCAAGGCGTTCGCGTCCGAAGACCGGGAGCTCGAAAATTACACCAGCGCTATATCAAAGAGTTCCCGGACCTCGTTGAAACTCGGGTTCCATATTGGCTTGTTCCAAGGTTTGTCGTTAGATCTGCGGCTATGCCTGTGCTCTGCGGCCCCGTCCTTCACAGAATCATACACAAACCTCAACTGAGCAGCGTCCTGCTCGTTACGTTTGCTATAGGGCTGCTCAATTCTTCGATTGGCGCCATGATCCTGATGATCCTCTACTTTGGAGGAAGCTTGGTGGCCAAAGGCGAAATGACCGGAGGGCAGCTGATGACCTTTATGGTTGCCACCCAAAATGCTCAGCGCTCGCTCTGTAAGTCGCCGTTCCGTCGAACCACGATCGCTTTGTATTCGATCAGGCTTATCGTGCTACACACAGGATGGGACGCTCACTCGTTTGTGTCCCGACAACTCCTGCTACTCAGCACAAATCGGTGTCCTGTTCGGTCAAGTCGTTAAAGCCCTCGGCTCGGCCAATCGCATCTTTGAGTACATTTACACCGCCCCACAAATCCCTACCAGAGGCGGGCTTCAGCTCGAAAGCTTCAAAGGTCAGTTGAATTTGCCGCGAAACATCGGCTCGTGTAGATGGGTGCGATGGGCATTCGAATCACAGGTCTATGACCTATTCTTTCCACCCACTTGGCCTTGTCAGAGTGGTGCATCGGACCCATTTGCTCGCCTCCAAGCTGATCCATGGAGTCGAAGCCCTCCCCCACATACGACTTACCACTGCGCTCCTTCGGCATCGCATCCCGGCCTGCGACATCCTCGCCGTGATCGCATTTGATCCACTGACTGCTGCCATGTGATCACCAGGAGAAATCGAGTTTGTCAATGTCGAATTCCGGGTATGGACGCATGCTACAGCCTGGCTTCTGCGTTCGTTCGTTCGTTCGTTCGTTCGTTCGTTCGTTCGTTCGTTCGTTCGTTCGTTCGTTCGTTCGTTCGTTCGTTCGTTCGTTCGTTCGTTCGTTCGTTCGTTCGTTCGTTCGTTCGTTCGCCACTGCATGGTGCCTCCTCCTCTCTGACACGCCGCTCTCGCTGGATCCAGTATCCCACTCGCCCCCAGCATCCTGTGCTTCACAACTTTAGCTTGAAGGTCCCCGTTGGCAAGATCGTTGCTCTATGCGGCCAAAGCGGCAGCGGCAAGAGCACCATTGGACAGGTCAGTGCGTGCGATCCCTCGATCGAATCTGAATGACAGCCTCATTACCTGCAACGGAAGCGCCATTCCCACGGAGTTTAATCCATCGTATCTGCGCTTTGCAGCTGATCGAGCGATTTTACGAAGCAGACGCCGGTTCTATCTTGATCGATGGCGTCGACATCCGCAAGCTGGATCCCAGGTCAGTCGATGGCTCGGAATACGATCGCTTGGGATGCTCATATTGGCTTGGTGTGTCATTCTCACAAGGATGTATTTGACACTCCTATCGCGTCCAGTTGGTTGAGAAACAACATCGGATACATCAGTCAGGAGTAAGTTTGCTCTCAGCTCACCGAAGCAATCGCCCATGTTGTATCGCCAACAACGCTTGACAATCGACGCTGTGTGTGTTGATCTACTCCTCTAACCTCTATCCGCTTGTTGCGACCTCGCCCAGGCCCATACTCTTTGCCAGCACCATTTACGAAAACATCAGGTGGGTCATCCAGGCCACTGTCAACAGGTTGCTCGAACATGTACACGTTGTTCGGGCTGTTTGGTGAGACTCGGGAGTGCTTGGCGGGGCCTGACGATGACGATATACCCCAGATACGGGCGACCCGGTGCCACCCGCGAGGAAGTTGAGGCAGCAGCCCGACAGGCCAACGCGGCCACCTTCATCGAGAGCTTCCCAGACGGCTATGGCACCGTTGTGGGCGAGCGCGGTAAGCTACGAGAACCGCTCAGGCTTCTGATGCTGCCATCGTTACCAGAAGGGCTTGGCTGACACTCGATTATCTCATGGACTGCAGGTGTGACCCTCTCTGGCGGACAGAAGCAGCGCATTGCGATCGCTCGTGAGTCGATGAGGCCATTGTGATGCAATTCAACACTTGGCAGAGCCTTCGAATCATATCCATGATGGCTGCTACAGCGCGCGGGAGGGGCCGAGCCAAAGCTGATGTCCTGATTCCATGTGTGCAATTCACGACACAGGTGCATTGCTCAAGGACCCACGCCTGTTGATTCTCGACGAGGCCACGAGGTAGGCTCCACAGCGTCTGGCATTGCCGGCGCGCTCTGGCGTGTGCGGGTCATCGGCAATGCAGTCATTCGTGGAAAGCACCTTCAAGCGCGAACTAACGATGCGCTCAAATGCTCGTCAATAATCATCGTCATGACTGTCCAGTGCCCTTGATAGTAAGTGCCTTTGCCTTTCTTGAGCCCATGCTGAGGTATGCTGATCGGCTACTAACGAGGTTACGCGACCTATTAAAGCTCAATCCGAGCGTGTGGTTCAGGAGGCGCTTGACCGGCTGATGAAAGATCGCACGGTCGTCATCATTGCACACCGCCTGAGCACCATCGAGACCGCCGACCTCATTGTGGTGCTCAACAACAACGCTTCCCGCGACACGGGCAACGTCCTTGAAATCGGTGGGTACCGAAGAACTGAACACACGCAGCAGGCTGTGATGCTCGCTGAGCGGTCATGACGGAGAGACTGCAGAGCGGTTGAGGCCGCGGCTCGTCATATAGGCGCCCGGCGATATCCATGCTCGATCGAAAGCCCGACACGATTTGGGTTCTGCTTGCGGCTCTAACGGCAGTGTCCGATCGACATTATCGCAGGCACACACAAGGAGCTTATGAAGAAGCGAGGGGCATACTACCGACTCCACAGCATGACCTTTGAGCACGGCGGCCTCCTCGGATGAACGGAGCCATGCGAAAGCCAAGGGTGCTCGCCCAGCCCGCCATCTGCCTTCTCCATGCCGGCTTTGCCACTGCCGGCCGTGGAATTGGGTGTCACTTCCAAGTCTGCGCATACGCATGGCGACACCACTCCATACTTTTATTCCCATGCCGTCAATAGATGCCGACGCGACGGTTAGCGTCTGGGCAAAATGAGCTATGCAATCGACCTGTTTGGGCTCCGTGCGATTGGATGCAAATTTCGTCTCCCTGATGTTCACACGGCCGATTTGGGCGCCACGCAATCAGACGGTCGACACTCGGCTCCCATTCATATGTTGCCGGCGATATGTCGCATCTGCGCTGCGGGAGGAGTAATATGCCTGCACAACAACGGAATTGCACTGGCATCTTTGTCGGGTGCGGATACGGATGCGGATGCGGATGTGGGTGTCGTCGGTCTAGCTTTCGCTCACACCACTCCACAATCCCAAAGATACCTTTGGTCCAAATTAACGGACGTGACCCACTGCGGCCTCCTCGACGACCCTGGCCTTATACGACAACCATCTGGTTCAATATGTCTGGCGCCGTAGCAATGGGGGCCGCCTTGGCCGCAAGGAGGGCATCGAGCAGCCGTGCACGACGAAGGAGCTCTGTGGTCTCTCAGTATCAATCTAGCACTGGCGACGAGCAGGACGAAGCGCTGATCGCACAGCTGAAACAGCTCACAGGGACCATCAACCAGCTCTATGCCAACCTTGAGCAATCCTCCAAGGATCTACAGAAGATGTTTGAGAACCTGAGGATTCTCAGGACCTCGTGCATGATTTTGGTCGAGGACAAGGGCGACTCGAGCTCCGAGTCCAGCAGTAACTCGAAAATGGCCGAGGGACTATTGAGCATTCCCAAGCTGGAGTCTGGGGGCGGAAGCTTCAATTCGATGGCCATCGTAGCCGATGACGACAGCATCAGCAGCGCCAGCGTCCAGTCGATCGACAGCCAGACCCGGCGACAGATTGTCGATGCATTCGAGCGTATCACCACCAAGCCCATCGAGGAGTTTTCGCCCGAGCTGGGGAATCTGTACCCGGTCGGCCTCATGGATGACAGTATCATCAAGGTCTTGAGCAACTACAGCACACGGACGCAGGACTCGCCCAAAGGACGGCGGCCCGACGACCGCCCACAGGGCAGCGATAGTGCATCCGGCTCGGGCTTCCTCAGCAACTTCAATGTCTTCAGCAACCGGAGTCTGTCCATCTTTGGCGTCCCAACCCGCCGCGAGTCTCTGGAGCCGCGAACAGAGGCATCGTATCCATCGATCAGCCGGATCCTGGGCTGGTCAAGACGAGCCAGCATCGATCCAGGCACCAAGATCTCGGGCGACTCTAACTATTCCCGCAAGGCATCCATCTTCTCCCGAGCCACTGGCAGCTCGTATCACTCCCGAATCGATGCGAGCGACCATTTCCGACCCGATTCCTCGGCTTCGGGTTCGGACTTGGGAGCCCGCCCGATTCGCTACGACGCTTTCAACCAGAGCCATCGGACTTCGATTGTCCAAAAGGCCTCGGCAAGCAAAGCGCCGCTGCGTGGCATGGATTCCAAACCCCCGGGGTCTGTGCGCGAGGACGCAAGGGCCTTCCGGGCCACCATCAGCCAAGACAACATGCCGGTCGGATTTGCGAATTTGTCGGCCGATTCTATGTTGCGCCTTGGATTCCAAAGGTCGCCCGACACACCGGGCCGCCCGGACAGGGCTCATCTGTCGACCGACCGTATCATGCACTCGGGCAGCTACGACGCCGTGAGCTCGCCGTCGGGGTATCTCCAGAGCCACGGCATGCGATCGAGCTCAACGGAAGGACCAGAGTTTGGCAGGTTGCTCAAGGCGAAGAAGAGGCGATAGAGCCGGGCACAATGCCGCAAGCGCCTCTGCGGATGCCCCGAGCACCTCCACGCAGACGTATGTGAAGACGAGGTGTTGGCGAGAGAGCGACAATGGAACCCCGCTGGCCTGGTTCAGAGTACCGTCTGCAAAGTGCAGGTCCAGATCAATCCCACATCATCTCATTTTGAGCCAGGGCTGTCGCTTGCTTGTGGGTCCTGAATACACACCCATCCATTTCTGCGATGCAATGCTGCAGTTCCGACTGCCGTTTAGTGTGGAATCGTAGCGTCAATGCGACACGCAACATGATCACTGTGTGCAGGCCGATTGTGGAGACTGGAGAGCGACCAGCGATCTTCACTCGGAGGCTGCCGAGGTGATCGATTCCATTGCATATGGACGGTGTACAGCGTGTTGAAGAAATATGGGACACATCGTCTCATTCGGACAACACGGCGTAGTCGGATCATATCACACCCGACCAAGTCGATCTACAGTCCATCCAGAAAGAAACGGAACAGTCACTTCCTGGCTTCAGATATCTGAAGCCCGCTGACTGACTTGTAGGCCCAGCGGGCAGGCCGTGAGATTGTTTCCCGTCCTGGTTGGCAATCCCTTTGTTTTTGGTTGGTTTGGGAAGCACAGTCTTGAATACACCCGGCCGATCTCCTGTGGCGATGATCGACTGGCATACCGAGACCATGTTCCTTGAGGCATTGATGTCTCGATCCCACAACGTATGGCAGCTTGCACAGCTCCGGACAAAGTGTGGTTTCTCGATATAAAGATGGTGCTGTGCTTGGCCATGAATGCGATGAGTGGATGGGTGTATTCAGGTTCCAGAAAAAGCACAGTCATAGCTCAAAACGGGGTGTCCCATTTCATTTTGGAAACGCCGTAGTCATTTCCCCTGGGTGAGGAGGAAGGCGAAAGGCAAAGAGCAATATCGCTTGACCAGATTATATATCTGATTTACAACCCGCACTAACCCACGCAACCCACACTACCTCCACAACCCACGCAAGTTATTTGTGCGTGAAGGTGCCCCGTTTCAAAATGAGCGTAACATATGTATGTCGGATCATTGGCGTTTGCCGGCTTCGCTGTTGTCGTATCATGCCCAAGCAGCCACAACAAAGGGCATCGCTCCAACCCCCACACGGATCGTCCTCTTTGCCAACTCGTCCCTTTCGTCGCCTTCGTCGCCTTCGTCCTCTCGCTGGCTTCTTGCCCGAATGTCCATCTGCTCGCAGTGAATCGACGGAGCCGTCCGATTGCACCCGCCGTCGCAATCCCCAGTGCCGCACTGCGACACCTCCAACAGCACCCCTCTCGCACTGGATCGTCATCCGGGCTCGTCTTGGCATCATCCTCCTCCCAAGCGGCCGCATCCTCAACCCAAGTGCCTCCGCCTCTTTCGGCTCCCCACCGCTCGTCCCCAGCATTGCATGGCGCCAGCCCCAGCGCCCACTCCACAATGACCATCACCGATCCGCACCCGCTCTCTCACATTGACGCTTCGGTCTACATTGACTCTAAGCCTCCTGCCGAATTCATGTGGGATTCGTTCTTGCTGGCCAAGCCGTGCCTGGGGCCGAGGTCGTTTTCAAGGCCGCAGGGCATGTCCACCAGACAGCAGAGCCTGTCGGCCTCGCATACAGCTGCCCTGAGCGTCTCCCCGTCCAACGTTGCAACTGCATCGAGCTCGCCCGGCTCGACGGCCGTCGAGTCTGGGTCCTTCCTGCTCCACCAAGTCCAGGCTGGCGACACACTCGAAGGCATCTGCATTGCATACCATGTCCAGGCAGGTGTTTGGCCCACGTTGCTGCTCGACAACGAGATCAGGGACACAGAAGCGGGGCAGCAGAGCAGCAGAGCAGCAGAGCAGCAGAGCAGCAGAGCAGCAGAGCAGCAGAGCAGCAGAGCAGCAGAGCAGCAGGGCAGCAGAACAGCAGGGCAGCAGAACAGCAGAGGAGCCCCCCGACACCCTGACTTTCTTCGGGAACATTTACGTTCGCCAGCACCCGGGATCCTGTCGCTCTGACCTCCGAGTGCTGCTTGACCACGGCTGACACTCCCGCTACTTTCCTTCCCCACCAACCCCATCCAGATAGAGTCTGTTAAGCGTCTGAACCAGCTCTGGACCAACGACAGCATCCATCTGCGCCCAACCCTGCGGATCCCGTATATCCCGGTGCCGGCTGTAACCGAGCCCGCATTCGAGTTTCCGAGATTGAGCCACAGCATCCGCAGCCGTTCCTTACCATCGAAGCAGAGCAGTGACTTTGGGTCTCGGGCATCTTCGTCCTCCTTTGCCGATGACGACGATGACGACGACGGTGGCGCTCGAGACAATGCCGGCGGGTCTGCAAAGGTCTCCCGCGAGAGCATCCCAACCCACACCCACACCCAAACCCACACCCGTTGCGACGGCCGGCCCGACGGCGACGGTGTTGCCGCCAACCAGGAACCTGAGCCCGCTCCTCCGCTGCTCAAGTTTATGGACACACTCCGGATCGAGAGAACCCTTGCCAGTTTTGGCGACCAGGTCAAGGGATGGTCTCGCAGGCCCAGGTCCAGCCAACCCTTCCGAAGGAACCCGGCTGGCCCCGCATCGAGTGACGAACAAGATGATGGCGAATGGGTCCGCATGGTCCGCATGGATTCCCGCCACGATCACGATTGCGATCCGTGTGATGCCAACGGTGTTGCTTCCGACGCACATACCCTTTGACCGACTTTTTCCGGAAGCGATCGCAAACCATGTATCCAAGTACCCGTACACCTATATGCGCTCATCGTGCCCACAAAACAGTGGCGAGCCGTCGACGGCGTCTCCGATTGCATTTTTTTCGCACGCCACTAGCCCTACTACCACCACCACCTCCCAGTCTTCTGGTGTGTCTACTCCGATAGTCAGTCTCTGACTCCATTTTTGTTTATTTATTGCATCACAAAATGAAACGGGACACCTTGCTTTTGCCTTCGACTCCGGCTCTTTTGGGAACAGGAAGACGCCTCTCCGTCCCCCAGTCTCGGCATTCTATACAATGTTTCATGAGGCCTGTGTGTCTGCTTGTGCGGCGATGATGTTCGTGGGGTGGTCTGAAGCTCGGCTGGGGGCTATTGGCTGCGGCTTGCTTGCAGATATTCGAGAAGAGGTCTGGCTACCTGGTCAAGGCTTTCATAGAACAGTTCGTGGGCTGTGTTGGGAATCGATACAAAGGTGGCCTGGGGCACCAGCTGCATCACTCTCTGGTGGAGTCTATAGGGTACGACCCGGTCGTTGGTACCCTGATGATAAAGCAGGCAGTGTCAGCTGGAGTTCCAACTCAGATCCACGTTCCTCACTTGCTTGCTTGTGGAGGAGTCGCTTACCCAGAGGAGGAGGACAGGCAAGCCGAGTGCGCCAAGCTTTTCATAGCGAGCAGCAAGTCCTGTGAATGGAAAGTGGACAAGCGTGCTGTGGTACTGTGGGTGTGCAGGCATCGGCGAATGGTGGGTCGTCAAGTTGACGAAATGTCGATTGAGGCAGAGTCAGCCGCCGATGTGAGATACAGAGCGACATTTGCCCTCAAGAATAGCGGCGACGCCAACGGCTATTCCGGATCCTACGATCAGGGCAATCTCCCTTACCGCCGCCATGAATCCAGGGTGCTTGAACACTTGGTCGAACGACACTGATCGCCAAAGCTCCTGCAAGTGAGATACATCGGCCAGGACGAATGTGGAGCTGTTAGCAGCACAGCCGGCGGGATACTCTAATGGTTTCGGCCCGGCGCACACCGGATTCTACGGACACAGCAGACCCCGGCGACTTGACAATCGGTCGGCGTGGGGTGCTGAAACGATACGTTACCAGCTCGGGAGCCTTATGGAGGTGGAGGGAGCCGCGATACATCATGTAAAACAGAATAAACGGCGCGACCGACTGGGCGAACAAGTCACCAATGACAGGAAGTCGGGCAATCTTGGCAGGAAGGGCGAGACTCTGCAGCGGCGAGATTGCGAAAAGCAAGTAGGACATCCGTAGGTCAGGGCATCGAGCGCCTGCGAACACTGTCTTTCTGTTTGCTCGTGTATCCAGCTGAATGTATCGTCTGGACTGCTGGTACAAACCTCCATTAAGCCCGCTGGGGCGGCAAGCGCCAGCCTCGTCACCTTCTCGGGATACTGGGATGCGAACGAGGTAGCGATGGCGCCGCCCAGGCTGAAGCCTAGGACTTGAAACTTGGACCAGCCGATGTGCTCGACAAGCTCACGGCCCTGGGTGACGTAGAGGCTCTCATTGTAGGGCACTCGAGGGGCATCCGAGTATCCCCTGCCGTAGTAGTCTTGAATACGGCCGTGATATGTCGGGGGAACAGGTAGGGTCAGACCCGATTCTGCGAATAGCGACATTGTCGATCGCACTGCCGTCGGCATACACACCATAGATGAGGACTCTGTATCCGTTGTCGACCAGCTGACGAAGAACGGGGAGCAGAAGGGCGTTGACGCTGGACATGCCTTGGAAGAAGACAAGCTGGGAGGCGGAGGGGCATTGTGGTCAGCCACGAAGGTCGGTGTCGCTCCAAGCGAACGACGCAGAGACCAGCCACGGAGTCTATGCACCGGCCACATTGGATAAGAAAGGCAGCTGCGACCGAGTCCCAAGCACAGGGGACTTGGTGCTTATGAACAGCGCCCTCTCCAGTCCGCCGAGGCATGATGCAGCAGCATCCTGGCGAACAAACGATCTTCATTTCATTTCATCGCCATACCTTCTCGCCGTTTTGGGGGCCCAGCAGATAGTAATGGGTTTCACCTGTGCTAAGACTAGCATAGGCCGAGCCTGGACACCGAGAGTGGATGCGAGCAGCGCAATTCGGAGGATGGTCGTGGCATTGCAGCGTTGCAGCATTTCGGCATTGCAGCATTTCGGCATTGCAGCATTTCGGCATTCGGCAACAGGGAAAGGTGGCGAGGAAGGAATTTTGAAGTCCGAGGGAGAGAGGCATTAGCGCATGGGGAATTGGTTAGCTCGCTGTTGCCGCTCCTTGGATGGTTTGGATGGTTCGGATCGGTCGCTGTTGCTGCAGGAGCTGTACCTTCCATGACGTCTTCTCGGTACGCCAGCGAGCGATTGGGCTGGGCTTTGAGCGTTCGGAAGCACCCGCGGTTCCTGCCCTGGACGGCAAAGAACTGTCGGTAGGCCCAGACTGAGCCAACGGAAAGCAGAGAGACAGCTCCGATGCGAACGTAGCTGGACGACCAGTCCATGGTGCGGGGTTTGTCGGAGAGTGCAGCTCGAGGCCGAAGGCGATGGGAGGGTCGGTGTCGAGCAGCAGGGCGATTTGAGCGCAAGCACTTTCGTCGTCGCTGTCTGTCGAGGAGCCGTCCCGCCTCGTGCCTGCCAACAAGGGCCTGGGGGAGCAATTCTGGGCTGGCACGGCCACGACAAAGGGCCTTGGGAAATCGGTATGCACATGCCAACGGCACTGGGTGGATTCAAGAGTGTGCATCCTCAGACCCGCTGGAAAGCCTTGGTGGCCAACCAGGGAAGCCATCGCACGGGTGGGATCATGCTGTCAACAGGTCGTCGGACATCAGGTGTGTGGTGGCAAGTGCTGGGATCGTCAGTGGCCCACCAAACTGGCACTGCCCTGTTTGTTTTGCACCTGTGGTGGCATTCATGAGCTGAAGACATATCGGCTGCACAAACTCTGCATTTCAAAACTGCTATCTGGAGTGCACTCCTCCATTGACTATCATTGTTGAGCAAAGGACGCACCCCGGGTTGATGGTCACTGCAGACTTCACCGTCGAACCAGCCCAGACTCGAATGCCGGCAGTCCGTATATCTGCGACTGTGTGGGTCGACGCTTTCGCACGTCGAGGCACTCGATCCAGGGGAACCTTGTTCGGAGATAGCTTCGCAGCCGACGAGCCGTCTCCTCCGGTTCCTCAGGCTCGGTCGCTTCCCGGTCTGCTCGGCCAGCGGCGCTGCCCAGCCGGCCGTCGCGTGAGACCATGGCCATGGGATCGGCATTATCTCGCTGTCCTTCGTTCAAAGATCCATCTTTGCTGGGTGAGGGATGCTGCCGCTGGTCGGTCGTGGCAGAGTCATGCATCTCGACGTCAACGACCGGACTGTCGGACCCGATTCCGGGGTTGTGGTCCACTGCCATCGAGCAGTCTTCAAAGCCCACTTCGTCCAGCATCGAGCTATCCGAGTCGTCGCCATCGGGGACACAGCGGTCCCGCCGCTGTTTCTGGTTTGGCGATCTCGGGCACACCTGGACTCTGCCATCCTTGTAGATGGGGGCGATTTCTTGCCCAGTCTCGCCAAGTCGGCCTGTGCGCTCCAAGATCGTTTGCCTTGAAGCTTCGAGCTGTGCCAGCGCTATCAGGCGCTCGGCACACACCGGGTAGAGATCAGCGGTCACAACAAGGCTCATCAGAAAGCGATGGGTCTCCAGGAAAGGAAGTAATCCCTGCAGCCAGGGCTTCTTGCCGAGGATCTCGAGACCAGCGCCTTCTATATGCACATGCTTGAGGCCCTTCCACTGGCGGGACAGCATCTCAAAGGCGTCGACCTCCAGGATGCCCTGGTCCAGGGTAAAGTATGTGATGTTTGGGGTATCGGATGCCAGAGCGGCCATTGTTTGTGTCGGAAACAGCCCAGGCGTCAGCACCGAGAGGACTCTAAGATTACGAGCGCTCTTGGCAATGTGCCGCAGAAGGCAGTGACCATGTAGAGGCTTCTCCAGGAGCTGCAGAGACTTGAGGTGCGGGAACTCGACCGGCGGCAGCTCGTCGGCATTGTTGTCCCAGTCGGTTCCCAGCAAGATGAGCGAAGTCAGCGACGACCACTTGTCGCCAAAGAGCAACAGGCGAAGCAAGCTGGCTGGAATCGACGGGAACAAATTGAGTCGCAGCTCTTTCATCCGGCCGCAGAGTGATTGTGTGCGACCGGCAGTCGGGCTCTCCAATTGTGGGCGGCATTTGAGTCCGGTTGTTGCAAAGTTCTGGAGAGTTAGACTGATAAGGTCGGCATATTTGGAAAGATTCTCGATCATATCCAAGAGGACGTCCGACGAGAATATTGATCCAGGGAGGCGGAGGTGAGACAGCGCCAGCGACAGCGTCTGCAGGCTCGGCAGCCGGGTGCTGAGGAACGAAAAGTCCTCCTGCTCCAATATCTGCGTGATAATCGTGGAGGGCATTGGTAAGGCAAGCTCAGTTGGGGCGCTGGATGCTGGCTGTGCGGATCTGATGCGACGCCCACCTGTCGTTCGCCTTCGTCAACCTTGACCTTGGTCAGGCCCGGGAACTCGATGTCTCCTTGATCCTGCAGGTGCAACCAAGTGGGGATGTAGTCGTCGACTGGCTGAATGCTCACATCCACGAGCTCGATGCTGGCCAAGGCAGTGCTGGGAGCCAGTATTCGAAGGGCAAGGATCAGGCCGCCGACCAGACCATTGGCTTCGTGTTTGAACGCACTCGACAGCTGAACCGACGAGGTTTTGAGCGTGAGCTGCTCGAGCTTCGGGAGCGATTTTGACAGCGCCGTGACATCCTTCCAGCCCATACATGCACCCGAGAGCACCAGGCGCCGTAGAGCTGCTGTAGAGTCGAATAAATGCGGGGGGACCGCGACCTGGCCAAGGCTGTCGTTGAAATGCAGCTCGAGTTGGGTGAGAAGCGGATGGGCCGCAAACCACGGCACCAGCAGAGCAACCATACTGGATGTGCAAAAGTGCAGGCTCAAGGACGCCAGATTGGGGGCACAGGCCGTCCAGGGCGTGAATCCCTCGACATCGACTACGGTGATCTGTCAAAGACGCAAGAGACATGCACACAGCGTGAGCCATCGGTGCTGATCGCCGCCAAGGCCTCGAGACGGCAGGCCATTGCTCTCACGGCTCACCACTGGGTCTAGTTCCCGCCAGCAGCTCGGCCAAGCCGAGTCGAGCCAAGCCCTTGGCTCTTCGGAGAGCTTACTCTGAGCGACCTCAGATCGAGGCACTGCCTCATCACGGCCATGAGGTGGTCGTCGTCTTCCGGGCCCGGATTGTACCAGCAGCACAGGCTCTGCAGCATCGGACACATGGAGGCGCCCTTGGTGATTGCTGCAGATTCGACATAGATGTGCTTCAGCCGCGGATGCCCCTGGAATTGGCTTGCAGCCACTGGTGTCACGAGAAAATGAGCAACGGTGGCTTGGTTACTGGGACGGCAAGTCCGGTTGGTTCGGCCGAGGTGCACAAACCCCAGTGATTGCCGCTTAGCACACTTACGGTCGTGTCGGCGCATGTCCTCGTTGCGGCTTCCGACGCATTCGATATAGAGCGACTCTGCGAACGGATAGCCCGCAAGTAGATATTGGAGCCCAGCTTGACAGAGCTTGGGAGTTGCTGCCACGGATATGTGCTATCGAATTCGAATCAGAGCAATGAGCGGCGAGTCTCCGGAGGGCAACAGGGACCAGACTCGGGCACAAGAGTTGTCTGACGACGGACGCACATGCGGAGGGCAATCGACCAGCCGACCAAGGTGTGGATCAAGCATCGGTATGGCAAACAAACCGACCAAGCTCGCTCAGCCGGTGCAGGAATGAACAGTGCCGACTGGCGAGAGGGGGGGGGAGCAAACTACCTTGTACATATTGGGGGAGATTGCAATCCTCCGCCATCGACGACACACCGTCGAGACGACGACAAAGCTCCGAATGGGCAGGTACGAAAATATCAGCACGACGACTTCGGTCGGGAGCATGCGAAAGCCAGACAGGGCTTCGCCCGAAAGATGAGGCAAGGACATCGAACGGGATGTTCTGGTGGCCGACGCTGGCGGGCTGGAGTCGGGGCTGAAGGACCGGACGGAGGGCATTGAGGCGTTGATCAGAAAAGCGCCAGTGATGGTGATCAATGAGAGCCGAGCAGCAGCAGGACAAGAGCGGTGCAGCGACCAAGGAAGGGCGACAGGCCCGACGAAGGTCTATTTCATCCACGGAGGGGCTCATGGCGGAGGAAAGCGTCCGAGCAAGCACTCAGCCGGGGTCCAGAGCGAGGGACCGTGTGCCGGCCCTGGGATGCGACGGACGGCACCGAGCAGACGACGCTTGACGGAGCAGCAGACCGGACGCTCAGACGGCGCACGGCAGCGATGCGGTTTGCCGATTGGATGTCTGCAAGACGATCGAGCGGGTATATGTCGCCGACAGAACGATACGCTGGTCCGGCATGCTGAGGAGCGGTGCGACATCGTCCCATTCGAACAAATACAACGTAGTCGGATCATACCATGGATCCAATCGTTTCCCTGGGTGTCCTTGTATGAGGGAGGAAGACGCAGGGCAAAGAGTAATATCGCTGCAAGACCTCGGCGAGGAGACTTCATGGAGTTCGGAACCGTCTGATTCACACAAGACAGACTACCCACACAAGTTATCCCGGCTCGCTGTAAATACCCCAACCCACTTGGACGGGACCCGCCCAGCCATCCAGCAACACATCCAGCAACACATCCAGCAACACATCCAGCAAGAACACTCGGCAGTGCATGTCGGTGGCTCTTGGTCTGCAGACTCGCGCGGCCATCTGTCGCGTGCCGCTTGCCATCTGCAACATCCGCAACATCCGCAACAATCCCTCGGCTGTCGACCCATCGGACGCCGGTTATGGTTCGTCGTCCGTCGTCCGTCGTCCGTCGTCCACAACCGCCAGCCATGTCCCGGCCCACAGTCCACCGCTTTTCGCTCGCAGTCCGCAGCTCTTGGTCACCGGGGCTTGCTTCCCATTCGTCAAACACAGATCTTCATGTTGCCGGATTTGGCAAAGACCAGGGCGCCTGGGTCTCGACCCTCGCTTTCCAGCCTCCCTCCGGGCCATCTGCTTCTCCAGCGCAACCCTCCGATCTCCCAACGAGCTTCCTGCAGCGTCGACATGACCTATCCTGACGACCAGCTGCCTGATAACCCAACTGATGCTGGGGAGGACACCGTCGTCCTCACCGCACAAGAGTTCCTCGAAGCACAGGAGCGGCTCGAGCAGGAAGCTTCCGAAGTTCTCCCCAAGGCATTTGATCACTGCTCTTTCAGCGAGGGATACGTTTCTCAGAGCGTCTACGCCTGTAAAGACTGCTCCATGAAGGACGGGGCTCTGGTCGATGCCGGCTTTTGCTACGGCTGTTTGTGGGTATCCTTCGTGCCCAGACGAGTCGATCGCTGGGCAAATCGACCCACTGGCTGTTTTACTATGAGGCCTGCCTGCTGACCATCCGACCTTATTATCGTCCATGCTTTCTGCGTCTTCTAAACAGCATATCCGTGAGTAACTCTCTTCTGCGAGTTCCTAGCCGTAGGGTGATCGGTGTGCTGGCTGACGCTGCGTGCATGATCTTTCCCAGTGCCATACCACCCATGAGGTTGTGGAGCTCTTCAACCGCCGTCACTTTCGGTAGGTCTGCTGGATGGTCTCCAACCAACACACTGCTTGGTATTTGTAGCTGTGGACAAGCGGAGCGACTTGCTGCTGGGCCTGACCCATCCATCTCGACTTGGCCTCTCCAGCTGTGACTGCGGCACCTCCAAGATCGGCAACAAATGCCTGCTGATGGAAAAGAGCCCTTCCGCCAGCAACAGCGAAAACAAATACAATGACAATTACAAGGGCATATTCTGCTGGTGCAAGTCCGAATACGATCCTGAGAAGGAGGCCGGCGTGATGCTCCAGTGCATTGCGTGCGAAGGTATGTCGTCCGAGCCCCGTCGTGCTTGCCGCTGCTCAGGACAGACTCACCAACGCTTTGTTTTTTCTGAACTTCCCCCCCCCAACCGGCTCAGATTGGGTGAGCTGATCGTTTTTGAGGGGAAATGGCAAAGACTCTAGCAGGGCCGACAAAGTTGGTGCAAACGGTGCTGGTACAACGGCGATGAGACTCTGAAGACTAACAGTAGTTTGCTCTTCCGTCTGCCTCCAGTTCCACGATCGCTGCATAGGAGAGGTAAGGCGAGTTCGTTCGGCCGTCGAGACGGACCACGCATTAGCTTCGGATTCATAAAGACCTGAAGCATCTCGTACTCGATGAGATGGCACAGCCGGGAGTTCGTGGAGTGCTGAAGTGCAATCATTCACCTTGTCTTCACCAGCTTCCTGACGAGGACAGCTTTGAGGACTTTATTTGCCGATCGTGTGTCGCCAAGATGCCCTTCCTTCGGTGGTACCAGTCGAAGGATGCATATGTGTTTTCCCCGCAAGCATCCGATCTGCAGTCCGCCCAAGGTGCAACTCAAGAGGCCGTCAAGCAGACTTTGCATGGAGCCCCCGATATTGACGACCCTGTTGATGGCGATAAAAAGAGGAAGCCGGAATCGGACCTCGACGACAGCGTGGCCAAGAGAGTGCGATCGTCGTCAATAGAGCCCAATGCGACCGAAACAGCACCCTCGGATCCTCTGGCAACATCTTGCTCGGGCTGCGCTGTTCCCGGTAAGCATGATGTATATATCGCCCTCGATCCCGATATGCATTGTGCCAAGAGACATTGCGGGCTGCTGACTGGATCTCTTTCTTTGCCACATTGATCACAGAATCAGCCAAACTCGAGCCTCCGATCGAGACCGATCTGTTTTGTGTGGCAGGGTGGCGAGATAAGCTCTGCCGGTGTGATGAGGTGAGAGCCTCTGCCACGGATGGCACCAAGCACACGAGTCGGATACGTGCTGTCGATGCTGCCCGATGGAGCATGTCGCTCGGTCAATCGATCAGTCAATCGATTGGCCCGTCTACTTTTAACACAACTGCCATCCTCAACCGGACGTATTGGTTTTGAATCCGCCGCGATACAGTGCCGGCGCCGATACGAAGAATTCAACGCGATGCATCTCATCACGACCGAGCGGTCTTGGGAGCCCCCCGAAGATGAAGAGGCTGGTAGGTATCGATACTGTGGGAAGCAGGCGCATCATGGGGCAGGATTATCAGTTGGGGCATCAGTGGCGCGGGCACTCGTGAGTGCATACCGAGATACCCTATAACACGGCGAATACGCACTCCATCCCTGATCGGCCGAGTTCAGGCTCCTCCTTGATGGACATGGGCATGCGCCAACTCAACCGAATCGACCGAGTGCAGGCCATCGATGGCGCTCGCGCCTATGTCGATCTCAAAGAAGGCATCATGAACCATCTGCGGCAGTTTGCTGGTACGATTCTCCCGGCCGACTCCGTTGTCGAGCAGGACTGGGAAAGACACAGCCCCTCCCCTCCGTCTCTTGTTGCCCTCATGATGTTCATTGTACGACCTCCCTCGATATACTCGTATTCTCAGGCACCGATCACGTCATCACCAAGGATGATATCATGGCATTTTTCGAGGCGAAGCTGCAGGGACGCAAGTGCGACTGAGAAACGCCTGTGGACTTGATCAATTGAAGGCCTGTCGCTCCCATGTCCGAGGCCTGCCCTTTGTGCTCATCGACGACTCTCCGTTCTTGATCGTCGCTCGAGCCAGTTCTGTTCAATGGCAAAATATAGCAGCGCCTGAACAGCCGCCGCATCAGAGGGCTGTCGCCTTCTTGTCTGATCCTCCCTCAGAATTCAGAAATGGCAAGGCTCTGAGCATTCCAGATAGACATTACATGTATTGTAGCAACTACGAGTCTCGACCAATGTCAGAATCAAGGCCGCCGGCTGTGAGTGCTTGCCTCCGCAATTCCTCCACCCTCCCTCCGTGGATCCACAAAGAATGAGTCGGATTCTAATCAAGGCACGGTGGTCCTTGGGCATCCCCACTTCGGTAGAACTGTCGATGACATGGCATTATCCATCAACTTCAGCCGGACATTCGCGTGGTTGATGTAATCCACGTTTAGGGTGACTGGATCTGGATCTGGATCTCGACAGAGTAATCAGCAAGGGAGGGAAGGGAGGGAAGGGTTCACCAAGGTGGAGGGATCGTTTTCTGCCGCTTGGTTGGCAGCCCAGGATCATGGCCAAACAAGGCCAACTTTGAATATGCAGATTCGTGGGTAGAAGCGATTGGTCTTGATGATCAATTCTGCCAGCTGCTGTTCTAGTCGAGCGAGACAGCACTGGCAGGGCGGGGAAGTGTCAGCTACGGCGTTTAGGCATGCGTGCACAGCACTTGCTAGCACGGGTATCCACACAAAGTTGAGGGCATAGGGAGGGGGGGCGAGGGCCAGAGGAGTAAAGAGGTCGACGTGATTATTTAGACCCAGTGCGCCAGAGCAAAAATCGTACTGGATCGGCATGCATCAGGGTGGGAGAAGAGAGAACAGGGCCTATCCAAGCCCTTTCGGCATGTGGTCAGGTTGTCGAGCGAGGCTGAGGCAGGCGGTCGAGGTCCTGTGTCGACAGACCAGGCCGAGTGCGGTAGAGGAGGCGGCGAGTAGATATGATACACATAGGAGACGGCCGGAATGGCTTTGGCCACAATTGCTTGGTTCGCGGGCACTGGGCTGGATCGTTAGTCGTACTCGAACGCTCGGAAAGACTGGGGATGGCTATGGCCCTGATTGTGGCTGTGGCCCTGTCCATAGATCGGCCCAGGCGAGGACCAAGCGTTGGTCTTGAGAGGCATCTGTCCCAGACTGGCCATCGATCGTTCGTCCAGGCCAAAGTCGCCCGAGCCAAATGGGTTTGAAATGCCGTTGATCTGCATGGGCTGTGGTAGCGATAGCGCCAGGGCTGTCGGATCAAAGTCTTCGCCGTATCCAAATGGGTCAACAGAGTCCAAAAAGAGAATCTGGCTTGGAGGAGGAGGCGGAGGGACGGGCCCGGTCGACGGCGGCACGGACACAGAGACAGATGCCGATAGCGATGGTGGCACTGCGCTCGGCACCTGTACCGGCACCTGTACCGGTGGGCCAGGCGGCCGATGGAGGATGCCGGTGTGGTTTGAAGCCATACCATGCCAGTTGTGGCGCTGGCGATCCATGTTGGCGTCGCTTGCAGACAGTCGTCCGTTTGGGGCGAATGTATAGTTGCCGGGCCCGGCAGCAGGATGGGCCATCTGCCCATCGATCTGCGGCATGGCAAACTTGAGAGACGCATCGAATCCTTGCGGCATGTTCGTCGAGTAGTCGTAGCCGTTGATATTTGGGTGCGAGACCCGCCCCGCCCGAAACGAATCCGGCAGTTGACCCTGCAATGGTTGCTGGAAGGGCCCCAGCCTCGCATCTACCGACAGGGGCATTACTTGCGGCACCTGCCGCATCGGACCGCTTTCGGCCGTGGCAAAGGCGGGATCGGGGCGGCGGTTGGGGAATGTCATGGACGGGCTTGGCCGGGCCACCAACGTGGACATATCCGAGTTGAGCGGCGCCGGATATTTGTGGCCTGCTGGTATCGGGAGGGGAGCTGGTCCGGGAGTCGAATGCAACATGGCCGGCGTGGCGGCCGGAGGAAACCCGGGGACATCCACCTGCGAACGGCTGCCAGGAGCCCCCATAGAGGGCAGGCTGTGTTGAGATACCGAAGCGCCAGCAAATTGAGCTGGCTCGGAGACCGACTGAGGCGACGGGAACGACGAGAGCGACGACAGCGATTTTGCCGAAAGGGCTGGCGAGGCTTGCGCATGCGAGAGAGACGGCTGGGTATGTATCGGCTGCACCGACGAAGAGACCTGTGCTGGATTTGAGGCAGCCTCGGAGACAGGCTCCAATGTCCCCGCCATGGGATCAAAGGCCCCACCCTGGCTTTGGCCAGGCTTGGCCGAGAGTTGGCTTGAGTGGCTGCTGATGTGCGTCTGCCGGATCCTCTCGACAGTGTGCTCGGCCAGGTTCCGGCTGATGGCTTCTGCGAGATCGTGCTGGTCGCCAAGCGGATGCTGGCATGGCGACATGGCCTCTGGATTCTCCTGCTTGAGCTGGGCAATCGTCCGCCTGAGTTCGGTGTTCTCCTTCATCAGCGACTGGATGCCGGCCTCGTATTGAGATCGGACCTCCGTGAGAAGCTCCTGCGTTTGGCGCAGCCGCAGCTCGAGTTCGTTGACGAAGCGCTCTCTCCGTTCTGTTGGCGGGTTGATTCGGGTGTGCGAGGACAGGCCAGGCCAGGACATAACGCAGCATACCCGTATCGTCAGCGAGAGCGACGTCGGGGCCACAACAAAGCCAGATTGCAGTTGCCGACATCGCAGTTATAAGCAGGCGATTCGGCGTCGTTGCGGGGATGGCCCAGGGCGGAGAAAGGGAGTGATGGATAGCCCAGCCCAGTTAGTCCTCCATCCATCTTGCTGACCAGAGGACAAGTCGCACGCATGATGATCCCGGATCCGGGCTCCTCCTGGCCGCTAAATACACCAGCAAAGGCCATCTGAGGCCCCGTGCAATGCAAAGGAAAGGCGTAGTGCCTGACGAGGCACCCCCAACATCCTGATCGACCATGGAGCTCGCGACGAGCAGGGATGGACCAAAGCCGCCACGACTGACGCAAGATCAAACTCCATCGATCATCAGCAAAGGGCCACACCCTCTTCCTCGTCTTCTCCTCCTTCGGCATGTGGAAAATGGCGCGATGGAAAAGATGCGATAGCAGAAGAGCGAGTGAGGTAAGGGAGGGAAACTGGGGAGTGGCCCACCTCGAAAGTTGCGCTGAGAGTTCCGGTTCTGGGCTTGCCGCCGCAGCTTCTGGATGGCAGGGTCGGCGGGTTTTCGTCCGGGTTTTTTTCTGACTTTGATGGGCATCTGGCCGAGGGCGTCATCCATGTCGAACGCCTGGTGGATCGGATCAAATCCAGCGCCGGGACCCATGGCGTCCAGAGACATCGGAGGCAGGGGACGCTCGGCGAGAGGTTATGGGGGGGGGATGCCGAGGGATCGAGCTGGAGTGTCTCGACGGGACAGGACAGGGCAGAGGGGCTTGGTCGGGAAAGAGATGGACAAGAGTAGGCAGTGGCCAGAAACAGGCGGGCGATGAGTCGGGCCGAGTCGAGGAGCGCAGGGACAGGCGATGGGCGGGCCGGTGTCGACGGATGGGAAGGGCTGGAATGGTGAAGGGCCGAAGCGATGGGGAGACCGGGGGGGCAGCCGAGGGCGAGGATTTGGGGTGCGACCGAATCGTGGACTGGCGGGGGCACCTGTGGCACACGCTTCCAGGGACTGCAAACAAACCTGCAAGGCGGGGCTGAGCATTCGATCCCAGAACGGTGCCGCCTGCCCACTGGCGATGGAGGGAAATCATGGGTGCGAAGGGGGAGAGAGCGATGGAAGAAGATGAGAAAGATCATTGTCTCGCCTGTGGCATGCGGGTGTCGAGCCAGCACCATGGCAGAGCCAGTATTCTCATGAAGGGTCAGCCACCGCCGCCATGGCAGAACAAGATCGTGTATATTGAACAGCGGTTCGAGCGGCAGACAATACGGTGCCAGGACACGCCACATACTGCCTAGCATCAGGAGCAGACCAAGAAGAAGAGCCTGAAGATGCAGCGGGGGCGTCTGGTTGGGAAGATGTGCTTGGAGCCAACAAAGCGGATGCGACTGAAGGTAGCTGGCCGCAAGTGTTGACCATGAGTTGGAAAGGATCACGGACGGCGCAGACCGGTCGCCAAACTAAATCCGATAGGTCGCCTCCTTCTTGACCAACAGACTCTCATCTTTCATGGAGGTGTCCTCGCTTTTCCGGAGCATGTAGCGCGTGACTTCGTCCTCAGTGATTTCCAGCGCAGCGATCGGCAGTGTGCCGACTTGCTGAGTGTTCTCGTTCAGCCCCTAGGAACACGAGAACCGTCCAGATACCACAACAGAGTCAGTTGCGTCAAGACAGAGGAAAAGCAGCGCCTCGCGGCAGAACCACGAGCGACGGTGCAATTTGACATCACGGAGGGCAAACAGCCAATTGCACGGGCTTTTGGCGCCACACATCGCAGGGGATGGTCAGGCGCAAGAGAGGCAGAGGCTCGTCGCAGGGACACGCGACACTTACATGGCCCCAGCCGTCGTTGAAGACACTGAGCAGCACCACCAAGTCGCCAGCGTTCAAATCGATCTCGTCCTCTCGCCGAGCTTTGTACGTTAGCCGGACTCGCCATTTTGTGCTGAATGTGGTGCTGGTGACGGGCCGGACAATCTCCTGCGCGAGCTGAAGTTCGATAGCGTCCTTGTCATGCTTTGCCCGTGCGAGCTTCTGTGACGATCTTTGTCCCCGCCTGTAGATGTACACACCAAGATAGGATAAGAGGGCTATGGCGATGGAGGAGCCAACGACGATGGCGATGATGGTTGTTGTGCTGAGCTGGATGGCTTGGTTGTCCTGGGTGGTTTGGGTTTGTCGGTCGGCACTTGATAGACGAGAGCAGCAGCCGCCACTCATGGAAGTGGGGTTGCTCTGGCAGATGTCATGTAAAGCATCGTTGGAGAGCGGGGGAAATAGGGTGACGCCGGCAGAGCCACTCGAATCGACCGAGGCCATAGGCTGAGGTTGCATTGAGTAGTCGATAAGGCCTGGAGCGATCGATGACAGCACAGTGAGTTGCAGCGTGGTTGTTCGACGGATGGTTGGTAGTGGAGTGCGTCAAGTTTTGTCGCACGGCAGTTTGAGGTGGTCGGTTTCAGGGAAAATGTTTGCCAGATTGGAGACGAGCCCGAGATCGGGGTGGATGATTTTTCCGACCGACGAGACGAGCAAGTCAAGGCGAGAGGACCAGCGTCAGCAGCGGTCAGACGAGTGTGTGAGAGGCTTGGCATGTAGGGGGCCAGCGATGACGGCCAAGGCACAAAGAAGCAAGCATACCGCAGTGCTCAGGAGATTCGAGGACTTCAGAGAGCGTGCATTGCCCCGTAACAGAAATATCAAAGATCTGCGAGGGGACGTAGCTGTTGAGGATTTGCGAGAGGGCGCCGGTGTCTGCATTGGTAACGTTCGCTTGGCAGCCGCTGTAGAGCTGCTGTGTCGAGTAGACGAGCGAGTCGCGGAAGGCAAAGGTTTCGAGGCGAGGACAAGTGCGGTTACGCTGGGGGCAGTAGTTTGTCCGGTTTGTGGCCATCACAAGGCCCTGGCACATGTGCTCTCGAAAATAACGAATGTTGCTGGCAAATTGGTACTGGAGGATCAAAAGTCAGATAGGCGATATGAGCACGGACGATACAGGCGAAAGGGGCAAGGAGGGTGCTGGAATGGCACCAGAACGGTGTCCGCGGCTGGATGGAAACCGAGCTAGAGATATGCATGTGCTGGCAGGGGGCGGCGAAGGGAGGGCAAGGATGGGGCTATTGGTAGAGGCAGAGGCAGAGGCAGAGATGCGGCTGGAATCGTATCGGCGAACTGGGGAGTGACCGGACCAGAGGAGCACCGAGGCACACACCGGCGGTATCCCCTTTGACTGCGCCAGGGGAAATACCAATGGCATCAGGCTGACTTACGGGGTTATAGTACTGGCTGACGTTGCTCGTTTTGCAGACGTCCTTGAAGATCTCGAACATGGGGCCACCAAGCACCCGCCAGAAACTGGTGTCGCTTCCGTTGGGGTTCTCGACCTGCTCGATCAGCTGCAGCAGGCCCTTCAGGTTGGTGACCGACTGGGTCGACCCGGTAACGGTGCGGATGACCGAGGTGTGGACAAAGTAGTTGCCCATTATGTTGTCGCAGTTTCTGAGGAGCCAACGTGAAGACGGGATTTGCCGCCGACAGGGATGCTGTTAGAGCAGACCGACATGGATAGACTGCGGGGCTGTGGCGAGGGAACGAGAACGCAGACTGACCCTGTGCCCGCCAGCGCTTTAGGGTGGAGCTGGATGCATCCATCCGGTGGAGAAAACTCCAGAATCTCGGTCTGGGTGGCCGACGAAGAGTTGTAGACGTAGACGCTGCTCATGATGGGCAGGCAGAGACCAGGCAGAGAAACGCTGCAGATGGATACGGAGACACCGCAGGTGGTGAAGGTGTGGCAGATGGGGGAGACGAAACAGAGGCAGAGGCGGCGAGGGAGACCCGGCAGCCACGGATCCAGGAGACCGAGGGAGACCGAGGGGATATGGCCAACGGGAGGGGCAGGCGGTGGTCTCTCGAGCAGTGCGATCCCGAGGAGATGGCGGCGTGCGCTGGGTTTGGGCAAGAGCGTCACCAAGGCGTCGCGGGCAAGAGGGTGGGCCGGCTGCAACTCTGCCGAGCGCGGCTCTGCGCGGCTCTGCGCGGCCAGGCCTTGTTCGGACGGCGGTGGAGGAAATCACAGCCAGCAAGGCGCTGGCGAGGGGGACAAGCAATGCAGCGCAGAGTTGCAGTTGTGGCGATTTAACGAACACGACGACCCATTCAAGTCGCAGTGGAGTCGGCAGAGGATGTTCGCGCATCGATGGAATGTGGCATCATAGAGTGTGGCCCTTGGATAGAACATGGCATCGTATAGCGTGATCCCACGGGCAGGCCAAGTTGTTAAACATCAACCACACGTTTCATCGCAGCGTGTGAATCGAATCTCGGCCTGCCAATGCCAGCGCCAACGAGAAGAGGCAAGAGCGTCGCCTCCCCCCCCCCACGACTTTCCGAAAGTAACTCGGCAGCCCGCGGATTCCACCAATCCATGGCCCCGCTGAGCGCCTCGCCGTGGCCGGGATGGGCGAAGCAAACGTCGGATGGGCTGCATCGATGGCTGCATCGATGGCTGAACTAAGCGCCAATCGGCCCGCCTTGGCACACTGCTCGGCACGCTGCTCGGCACCACGGCGTTGAGAGCGAATATCATCCGATCGCCCGCTGGCCCATGGATCACGAACCCATGCAAGACCGTCGCTGCGAGTTTGCATGGCGCTCCTCTTTGGCCAGTCCTCGGCTTGCCAGTCCTCGGCTTGCCCTTCCTCGGTTTGCCCTTCCGACTGCCTGTCCACCCCTCGGAGGCCCGCTTCCACCCGATCGCCGACCACAAACCACACCGCGCAGATGCCACCGCGGTGCCTGCCCTGCGCTGCTGGGTCGCGGGTGCTTGTCGTCGCTGCTGAGCAGCCTGGCCGCCAGATCGCCTTCTCAAGACCTCGCCTCGTTCCCGCGATGCTGCCGATGGCACTGTGGACGGTCCTGGTGGCTGGAGGAATCGCTCGATCGCAGGTGCTGGCCGCCGCGAGCACACCTCTCAACGCCTCGCTCCTGGCCGAGCTGATGGCCGATCTGGGCATCGCCAACGACTCGTACCCGTTCGTCTGCTACAACGGCACAACCGACTACGGCTGGGCCGGCCTTGTTGCCAAGCTTGGGGTGGGCGCACAAATCGATTGAATCTGCCTTGAAAACCTTGCGCTGCGCGATTCCTGCCATCCCTGCGACTCCTGTGCCGATGCTGCTGGTGCTGTCCGGGCGCTTCCGGATGCTTCCTCGTGCTGCTTCTCACCCATGACCTTTGGACCAGGAGCCAGACAGAGACATTGTCGTCGAGGCCGGCTGGTGGGACTCGTCCATGTGAGTGTCGTGTCGGCTGAACATGCATCGCCGATCCACCCGCGACGCACCGGCAGACCCACCGCCTTGTCGCGTGCCTGGACGCGCATCTGCGGTCGCCTGACCAGCGTTTGTCTCAGGATCCTCAACCACGTCTACGAGATTCTCCTGCGCGACATTCTGGGATACGGAGTGCTGGACCAGCTCTACAGCGGGGGTGAGTTTGCGCGGCCTTGGCGCGCCCTGCCGCTGTGTACTTGCCGCTGCGCGTTGGCTGAACCGAGCATGGCTGAACCGAGCATGGCTACCGCTGAAATAGTCAGTCCGACCGACCGACTGGGCTCGTGAGAACCAGCGCATCGCCTTTGCGGCGGCTGTCTCTGGTCTGCGGGCTCACCAAACCCTCCGCGGCTGTATTTGATCGGGTCCTGCCAAAGCCAGGTGCCTCGACCGGTCCTCGCCTGCAATACAACGTCACGGATGCCTCAGTAGAGCTCTGGCCCTCTGACGGTATGTCTGCACAAGCCAGTGACAAACTCGGGCCGAACACGCAATCTTTGGCCTGCTCAAGTATGGCAGTCCGCTCCGGCCGAGCTGACACTGGTTCTCTCCGGCCGCAGCAACTTACTTTGAGGAACTCATCGTCTATGAGCGGTCGGTCGTCTATGCAGGGTCACCTGGCTACATCGGCCACATTGGCTGGTACATCCCAACATGGTGAGTCGCGCATGGCCGTTGAGCTTGTTGTGGTTCAAGAGCCCCCGGCAATGCGAGCAGCTTGGATGTCTCGATGCATATCGCTGTGGTCGTCCCCAGCAGCTCAGGCCAGTCACTCCTCAGGGTCGTCGACCAATACCCGAATTACACCATGGACTTCTGGAGATCTTTGCGTGATCCTCAGGCACTGTCGCTGTTCCCGGCCTCGGGAACCGGCCCGCGATACGTCAACCCCGACGGCACACCCGAATGTGATAATATACCCAATGGTTGCATGAATGGCACCTGTAAGCCTGTGTCTCCCGCACAACCGCACTGGGTCGCTTGGCAGTCCAACAGTGCCTGACAGCTGTTGTACTCTTGCCCATGCGGCTGTTCTGGAATCGACTCACATTGGCCTCTGCGGATGCAATGCTCATACATTCCATATATGTCCTTCCGATGCTGCCTTTTAGATACGCCGGCGCAATGCGTCAACAATCCGTACTGTGTTGGTGAGCATCGCTGTTCAATCCTAAAGTGCATTTCTGCCGCTCCCGATACCCTCTAAGCACAAAGCCACTTCTTTCCATCCTCATGTCCAGAGTTTTGGGGAAATGGTGAGCAGCCGATTGCGGTTCGATGCGAGAGACGGAACAAGCACAATAGGAGCCCCAGCGCATCCCAGCTGTGCAGCAAATCGGACAGGGCTCGGTTCATGCTGTTGTTGTCGTCGCCATACTTCGAAGAGGCTTCGACATCGAGCCACACTTGACCCGTTGAGACAAAACCTGATCGCACCATCATCTTTCCCCGTTGATGGCTCAGATCCGTCATACTCCAAGTACTACAACGAGCGCTTGATCGACGGCCTCCAGTTGAACATTACGATCAACTACCTGGTACAAGCTGTGCTTCCGCCAGAACTGTGGTTTGTGTGGATCATGCTTGAAGCGACTTGACTGACGGAATGCCTTTGCGCAACTGTGGCCCAGGACGGAAACGGAGACGTGCAGACATGGGTAGACCAGAAGATTCAGCCCATTATCTTCTACTACTGGACTCCCAGCGTTCTGCTCGCGACGTATGGTATTCTTGCCACTGTGCCTCGTGCCGGTTCCTCGGATCTGGCTGCAATCAACTGGACGACTGTCCACCATTTAGAATAGTGCTTAGAGCTACTCGCACCCCTCCCCCTATTCGCAGCCCTGGATAATCCGAAGGCGGCTCGACCCTGCAGCGCAATCAACTTGTGTCAAACACTCATTCGCTTCACGTTCACCTGTTATCTGGCTCCCCGTTTGCAGCCGCAACATCACCCGCATCTCGTTTCCAAACATCTATGCTGGCTGTATCGACAGTTTTCTGAAAGGTGACACGTTGTGCTTTTTTTGGGGGGGGGGCCGTGCTATCGATATGGGCAATCGGCAGATGACATTCCATCAAAAAACGACTTGCGTTGAGCAACGACAGCTCAGCTGACCAATACGCTTGGCTGGTGGCTAGATCGTGAACATACCTTGGTCACCTGCGACTATCCCCCAGACTTTTTATTCAAGGCGTCGAGCCTGGCTCTCAAGAATGACTTTCCGTATGCATATGAACTGGTGAGTGCCGATTATCGACACTGCGAAGTGGCAGGTGCTGCGCAGCGTGAAATAGAGCAAACAAAATCTGCCTGCCCCATCTGAGCCGGGCTTTCCGATGCCAGGGCTCTGGGAACAGAGATGGCACCACGTTGATTCCCACAACGATATCCCATGATTATTAGCTCGAAAAGCTCATGGTATCCGAGGCCGATATCACGGAGATGCTGAAGATGTTGGACAAGACCAACTATACCTTCCGCGACTTTGCCGTCGTCGCATGCAATTGGATCAACAGCAACGAGGACACGTGGAGCAAGTGGATTCCCTCACCCCCCTCCCTCGCAGTCGGTGAGTTTGGATGTGAATATTCGTATTTTGTGAGAACCTGAGTGATATACCGGGATGCTTGGGTGTCCATGTGCTTCCTCCTGGTGTTGAGACAACCAAGCACACCGAAAGACTGGAGGTGGATGCTGAATGTCTGACGCCGGACTGGACTGCTCCGAATCGACACCTGGCAACCCGCCGTCGCTAGCCTCATGTCCTACAGGTACGGGCATATACCGGATCGGCCAGGAGGACCTGTGCCTCACCTGCAATGCAGGCACATACAACTGGAGTCCAAACAACACGATGCCGTGCCAGACCTGCCCAAGCTCGGCAACATGCAGCGGAGGCACCAGCGTGGTCCCGTTCCCGAACTTTTGGCTGGACGCCAATAACAACCCTGTCCAAGTCGTGGTCTGTAGCAATGATAGACCGGCATAATGCAATCGATGGTTTAATCGACATGGTGATGTGAGAGGCAGAGACGATTTACCAATCGAGTCCGATGGCACCCAGTAGTCTGGCCTTGCCTCCGTATTTACCCATCTCCACCTCGACCACAGCGATGTCCTCTGGACGGTGTCTGCTCCATGAGTAAGATCACCTTGCATATGATGTCATTTTCGTGGTCGTGGATGTGTCTATCTGGCCCGGGAGGCGTGCTATTCTATCCGACTTGGATGCATTATGGATCATTCTGTGGCTCAAGATATGAAACTGAGTCTATAGCTGACCCTGCAACTGACCCTGCAACTGAATATGCAACACCCCATCCTTCTTCCAGATCAGTTGGAATTTAACGTCTCGAACCAGTGCTCTGGGGGGCTCTCTGGGGTTCTGTGCACAGAGTGCGCCGATCCAAACAAATACGAATGGAACGGTAAGTTGCTGTCTTTGCACAATCGTCCACCCAACAGTGTATGCCACCGGTGATATGTAGCGCAGGCTGAGCACATTCGAGCATCTGGCGAGCACTAACAATATGGCGGCAATGTGTGTGCGTCTTGCCGAAAATACAAACATCTCAAGGCTACTGCATCCCGTGTCCGGCATCTCAATGCGTCCTGTCGCTGCTCATAGCTTGGCTCGGTACCCTGGCCTTCACACTGGCTATCTATATCCTGCCCAAGCGGTCGAGCGCATCGATAGGCATCCTGGTAAGCGACGCTTCCCGCCCAAGAGCAGGTTCAAGGCATCCTGTCCGAACAACAGTACGAACAACAATACTGTGCTCAGCAATGGCAGCTAATCCACATCATCCCTTGGTGGCAGACATTCTACTTCCAAGTGGCGGCGCTGATCAATCCTCAGCTGTCGGTGGGCACGCTGGCCAATATTCTCTCGATTGATATGGAAATCTCGCCAACATGTCTGGTGCCCCTTCGGGGCATCTCCAAGGTGTTTTTCTTCTATATCGTCCCGGTTGTGATGCTGCTGAACCTCGTGGTGCTGCACCGGCTGGGCACACCGATCCGCGCCTGGGCAAAGTCGACCTTTGTGTGGCAGCGAATCCTCAAGAACAACCCCGTACCAACCTCGCGCCGGGCCAACTTCATCTCATCCATGTTCGAGCTGCTGATGTGCTTTGTCCTGCCGATCTTGAAGGTGTCCCTCAGCATCCTGGACTGCAGAAGGATCAACAATGCGGTTGTGATGTACACGGCCGCCAACACCATCTGCTGGACAGGTGTGCATCTCGGGGCGGCTGTCTGGGCCATTGTGGTGCTGGTGATACTTGTCGGCATCCTGCCAGCATTCATGCTCTTCAGATTGCTCACCCTCAAGAAACACGGCTGCCTGGACCAACCCGATCAAGAACGCGTATGGTGAGTCTTTGAACAGCCAAAGCAGAGGACGAGAGCCAGCGGAGAGAGTTGCCATGGACGATAACGGGCGATGCCCTGGGCGATACCCTGGGCATGTCGCAAACTTGGCTCCAAGGGATCGACCAAGGAATCACTCGAGAAGTTCAAGGGTGGGGTTGCTGGACTCTAATGACTCTCTACTGGATATCGGGCAGGGAGCGCTGCATGCATCTGCCCTATAGAAAGACATACTATTATTGGGCGCCGCTGCAGCTTCTCGAACGCAGCACCATCCTGTTGTACTTTGTCTTTTGCCTTCCAGGGAGCAGTAAGTACCGGAGGCGATCCAAGCCAATAGCCACAGCTGGTGCTGTCTAACCACCGTCCGAGTCATTTTGCGGCACACCAACTCCTCGTCCTCGTTCTCGTCCTCGCACCCTCATCTCCGTAGACTCGACATCGAATGCCGCTCGGCTCCCCTTGCTGCTCGCTGTGATGGGCTTTCGGTTCTACATCCAGCCGTACAAGAACCCCGTGTCCGCCAAGCTCTACCAATGCGTCGGGACGTGCTGGTTCTGTTTGGTGGTGATCAACTTTTACCTCATTCTCGGGACCACAGGCTGGAGCCAGGTTCTGCTGGGCGATCTGGCCATCATCATCTACTTTGCACCGCTGGTCCTTGCGGTCTGTCACTACATCCTCCTGCTCCGCAACATCACCATCGAGCCGCTGTGGCGATGGATGTGGAATGGCCACAAGAAACGAGTTGTGCCCATCACCGACGTGGACGACGAGCCGCATCCATCTGCGGCACCCTGTCCAAACGGCAGCGCAGAGAGCCAGAAGGCGTGAGTGGTGCTGGCCGCGAAGATGGCGGGTAGGCCAAAGTCCTTTGCAAACGAAATCGTGTCGGTGGTGGCCAGCAGCCACCCCTTTCGGTCTTTGATCGTCCCCCCCCCCGCGCGTTCTCGAATCCAGCGGCTCGTCGCAAACGCCGTGACAATGCGAGTATGCGGTGCCTCTGTCTGTTTTTGACAAACTCGATACCATAGCCAAAATACAGTGCTCCGAAAGGGAGCCGGTCGCCCAAACATCACGCTTGAGAGCAGTGATCGTTGTCTTGCCCTCATCGGGATGTCGTCTCATTGAAACATCGCGCCGTCGCTGTTGTCAAGCTCGCTTCCTCTGATGATGGCAGAAATGCCCGAAACAGTGGAGGAGCGCTGGACGACAGACCGGGTGCATATCCCCTCCTTGCCCTGCATCCATGGAATGGGTAGCGATTATTGTGAATGATTGATGTATATTCCCATTCAAAAAATAAAAGTTATCAGAGCAGGGTGTCTCCCTCCATGAGCACTGCAAGAGCAGGATGCGTGCGCGAGTAGGAGGGGAGGGGGCTGCAAGAGAAAGGAGGGAGAAGGTGATAGGACAGTATGTTCAGAAGGGAGGGGAAGAGGCCAACTAGACTAGATAGATACATGAGCCGGGGGAATTCTAATTTGGACACAATACTAAGGTAGGCTGGCTTTCCCTTCCCCCACACAGAAATACAACCCTTAGATGCCGCTCATGCGAGCCTCTATTCTCCCTCACCCAAAACTTGGTCAGGGGTGCTAACGGAACAGCGGACGGCTTGGCATAACAGCATGACCATTACTCGGCGCGGTCGTTTACTGGATGGGCTTGTTCTTCATGGTCGCCTTCCAGGCAACAAGACCCTTGCACATCAGGAGGATCTTGCGAGCCTTCTTGACGTTGGCGTGGACACGCTTGAGCTCCTCCTTGCGAGCAAGGCGGCGCTTGAGCTCGGCAGTGCGCTTGGGAGAAGGCCACAGGCGGGCAGTGAGCTCGAACGACCAGTGGCGGTAGGTCAAGACCTTGACGACATCGAGGAGACCGAACATGGCCAGGGAGACGCAGATGACACCAATAGCCCAGGCGGGACCGCTGTGTTGCCATTGACGCAAAGGAAAGGAGCGAGATAATGGGACCGGGTCAGTGACATTGCCAATTGAGGATCCGTCTCCGGTCACAGCGACTGGAGGCACCAGCGAATGTGCAGAGCAAACACAGCATGGCCGCGAACGCGGCTGCATAAACGACACTTACATAGCGTACGACTGAAGAGCCTCAATACCGAACCAGGTCATGAACATGGCAAAGACCTGGGTACCACCGACGGCAATGACGAAGATCGCCGAGGGGGCGGACTCCCAGAACCATCCGGGGACACGGGTCGAGAAGATCACAAAGTGGGGGCACGACGAGACGTTGAGGTAGATGATCGACTGGAGCTTGCGCAGGTTGTCCAGGATGGTGGGGTCCATGCCGTGGTTCTGGACCTGGTCGGTGACGTAGCTGAGATCCATGTTGGCCTGGTTGGTGAGGCCGAGGATCGAGCGGGCGGTGAAGAAGTGGGCGAACGAGATCAGGGTCAGGAGGATACCCAGGACAAACGACAGGGTGAGGAGCTGGCCGAGACGCCACTTGTCGGGGCGGCTGGAGATCTTGGCGTTATCGACGGAGATGACGAGGGTGGCGGCATCGTTCAGGACGGCAATCAAGATAATGAGAATATCGGGAAGGGCGAACTGGAAGATAACTTGAGCAATGAAGAAGAAGATCAGGAAGTGGATGGTCGAGGAGATACGGTAGAGGGCGTACGAACGCATGCGCTGGAAGATGGCACGGGAGGTCTTGACACCATCAACAATGGTCGAGAGACCCGAGGCAAGGAGGACAATGTCCGAGGCAGAGCGAGCAGCGTCAGTGCAGCCCTCGACGGCAATGCCGACGTTGGCCTTCTTGAGAGCAGGGGCATCGTTGACACCATCACCGGTCATGCCGACGAGGTAGCCGCGGTTCTGGAGGAGCTCGACGACACGGAACTTGTGCTCGGGAATGACCTGGGCGAAGCCATCGCACTTGACGACACGGTCAGTGAGGGCCTCCTCATCCATGGACGAATCAATCAGCTTGTGGGCATCGAGAATGGTGCGCTGCATGCCGAGGCGGAAGGCGACTTCCTTGGCAATGATCTGCTGGTCACCGGTAATCATCTTGACACCAACACCGAGGGCGGCGCACTCGGCAATGGTCGAGCCAGAGTCGGGGCGGGGAGGATCCAGGAGCGAAATCAGACCGACAAGCTCGAACTTGGTCATCTCATCGTCAATGGTACGGGCAACACCGAGAGCACGGAGACCACGGCGAGCGAGGTCGATGACGGCCTCGGAACCCTGGCTGTGGCCACCGACCATGCGGATGATGACCTGGGGGGCACCCTTGATGACGCGGAACTGCTTGCCGGTGGAGAGGTCGGTGACGGTGGCCTCGGTGTACTTGGAAGTGGGGTTGAAAGGAATGAAGCTGTTGACCTTGTAGCCGGGAATGTTGTGGTCCTGGACGGCACGGTTGCGGAGGAGGTCGACACGCTCCTGGGCGGCAGCACGGATGGTAGACTCGATGGGGTCCTGGGCTCCGGGCTCAGACGAGAAGAACGAGTTGAGCAGGAGGTCCTGGTCGGTGTAGGGAACGCCGGTGCCGTGGAAGTCGTCGGTGGTGTTGCCACGCATGGTCAGGAAGGGCTTGTCGAACGACAGCTGGTTGAGGGTCAGGGTACCGGTCTTGTCGGAGCAGAGAATCGAGACAGAGGCAAGCTCCTCGATGGCAGTGAGACGCTTGACAATGACCTTCTTGGCAGCGAGCTGCTTGGCACCGACGGCCATGGTGACGGACATGACAGTGGGCAGACCAACGGGAATGGCGGCAATGGTCAAGATGAGAACCTGCTTGAGGGCAACCAGGGGGGCGTTGCCGTGAACAAAGACAGAGATCAAGAACAGAATGATAACCATGACAAGGGAAACAACGATGAGGAAGTTGCCGATGTTGTTGATGACCTTCTGGAAGTGGCCGGCGTCGTTGGTGATGGCAATCAGGTTGGCGGCACGACCAATGTAGGTGTGGATACCGGTCTTGGTGACAACAGCGAGCTGCTGGCCCTGCTTGATCATGGAGGACGAGTAGGCAATGGCACCCTTCTTCTTGTTGACGGGGAGAGACTCGCCGGTCAGGGCAGACTGATCGATCTGGAGAGAGCCTTCGGTCTCCTCGCCGGTGACACCGATGCCGAGGAGACGGCAATCGGCAGGAACGATATCACCGAGACGCAGGGCAATGACATCACCGGGAACCAGGAGGTTGGACTCGACTTCGACGAGCTTGGCGTTACGCCAGACACGGGACTTGAGGGCAAGGTTGCTCTTGAGGGCATCGAGGGCAGATTCGGCCTTGGCCTCCTCGTGGAAACCAATGATGGCGTTGGCGATCAGGACAGCAGCGAGGATACCAAAGTCGACCCAGTCCTTGAGGACAGCAGAGACGATGGCGGCGATTTCCAGCAGGTAGGAGATGGCACCACCAAAGTAGCTGAGGAACTTGAGGAAGGGGTTGGTCTTCTTCTCAGGGAGCTCTGTTGACAGGGGGGAAACGGGCGGCGGATCACGTCAGTCCAGGTGATCGGGACAGGGGGCCGGAGTGGCGTGACACATCAAGGGGCGGGGATCCAAATGGTTCCAAGAGTAGAGTAGCTCCAGGAACGAGTTGCACAGCAAACCGCTGCTCGCTGGAGCGTCTCCAGGCCGAGCCAGCAGAGGGCAGAACCAGGAGACACAGTACGCCGATGGGGTATGCACCAAATAGGACACCAAAAGCGAGGGCAGCACTGCCATGCGATGTGATCCTGGACAGACAGCGCCAGCAGAAGCAGAGCACACATACCGTTCTTTCCGAACTTGGCCAGACGCTCCTCGACCTGGGCATTGGTCAGACCCTCGAGGGGAGGAGTCTGGAGGAGGGCCTCGAGCTCGGCATCGATGTCCTCGGTGACCTCGACGTGCTGCTCGTCGTCGTGGACATCCTTTTTATCTGCAGGGAGCATCCAGGGGAGTTAGTACAACGGCCACAGAAGCACGACAGTGGGCGGTGGTGCGGGCTGGACCCGCCGAGCTGGGTTTAGACCCGCCCAGCTCTGCAAGCAGCGCCCATAGAGGCGGATAGAGCCGGGAGACATGGCACGGCCCTGCCAGCGACAGAGGGACGGGCTGACGGCGGAGCCACAGCGGACAGCCTACCTTGGTGTTCTTGCGCGGTCATTGTCGCGAGTCTGTTGTACTTTTAATCCGCAAAGGCGTGATTGACCTGACTCGAGGAGGGAATGAGGAAGACAGATGCTCTCCGCAGGGGCGACCAACGACCGAGTTATAAAAACGCAGCGTCCGGCAGCAATCGGTGAGCAGGCTCAACGATCGGCGCTACTGGGAAGAGGATGAGGGAGAGCCGACGGGGACGGTGCATAAACACGGTTTTTATAGCGATCAACAGACAGGCGAGCGCAGAAAATCTCGCCGGGGACAAGGTTTCGTCGCCCGGGTGCAACAAGAGAAAAAAAAACAACCGAGAGCGAGGCCGGCGCCGGGCGAGACCCGCAGCAGGAGTGGCGGCGCAACAGGGCGGCGAGACCGGCGAGGCCTGCCGAGAGCGCGGGCGGGAGATCCTCGGCGCTGGGTTGGGTCGCCTCCTCCATTTCTGTTGGGCCAGGCGCACTTGATTGTTGGTTCCCCGCCTGGAAAACGACTGGGCGACGAGAGAAGGGCTCGGACACAAGGCGCACTGGATCGACCGACAAGCATCGTGCAACAATCAGCCAGCGCGGCTGGCGCTCCCTTTCCTCGCGATGTCGTTAAAGTTTTTCGCCTCCCCCCAAAGCAACACGCGGGAACTCTAATAAGCCCGTTGGCCAGGGCCTCGCGTGGCAAAGCAACGCCCCTCTCTCCTTCCGACAAATGAAGGCGCCGGTCGCCCCTGTCGACAAAAGTCCCGAGCAAGCATTACGTGATGGGCAGCGGTCCATCTCGGTTGGCTGCCTGGGGCGGGTGGAGGCGGGCATTTGGAATGCTGCCGTTGCACACGCAGGCGGCCTGGCCATAGCGACCATGTCCCGGCCAGCAACAGCAGCGGCGACGTCTCCGTCTCGACTGCAGCCGGCACACATAGTCGGACCACTGCGGATGTGCTGCGAGCCACCTCTGCCAGGCTCCTTGCTCAGCCGCTTCTCGACTCGCCTGCGTGTTTGCTTGTTTCGGCGTGCCTCTGCTTGTTTGTCCCTGTGCAGGTGGCGGCACGCCCATGGCGGCTCTGTGGGCCGGTGGCAGCGTAGATGTGTATATCTGTGTCCGTGTGCTTGGGGAGCCGAGCGCACAGCCGACAGAGCATCCCAGCAGCAGCAGCAGCCACCAGCAAGCCCAACAGCAGCCCGAACAGGCAGAACCGGCTCCGACAGTTTCAGCTATAGCCCGATCTGACAACACCCGCCAACAACAACGACTCCCACGACTGCACCAGGACCCATTGTCCCAACGAGCCACTTCCCAGCAATCTGACGCCAGGCTGACAGCGCACCAACAAGAGCATCCTTGCTCTCGCACGCCGCCGCAAGCACAGTCGCCGGGTGAACGGACGAGCCCAGTACTGGCCAGCCACAGCGCCTCTTGTCTTCTCTTGTCAGCGCTGTTGTTGATGCTTGCGGCTGATTCGCGCAGACAGGGATCTGGTCCGCGTGCGTTCGTGCCCACGACCGCCCGGCCAAAGCGGTTCTCCCGCCTGGTCGCTGAAGGCCCAGGGAACTCCCGGCGAGATGCACGCGGACGGCGGTCCGCCGTCGAGGCGGCGGCTCTCTGTCCTCCTCCAAGGCCAAAAGTGATTCCAAAGTAATCCCAGATCTGTTTGGTTTCACCTGTCTGCGCAAAGGCAGGCAAGGGAGAAAGCGCCCGCTCTGTCCGCTCCTCCTCGTGCGCTCGTCGACGACGGCGATGCGAGGACCTCGGGATGGAGATAGCGCTCCATACAGCCCGTCTGGATTCAGCGGCATCCCCCTGGTCAGCACAGGTGCCGCCGGGAGATGCTCGGATGAACAGCCGGCTCCCGACCGGGCTGTGGATGATCCACAGCATCGCGAAGGGCTGGGGATCTGTCCTCCTGCCGAGAACAAAGGCCCTGCTCGGTCACGGGAATCGGCCCAGTCGCCGCCACAACGCGTTGCACACAAGGTTTTGTGTCTCGTTGCAGCCAGCATCCCGCTGCCCGATCGCATCATCGAAGCCCATCTCTGATGTCGATCATCGAAGGTTGCGGGTGCGGCTGCTGGCCATCAGCGAACATGGCTGCTGTGTCTTGCCACCGCTGGCATCGGGTGCTGCAACATGGATCTCGATCAGCTTTGCAGCGGCTGGCCAGCAGCAGCAGCAGCAGAAGCAGCGCAATGCCGAGCCATCCTTGGAATCAGCGCAATGCCAAGCACCGCCATACATTCTGATGTGAATCTGCCTCCAGGAGCAGAGCAGTTCGGATTGGATGTTCGGCAAAAGTGGTACCGAGGTCAGGCCACGAATGAAACCATGTCGGGCGAAGGTGCTCATTTCGGTAGTGCCTTGCCCTTGCCCAGAGAAAACCATATCGGTTGCCAAGGGTCGCTGCGCCTCCGCCTGGCCAAGAGAAGCGCCATCAGGCCATGAGGCAGCATCAGAGCCGAATCCAATCATGCGAATCCAATCATGCGAATGCAGTGTGCCAATGTAGTGTGCCAATGTGGTGTGCCAATGTGGTGTGCCAATGTGGTGTGCTGATGCAATCGTCATCCCGCGGACCTTGGAACTCTCTGCCAAAGGTACTCCTGGAGATGCGCCGGCGACCGCATTTGATAAGCCGACATGTCACATCGCTGATGCTCACTCACCGCCTCTCCCACGACCTCCGGCTGCATTCCCCGAGAGACCGAGAGGGCAAACCATCCGGACGAGCCTCCAGCTGCCCTCGGTCCGTCATGCAGTCCTCCGTCCGGCCAAGGTCATGCCAAGGCCGGGCGTCATGGGACGGCCCTGGTGGCGGACGTGCTGGCGCCCTCAAAAGGAGCCCCGGCCCTCCGCTGTTGCTCGCCAGCATCGATCCTGCTCTTCTCTCCCATCTGCCCCGCACTTACGCTAGCTTCCTGAAAAGAAAAAAAATGACCGCCGGTCAGTACCCCTGTTCGTCCAGCTGCTCCCCTCTGCCCGCAACTGGCATGCACCGCAGCCTGATCTGCATTTCGCTTTTGTCGCCGCACTGACAGCGTCCTTCCTCACGGACACAATAGGCACCAAGTACGTCGTCATGTTCAAGCCCAGCACCAAGCCTGAGGTCGTCCAGGATGTGACCAACCAAATCATTCAGGCTGGTACGCTGAATTATTATGCTGCTGCCCGTCGTGGATTCGGCGACAGCTGCAATTCCTCTGCTCTCCCTCGGCATTGAGCCCAGCGACCGACCTCCACCTTTGTCTTCTTTTGCACGAATTGGAAATTCAGGCGGCTCCGTCAAGCCGGGCGGCAGCACCACCATCATCTGGATCTCTGCTGTCATTCCCGACAGCTTCGTCAGTAAGTCTTCGGGATGTTAATAGCTGTGTGTGTGGCCATACTCGGGACCGCAGCTCCTGTCTCCTCGGCGACTGTCAACTGCAAGCAATGCCCTCGGCCGAGCACCTCCCCCCCCCCCGAGTGTCTCACACGGAGAGACTGACACTCTGCGCACCTCATCCATTCTTTCTCGTTCCAGGCAGCCTTGGTAGCAATGCCCACATCGAGTCGATCGAGAACGATGGCCCTGTCACGACCCAGCACTCGCATTAGGAGCCACACCCTGTCAGTCCTCCCCCTCCAGTGTCTCCTCTCGGACACCGATGCCAAAATGTCGGTCGGTTCGTTGTCTGGATTCCAATCATTCCCGCTGATTCTGCCTTGTCCCCAACTGGTCACGCCCAGGCAAAGAGCGAGCTTCGGTCCGACGAAGCAGCAATGGGAGGGGAGGACGGTCCTTTGTGAAAGGCGCATCTCTTCCATTTGTACTCAATGTCCGTTGGTAATGAAATGTCAGAGACAAACGGCAATTCACCCCGTGGAGAATGCGAGCTGTGCAGGAGCCGGGGAAGATTGTTAGTTATCCCACAGGGTTTTGCTACACTGGATACACCAGCTGCGTGTGGACATCGACAGGCACTGCCTCGAAGAGATGCGCCTGGGCCATGCACTCAGCAGACAGACCGGCAGGCATATGGCCTCTGCGTTGGGCCTGCGATGCTGGACATCTGGGCCATGCGATGGTCGCCGTTCGCGCAGCCGCAAGAGCCAGAAGCTGCCTCTCGAGAGGGCGTGTGTCGCAGTTCCAGCCCGTCCGTTTTCTCGGTGCCGTTCGATTCGCCAAGCGCATCCGCCTCTGCCCGGATCGGTTTCGCTCTCTATCGGCGACGGCCATCCCTCCAGCCGACCCCGAGCGAGCCTGCCTCTCTCTCCCCTCCTTCGGCACTCTTATCATCCTCGACCGACTCCATCGAGGCTCGTCGAGTCACGCCGCTCCTGACCGACCACCCTGTCCGGATACCATGATCATCGAAATGCAGGACTGGAGGTGAGCCCCCAAGAGGGCTGCTGTCGACATCCTTGCTCTCGGCTCTCTCGTTGCTGTCGGCTGCCTGGAGCCACCGAGGGCCACCGTCCGACCCAGCCCAACTCAACAAACCCACCCTTTGCTTTCTGGCTGTGGCCACGGCGACTTGCTCGCTTGTCTCGGACAAGATATGAAATGCGACGGGAGATTCAAGAGATCGTCCCGGGCTTGTTTCTTGGACCATACTCGTGCTCAAAGAACCTCCAGGATCTGCAATCCAAAGGTATCACCCACATGGTGATGATCCGAGATACCACCGAGCAGCACATTATGAAGCCACTGTTCCCAAATCTCTTTCAGTATCATATCGTGTAGGTGAATCTTCATCGGACACTGTGCTCGCGGGAGGGGAAAAAGGGCACCAGCACCACACAGGAGCCGGTGCGAAGAGCTATTGCAGAGAACCCTTGCCTAACGGCTAGCAGCGGGTCGATCTGCTGGCCGCTCTGCGGTGGCATTGACTTGCGCTCAGCCACCAGCAGCCGTGCTTGGGATGCCCATCGCATCGTGTGGATGCCATCGCAACTTGGGAATGCCATCGCATTCTCGCTGGGCTGCTTCTTCTTGGATCCCGGTTGGCCCCGCTTGTTGGTCGCTTACTCAATTGATTATTACCCATCGCTTGCGTACTTGCGGAACACCTCCATCAACTTTATCGACGGCTGCACTCCCAACCTTCGCAGCGAGGCCTCCGACTCGCCGATGCAGAACCTGATCCCGTACTTTCCGAAAACCAACGAGTACATCCGAAGCGTCCTCGCCCACGGCGGCCGGGTGTTTGTGTATTGCAACAGCGGCATATCTCGGTCGCCGACCTTTGTCGTGGCCTATATGATGGAGTCCTTCAAGATGGCCTTTCAGGTCGCAATCAACTACGTGCAGTCGAAACGGTTCTGTATGAATCCCAACGAAACCTTCAAGCTGCAGCTGCGGGTAACTATCGTCCTCGAGATCGACCGCGGCCGCCGACCCTTCGTTTGCAGTGATCGAATGAACGACCAGATCGGCCATGCAAGGGCCGGGCAGCGCAAAGCAGTACTTGGTCTCCTTGGAGCCCTCCATCAACTTCTCAACAGCTGCCCCTGTCTTGCTCTTCACACTTCATAGGAATACGAGCCTATCTTCCATGCGCGCGAAGCTATAGAGCAAATGCAATACACCCCCGAACAGGTGCTGCTTCAGGGCCAACGAAGGCGGCCAATCGATGAGGACGAGGTACGATAGTCTATCAGCACCGCTCAAGCTGCCTCAGTTGATGATGGCCCATCTAGATCGACCAGAAAAACTCGGGCCGCCCCTCCCCTTGATTCACGTTCGCCCTACATCTTGCTCAATGCACCTGGTACTAACGCAGATTGCATCCGCTCGCGGACTCAGGACGAAATGGAGTGATATCGATAAAACGCCATTCCGGCGCATCACGAGATTATTTGGTCGCTGCTGGTGCCCAGCGCATCCCAGTAATCCTTCACTAAGGCTTTTGGACAATTGCTCGATCCGCTTGCGGACTCACAATCGGAATCGGTCCAGCTCCAAGTGCTCCTGCTGTACATCGAGTCAACAACCCAACTCAATAACCAAACACACCACCTCACCGACACCCCGACGACCATCTTTTCCCGCGAGCCCCTTGCCAACCGTCCTGGTCAAGGATCATGTCCTGCGGCTCCAATAGCCACGAGGCTACTGTGCCCTTGCATCCGCCTTTCACAGATCTGTTGCGCTCGCACGCAATACGATACCTGGGTCAGAGCCACCAGCGGCTATTGTTCTGATCCTGAATACACACGTCCTTCGCAAGTTTGTCCAGAACGCTCGCGTCTCGTGCATATCTGTCTGTCCGTTTGCGGCTGTCGCGGACGGCCTGATAGCTCCAAGCGCATCTTTGACGACAGTGTATCAGATGGTTTATTCCTGTATGTGAAGCCATCGGCCATGGGTAAAATGATTCGGTCGAATTGTCGCGACTGTCACTGCCGGTACTGCCACTGCCGTTGCCGCTGCTGAACTCGCCGGCTGGCGCAGACGATCCCACACCAAGCTTTGGCGATGGAGGCGGGCGAGAATGCAAGGCCCGCCTCCTCTCCAACAGAGACGCATATCCGACCTCCTCGGCAAGTGCGAGCGAGAAGGCCTCTGGCCCTGGGCGCGCCGCCATATCAAGATTTGCAACGGCTCGGCCAGCGGCTCGGCCAGCGGCTCTCTTGCTGCACTTTGCCTCGAGCGAACGTTGCATCAACCTGCACCCCCAACCCCATCGACTGCATCGACGCGTTTGCCTCCCGCTCACTATCGTCGCCATGACTGTTATGGCATCGCAAAACATATTCTCGGTTTCGTCATCGTCAGTGACTCTCGATCGCCCCAATGCGCCGTACATTGACTACTTCAAAAAGCAGATGCGCAATCTCTTTGAAGTCTGGCACATCATCGAAATCAACATGCCTCTTCTCAAGATCCTGTGTGGCGTTCATATTGTATGCACGCCGGATCGTGGGTCCTGCTGCGTTCGCACCCGTCGGTCTCCCGGGCTCTGTTGGCATCCGGCTTGATGTCTCCAAGGCAGAAAGCTCGACCAGAGCCATATTCCTTTGGCCCCGCTGTCCAAGCACCGGGATTGCTTGACGCGTATGTTTCTCACCCCGCCCATCGCCGGGGCTCCTCTGTCGGTTTGGACTGAACCCGCCTCGTTTCGTTGCCGCAGATCGTTGGTATCGTTTTTGCCGCCATACAAAGCTTCCCAACTTATCTTTACCAGGAGTATGGGCCGATAGGCGTCATCTATCCAAACACATGGGTTTACATTCTACAGATCCTGGCAAATCTGGTAGGCTGGTGTCCAGTCCGATAGAGGGCAGACTCACTGGAGCCTATGCTATTCCCTCACCGCGTCTCTTCCCGGTCTGCCTCGCTGGTTGAACTCCAGTTGGTGCTATTTACAGTCCACCACGACTCTTTCAAGTTCGCCAAGATCACAAAAGTTGTCTATGCGAGGCTTTTACTCAGTGTCAGTTGCCGATCGCATCAGCACAGCACGGCCGTAATTTCGGTAGAACACGACCCATCCGTGCGAGCCACACTCAGTAACCATTCATTTATGCGACAGTGTGTTATCATATCGATCATCACGGGCATGGTCATGGCCATATACTACATGATCTACGTAAACTCTATATTCAGTGCAGACATTCTGTGTCGCGAAAGTAAGCTTCTGTATTGCTGGTGGCACTCCTTTGCCGAGAGCAGGCCCTGAGCATCTCTTCCCAAACAGCGACCGTATGCAACTGCCCGAACACACCGAGCTGTGTCTGGAACGGCAGCGGAAACGTCGGAAACTACACCGAATGCGCCAGCCAAATTGCAAAGGTTCAGCAAATCACCTCCGACATCAGCCCAAATATCGGGTTCGCCCTGTTCTTTCTTGCATTCCAGGTACATCGTGGCGAGGAGCAGCAACCCCCTTTGGATGCATGCCGTCTTTGGTGTGGGATACTCTTACGGCGCACCACGACTCACACTGACATCCTTCACCCTCGCTTGGGCAGCTGTGCGTGGTTCACTTGATTGTGGCCCAGCAGATTCATTTGATGGATTCCGGAACGGCCTGGGATCATGAAGAAAAGGACAAAGACAGATCGAAATATGATGTGTCCAAGGCATCCAATTGAACACACGGAATCTGACGCATTTTTGCCGATCGCCCGTGCGAGCCCCGTTCGCCAAGCACCACCGCATCCATATCCATATCCATATCCATATCCATATCCATATCCATATCCATATCCATATCCATATCCATATCCATATCCATATCCATATCCAACAGCCTTTTTGCTTGAGGCACTGCGGTGTTGTCGGGGCCGCTCTTGCTCATTCTTGTGTTGTGAACATGATCTACAAAAGCCACTCTATGGACGGGCATGTCGTTTGTGTGGAGGGCGGTGGGTGCCCTGCCGTCCAATCAGGCAATCGGGCAGCATTTCGGTTTGTGCAGGCGGGATTGGCCCGAGCCACGCCAAGGGTGCCCTTGCCTTGCGGAATCCATCCCTTGCTTGTTGCAAACTATCGTCCCGGCTGTCAGTCCGTCATATTGCTTCGCTATATCGAAACGTCGCCGTGGCTGCAAATGTCGGATCTTGATAAAGAACTCGAAGCCCGTCTCCAAAGGCTCAAGAACAACAGCATTGGAACTGCCGGCTTTCCGACGTCCGTGTCCGCCCCTCTGAAAACGCCCGCTATCCAACCCCCCCCCCATAAGCAACACGGCAGAGTCCGTCCTGCCCGGAAATCGTTGCAAGCATCGCTCACAGCACCAAAGCACTCCGAGAAACATTACTAATCGGCTTGCAACTAATCTCACCCAACATACACAGCGATGATGAGCTCACAGACCGGCTGCGAAAGCTCACGGGGCATGATCCGATTGCTCTGGCTCCTGGATTACCCAAGACCTCTGCGGAAACCCCGCAAGTTGATCCGCTTTCGGACCTGCTGGGTGAGAGCGAAGCACTGGAGCGGGATCTCGAGCAACTCACCGTTCCAAGGTAGGCGGCATTTCGACGAAGGGCATCCGGCTCAACAGTCTTTCGCGGCTGGATGGGACTCGGTGCGATACTTGAGGAGCTGTTGGCCGAGTCGAGGGAAGAAATGGCATTGAAGGAATCATCAAGGTCGAGAGATGCACCACTTGCCCATTCCAGCGCCACCAATCGCTCATATCTGGCTGCCACTTGCTTCTGTTCAGATGCCCCGTCCCTGGCGACGTTGCCGAAGCGGTTCCACACTATGTTGACTTTACCTCGCTTGTCCTAACGTCTCCCGTTGGAACGATCATGCCAACGCCGCCTGTGGACAAGACGAGAGCAATGGCATCGGATGAGGTCTCAGATCTTATCCGTCAGTTCCAGAAAGAAGTGGAGCTGGAGCGCAAGTATGGGCCGCTCCAGGGTGGCGGACTGGGCACGGCCCGCGATGACGGGAATGGAGGCGACGACGAGTTCCAGAAAATGGCCGAAGATCGACTCCGAAGTCTCAAAGAATTCACGCTGGATAAGAGTCCGGAGCCAGACGCATCAGTAGACACCGCCGGAAAAGACCGTCCTGCAGTCGCCTCTGCCGGCCACGAGAGTCCAAGGGTCCAGCTCCGAACCCGCAAGAACGAGCTACAGGCACTCGGCGCTCCTCCCAAGCCCCCATCGCTTTCAGAGTTCAAGGCCCAGGACGAAACCGAAAGTCGCCCGTGGTGCTGTGAGTAGTCGACAACCGAGGCTTAGTCCGATTGCCAGGACATCGAGATATCTCGTTTGTGAGCTGGAATGCTGTGACTGCAAAGGTTCGTTGCCATAAAAGTCGTGGCTGCTTATTCTCTTTTTCGACTGATGGGATACGGGACTCCTGTTGGGTATTTAGGCATCTGCAACCAAGACGCCACCTTGATATGCGAAAGCTGCGACGACGACTACTACTGCAGCAAATGCTGGAAGCAGGGCCATTACGAAACAACAGGGCTGGATCCTGAGCTCCGGTTCCATATCCCAAAGAAGCTCGCCAAGTAGCAACGACACAGGCTCGAGCATAGTAAGGTGATGCAAGTGTGCGTCGCCAGCTGACCGGAATGCTATGGAGGGGTTGCTTCGAGGCGCTGTCGCTGGCATCGAACCGAGGCATTCCAAGTACCTGGTCGAGCTAAGAGCTACAGTGTATCAGCTTCCGAGACCATATATCCCTTATCATCAAAAGATATCGCTCGTTTTCGAAGGTGTAGCGGCGCGCAGCCTCTCCGGTTCGCTGCTGGGATGCGTGAATGGAAGTGCGTTGCGGCCAAGGCATGGCGCTGTTTCGATCCGGATGCATGGTGCTGTTTCGATCCGGATGCATGGTGCTGTTTCGATCCGGATGCATGACATACCGGATACATAACGCTGGTATACATCGGCTGGCAGCAGCACAGCACTCGCATTCATATCAGTGATTTTGTCGGTGATCGTGAAGAAGGCAATGCCCTTATGTATTAGAGTATCGGAGTAGCATAGTAGAGGGGATAGCCGTTGGCGCGGACTCGATTCGAGTGACTTTGATCCCAGCAGGTTGTATGCTAGCATCGATTGTGCGGTAGAGCCAGACCAGTGTTCCGGCATCACTTGTCAATTCCAAGATATACATTCCTCCGTTTACCGTATATACCATGGTCCTCGGTCGGATACGATGATATCGGCGCCAGGAGGTTCATATTCGACGCCTGTGATCCCTGGATGCCCAGGAGATTTCCACTCCGTGTGTGGCTGTCTCGGCCCTGGAACAAATGCGCAGAGCCGGCATCGCGATGCTTTGCGGACGCCCCTGCTGTGGAAGACCGCGAGCCATGTCTGCTCAGGCTGGATGAAGTAGCGAGACCCCGAGCATCCAGGACAGACGCAGATGGATTGTTTCCCAGCACATTGATGCTCTGGCGAGACAACTGCCCCAATCCCATGGTGCTGTGCGGCACCACCAGTTGGTCATACAAGCCGGGCTGAAACCGCTCCGATATTGACCGGAGTTCGTCCAGCTGGGCTTTCATATTGGGGGCATTCAGGATGATGAGCTCGCGCGCCAGCTGGGATGTCTCGGTGATAACCTCTGGTATCAGCTTGAGCATATGATCGGTGTGGTTCATCAGCATGCTCTGTTCCTTCTGCAGAGCCTCGATGTCAAGACGAAGCTCGAAGCACTCTCGTGTCTTTGACAGGATTTCGTGCTCTAGATTTCGCTCGATCGATTCAATCTTCTCTACTTCGGGTGCCATGATCCCTGGAGGTATGTAGTGATCAGGAATAGCCTGCTTCCGCGAGACCGCCACCGCTGTCACAAACGTTACTGCCGAGGGCGATCGACGCATGGAGACAACGCTCTGAGAGCGAGACGGCATAGAAACTACACTTTGAGACCGAGACGGTACCGCAACGACGCTCTGGGAGCGAGACTGCTGCCATCGAATGTCATCAAGGTCCGCTTGTTGATCTTCCTCGGACGGTTGACTTTTATCGAGGTCGGGGGCTCGGTCTACGTTTATGACCGGCACATCCATCGCAGTGTCGGCTTGTGTGACTTCCTGAGCGAGAGCAATGCTACTCCGGTACCATCGGTTGGTCTCGAGGTTGGTCTCGAGGTTGGTCTCGAGGTTGGTCTCGAGGTTGGTCGCATCAAGGCCTGGCTTCTCTGTTTGTGGAAGTGTGCTCGCATTCGACTGGATAACAGCCACTGGGTCAGGCTCGGACACGCCGGCCTCGGTTCCAGTACTCTCCATAGCCGGGATGGCAACTCCAGGAAGTAGGAAGCTAGGACGGCCGTCTCGACCCATGGATTCAGGTACATTTGCTTGGGCAGCACGTTCATTGGCGTTTTCAATTACCCCCGTTGAGAAAGAGCGTTCGCATCCAATGTCTCGTTCTTCAAATGGTGTGTTTTCAAGCCCTGCACGCACTGTTTGCATCGTGGGATCTCCATTTGCTGCCGCTGGTTCGACTTGGCTCCAAGCGTGCTGCTGCTCCGGCCCCGACACTGCAGATGAGCCGGGATCACCGCCATCCTCGCTCAGAGTCGCCTGGGTTACTTTTGGATCCTCCAGGAGCCTAATAATCAGCTCCGGCTTCAGATTCAGGTCCGTCTCCGGCCCATCCGATAGACTTGTGGTGGAGGCATCGGCTGCCAATTTCTTGTGTGATGGCGCAAAGAGCTTCTTGTCGAGCTCTTTCTCGAGATCCTGACTCCATTCAAGCCCAGATATATGAGCAACAACCCCGATTTCTTGAGTCTCGATCGTAGGATCGCCTACCAATGCTGCGCTGCCAACAAAGCTGATATTGGATGGAGACTTGGACGACAGCCCGAGCCGCGACCTGCTGACCCTGCTGGGATGCGACAAGGGAGGCTTAAGCTCGCTTCGAGATGCACTGTGCAAGCCCCTGGGGTCATAGGTCGTCTGCGACGGGCTCCTTGGACGCTTGGCATCTGATAACCGAGGCAGAATGCGGTCTGTCGAACTCGAGACTATTTCATCGGTACTTTCAACCTGGAGAGAAGCGGAGCCGATATCTTGGGCGACCGAGCGCGAGACCGAGGCATTTCCTGGATGGAGGCCTCCAAGAGTCGGCAGATTGACCCGAGAGCTACTTGCCGATGAATTTGCCTTGGAGCTCTGCTTCAAAGATCGATTCATGTTTGGTAGAGCAGGTCGGGCAATCGCTCGGCAGCACCACAGCTCATTTAGCTTGGAGATGGAATTGTCGGTGTCCGAGTGCCTCCCAATCATGGATGCATATGTCGCTTGGGAGCATATGTCCTCTGAGTACAGCATAGCGACGACGATCGCAAGTAAAGCTATATTTCCTTGAAGTTTGCTTCAGCAGCTCGGTCGTGAGAGCTCGACAGCCGTCCGTTCTTTGTTGAAACAAGCTGCCCATATTCAACTGAAGCCTTGGTTCTTCATCGAGCCTGTCCTCGGCAGAGCGGGTGCAACGCAACAAGCTCCACAGCAAGCTGTGCCGACTATGGCTGAGGATAACGACCCACATCCTTATCAGAATGATCATATGGATCACACATTACAGGCCCAGGACTCTCTCAACGATGTTTCCGAAGACGGCACCGGCGCAACCGACCTGGGCGATGATGGTGTTCTAATCCAGCCTTGGAGAGTCGTCAAAAAGACCATCCAAGCAGCGGTATCAAGAGCACCAAAGTCATTAGTTGGTGGCTCAGCCGAGCCGACGATCCTACCGATTACCATTCCACACGGATTCCAACAGATTCGGGCGCTACAGCACTCCCGGCCAACTCTCAAATCCACAATCTACATTCCCTCACCGACGGTGGACTCGTTTGCGACTCTGGATTCCCACAATGCCCACTTTTGGCGAGGTCCAAACAGGATCAAGCACGTTGCGACGGGCGGCGAAAAGGGTGCCGGGAGCACGAGCTGCGCCGGTATCAACCGATGGATATATGTGAAAAAATGGAAAATGATCATCGCCGCAACAGTACACCTTGAAATCAAGGTAAATCCGCTCTGCAGTTTCGTGCGTAGGAGCACCTAGATGTGGATCTGGAAGCCTCGCGAGTGTGGATATTCACCCAAGCAATGCTGTGGCGCCGAATAGATTCTGGACATTCGCTTCGAATTACTCACCTCAGCATCCAGCGTCAAGCCCGTGCTCAGGCAAGTTGCTTGGTGCCGCACTCTGATCACATTTCGCAACCGGGGGGGGGGCACTCTCTGCCCTGAGACTAAAGTGTCGCTGCCCAGAGCCAAGACATGTACTCAATTGCTGTCGCTTTGTAGCCTCGAGTTCAACGAGGAGAGCGAAGAGTTGATTGTCGCCGGGGTCGGAAACATTCGAGTAAGTATCGGGAAGCAAGAAGCTAGCTTCGAAGCGGAATTGGAATATACGAGGGCAGGACTTGCGGTAGTTTGTGATCGCATTCATCCCAACTCCCATGGCCCATCCTTCATCGGTTGAAACCAAGATATGGACCTTTGTGAAGAACGCAGAGACGTAGGTTAAATCTGCCTTGGCTTTCCAAGCCTGCTGATGCACCAGCATTTCTTATGAACGAACTGCTGAGCTGCCGGCCATCTCCCAGGAATCGACTGCTCTACCTCTTCAATAGCACTCGAATTGTCATCGAGGATCTGCCACCAGAAGATTGGATCACTCAAACCCACTACCACAGACCAAGTAACCGGCTCTATGCAACTTCGGACAACAACGTATATGTGGGTAGAAAGTATCGTGATCGCGCGGAACAGAAGTTGGATCAGTGACTGGAACTACGGTCATATGCGCATGGTGTAGTGAATGTGCACTTTTGCTTGGTGCGATGCAGGTTGATGTCCAGTAAGACGGAGCTGCAGCCAGGAATGCAACCTTATAGGGACGATAAAACATCCGCGCATTGTCGTCGCCCTCTTTATAGAGCCACAGTCCATGATCATGCAGTGCGTATGACACGTTACTCACAGAGATGATCGACGTATAGATTTATGACTATGAAACAGGAGGTCTACTCGACAAGATGCGGTCGATACATGAGCTGTCGATCACATCTATGGTTTTCCACGACGTCATGGAGTGCATGATAACGGCATCAAAAGATGCCTCCAGTGAGTTGGCTGTGCTCGGAACGGCGTAAGCAGCATCCATAGACTTTTTCTGACAGCGGTTCATCCGTTCTTTTGCAATGGTCATATGTTTTCGACTCAGTCAAAGTGTGGAACAACCAAAATTGCTTGATTCAAGAGCTCCGGGGACATTCAGGAGGAGTCACCGGACTGATGGTTCCCGATCCCCTGAGCTCAAAGAACCAATTTGTGGTCTCCTGTGCCACCGACAACACAATCCGTCTGTGGAATCTCGAAACAGCGATCTGCATTTACAGGCAAGGACCGATTCGCTTCAAGGGCAAGTCTCCTTGCAACAGCTCTGGCCGTCGTGCTGACCAAGTTCTTGTATATGTCGCCGCCTACACAATTACAGGATCCAACTAACCGAGCCGTGTCTTGGCATATGCTGGATGAAGCGAGATACGTTCTATCACTGGACCAAGGACAGTGTCACGATCTGGAATCTGAACAGAAGCTACTGCACCTTTACTTTTTTACGGTAGGGCAAGTTCCGATATCTGGCGAGCTTTGAGGGAGGAGACGGACGACTGGTCCGTTGAATCGGTATCTCAGGGGCAACGAGGCATTGTGGGCCCTTGATCTTGTACCGCCGACCACTTCAAGCCTATGCTTGGAATCTATTGCCTCTTGAGCCTGTGAATCATGGAAATGGCGCAATCGAAAGGAGATCTCGACCGGCACATTTCGGTTGCCTCGGTGCGTCTTCGTGTCTCTAAAATCCCATGACACTATGCAGATCTACGATAAACTCTATCCACCGAATAGATGCTGCTGGACAGCCAGGCCGCATCGTATCCCTCAGCGACGATGGCTCGATAAGACTGATTTCTCCAGTAACAGGATTTGTCTTGCTTACGGGGCTTCCGATTATGCAAGATACACAAACGATCAGCATAGTCTATGATATGGCAAAAGGCGGGCAATCAGAACATGCATATTTCTGGCAAGCTGCGCTGCTGCACCGGTATGATGTGCAGGCATCCCAGGCTCTAACATTGAACACCGTGAATGGACCCATACCCGTAGACCTCATCTGGGCCTTGACCAGGCGGGGCGAAGTATCGGTATATAGCACCGCATCGAATCCATTTCGGATTATTGAGGACTGGAAAATGCAAGGTAAGATACAGTGATCCATCCGAGTTCCGCCAATAGTATTCGACTAACATTCGTTGTACCAACTTACGAAATCCTAAGTCGGAAGGGAGAGACTCAAGTGCATCACGCCACTGGCTCATCCAACAGAAAAGGATGGCATGTCTGGGCTGGAGACTGTCGCCGTGCTGGGTGGGACAGACAGCGGGCAAATTGTGATGTGCAGCATCCAGGCCGGTGGAAAACAGCACCCTTTAATTCAGGCAAGCTCTGCATATGCATTCGGCAAACACAACTCCAAGGGCAGAGTGCATAACCAAGCATCGTTTGCCGAATTTGCAATACTTAGGCACACTTGTCGCCAACTACGTCGCTTATCATGGACCCTGTCCGCTCCAGAATGTTCAGTGGCGGGAAGGGTATGTATGCGCAAAGTACTACGACCCAAAGCCAATATCACTGGTCTCACGCCTAATTATCCACGGCTCGCTACAACCAAAATTCAACGGCACTTTTGCTCCTGTGGATACCACAGATCAAATGATCAAGCTATGGTCGATTGACTCGAGCAACTTTTCTGCAGCCCAAGCACAGTCGATGGATATTTCAGGCACACATGCCGGATCCGGTCTCGCGGTGGAGCTTGTGGCCTCCGTACAGATGCCAAACGGGTCTCCGTGCCACCTATGCTACAACCCTCGCCATGGCACGCTGTGTGCTGCAAGCGATATCAAAGGCATCTTCTTTTTCAGAGTAGAGGACACATTTGTTGGTAAGCACGACAGGTGCTGCGTTTTCGGCTTCGCTATATTCAAGCAGCAATCTGCCTCATTTTCTGCGACAGAATCCCGACGACACAGCCAAGACGAAGATCACATAAAGGAAATCACGGATTTGTCATGTCACAGCGGACTCAATCTCTTCGCAACCTCCTCGCTTGATGGAATGGTCAAGATCTGGGATGGCTGCGAATCATCCTTGCTGAGAGAGATCCAGTTCGGCGAGCCGATCTACAGCGTTTGCTTTTGCAACCAGCGCGGAGATCTCTTGGTAGGCATGTCGGACCAAATCGCCCTGATCAGAATCCAAGACTATTTGCCTCTGCAGGTCCTCAAATCCCTGCTTGAGGCTGGCGAATGGATCGATGACATCATTGAGGCACCCACGAAATTCGACTCCAACTTGGATTTTTGGTCTTTGTATCGCGATGAGCTGGAGAAGAAAGGGGAAGAGATCCAGTGGCATGTCGAGCGAAAGTAGGTATTATGGGTCCTGCTGCGAGCCCGGTTTGGCTTCTTGGTCGGTTGACATGCACCACACCCCGACCAGTCGCACAACGATTCGACCCGAGCTGCAGCTCGAGCCAACCCCCGAAAAGGCTAAGATGGTCAGTACCGTTGCAAGACCGTTTCCAGACCGCTTGATTTGATCATCTGCGCTCCCGAGCTTACAGGCATGATGCCGAACTATTGCCGCATTTTAGTATCGAACAAGACGGATATTCCTCCAGAAAGAACGCCACAACTACGAGAAGGCACGGGACTGGGAAAACACGACAATATACACCCAGGCTGCCTTCGCAGACTTTGACCCGTCTAACATTGAAGCAGTCTGGGGCCGGGGTAAGCTTCCTCTACCCAAGATACCAGGCGAGGACGACGGAGATGCCGGCGACGACGATGCACAATCGCTCGAAGACATTGATATCAGCGAGGGCCGTAAGATTCTGGACAACTATATACGATATTCCAAGCTCCCACCCGTGCGACTAGCCGATATATTTGAAGAGCTAGCGAGACCCGGCTCTCCGCCGCCAAGCTACCAAGTAAGTCCACATTGCCCCAATGTACCGCGATGTTGGGATTTGCGCAATCAGGATTATGAGCCAATGTAGGCGACGCGCACCAACGAACATGTACTCTGCTTCTCCGAGATAGATCAAGAAGAAGAAAGTTGATTCCAAGGACGATTTGCGAAACATCGAGATTGGAAAACTGCGCAGTCAGCGGTGGCTGGAAGAGCAGCAATACATGAGTAAGTTTGTCAATATCGCAGAATTGATGGAAAGGGAGTCTTTCATAATAACACGAGCACTGCCATGGCTCTGTTCCCGTCGTGTCTCCTGGTCCCACTCCAAGTGAAGAGCCTCAACTCTCTCAAGATGGAGGCTGTCGATGCCTTGCCAGGATCGGCCAAAAAGCAGTCCTGGATGCTGAAAAAGGCCCAGGGCTTACAAATGACTGCTGAGGATGTCATGAAGAGAATGCAGGAAGTACAACCACCAAAACGAGCATTTGACGATCCGCGGTACCGATCTAAACGACCAAACCTCGGCAAGCATCTGCAGCAAATGGGGATCTTGCCAAACTCGGTCGTGGCCGCATCCGCAGGGTCGGTGAAAAAGGCCCATGAGCGACAGAAGCGGGAGGCGGATGACAAGAGCAAATCGGAGGCCTTGGCACAACGACAGGCTGCGGTAAAGAACGCCAGGATCATCAAGCGCGCCCAGCTCCGGCAGCAAGCCCCTGACAGCTCGCGCCTGGAGGCTAGCTCGGATTCGGAAGAGGAGGAGCCACCGAAAGTCAAACCCAAGCCCCGTGAGGCAGCAATTCTGGTGGAGAAGCCTGCTCCTATCAAAGCTGCGACGCCCCCCAAGCCCCCAGCTCTTGTTATCGAAAAAACAGAGCCCGTGCAAGCCGATGTTACCATCCTCCCGATCACGGAGTCTCAGCAACGTCATGCTCCAGAGAAATCTGAAGTCGAAACATTCGAGCTATCCACGGCCCCAGAAACACCCGAGCCCACAGACATATTCATCACGGAGGCGCTGCCAGTGGAGAGTGTCGCATCGACTCCAATAGCCCCCGAATACTTGGGCACCAGCGAGCTGAGGGAGAAAACAGGAAATGTCATCCATCCAGTTTTGCACAAAAGGAAAGTCGAGTCCCCAAAGACAAACCAGGAACCCAAGGCAACGGGCAGACGACCATTGGTATATGGGACCACGGCGGCCGCTCAGGCCATTCCTACCCTGAATATCCCTGAGATCAGGACCGAGGAAGACTCTGATTCCTGGAGCGGTACCGACTCAGAGGGCAGTGAGCGCGACTCTGATGGAGAGATATTTAGCTTGCCACTGCGACCCATCAAACCGACGGAGGCACAAAAAATCGCATCCAAGTTTTCCTGGGACTTATTCTATAAAGCCTCTGGGAAGCCAGGAGCATCATCGACACCTAAAGGCAGCTCTCTGAACATTCGTGCTCCACGTGAACCCTACAATCGTCGACGGTTGGCAGTCGAGCTGTCCACCAACAAACTCAACTCATCCAAGATATCGCTTGTCCAACCCGAGCCGCAGCTCACCGAGCTTCAAACTATCTCCAAATACCACTGGTTCCCAGGACTAGATGTGAGTTCCAGAGTTTCGCTTGATGAGACTGTGCGCTTGGGCCCCTAAGGCGCAGGCTTTCTCAGATGAGGGGACTAGTTGACAGAACAGTTGATGAGAAATACCCGAGCCCCACAGTCTGTCTCATCCCATGGGATCTTCTTCGGCCATGCTTGACAGGACAAGCCGCTGACACTGATGAACATCATCGAGGTGCTATTCAAAGTTTTGAAGACGGGATATTGGCGAGAAAAGTGCGAAGCATCCAAAGCACTTTTATATCTCTACCGGACCTTCCAGAAGGACATACTCGATCCTCTCAACAGCCTCATCATCCCCCAGCTGGAGTTCACCGACGACGAAAACTGGCAAGTGCGCGCCGCAGTCACATCAAACGTCATCCAGTACCAAATTTACAATTTGGATATCATCGCTACCCTTATATGTCGGCTAAATGACAAGAGCGATGTTGTCAGGTACATGCTGGGGACGGAAAATGATTCGTCTGTAATCCATCTCCCTAATTGTGACAACGACTGTACAGTAGTCCACTGGCTACTGAAGGACTTGTGATTGGACACGGAGCCGCAGACGCCCCAACTTTCAATCACAGGCCTCTTGCACGGACACCCGGGAGCGATCACTGATCTGGACCTGTCTCCACACCATGCTGCTCAGAAAAATTGCTCAGCAAGGCCTGGAGTCCTTTGGAATCGACTCCAAAGAATCCCTGATGAACATGATGCGACAACTGAACATGTTGCGGCCCATAGCCAAAAACCGGGAGCCGGACTGGTTGGAGGTAAGTGGCACCCACTGTAGCTTGAGTTGCAGACACTGAATCGACCACCGACAGCATTCCGATCATACGCTCAACTCTCCCATAGATCCTTCTCGAGCGCCTCGATGCTCAGTACTACTGCCATGTCGAAGAATCCAAGGTTGAGACACGGGGTTGGGTGAGGCGAGTGAGCAACAGCAATACGATGGTGATTACCGATGCTGAGCGGCCCGCTTCGGTTGTGGCCACGCTCGTCTTCGACTCGATCCCAACATCTCGATCAAGAAACAATTCGGCATCTCGCCACGACTAGTTGCGCAGACTCTACAGCGTAAGCACCGAAAGAGATCAGCAAATACACCGAGCAGCCAGATTCAAAAAAAAAGGAGCCATTGTACTTTCTGGACGGTGCGGAGGTTATTGGGACGGGTGCTGTGTCGAAAGTAACCATGCGTCCTATGCATCATCGACCCGGATGCAACTGGTGCTGGACCAGGTGGCGGTTGTCTCTCGCCGAGAACCATCCTCGCCGCCACGTCCTCGGCGAGAGGACAAATCGCTCTTGGTGCCGGCTTGTGTCCATCCTGCTTGTCCCCAAACTCATCCACTATCACCATCACCATCACCATCACCGCCGCAATGGGACCTCGGTCGATTCTAAGCAGGCCCCTGGACCTGGTCATCTGGATCTATCTGCTCTCCCACATTGCCCCAACCTTCCTGATCGATACGCAGGCTTTCTTGCCTGCCAACAGCACATCCGATGCCCTGCGCGGGTTCTTGAAGGCCGCCTGGCTCGATAGCTCGGGAGACCCATTCGTTGGCTCCCTGTTCGATGGAAATGGGGCGAAATGGTTCGAGGCAATCATGCTGAATGAGTTTTTCATAGAGACTCCGTTGATGTTTTACTGCATTTGGGCCCTTTGGAAAGGTATGCCGAGCTGATGCAGTTACGGCCTGTGGCCTCCTCGACCGACTGTGGTGGATCTCGCCCGATCGATAATAACTCGGATATGCGGCACTATCTCCTCGCCGCATCGCTGGCTCTGCTCCGTCGCCCGTCTCTCGAAACTTCGAGTAAATGCCGAGGTTGAAAATCTTTCAGCAGTTATGCAGACGACTGATGTGCTTTCGTCAATCGCCCCCTAGATTCCCCATCGCTCAAGATCCCCGGAACGATCTATGCCACCCAATGCATCACAACCACATTCATGATCCTGTTTTCTCTCTTTACCGAGGACTACGATTTGACGTCCTCACAGTTCCTGACTCTGGCGTCGGTCTACGGCATTTACATATTCTTTCCCATCCTCATCCTCTACCGCTGCACGATTGGGTGGCCTGAAGCAGCGTCCCCCCGAGCGTCTTCTGATAAGTAGATGCCAGTCCGCCGACCAACTCACTGTGCAGTCGCCCGTCACAACCCCAAAATATATCCTCACGCTCAGAATGCAGTGCATCCCGACCGAAGTGTCGATGGACCGGCTTCGTCTGTGCTGGGGTTTACAGCAAGCCTTTTTGAAACGGGACGGGTGCATATGGTATGATCCGACTACGCCGTGTTGCCGAATGAGACAATGTCCCCTTTTTTTCTTCAACCCGCTGTGCTCTGCGTATGATGGAACAGGTTCCACTTGTGGGCGAGCCGACTCAGTCGACTCTGGGTATACTTTCGGTCGTGCCTGGACGAGCGAAGATAGGCCGGAGTGGTCAGACGCAACCCCTCGGCAATTGGATCGACAAGATGTGGCAGCCAGACAGAAAGGATGCTTGCTCCTGCGATGGGGAAGCGCCATTGCCAGCCGTTGCTGAAACCAGCTCCACCAAAGTCAGCACCCAAACCAATATGCCGACGCTCGGATTCGAGCCATCGTACAGTCAGTTCAGAAAGAAACTGAATAGTCGTAGGCTCCAGTGGGCAAGCCATGCGATTGTTTCCCGCCCTGGTCTTGAATGCACTCGGTCGATCTCCTGTGGCGATAATCGACTGGTGTTGATGTATCGATGCGGGAGTGCGGTGCATTCACTCGATGTGGGAGTGTGGTGCATTCACTCGATGCGAGAGTGTGGTGCATCCACTTGACCCTCTGGACAGTTTCATGGTGTATCGATATCAAGATACTCAAGCACACCTGGACGTCTCTGGTAGTGGATGAACTGCTCAAAGTACTTGACGAGCCTGAGTCTCCGTGGACTGGCAGCGATGGCCACAATGGCGTCCTTGATTCGGATCCAGAATCGCATCACTGAATGACAGTGCGAAAGTCCAGGGTGTGGCGAACGGCCATACCCGGCGCACGATATTTTGAGGCAGCAAACTGTGTTCAGCGATCAAAATCCGGAGTGGCCCGTTTTTTTATTGGATTGGCTGTCGTGGCGACGGCCCGATCGTCAATGTTGTGCAGGCCGTGTGAAGAAATGAGGAGCAGACTTGCGCTGTATCTCGCCGCCACCCGACTCGGGCAAGAACATCCATAGCATGCCGCAACAGACCACCGGCCCCGGGGCACTCGAAGCCAGTACAAAAGCCAGAACCCGAAGCCCCAGCAGTCCATCGCAGAATCTGGGCGCCTCGCCACGATCGTCGACCCCCATACGGTTGCGCTCCGGCACAAACCCTGGTGATGCGCCGGCTTCTCTCGAGGCTTTCGGGACAGGGCTCTCTCCTCTGCGCTCGCGGCTGGGGTCGATGGACAGTATCCAAGCGGAAGGAGGCGCCTTCACCATTGTCACGCCGGACTACAGCATCTCGGACAAGCCCAGGATCAACGAGCTCGACGTTGGCGGCATTACAAGGACAAAGATAGGAATAGCAGAGGCTCCAGGCGGCCATATGCATTCGGTACCTTGTTGGATGCGGCCGAGAACCCAGCGGTGGAATTCGGGTGGCAGAAGCCGGCACCGAGCTACAGGTAGGGAACTGTCTAACAGACATCTATACTCTTCTCCAGCTCGGGACGGATAATGCCGTGGCAAGTCCGGCGCGACGGGTAAGCATATCAGCCTCTCAGAATCCGCTGGTCCGATATCCGCGACTGAATCGCATCTCTACGCATTTGTATTATCGAGTCCTCGAGCCCGTGTCTCCATGTCGATGAGAAACAGGTAATCGACTTATTCGGCTCGACCACCCACTGTTGGTGAGCGTGGCAGCGGTGTGAGCCACTGCTGCTTTTGCCAGGATAACGTCACTGGATCTTAGAGCGTCGACTCCGACTCGATCGACTCACATCATTGCAGCCGCCAGAACAGGGACTGAGGATCTTTGGGGAAAGCAAGCCGCGAAGGGTACGGTACCATCAATGAGCGTCGACCAGGCCAAGTCACACCGCAGAATCGGCGGGAGCACTGGCATTGCGGCACGGCCTCTCAGGGGAACACTAATGGACGCATGCTCTGCACTCCCAGTCTTCGATCGACACAAGCGTCTGCTCCTCGCTGGACGTCCTTCCTGACGAGGGCGGGGTGCGCCAGCATCCCGGAGAGGAATGGCGAGCAACGCCGCTGTCGAATGCGAGGAGCAGCGGAGAAATCTTTCGATCAGGGCAGTTGAGTGCCAAAAATAAGTCAGCATGGGTATCAGAAGCGAAACTGGCATGGACAAGTTCAAAGAAGCCGGTTTGTTGAATATGGAAAGCACGATGCAATGCAGCTTGGGCCGGATGTTCATGCCCTCTCCGCGATCTCGAGCCACGGTATCGAGACTAATATTGCGACAACGTGCCCAGGCAAAAGACTTTGCAGACGTCCTCAGCGTATCTCCGAAAGAGCTTGCTGTGTGTACTCGACAGTGTCGTGTGTTTCTTCGCTGTGGACAACATGTTGTGGCACACCCACTCGGTTCCGAAACTTACGCTCTATTCCTGATACCAATCCTTCGTTCTTCCCGATGAAGAAACAAATCGCGCTGATGAATGCGCAACAGTTTCGGTCCATCAAGCTATGCGAGTTTAGTTCCCTTGGATGGACAGGGCCGGAAAAAAACATCAGGGCTGCAAACATTGTGGCCATGACGCAACTATTCAATCAGGTACTGAGCACATCTGCGTTCCGGATTCGTCGCCGTGAGCAAGGGACGAGTCTTGGGAGGGCATAGGCGGAACTTACCTGCCTGATATTATCACGCCCATTCAAACTGATGCACATTGTACCTTGCCGGTCTTGCAGGTTGCCATCTGGACCGGCAATGTGATCTTGTTTTCAGAAAACGCAAAGAGGCGGCTGCATCTGCTTTGCCATTTTATAGCAGTCGCTAAGGTTAGTTGTTGCATTTGTGTCGTTGCACTTGAACGGATTGCTTCAAACTCCGGCCATGCTTTGGAGCTTCGAGAAACCGTTTCAGCAGCCTTCTATAAACCGCTTGGGAGCTAAATGTCTGGATCATCAGTCTCTATATGATGTAGGCGACTTCAACGGCGTATACAATATCATATCCGCACTCAACTCAACCCCTATCTACAGACTGCAAAGAACTTGGACGGTTGGTTGTGCCGTGATTCAGATGCGTGTGCCGAATTGATCCTGCACCAAGCTAACGCATAGCTTCCCTTGAATGAAACTGCAATCATATAAAGATGATCAGTCGGAAGGAAAGGGCCATATTCGACAAGCTTTCGGAGTTGATGTCGCCTCTCAACAACTGCGAGTCATATAGGCAGAAGCTTGCCCAAGCTAAATCCCCGTGTATTCCATATCTAGGTAACCGTTGCACCTCTGCGAAGAGTTGATAGACTGCTTCCCGGACTCATTCAAGTTTATGCTCTCAACAGGACTGTTTTTGAGTGATCTAACGTATCTCAACGAAGCTCTGAAAAAAGAACGAGCCCTCCCGGGCCGTGATAGGCAGATTCGTGAGCGAGAAGATCAAGTACGATGACCCATGTGATCTCTTCATCGAGTTCGTTGCTGGGTTGATGGTGTTGAGGAAAGCTCGACACCGCGCACGCATGAGAAACTAATTTGCGCTGGCTTCGCCCCTCCTAATCGATTGAACGCCCTACTCACTTCGTATACACTCAATCACCACCACGGCCTTGGTTAAAGATGGCAGCCATCATCAAAGATATCGAAAGGTATCAAATCCAGGCAGTATACGACTATGAAGTATCTGAGCAGTTTATCGAGGCAATGGAGACTGTGAAGTTTCAGCCCGACCAACAACAGTTCCAGGAGAACCGACAGTACCAGAGATCGTACGAAATCGAACCAAAGATGAAAGTGGGGCAAGCTTCTGAGCCCGTCAAGATTCAGCTCAAAGACGAATCGGCTCCAGGCACTCTCAGCAAGCTTCATAAGGCCCTCAGTATCGATACAATGGTGAGTCGGCCGGACGATTCTTCCGCGACGGAGAGTCCGACACCAACGGCCTCAACGCCATTGCCTGGAAACAGCTTTTCGCTGCTCCGGTCACAAATAGCCGCCGCAGCAGCAGCAAAGGCAAAACAACGACTCACTGACAAGCTCAGTCATGGGTCATCAAGTTCTGAAGGGGAAGCTATGAGCAACTGGAGAAGACTTCGGGTTCAAATAGCTGCAGCTGCGGCTCTGAAGGGGAAGCAACGGAGCAACTCCAACTTTGGCGAGGGAGATGCTGCCAAGTTCGGTCTCCACCGAAAGGCAAAAAGCACAACAACAGGAAGCCCAGAATTTCTGTCGCCAAGTATCAAATCGCCGTCTGCGTTGCCATTCTATGATTCCGATGACGACGATTCCGATAACGACGATGACGAGAACGACGATGATGGGAACGACGACTCCGACCCAGACGACGACGACAGAAAAGGGTGGATATCACGGTTCAAGCCCTCACGCGAAAATAGCGTGCAGAGCCATCGGAAAGAGCCGTCCGCATCCAAGTTCACAAAACTCACACTTCAAGTTTTCCCACAAAAGGACACGCCCCTAACCGTTGCACCTGTAGTTGGGCTGTTTTCGGAGAGCGGAAGTTGTACCGAGCTGCTCAGTGGACTCGTCAATGTCAAGTACATCAGCACTGCAGGGGGACATCGCCCCGACCACAAAAAGTGGAAGAAATTCTGGGTTGTCTTACGGGCAAGCACGCTGTCTCTCTATTCGGTTCAGAAGAAAAACAACCTCTCCAGCAAGGTGCTCGGCAAGATGCGTGGCGACAGGGGCGACAGGGGCGACAAAGTCGATCGCACCGACCCCTGTTTAGATCTCAATAATCAGAATTTAGATCATGAAAATAGAAAGACGCCATCGGCCTTTGGTATACTCCGCGAAAAATCTGGGAAATCATCAACACAGAGCCAAGAGGGCTTGCAGCGAGAGAGAACAGTCGGTACAGTCAGCCCAACAACTCCTCAGCAGTATTGTCTGAGCGCAGATAATCTATCGGCGTCGGAGGGAAGGCCTCCTGCAGTGTCGAGTGGCCTCTCGAAAGGAAGGAGGGACGCTCAGAGCTCCGAGCAACTGGGTCACATCCCACGCAAGAGGAGCCAAAATGAAGGAGCCGAGAGACTCGCCGTCGGCTCGGTCCGATCAACCGAAGTAGACGAAGGAGGGGCGTCATTTTTTGGGTCGTACTATCGAGTTCAGGTGAGTATCCAGGCCAAGAGATTGCTGCCGGGTTGAAGTGTACTGGCTTGATCTCCAGGCGCTGTGGCAATGATACCAGGATGCGGACTCATTGTTGGATGGAATCATCACATTGTCGCCCATAGTCAAACAAAATCAAGGACGTTATCGAAATCACCGAGATACACGTCGAAGTTGCCACAGATTATCTCAAGAGGAGACACGTTATGCGCATAACCACCGAAAAGGGCTCATGTGTAATGATGCAGGCTCAATCTCAGGAAGAAATGCAGAAGTGGATCAACTCGATTCACGGCGTAGCTGAATGGGTACGAGCCTTGAATCAAGTTTTGTCGGGCTGGAAACACTTAGGCAGATATAAATAACCGGCATATTCCCTCCTGTCCTTAGAAACGGTTCACCTCGCAACCTCAAACGACAAAACAGGCCAGTCAGAGAGAATAGCGCTGAGCTGCGCCACAGCATCACTGCCCTGTTGGAGCCCCTGCATTCAAGACCAAAGTTCACTTGTTTCTCTGGATTATGAATACATATCCATCCGTTCATCTATATTTGCGGAGCCCGATGGTCCTACTTTGATCGGAAGCGGGGAATCGCTATTCGTGGAGTATCAGCTGGCTACGACTGATTGGCACTTCAAATGCCTTTGCTGCCGCCAGAGAAATGGAGGCTGGAACATGCTCATCAAGATGGGTGCTTAATGCAATGAGGCGTATATACACCAATTTCGCACTGTATTGTAAATGAAGCCGGGGAATGCTGCCGAGTATGTCGGCGATATGCCGCCCGAAGCAGGATTCCGCATCAGAGCCGATCACAGTCCGACAACAACGACCATGCAACCGATAGTCCCGTTGGCCCACATGCGCAATTGGCATACAAATAGCGTAAATCTTTATCAATTGGCAAGTATCGCAATAAATCTGGAGATATTTCAAGCTGTGCCAATCAGGAGGACAATTTGGAAATGGAGATAGGGCTCTGTGGACGCACATGAATGAGGAGGACTGTCGATCCAGGAAAGAGAAATGGCCAAGAGAGAGTACTGGTGGGATATCAAGAAGGAGGGGAAGGCAGGGGTGGACTGAAATAGCCAAGTTGGGCAGAGGTTGCAGCACAAGAGCAGAGCAAGCGATTCGGATGGAGTGGAGACAATCGACTCGAGTTTGGTACTATTTTCTATATGCACTTGAGCAATATGCCGCCAATGGTGATATGGCCGAGTCGGTCTAAGGCGTCCGACTCAAGTTCGGATCTCGCAAGAGGCGTGGGTTCGAATCCCACTGTCACCAGAGGCGGAGAAGGCGAGCCCTGCGCCCGATCCCAGTTACACAGTTCATCAGCCATGATAGTATAGTGGTAGTACATTGCGTTGTGGCCGCACCGACCCTGGTTCGATTCCAGGTCATGGCATTGTCTTTTTGCTCTGCTCTGTTCTGCCGTTTCGTCTCTTCGTCCCTTCGTCTCTTCTTCTTTCGGCCTGCATTTGCATTTGCTGTTTCTTGCATCTCTTGCATCTCCTGCATCTCCTGCACGATCGGCATGATTTGTACTGCTTGAGTCTTCGCCGCCCTGCTCTCTCCACCTGCTTGCACTCCACTCACCGTCACTCCACCACAGGTCGCCAGTCCGCAATATCCCGCATCTACTCCACCAAAGCCACCAGCATTCGTCTGCCCATATCAAGTCCGCCGATATCGATACTCCGTGGCCACTTGTCCTGTGTTTCCAGCTCACCACGGTGCTCACATCGATGCCGCCGATACTTCAGGCACCATCAACTGATATTCCGCACCAATATTGTCAAAGGCCAGACCCGTCCTGCTCCTGCTCCGGCGCTGGCTAGCTGGCTCGCCAACTCTCCCACCATGGTCATCATGCCGGAAGGCCCGAGTATCCGGCTCAATGGTGGACATCTGGGCCGCAGACCAACGAGCATCCGGGAGACAGATTGGTTGCGATCCGGTGTGGGCATGCAGGCAGGGACATCCAGACATCGGACGCAGCAGTGTGGAGATTCTCAACAAGTCGACCAAGACTGAATCGGGAGTGGTGGGAGTGGGAATGGGAGTGGGAATGGGAGTGGAGCGTGAGTGGAGCGTGAGTGGAGCGTGAGTGGAGCGTGAGTGGTGTGCAAGCAGGTGGAGAGAGCAGGGCGGCCAAGGCTCAAGCAGTACAAATCATGCCGATCGTGCAGGAGATGCAGGAGATGCAAGAGATGCAAGAAACAGCAAATGCAAATGCAGGCCGAAAGAAGAAGAGACGAAGGGACGAAGAGACGAAACGGCAGAACAGAGCAGAGCAAAAAGACAATGCCATGACCTGGAATCGAACCAGGGTCGGTGCGGCCACAACGCAATGTACTACCACTATACTATCATGGCTGATGAACTGTGTAACTGGGATCGGGCGCAGGGCTCGCCTTCTCCGCCTCTGGTGACAGTGGGATTCGAACCCACGCCTCTTGCGAGATCCGAACTTGAGTCGGACGCCTTAGACCGACTCGGCCATATCACCATTGGCGGCATATTGCTCAAGTGCATATAGAAAATAGTACCAAACTCGAGTCGATTGTCTCCACTCCATCCGAATCGCTTGCTCTGCTCTTGTGCTGCAACCTCTGCCCAACTTGGCTATTTCAGTCCACCCCTGCCTTCCCCTCCTTCTTGATATCCCACCAGTACTCTCTCTTGGCCATTTCTCTTTCCTGGATCGACAGTCCTCCTCATCAAACTGTGCCCCTGTCTCACTAACGATTGTCTCAGTGACAACTACCCCTCGTTCAACGTGGCCGATTGCGGTGTCGATGGGGAATCGAATATGATTTGCTTTCATTGGTATATCCAAGTTCTGGAAAGTATATTGTCACCCCTCGGTGCGCTCCTTGAGTATCGGTTGGTTGGCTCATAATTTGACCCATCGCCCCTGCACTGCAGCAGGACTCATGTTCCGCGTTTGCGACTTGGCTCGCTCCCTATCGGTCGTCAAGCATCTCGCTGGCTGCCAATATCCGAACTGCTTCGCCACGAATAATTGCTGCAAGTGGTCCTCCGATGCACTTTGGAGTTTCCTGTATTTGACATTGATCATTCAAAAGGGCGATGGATGCGGTCAGTTCCTGCTCACTCCTTCCGGGGCTATCTATCGCCAACTCCTTGAATGGCTTTCGCGATCGCTGTGCTTCGAATCTGTGGTGCGTTGCTATTCTGATTCAGCCTACCATTGGCGTCGTTGACGACGGGGCCATTTGGTTTCTGAAGGCGCCGGCCGGAGGCGTTTGTGCACCAGCACTCGAGTGTGTTCCTTCCGATGACGCTGCCGAGAATCTTCCTCCAGCAGCCGTCGAAAACAGAGAGGACCATCCAGGCGGTACCTTCATAGCCGGTGACTTGGTGCGAGACGAACCTGAGGCCATCTTGGCAAATGTTCGGAGGGCTGATCTCATGATGTGATCGGCGACTTTTGGCAAACTGTGCTGGTTCCCTGGTCATGGTTTCCGCCGCAACAGAGGCCCAGGGTATGACAGGTTCAGTATGTGATATCCGCATTCGCTTGGCGGTGTCCAGCACGGTTCAGTGCCGTTGCAGAGAGACCCTCACCTGCAAATCGGCTGGACGAGTGGAGAGGCCGGCGGACTGGCCGGCGACGCTCGTATTCATTTTGGGCGAGCCGCTTCCGCCCCCAGGCCCAGGCCCCAAGCCCCGCTCTTCTCCTCTGCCCCCCACAGCAGACCAGGTCGCTTCATCGTCCGCCAGGGCATGATCAGACCACGACACACCACCACCATCGCCAACAGCCGCAGATCGGCCGTGCACTTTGGCCATCTCCCGAGGCAAGTTCTCTGCTGCATCGTGTCTTTCAGCATCGTTCCCTCGGTAGTTCAGATCGAGCTCTGGCGCAGCATGCCCGAGGTCTCGAGCGGCTCTCACGATCAAGGACGCCTTCGCCGTAGGTCGCTCACAGCGACGGCATCAGCAACAGCATCAGCGATAGTAGCGAGTTGATTCCAGGATGAGTTGTATTAAGCAGAGCCATGGCGTTCGCTGTACGATTCATCGGAACGAGATGGGGGCAAGGCAGAGTATCGAGTGTCGAGTGTCGAGTGGCTTTCGAGTGGCTTTCGAGTGGCTTTCGAGTGGCTTTCGCATGCAAGCCGTTTGAAGCAGAGACCAGAGGGCCCGTTGTGTCGCCGTATAGTTGGATCTGAGATCCGTGAACCAGTGCAATGTCACATGTCGTCGTCGGCATCCAGAGATGTCTCGCTTATTAGATCTATCAGCTTCACAGCGTCAAGAAACTCGCCGAGACACTTGGGAGATTGCTAATGTTTGGGGCGTCCCATGATTGTAGGGAGAAATTCAGCATGCAGGCGTCAGTAGCCATCGTCGGCGATCGGGGCTCGCATTGCATTCAGGGACCCAGCGGGCATCTGGCATACGGTCTGACGCGCAATCATCGGGCTCTCACCAGAGCAGCGGCGACGCCTGTGATTTTGGCAGCATCGAGCTTCTGGGATTGCAGCCACAGGCGTGGCAGTGACCTTGACGATGGCTTGGGTGCCGGTCGGGGTGAGTCGGCTGTTGTTGAGTGGGCCCGGGATGACGAGCCGAAGGGCTGCGGGGCCGCCTTTGCAGATCCTGATGGCGAGAAGGCCGGCTGCTGCGGATTTCGTACAGGGCCAGCTCGGCCACACTTTGAGGCTGCTCGCCAGGTCGGGCGCATCATCGGGATCGATTGGGAGGGCGGACGGCAGAGGCAGATCGGGATGCGGCGGCTCGGTCGAGACGGCGTCCCAGGCGCAAAGGACCACACCGAAAAAAAGAAAAGCCGCGAGCCCGAGTCCGACAGCGAGACGCAGGCGAGGCCGCCGGCGAGATGGGCTGCCCGACCGAAACCCAGCAGCATCCTCCGAGCCTGCCGTTCATCGGGCCTTACCCACCGGCTACACTTTGGGGCCGCTGCCCAGCTCTGCCAGCTCTGCCAGCTCTGCTCGCCTCTTGCTTCGTCTCCAGCCTTTCCACGCCGCCATGCTGGACCTCGCCAATTCGTCGGTCACCGTGATCTTCTGGGTGATCCTGGTGCTGTTCTTGGTGATATACACCATCACGCACTCGCCCTACCTCCAGCGCATCTGCTTTCCGTGCATCAGCTTCCGGCGGTTCCAGATGGACATGCTGGTTATGGGCCAGCGCTCCGACAATCCCACTGCCGATCCCGAGGCTGCCTCTGCTGTCGACGAGGACCTGCCGCGATACGGAGAAGTCACCGAGTCGGTGACGGTCATCCCCCAGGGCGGCGCCGATGCCGGTGCCCAGCATTCCGAATCAGACGTCCCAGGAACCGTTGCCTCTCCATCCGGCATCGAGATTGTGGTGTCTGCGGACCATGTCACCGAAACGAACCAACAAAGCTCACTCATTGCCTCATCTGGTCAGCCTCATCCCACGGACCCGTCCGCCACAGATGCATCCGTTGTCTCTGCAAGTTCAAGTCCAGCGCAGGCCTCCCTGCAAGCCCCTGACCATCAGGGCTCATTACAAAACGGTGTGATGATGACGGTCAATCAAAGTACCTCGAGTCTGGCTGTTCGCTGGATAGACCGGCCTGCCGATGTCCAGTCCGAAACCGCCTCCAGCCAGGCAGCCGCAGACAACCCTGCTGAGCAACTCCGAGGATCCATCATCCGCCCTTCTTCTGGTATCGGCTACTCATCGCCCAATCGATCTGCCGTTGCTCTCCGGCCCCTCGCAGCCCGGTCGTCCTATTCGAGCGACGCCGACACCAATGCTTCTGCCAATGGCGGGCCGGGTGTGGTCTCGAACCGGACCAGTATCCAAACTATGGCCTGGACCGAAGCCAGTTACGAGATGGGCTCAGTCGGCGGATCCTCGCTGGCGCCTCCTGGCGTTCAGCCTCCTTCCTACGAGGAGCTTGCCCAGCAAGAGTCGGGGTCTGAGCCGTTCCCAAGCATATCCAACACCCCATCACTCCGCCGGATCGAAGTCGGATTTGGCCCTCGCAGCCAGGTCCTCGGTCTTTCCGACTCGGCCAGAGACACACTCGTCGGACAGCACCGAGGGGCCAACAAGCGCTCCTCGGAAATTCTGAATCGACGTCTGTCGCAGATGTAACTTTGTGATTGGTGCCGATGTGGCACCGACATCGCTGTCGCCTCACTCGCTCCTCGTAGTATCCCTCTACTCAGTCGCTCCTCGTAGTATTCCTCCACCCACTCGTTCCTATCCATCCACCAGCCCCATTTTCAGTCTGATTGCATGTCCACCCGCACCCCGTCTTCATTTCCCCTGTTCCTTGTTTGCTGGTCGGCTTCCCTGTCGCCTGTCCGCATAGTAGTTTTGTTATTGCCCTGACCCACGCTTCATCTCCCCCGAGCATCGTCGCAAAGCACCTTGCAGCTGTCTTGTCGTCGTGATTAGCCCGATTCGGGCTCGTTCGCATGCATACTAGATTCAGCGATACAGTTTTTTCTCCGCCCTGCGGCTATTCCCAGAGAACCCATCCATGTTTGCCAGGACATGTTTCTGCATTGCGGTGCCGCGGACACTGGGCAGGCGGTGAACAGGTGCGTCGAGACCCGAAGGCGGATAATTTGTAGCCACCTCCTGCCTCGAGAGCACCCGTCAAGCTTGACAATGCATCCCCGACGCTGCTGCCGATGCTGTCGCCTCGGTGATGGCCCAGGACAAGTCGGTTTCCGCATGCGGTCCAGCAAAGCGACGCCTGTGCTGCTTGGCCCTGGCACGCGCACAGGTGCCGCCGCGCGTTCTGTGGCAGGTCTGCAGGCCAGCCACCACCCACCCCGTGCTTTTGCCGTGCTCTTGCCGTGCCCAAGCCAGCCCGCCCCGTCCGCACGCCGAGACGCTCTCGCCGCCGCTCTCGGCCCCCTCTCGCCCCCTCTCGCCCCCCCTCGCCCTCGCCCCGTGTCTGCCTTTCGTCGTCGTGCATCGCTTCTCCTGCTCCAGACCCGGTCCTGTCGCTCCCTGAGCCGTCCTTTGCTCCGTCGCTTCCCGCTTGTGCCCACCCGTGCTTGCCAGTATTTTTTGCCCATTGTCTGCCGCCGGCTGCCACGGCCTCCCCTGCTCCATCTCTCCGTCGTCTCCGTCGCCTCTCTACTGAAACTCGTTCCCCGCTTTCTCCTCCCGGCTCCACACTATCGCTGCCCGTCCCGTCGCTGGTCTTGCTCCCGCCGTTCCCCCATAGTGCCCTCTCCTCGTCTTTCCTCCGTTCCTTGACTCTGTTTCCCCTGCCTCCGCCATCTTCTGACTCCGCTCTTCCTCGCGATTATGATATGAACCCCTCCGAGTGCAGTTCCGATATCTACCAAGAGGACATGCCCTCCATTCCCCCCTCGGATCCGCCCGTTCATTCGTCGCTCATGGGCTCGGCCCCCCACCGCCTGGGCATTCTGCACCGAGCCTCTACAGGCTCGCTCAAGCTTCCTGCATCTAACCAATATGCTCCAGGATCTGACCCAGCCGACTCTTCGCCATCGGTGACCAGCGGACTTTTGCGACCAAAGCGCAGCGACCATGAGTCGCTCTCGCTCCCGTCCTCGCCCATTTACGAGACGTTTGTGCCTCTCACCCCGGCCGAGGAAGTGCCTCCCCTGCCGCCCGCCGAAGCTAGAGTCGAGTCGAACCCGGAGCTAAAGGCCGAGTCACCGGATGAGGAGAAAACAAAGCCGCTGCCTCCCAAGCGCAGCGGGTTCCTTCTCAGTCTGAGCGGCCGAAAGAGCAACGAAAACAACAAGTCGTCCTTCCGTCCTCGCCATAAGGTCTCCTCACCCAACCTCACTGGCCGTGGCTCGATCGATCAGGAGCAGCGCCCTCTCCCGGTGACCAAGCCTCTTTCTGCAAAGGGGCTCTCCCTCTCCGAGGACTCGGTCCATTCTGCTTTGTCTCTGTCCGTCGCCACTCCCATCTCGCCTACTGCTGGTACCAGTCCCATGACGGCTCCAGTGACGGGGCCCTCGTCGACAGCTTCGGCTTCTCTGTCAGCCCCAAAGAAGGGCTTTTTGTTTGGCACTACCAAGACCACTTCACAGCCTTCGATTTATGATCAGCAGCTCTCTCCCCCCAGCCTCACCCACTCATCCTCTTCCCACTACTCCTTCGACACCATCCATCGTCCTGGGACACCCGCATCGGTTTCAGGCAGCGTCAAGGAAACCAAAGAACTGGTCCGCGACTATGATCCCTCGACAGGCAACAAGATGATCAACCATTACATGATCATCAAAGAAATCGGCCGGGGCTCCAACGGCAAGGTCAAACTCGCCGAAGATACCCTCACCCATGAGCTTTGGGTATGTTTTGCACCTCCCCAAACACCGCAGTCCCTGATATGCTCAGAATGGAGCATACCTTGCGGTGGATTTAGCCAGGCTGTCCAGCGACAAGCGTATCACCATTTGCGTTTGCTCACCGGCGCCGTGGGCCGGAGATGTTAGCGATGCCTATGTATCCATGTTTATAACCCATACCTTGGCCACCACAATGTCGCAGGCAATCAAAATCGTGGAGAAAAATAGACCTAGAAACTTCCAGTCTCTCTACCAGAAGCAGCGTGAGAGTGAAAAGGGCGAGGCGATCAACCCTCAGCTCGAAAAAATCCGCAAGGAAATTGCGATCCTGAAGAAGTGCGACCATCCCCATGTCGTGAAGCTCAAGGAGGTCATCGACGATCCCGCTGCCGAAAAGATCTATTTGGGTAAGCGAGCGAGTGTCGCCGGCTGGCATGTACGGCGCACAAAGTCCCAGCATGCGGCCCAGCTGTGCGTTTCGCTCTGCTCAGTCAAGCGGGCACGATATACTCACCCACACTGTATCAAACGACTCTCGTTGTCTCTGCAAGTCTTGGAATATGTCGCTGGCAGCGACGTTCACTGGAGACGAGGCGATTTTGACACAGCCTCGCCAGTGCTAACCCTGGACGAGTCGCGGCGCATTTTCCGTGATGTCCTCTGCGGCGTTCAGTACCGTAAGTGGTTTTATCAGGCTCTCCAGTGTTTCCATGACGGTGGGAGAGGGGTGGCATTTGCTGTAAAAATGGTGGCGGAAACATGCAGGCTGGCTGTCCACCCTGCATTAGACCCGCGAGTGCGACTCGTCCCGTAACAAAGCCGGGTCCTCTCAGTTCACTTCCAGGGCATCGTGCATCGGGATATCAAGCCTGCCAATCTTCTGCAGACGCCAACCGGACGTATCAAGATCTCGGATTTTGGTGTCTCGGTCTTTATCCGCCCCAAGGTCGACGGTGGACTGAAGAAGAAGAAATCGACCAACACCTGGAGCTCCGAGACAAGCGAAGATGTGATGCCTTCCATGGGTGCCGAGCTTGCGAAAACACAAGGAAGCCCTGCGTTCCTGGCACCGGAGCTTTGTGCCATTGGCGAAGACTACTACGCTCTGATGAAGAGCAAATCCTTCTATGAGAAGGACCAGTCGTCGGTTGATATCGAGAGCGATCGCTCCCTGAACGGTCAAGCCTCCAATGGCAACCTGTCGTTCCACTCTGCGGCTCATGACGAAGCCAAGGCTCCAGAGCCTCCCTTGCGCTCGAAATCATCGACAGTGTCCAATGGCCAAAGTCGCGCCGGTGCTCGGGGCCTCGTATCCCAAGCCTCGATGGACTCCAAGAAGCTGCGGTCGGTATCGGCTGCCTCGCTCAACCACAAACCCTCGTTTTTTGCGGGCGATAGCCCCGAATCGGATAGCGAGATGGCCCTTCCGCCAACCCCGGCGGCGCCAATGCCTTCCACGACCCCCAGGATCATTCCTCCTGGCACGATCTATCCACCCGCATCGGGGGCATTCTATTCAGCGCCTTCGGACAAGCGTGTCTCCCCCGGTGGCGACACTGCCAACGTGGGTGGACACAAACCCCCGCCACACGACAAAAAATCCAACCCGTCCATGTCCAGCAGCGGCACTGCCAAGGCCCCCAACCCATACGATGCGAGCAGCAGTGACGTGTCCACCGAGACCCTGGATCCAGAAGAGCAACAGCTCAAGCTTGGCAAGGGTATCGATGTCTGGGCCATCGGCGTCACGCTCTATTGCCTTGTCTTTGGCAAGCTACCCTTTTTCCCCAGCTCCGGAGCACTCGCTGAGCTGTATAGCTTGATTGTGAACAAGGAGTAAGTAGTGCTAGAATCGGATGCACTCGGGTTTGGCGCAGCGAGGGTGCTGTGTGTGTGGATATCGTTGTCTTTCGTGAGCCAGCAGCACTGCGGGTATGTGAGTGGCAAGTATCTTGGTGGTGGGTGAGCAGCAAAGAGCCACTGTCTGGCGGCTCGGGGCCTGCATTGGACAGGCCAAATAGCTTTGTCTCTGACAAAATGTGGTGTACCTCCCCTTTCCACTTCCTCCTGCCTACCGCCCGCTTTACGATCGCGATTGCTTTCCTCCGCATGTGCATTGCTTCTCGCCGCAGACTCGAGTTCCCCGGTGAACACCCCGTGCCGGATGAGCTGAAGCACCTATTCCGACACATTCTCGACAAGAACCCCAACACCAGACTCACGATCGAGCAGATCAAGGTTGGGACCCTCCGCCATTTTTGTGCCCGGCGCTATAGGGGGGGGGTTGTACTTTTGCGGGCGGGGAGAAAGAGATTGTGGTTGTCCAAACAAGCACTGACTGTTGCCACGGACCGCCCGGCAATGTTTGCTTTCCTCTCCCAGCAACACCCTTGGACGACCGCGGACATGACCCAGACCGAACGCGAGCAGTGGCTCAGGGAAACAGACCCTGACTTGCAGTACGGCGAGCCCGTCACCGTTACTGAGAAGGAGGTTCTCGAAGCCGTCAACATCATGGTAGGGCTTTCCCCCGAACCAGCACAGTGAAATCGGTTGGACAGGGTGGAGCTGTGCCGGATCGTCGCTGGCATCGCGATCAAGTGCCCCACCCAGTTGTCACCAGCGCCATTACGAGCTTGTTTCTGACTCTGTGCACTGCGCTCAATCTTCGCTCGCATATAGGGCCGCATCCGCCACACCATCAAGAAGGTATCCAACACGATCGCTGCTGGTTTGTCTGGGCTGACTTCCCGAAGAGACAAGTCGGGTACGTTTATCGAGCACACCGTTGCCTGCGACACCCCCCGACTTCCAAAGGACCTTGGCCTTGGTCCAGATAGCCATACAGACCGCACTCACCCGCCATTTGCTTGCAACAGAACCCTCGCCCACTGGCTTGACCCCAGAGCAAAAATCCGAAATCAAAAGGCAAAAGCAGAAAGCCAAGATGGAGGAGATGCAGAAGCTCCTGAGCGCCATCGAGAGCGCCTCTCTGACCAACCGATCGGTTGCCCACCCGGCCCCTGCGGCAGCAGCACCACATCGAAGACTGCTGGACGCGGACGACACCCACCACAACCCGCCCCAGATGACGAATCCGGTCGTGGGCCTGCAACTGGCGGATCTCTCGGCCGGTGTTCCGATGCGACATAGCCAATCAATGTACAGCCGCCAGCCCGTCAATGCGCGACCGAGCAGGCCGAACTTGCCCGAAAAGATCCGCACACAGTCGCTGCAAACGAGCAATCTTGACCAGGATCACAAAATCATGTCTCCCAAGAGCCCGACAGCCACCAGTCGTGTCTCGAGTCTCTTCGTGAACATGACGACAGGGCGGCACGCGCCTTCGAGCCCGCACCCAACACTCACTCGGGCTGCCACCGTGATCCCCTCGACGCCGACGACACCTCAAGTCGTGGGCTTCGAAAGTATCCCGCAGGTCCTGCAGACCTCACTGCCAACCAAGCTCTCGTTTCATTCAGCCTTGGCTGGCAGGAGCGCTGCCGCTCCGGCGATGGCCATCCGCCAGCCGACATCCTCGTCGGAGCTCCTACCGAACCCGCACTCCCATGCAATCTCTGCCTCGGCCCCGAACCCTCGGCCAGTCCACCCGGACACTCCCCGGGCCGCCTCTCTCCACATTGCCGAGAGCAACGATCAGCTTCGGATCATCTCTCCCAAGTGGCTTCGATGGCTACCAGGCAAACTTGACGAGTCTATGCTCGTCGACCCCTCCCAAGGCTCGTTTGTCGATTCGCAAGTGCCCCTGTCGCCCACAGTCGATCATCATCTCGACGACGAAGACCCTGTCCAGCTCGAGAAGGAACGGGTCAAGCAATGGCATCAGCAGTACACAGACGAGACGTGATATCCCCTGTGTTGTGTGCGCCTTTTGCAAGGGCCCCCCCTGTTCACCCCTCCAGCTCCAACATGGCTCGCTACTACTCCGTAGGGCCGATCTCTCTATATTGTTCTTGTCCCTCCAACCCGTCTTTTTTTGGCCGTCGTTTGTTTTGATATTTACCTGCTGTCTATTGCACTGATACCTCGGCTATAATCTGGCAGTCGAGCATATGGCCTTGGTTCGCCTTTCAACGTCTCTCTATTTTTACTTTACTTTACTTTCCCATTCCGTATGCTCTATAGAGCGCCCCGTTATGATACAGCCCGTCCCCTAAGAAAAAACACGAGACATCTGGATGCTTCACCGTCATAATCATTGAGTAGCAACAGCACATCCATTGGGATACCACTGGCTCGCTGGCGATGGCGAATCGTGGAGAGAGGCCGTCGACCTCGCGCAGAGTTTGCCGCTTCGGTTTGCGAACGTTGCTAACTATCTTCGGTGGCAAGGACATTCTGCGGTGTCGTTGAGACCCTCCTGAAAGGCAGAGGGGGCATGTGTCGCGTTCTCGGGTGCTTGATCGGATAGCGAAATGGCGCGAAACGAAACGGCCGTACATCAGGATGGCGTGGTGCTGTGGCCGTCGCAAGCTGAGATTCTGGGACGTATTATCTCGACAGAGACCGCATCAGCCCGTGTTATAGAGAGCCCTGTGAGCCCTGTCGAATCGCCCTAGTAGTCCTGCTTGTCGTTCCAGTTCCTGACCGGCCTTGCGGGTCCCTTCTTCCCCTTTCCTGTGGCGCCGCCGCCTTGTACTCGGGCCTCGATTCCCTTGGCGTCGACTCGGATGCTTGGGGCCGATCCGGTGCCTGGCTTTCCGTCGGCCTTGTGAATGGGTTGGATTGCAGGAACTGGTGTACCGTCCCCCTTGGCGCCTTCTTGTTTGATCTCGCTACGGTCGCTGCTCTCCTGATATCTCCGCACCTCGGCCTTGAGGGCGTTGCTGATGGCCAGCATTCGCTGGTACTCGCTCTTGGATATTTGAAGCTCGACAACACATTTGGTGAGTTTCTTGCGGAGCTCGTCAATCTCGGAGTGAGCCCGCTGGAGTTTTTCACTCAGATGGCGGATCTTGCTGCGGCTTCTTGATTCTCCAAACTCGTCCCCAGAGTCGGTGCTGTACACACTTTCTTCGCTATCGGACGATGGCGAGCGCGGCTGATATGCATATGCATCTCTTGATTGCCTCCGACGGGATTGTCGCTGCGAGCCCACCAGGCCATCTCCCCTCGCATCCGTTCGGCCGGGTCGGTCCTGCTTGTTGGCTTGTCTGCAACTCAGACGGGCCACCTGTTCTTGCAGCTGCTCGATGCGACTAATGTAGACGCCGACATCTGTCTGCAGTATATAGGCCACGAGTCAGTCAGACGGAATGGCCGGCCCCACAAGGCCCCTGGCTGTCGCGCCACCACTGAGTTCTTGCCACCATATTCATGTAGTACCTTGGCCGTTTGGTGATCCTCGACCATCTCCTGGAGGGCTTCCATGTCACGCCGCATTTCCTTGATGACAGACACAAGTCTGTCGTTCTGATTGCCGAAAAAGCAGTTCAGAGTCGGCTGAGGCTCAGGGCTCTGTCGCACGATCGACTGGACCTCGTTCACCACCAACCGAGTTTCAAGCTGAGAGAGGAACGCGCCTACCTCAACCATCAGGCCCTGCAACTTGCTGTCTTTGAGATCAGATGCGCGTTCGTCTGCTACCGAGTTCGGGTTAAAGGGAGCCTGGCGCGGGATGTATCCCGCTCCAGCTGAGTCGACAGAGGCTGGGGCATCTTCAAAATCCGACCGAGCAGAGCGGAGGCCGCTGAACGCTGTGTCATCCTATGAAAAAGTCTACTGACTCAGCATGGCCGCCTCTAAACGACTTTGTAGCTTCCCGATGTGCTGTTCCGGACCTCGGCTCCGGGCAGGTTTGGAGACGAGACCCTAATGCGACACTGGCAGAGAGTCTCATCCGATGCTGGCAGAGAATCACATGCATATTCGATATGCACGCCCAGGCCATCGCGTCGGATGGTGCACGCACCTTGTGCGGATCTGAGTGTATCGTTTGGCTGCTGCTGATTGACTTGATGCGGCCTCGGAGTAGCTACACCGATGCGGTTACATAAGCACTGTGAGTGAGAACGGCGCTGGATATAACCGGACCAGTCTCAGCGCAGTCGGTGTATTTACTTTGATTTGGGCTTCGGAGCGCTCTTTTGCTTGCATAAGCGACCGGACAACTTGCTCATGTTCAGAAGCGGCCTGCATCTTGGCATCTTCGACGCGCCTTTCAAACAGCAATTCCTCTGGAGCACACGAACATGATATCAGCATGGCTGTTGACAAGCCGGTCTGGACGCTCGATCCGGACAACCTACTTTCAAGCAGCTCCCTCTTCAGGGCTTGCTCCGAATCAATCAACCGCGCCACTTCGCTTTTGTAGGCTTCGAGATCCTTGCGCCGTTCTGCTCTCTCTTGGTCGTAGATTGCAATAATTTCACTTTGACTCTTGAGTTCCTGTGTCTTGGTGTAGATCTGCGGTGTGTTCATCGTGAGGGGCCAATAATGAGATGCTCTGGTCCGCATCGCTGATCGTCTCGACGGTGCGTATCCCTCGCACCCTTACCTCGTTCTCGGCTGCTTTCGCCGCTTCCTTCATATCTCGAGTTAGCCTGGCAATGGTTTCCTCCAGCTCTGCATTCGTTTTTGTCGCTTTGTCTGCTTGTTCGTGATTAAGAAGTCGCTGCTGCTCGTGGTCCTGCTTCAGGGACTCGATCGTTTGCTCCAAGTCAGCGCACCGCAGCAGCAGCCTTTCATGCTTCTCCTGCATCGCACGCTTTTGTTGATGATGGGACTTGCGAGGGCAGATATCCACCAAGAAATATGCTCAATTCGTTAGTGGCGTTGCAGTTTATACGGCTCTACCAACCGGTCGAAACACAGAATAGCCATCGCAGTCCGGAGCGAGTTGCCACTTACTTGGTCGCGCTCATCGGCTTCCCGGAGGATATGGGCTTGGCGCTCTTCGAACACCAGCAGAGCATTTTGGTGCTTGGTGCGGAGCTGCAGCCGTTCGACACATGCAGGTCAATCAGCGTTTGAATGTGTCCGTCGCTGGGTAGTCGGTCAGATCGTCGGCCGAGCCGAGGTGGCTATAGCAGACGCATACCTCCTCCAGCTGCCCTTCCAGATCGGTCTGGGTTTTGGCCAGGCTCTTTTTTGCATCTCCGAGCTCCCATTGATATCGTTTGATTGTGCGCTCGTGCTCTCTAGTGGCGAATGAATGCCATAGCTATGCCTGTGAGGCCATGAAGGGCCATGGCCATGAAGTTCCTTGCTTTGCATACTGCGGTCTATCTCTTACCTCAGTAGCTCGCCCTGTTGCTGATATCGCTGCTGCCCAGCTTCTCGGGCTTCCTTCTCCAAGTCCAGTTGACCTTGTAGCTCCGTGATTTGGTCCTGCAACTTGATTTTCTCGAGCTCCATTTCATGGCGACATGCCTCTGCTTCCAAGTCAAGGTCGTGTTTATAATGGTCGACTTCGTCCGACCAGGTCTGTCTGTTAGGCGTGGATAAAGTACACCATGATATGAGCAGAACAGCCGCTGTGGATTTGGGGGGGGGGCTTGGTTGGGGCAGCGATCCAGAGGGGCTAATTGCCGGGCCATACCTCTGTGCCTCGATATTGTGGCGAATCTCGCGAAGCTCAGAGTCCTGCTCCACTTTGAGCAGCTCAATGGTTTCGTTGAGGGACCGGATCCGGTCATCGTACGCTCTGGCGACGGTCTGTGTGGAGAGCGAGGCATGTAAGCGCCTCAGCATGCAAAGATCGATCCAGGTGCCCATTCCCTGTTTGTTGGAGGAAGAGGTTGCCAAACAAACGCTCGTGCATCGTTGCGGTCCTGGGCTGCAGAGAGGTCTCATGTTCGGGCACAATCATTGGCAATGAGGATTACTGCAGGCGTGGGTGCTCAACAGGCATGCCAACCTCATGTTCTTTCCGCAACCCTCGCAGGGCCTCTCGATGGTGCTGCTCCTGGGTCTGCACCAGCGACTTGAGATTCAGCAGCTCGGCGGATTTCTCTGCGATCGTGATTTTAAGCTCGCTTTCGACAGCTTCACTGAATCGGCAGGCCGAGCGGGAAGGTTGCCCACGAAACACGAGGATGCCGTTTGGCAGAAGAAAGTGGTGGGGAAATCGAGCCCCAAAGAACGGGAATTGAGTCGTTATCAGGGAACGCATGCGCTACGGCAGAACCGTCGACAACGCTGGGATCGTGCGGCAAGGCGGGCGATGCACGGATCTTTACCGGTCCGAAAGATCTGCCTTCATATCCTGGATCTGCTGCTCGTAGACCTCCAGCTCTCGGTCCCGGTCTTCAAGCAGTGACAGATTGTACATGAAGTCATCCTGGAGAGTCTTGAAGCCTTGCCTCAACTCAAGATACTGCAGGGGATATCGTCGTCAGGGATGTGATGGCACATCTTCAGGCTGGAGGCTGGCTCGCGCCTCAGAGAGAGCTCAAGCTGTCCGAAAGCTCTGATCCAGCCGATACGATTTCGATACTGGGCTCCAAATGGCATGGGACACGGACAGGAGGAGCATCCCGCTGCAATGAATGGAGAGCCGGATGGTGTGGAGATTACCTCATGTTCCTTCTGGCGGATCCTCTGGCTCAGAGAGTCAAAGAGGATACGCAGGTCGCTCTCCTGCTCATATGTCTCTCGGGCCTCATGCGCGGCCATCGCTGGAGGCGGAGAGATGGGTTGCGAGCCAGAGAGGCAACAGCGGCATTGAACGGGGGATGTCCTCAACAGAGCGCGCAAGTCGAGAGATGGAAGGGATCACGCGCGGCTGGTTCCATGGCCCAAACCCACAGCCACACACACACACCACTGCCAGGATGACGGCGGCTTGGAAGAAAGTCCCATCTATTTCAAAACGAACACTGAGGTCTTGAGGGTTAGGGCGGGAGAGGGAGATGGAGCGGGGAGGGTCGAGGAAGTGGGAGGAGGAGGGCAGTCCGATGAACGAAAGGGCAATCGATCCGACGCAACGACAGGAAGCTGCAGCAGCGTGGGCACGAAAGTGGCAGAGTCGCGCAAGTGGCGATGGTGGAGAGGCGGAAGTCGAAGGAAGAAAGGGTGGGAGGAGCGAGTCGTTTTGGAGAAAGGAGCAAAATGCTGAAATGAAAAGTGTGATGCTCTACGACTTGTGGAGGTGAAAAGGGATATGTACAGTCAAGGAAGAAAAGAATGCAACACCGACAAAGCAACGAAAACACGGACACAAGACAGTACCATAGATCACCCGGCCAAAGAAGATGAGGACAGGCAAGAGACTGGGAGAGTATACAGAGCGTAAAACAAATGTATGATATACAATGTAATAAATAGCAATCCCCATCTCTTTTTTATGGTAACAAGGGGAACGAAAAACGAAAAGGGTGAGGAAAAATTATCTAAATGATGCAAGTATATCCCTAATAAATAGTAAATGAGCGATGGCAGCGGCTCATTTGGGCCTCCTATCGATTCTTTCCATTAAAGCCGATTGACGAAGGAAAAGCGGAAGAAGAAAAAAAGAGGAAAGGTAAGAAATGGCATCAAGCTGGCAGGCAAACGCATACCAGAGGCGATGCCAGGGTGCACTGCAAAGGTGGAGGGGGGGGGCGGGAGAGGGTGGCGAGAGAAGGAAAGGGCTTGGGCGTCATCGTCGATGCGCGCTGAGGAGCCAGGGCTCTGGAGCCTTGGATACTCCGGGGCTTTGGCGACAGCGATTAGAACCAGTTGTCGGCAGAGCTGGGGCCGTTGGCGTGACCACCCCAGGCGTCGCCGGCGCTGGGACGGCGGTCGCCGCCACGGCCATAGCCACCACTGTGGCCACTGCCACCGCCACCGCCCTCGCGACGGAAGTCAGTGGCACCGAATCGGCCACCACCACCACCGCCGTTGCGGCCGCCGTAGCCGCCGGTGCGGCCACCACCGTAGCCACCACGACGACCGTAGCTCTTGGCGCTGTTTTCGCGGTCAATGTCGCGGCGGCACTGCTCGAGCCAGGAAGGAATCTCCTGCTTGGCTTCGGTGAGGATGTCAATCAGCTCCTTGCAAACGCTGCGGTCGCGGGAGACGTTGAAGAACGCAGTGGCCTTGCCGATGTTTCCGGCACGGCCGGTACGGCCGATGCGGTGGACATAATCGTCGATATCCGAAGGCAGGTCAAAGTTGACGACGTGGGTGACGTTGGGAATGTCAAGACCACGGGCGGCAACGGCGGTGGCGACGAGGACAGGGGTGCGGCCAGAGCGGAACGAGGCCAGGGCCTGCTCACGCTCGCGCTGGGTGCGGTCGCCGTGGATCGATGTGGCAGGGAAGTTGTTGTCGATCAGGAAGTTGCAGAGCATGTCGGCCGAGCGCTTGGTCTCGACAAAGATGAGGGTCAGGGCCTCATTGGGGTTGCCGCCGTTGCGCTGGTTGATGACAGCGGGATCCGAGTGGAGAATGTCGAGCAGGACCGATCGCTTGTCATCGTCCTCGACGTACTCGATGCGCTGGGTGATGTTTTCGGAGGTGGAGCCGACACGGCCGATGGTGAGGAAGATGTAGTCCTTCAAAAAGTCGCGGGCCAACATCTGAATGTTGCGGGGGAAGGTGGCAGAGAACATGAGAGTCTGGCGCTCGTGAACCGGGGGCATGTCTTCCTTCTCGACGATGCGTCGGATCTGGGGCTCGAAACCCATATCAAGCATACGATCGGCTTCGTCCAGAACAAGGTACTTGCAGAGGGCCAAGGACACGCGGCCACGCTCGATAAGATCGACAAGACGACCAGGGGTGGCGACGAGAAGCTCGCAGCCGCGCTCGAGATCGCGGAGCTGCTCGGCCATGGGCTGGCCACCGTAGCAGACACAGGGGCGGACCCAGGAGCGGTAGGCAAACTTGCGCGACTCCTCCCAGATCTGGAGGGCCAGCTCACGGGTGGGGGCCAGGATAAGAGCAACGGGGGTGATCTTGGTGGAGCGACGACCGGGATAGCCACCGGCGCCGGTGTCAGGACGAGGAGGAGGCCCGTCCTTGAAGGACTGGCTGAGGATCGGGAGCAGGAAGGCAGCCGTCTTGCCAGAGCCGGTCTGGGCACAAGCCATCAAGTCACGATTGGCATTGACAATCGAAATACTGTGCTTCTGGACGGGAGTGGGGTTGTTGTAATGAGCAAGAGCGACGTTGGACTTGATCAAGGCGTCCAGGTCCGAGTCCTGGAAAGAGGCGATGGGGTCGGGGACGTTGCGGCCCGAGGCTTCGGCAGGGATGTCATCGTACTTGTCAAAGTTGATGCCAGAGGAGTGCTGGTGGCCAAAGAGCTGGACCTCAAGGCGGGGGTCGCGAGCCCGAACGTCGGGGCGATCGGCAAACTCATCGCTGGGGTCCTTGGTGTACGCAGGGCGTCGGTCGCCACGGTCACCACGGTCGCCGCGGTCGCCGCGATCAGGGCGGTCGGGGCGGTCGCGGTAGTAGCCAGAGCCGCCGCGAGAAGCTCCCCATCCTTCGCTGCGTTCACGATCGGGTCGGTCGAAACGGTCGCCGCGGCTGTCGGCACTCCAGCTGGAGCGGCAAGATACGCAAGAAGGGACAAACAAGAGCAGGCGTTAGTTGCATGCCAGGACATGGTACAAGTTCAGACAGACATGACGGCATGGCCTCTTATCGAAAGCAGCCAGACATCAAGACAGGCGGGTGGGGGAGGGCAGCGCAGCCACATCCAGGATGCACGAGTCATGGGGGCTGTGGCCCTGGGCTATGTGCACACACGGTTGATTGGGGAGGGGGCGACAGGAAGCCAGTGGCCAAGTCCTTAACCTCGCCTCATCACAGCCGGCACTGCCGATGCGAGTGCAGGATGGACACGGCCGGGGAGAACATGGCTGGCATGCACTTGCTCCAGGGACAACCGCCAGGGGATTGCGCCTGTTTGGGTTGGTCGTCCACCGGCCCGGTGCGATTCAAGGCAGTGTGTTGCTGGATTGCCTCTCCTATCCGTCCAGGCAAGCGCCGAGACATCCAAGGTGACGTCTCGTGGCTCTCCACGACCAGGATGGTGTGTGTGCAGGGCCGTGGAAAGCCGGGCAGCCGGTTTGATTGCAGGCCACAGGCATGCCCGTTGATGGTCTGGCAGCGACGGCGTCGGCGACATGCGTCCTGGATCGGAGGAAAGTGGCTTACCGCTTATCGTTTCGAGCCGGGGACTGGCTGTCCCAGGCATGGGGGCCAGAGTAGGGTCTGGAGCGAGCGGCAGGAGGGGCAGAGTTTCGGTTGTCTCTGAAGTCGCCGTTGGACTGCTGCTGCTGCTGCTGCTGTTGCTGCTGTTGGGCGGGCTGGTTGCGCAGATGGGGAGGCACGTAGGCGGATCGGCCGCCGCCGGCAGGGCGGTTCAGGCTCATGTCGGCAAACTGATCTTCCAAACGGTTGGCCATGGTGTCTATCTGAGTTGGTTTTCCGGAGGGCTGGAGAGGCTGGGGGAAAAAGACCAGAGAAAAAGGAAGAGGGAAAGAGGGGCGAGTTGGATGCCGCAGTAATGCGCCCAAACCGACAGACCGAAAAAAAAAGTTAGCGCCACGGAACGGCTGGACAGCGGGCCCTGCACAGAACAGGCACAGCAGCACACAAACAGCGCCCGGCCCGCGCCACCCGTGGTCGCACAGGCGCTGCTTTTGGGCATGGTGTCCAGCCAGGCTGGATCCGGTCCCATCCGGCGCGATCCGGTCCCATCCGGTTTGGCGGAGGGCGGTCGCGCCATGGCCAGGCATCCCTGGCTGCACAATCCCTCAGCCGGCTCCCCTCTCCACAATCGTCGCTGCCCCAGGCCGATCGGCGGACCCCGCACCCCAGCACATAGATGGAGGGCAAGGAGAAGATTCATACGATCGTCCTTCCAAAAGAACGCACCCCGGCCACGGTCGTCTCGTGCCGGCTCCGGCCCGGCGATCCCGTCAAGAAGGGCGATGTGATTGCCACCTTCCAGTATCTCCAGCAGCCTTCTGACCCCGCCGCGCCCACCAGGCCTACAAAGGAAGACTACCGATCGTCGTGGGATGGCGTCCTGCATACCCTTCCGGTCAAGGAGGGTGATATCCTCAAGGCTGGGTAACTTTATTTTCTCCCTCTCTCTTGGATGGTGTCTCGGGCCATGCTGGCGAGTCCCGGCAGGTCAACATCTGGGCGGTCGTGTGGGCGGCGCTTGGATCGCAGTCGGAGGTTGTGTGCAAAGGAAGGATTCAGATCCCGTCCGGGCGGAAGACCGATCATATGAGATCATTTTCGGGCCGTGTCTGGACGGGGCCTCCGCATTTGATTCAGGTTGAAGGTGCGGGCACGGAGCGAATGCTCTGCACCAACTCGGGTCCGGATTCACCATGGAGACATGCCATCAGCACACCCCGATCCGGCCGGGCGACTCGCGGTGCTCTTCGGCTCGGTCTTAAATGGTCCCCGGCTCTTCCAGCGTCTTTGCTGTTACTTGGCCGAGACGGACCCGTGCCAAGCGAGACAGTCTCCTAATACGCACCCCACTATTACCTCCCCCCCCCTATAGGGATGTGTTTTTTGAAGTTTTGGAGCATTGCTCCCATGGTGCTCAGTTTGGAGGCCTATGCGCTTGGTGTGGCAAAGATATGACGATGTAAGATCGATTCTATTGCTCGTTGCCGGATCTCCGGCGTCGCTCCTGCATTGCAATCAGCAATCGCCCGGTCCCAGGCAATTCTCTTGCGATCGCGGCGGCCCGAACTCGACCGCCGGGGCTGGCTGGATATGGCACCAGCTCTCTCCAAGCTCTTGGGGATTCTGCCAAGGCCAAGATCGGCGATAGAGTCTCCTTTTCGTTCTTTACAAACGAGGCCATGCACCAGCTGTATTGCTGACGCTCTGTCGTGGCCGTCGCTAGATCGCACTACGAAGATTCTGAAACCAATCGGGCAACCATCCGCATGACCCACGATGCCCTTGGCGTCACCGTCAGTTTGGAGGTATCGACACGGCCTTGATCCTGGACGCAGCATGACCATGCGTGAATCATGGACTCGAGCACAGGAGGGCTATCCGAGCTATCGCTCGCTCACAAGCTCTCGACGCAACCGCATTTCAGGCCAGGGGACTCTATCGCTGACCCTTGCGCTTGATATCTGTCCAGGAAGCACAGCGACTCGAGGGTGAAAATATGGACCGGCTGCTGAAGAGCCGGCGGCTGTCCCTTATTCTGGATCTCGACCAGACGATCATCCAAGCCACCGCCAATCCCATAGTTGGCGAATGGCTGAGCCATCCAAACAACCCCAAATATCCAGAGCTGAAGGTAGCCGTGCTTGCATTGGCAGATGTATCGCCACTTGGACATCCCGCCCGATGCCCACAAATCAACCGTACTCACCAATCTCAATGCACGCCATAACCCCTTGGACACGCGTTCCACCCTTCCTTCTCGCCAGGATGTGCATGCGTTTCGGCTTCACGACTCGCCCGGAAAGACGCTTTATGTTAAACTACGACCGGGCACTCGAGAATTTCTCGAGAAGGTTTCGAGGCTGTTTGAGCTGCACATCTACACCATGGGCAGCCGGAGCTATGCCCAAGCTGTTGCCGACATCATCGACCCGAAGCGCGATCTCTTTCGAGAGCGAATCCTCTCCAGAGACGAAAGCGGAAGTATGCCATCCTGTCCTTTCTGGGTTTGGGCAGATTCTGGGTTTGGGTAGACTCGGCATCTGAGCAGGCAGCTGGTGTTGCAGCCCTCGCTTTGACGGGTCCACGGACATTCGATTTGGGGCTTGCTCCGCCACCCTGTCTCGCAGCCGTCATCGTTCCGTGTCTAATTGTGGCGAGATCAACACTGGGAGATGACGCTCGTAGACACAACGGCACTCGCATACGCAGCTAGGCACCAAGCTGTTCAAGGCTGCGACGACTGCATATCCGGAATGAGTGTGGCATGTCCACTCACACCTTTGATAAACCCGACCCAGGTTTCACTGCCAAGAGCATCCAGCGGCTGTTCCCGTGCGACCAGTCCATGGTCGTCATCGTCGATGATCGCGCCGATATCTGGGGATGGTCGGCCAATCTCATCAAAGTCATTCCATGTACGGTGACGGCCTCTTGCCTCCCACGGTTGGCACCATCAAGACCAAAGCAAGGCTGATTACTGATGCGTGTCTTCTCCAATCGCGCCATAGATGAGTTTTTCGTCGGAGCCGGAGACATCAACGCGCCGCCGGTGGCGGGCTCGACCAACAGCGACGCCGAAAAGGTAGGGAGCGCTTGAAGCTCTGTGTCCGGGTGGTTTTCATACCCACAGCGAAACCGATGGAAAGGAGTCGAACGCGGCCTTTGGGTTGATTCGGGACGGCATTTGATTGTCTCGTCCGCGACGATAGTATGCTCTGATGTGACCATCGCCAATATTCCATACTACATGCTGATGACGCGACCATGCTGAACCCATCACCCTTGATGCGCTACGCGGCCGGACCGGAATGGCCATCATCTATAGACACTGACGGCGGCTTCGACGACAACTACAAGCGCTGCTCAGATTGCAGGCGGAGAGTCCATCCCCCAGTCCGCCGCAACAGACCTATCAACGAGCCGCGCGTCGGAATTCGCTCCAGATGCTGTTGAATCAGCTGGAGAGCCCATCCCATCAGAGACATCGGAACCTGGTTCTGACGACAGGCCTCCACAATCATCCAAGCCCTTTGTGTTTGCCGTGCCGAGTCCGAAACCCAAACCGGTCTTGGCTGACGATGACAGAGAGCTCGATTTGGTCTACGATCGGCTGAAGCTTGTCCACGAGCGGTTTTATGCAGCCTGGGATCGCGGGACCAAGTACAAAGCATCAAGGCTGCTCAAGGGCGGGCTGGCCAACACCGTGGCCGATGCGGACGTGCGGTTCATCATGGAGAGTCTCAAATCAACGGTCCTGCGAGGCATCAAGATCCTCTTCAGTAGCATTATACCCTTACAGGATGACCCCGAGAAGTAAGCAGGGCACTAGACCTGGTCTTCCTTCCAGGAGCTGGATGCCATGACAAAGCTGCCTGCACTCTGCCCCAATGACTTCTCAGGGAGCATGAGTTACGATGTTGAAGCGGATGCATCCTGACACTCGAATCGGTTGGTGGGATCGGTGGTCGCTACCTTACCTACATGCGCAGACATGAAATGTGGAACGTTGCTGTTTCTTTTGGTGCCAAATGTTCGGTCGAGCTGTGTCCAGACATTACCCACGTAGTTGCTGCCAAGGTAGGTTGCGACTCGAAAGTAGCACGTTGCTTCTCGAGCGACAGCAACAGCGCCAGCACACACACTCTGGGACAAGATGCTGCAACGATGGAAAATGTTTGACAGCTGTGTCGAGGAGCTGTCCAGGTTCTGACGATATCTAATCCGGGCGATACAACGCTCTTGATGCTTTTGCAGAGAGGAACTTTGAAGGTCAACTCGGCCAAGAAAATGCCCGGGGTCAAGATTGTCCGGCCCGAATGGTAGCGTCGAGTGTCTTGAGAAGGAAGATTGGCAAATCTGGGGGCTGGATGTCGGTTACGGTGGTCTGGAGGGCAGGCTGTGGTGCTGCCAAGATACTGAACCACCTACCATGCGATGCGATACCATGCGATGTGATAGGTTGACCCTATCGGTGGCACATTGGAGACGGCTGGACGAGACGCAGTACCTTCTCGAGCCTGTATGCCCCGGCCAGCCAAAGTTCCAGCCCAGCCTAATCCTATCGCCTCTCAAGACAACGGATCTCGACCCCTCAAGCACTGACGATCTCCTTCCGAGCCCTGAGGACAAGGCTATTGTCGAGGGGCGATGGGAATATGCCGATGACGTCTACATCAAAGTTGGTGGCGAAGACTGGCAGGATATGGATCGTGAGGTCGAAGAAGCAATGGAAGACAGCGACGAGGATGATGACGCTGATGACGCTGGCGGCGATGAAGACGGGAAGAAAGACGATCACGAAGGCGAGGATCAAGATCCGGGCTTGGCCAAATCAGAGACGAGGTCGATCGGGCCGAGCGCCTCGAATCAACTGGCTGCGGTGGGGCAAATCGATGAGCCTATGGAGGATGTCGATGGTGGCCTCGATAGCGACGGGCTTGATCTGGACCTTGACCAAATGCTTGACGAGGAAGTTTCGGCGGCGCTTCAAGACATTGGCACGCCTAAAGGGTGAGCAGGGGCAGGATATGTGTGAATGCCGATGCTGATGCTGATGCTGATGCTGATGACGATGATGATGATGTCGTTGCTGATCTTTTATGCGCACTGCCTTTGATTGAGCAGCCTCGGCTCGTCAAAGCGACCAGAATCTCCAAAGCCTGTGGGTCGGCCGCCATCGACCCCAGTGCCATCTGTCTCCATTGCGGACAAGTCCGCGGGACCGCCCGAAGCCCCCCAGAGTCACCCCACAAAACCTGAAAACGGCAAATCGATGGAGGAGCGGCTAATGGATCGAATTGCTGCACTCGAGGCGGAGGAAGCCGCGGAGAATGCCACAGCCAGCGACGCCCGAGGCTCGGGGCTGAAGCGGAGGCTGATGGGTTCGGAGCCTGCATTGGACCGCGAGAGCAAGCTCATGCGCACCAACCCCAAGGGCGATGTGTCATATCGGCTCCAAAGCAGACGACCAGCCCCATCCAGCCGCAACCACATCAACATGGATGAAGCCGAAAGCCGCACCAACCATGACGACCACGACGACCACAGCGATACTCATGGCGATACTCATGGCGATAACGGCGACTCCAGCAGCAGCGACAGCAGCGACGGCTCTGGCAGCGACGACAACGACGACAATGACGACAACGACAATGCCAGCAGCTCTGGAAGCAGCCAGTCGAGCGCAAGCGACAGTTGATTTGCTGCGGCTGAAATCGCTGTGCTTGGATGCCTGGAGTACTCCCGGACCAACGGAACACACGCATCGACCGAGCTCCGTTTGCGAGCGAGAATATCCGCCGACCATGGATTTGTATCTCGGAAACACGAATGATATCTCGAATCTGCGAACTGTCGCCATCGATTGGTGGGATGCGAGGGCTTCTCGACATGGACAGGGCAATGCCGCTGACGGTGCAGAGATGATGGGGGGGTCGCGCCCGGGCCACACAAGAAGCGAATGGCGCGTGCGCGGGAACAGTCCAATCGAGCGAGACAAGGCAAGGGAACAGGGGCCGGCAAGGACAAGACACGCGATCGACTGGAAGGGGCACGGGTGTGACAGCCGACGGCCAGCGGGACAGCGCGACGGGCCTGCGGGACGGGAGACAGGAGACGGGAAACGAGGCGAGAGTGCCGGGTGTTGACCGACGGGCTGGCGGGCGAGTCTGTGGGCCAGCGCGCAGATATTCTCACAGATGGGGGGGGATGCAGGTGTCGATATGCACATATCTGCAGGTCGGCATCAGCCCACCAAGCCGCACCACCGCCGCCGCCGCGACGACAGCCACGCAAAATGCCAAGGACGGCCTCGGGACGGATACAAGAGTGGCCGAGCCACTCGAGCAAGACAGGCGGCACCATGGATTGCCGAGCATGTGCCTCTGGTCTGGGGACAAGATTGCCGACAAGATTGCTGACAAGATTGCCGGGCGCGACAGACCGGGGAGAGCACATCGCCGCCATGCCATGCAGCGAATGATGAAGCACACCGATGATGAAGCACATCTGCCGGCGAGATATCGAGGCGACCGAATACATCTGTCAAGACGGCCGATTTGCCAGGAAAACACACGCGCGAGACACCAAAGATACCAGAGACACCAGAGACACCAGAGTCGCAAGGGGGGCGGTGCTGTGTCTGTCCCGGACGCTCCGCAGCAGCTGATTGGCCGGCTGGACAGTCACGACGAGCCACGCTGCACAGAGCGCCTTGTCGGCGCACAAGGTGTCCCCAGGCAGCCGGGCAGGCGCGACAGGGGCTGGGGCACTGTGCCGCTCTGTGCTGCGGCGGCGGCGGCGACTGCGGGTGGCTGCGCGGCTGCCAGGGCGCGGCGCCAGGGCCCGCACCACTCACGCTGCGCGGGTGCCACGGCCACACAGCGCCGGCGTCCGCGCGTCACAAACAGAGGCCTTCCCGCGCCGTTCCACTCACGACAAGCGCACACGGACACCCGCGCCACCGCACAAGGGGCGGCGCCGCGCGTCCGTGCGACACGCGACCGCTGCACAGCAGCACAGAGGCGTGCCTGGCCCAGGCGCGCGTGAGGAGCCACAGTCGCTGTGGAGCTTGGCGACCTGCACCCGCTTCCTGTGCCGTGGCCACAGACTCAGTGGGAGACGCGCGCTGTGGCTGATTGTACATACTGTTGTGGCTGCAGCGAGCCGCCATTGCGCCAGTGCCCCCCCGGCAGCAGCTCACCGACACAGACACTGTCGCGGCCACAGCGAGCCACAGCGAGCCACACACACACACAGGCCACAACACACACATTCTCTCGTCGCCCAACAAACAAACACCCCGTCTGCACAGGCCTGTGGTGTGTCCTGCCGGGCCAGCTCGGCCTTCAGGCTGCCCTCTCTGGGTGTTTTTTCGGGGCAGAGTTCCATTCGCCGCCTCTGTCCTCTTCTTCTTGTTCTGCCATATCGCCCTCATCGCCCTCGCCGAAAAGGACATCCGCCGCCCTGTCTGTGTCTTGGCCTGCCTTCTCGTCTCCTGGCCATCCATCCATTCCCTAGACACATCCCACATCCAGACCGGCCTCTGAACTAGTGATTCGTGCTGATTGACGAGCGTATCCGTCTTGCTCTCCCAATCAAGTATTCCTCATCGGGTACGCCGTGCTCTGGTCCCTGATACTGCTCCCACCGTACTTGCCCATGTCCATCTCTCGTCTCTTGCCGTCGAGGCCGGCCTCGATGCATTCGCCTCCTGCAGCCGTCGACATGGCCTCGGCCTTGCCCGGCATCCCGTTGCATTGGCTCAGGGCACTCTTGCCACGGGCTGTCCGCCATCCATGTCCGCGATCGCACACGATCGACTCCCCCAGCCCAGCCCCAGCCCAGCCCCAGTCCCTGCTCACCCTCGCCGCCAGCTTCCCTCATCCTCCAACAAGCACTGCGTACTCTGCTGCTCTTCGTAACCCCTCGCCGTCATGTCTCTGGCTAATAATCCAATCGACCCTCCTTTTGCCTCCAACAGCGATTCGCCTGCGCCTCATCGAGTCTTTCCCCGACTGACTTTCATCCCAGATGTTTTCCGAATCCGCGGCTTTCTATCCCGCCTCCAACCCCCATCCCAACCACAACCACCACCGCTACAGCCAGCAGCATCCGGCTCTTGCCCACCACGACGACGCAAATGGCTCTGCGGTCTACAGCATGCAGCCCTCGGCCGTGAGCGGCGCCTTTGCCCCAGCCCCCTTCCAGGGCTTCCCTTCGGCCCATTCGGGTCTGTTCTCGAATGTGCCGCCCGCCACAGCTGCGGCTGCTCCTCATTCCATGCCCACCTCGTTCGAGTTTTCCCAGCACGGCTCCGACATGGACGTCTTCCCGGCCCAGTCTGTCGAGCTCATGGGCAGCCAAGCCTACTTCTCCCCCGAGGCGGTCGCTGCTCTGCGATCCATGGATATGACCGGAATCGACGTGCCCTTCTACAGCTCGGCCAGCCTCAGTCCCGACGAATTCGTCTCCTACAAGGACTTCCAGGCAACCACGCAGGAGTCTTCGATCTTTCTCCCCGCCGAGGTCGACCCCGTCTTCCATGCAAAGGCCAACCCCGACGCCGCCATGATGCTCGACGGCCTGTCGCCCATCAACGCCAACCTGCCCTCGACCACCGCCGCTCCCTCCGATCTCTCCCTCAACCAGCTCCAAAGCCACCTGCGACACCAGCTCCAGACCGCCAGCAACGGTACATTCGCCGCCAACACTCTCTTCGACAACCCTCAAATCCAAAAGCCCCAGCCCGAGTACCACACTGCCATGCCCGTCTACACAACCGCCCAAGCCATGATCGGCACTGCGGCCTTCTCCCAGCCAACGCTGTCTTTTACCGATCCCCAACGCCCTCAGATGGTAAGTTGTCTCCTGAGTTTCCGATACCAGGTTGCTCGCATATCTTGCGCATCGTACGTGATCTCCCCCATCCCTCGTTGCACCACTGACATTGATCCCGCTTTGGCTCCAGATCAAGGATCCCCAGCCTCGGTCCATGGTCGTCACTTCTCAGCAGCCCGCGGTGGCTGGCTTCTTTGCTACACAGGGCCATCCCTTCCAAGGCCAGCCCGAGCATGCCGCCATGGCGAATCTGCCTCCAGCCCCAAGGCCCCCAATGCCGTTTGCTCAGCCCCTACCAAACGCCACCGGCGCCGACCTTTCCAAGAACATCATCGAGGCTTACAGCGTTACGTCTCGGGCCTACCCGACTGGCACTCAGCAACAGCAACAGCAGCAGCATCGGAACGCCCCCCTGAACCAGCTGGGTGCCGCTGGCGCCATGGCTATGGGTGGTCGTCTGCCGGCACCCCCCTCGCCCACGAGTGGCGCTGGTATCCTCAAGAGTCTCGTAAAGAAGGAAAAGTCATTTGAAAAGACTGGCGGCAACCTGCTCGAGACCGCCATGGGCAAGCTCACCCGTGTGATGGCCAAGAGCAAGAGCAAGGAGCTCGAGGTCACCGTCACCATGTCGCCTCGGCCCGATTCGACTGCAGCCCACCCACAGCATCAGCAGCATCAGCAGCAGCAGCAGCAGCAGCAGCAGCAGCAGCAGCAGCAGCAGCAGCAGCAGCAGCAGCAGCACGCGCAGGCTCAGTACCAGACCATGGCGTCGCTCCCTCAGTCCATTCCTGAGCATTCGTATGGCCGTGCCCATGGCCATGCGCACTCGCACTCCCATGGCCACCCTCATCCTCACGGATTCCCGTACATGCATCAGCCGGCCCAACATCCGCCCAATGCCGCCCATGCCGCCATGTTTGGTGCTGTGCCCGTGCACCCACCTGCCGAGCAGTACATGCAACCCGGCCTTATCCAACACAGCACCACAACCGCAAGCTACTGGATGCAGGCCCATGACCAGTCTCTCGCTGGCTCTGCTCCTGCCGCCGGCTTTTCGGCTCCCTTTGCCTCGCCGGAGGAGCCCCACATGATCGGCGAGCACGTTGCGGGCTCTGCTACTCCTACCTCTGGTGCCGCCTCCGGCCCTGCGCTCCACATCTGTAATTTCGAGGGATGTGGCCGTGCCTTCACGCGCTCCCATAATCTCAAGTCGCACCAGAAGATCCACAGTTCCGAGAAGCCCTTCGTCTGCAACCACTGCCAGCTGGGCTTCCTACGCAACCACGACCTCAAGCGCCATATCCGGCTGCACACCAACGACCGGCCGTACTCGTGCTCGACCTGCAAGAAGACCTTCATCCGGAGCGACGCCCTCAAGCGACACACCAAGCTGGACTCATGCACGCCACTCGGCGAAGACTCTGCTGCGCTCTCTATTCACGATGACTCGGACCATCCGGAAATGTCCCCCGAGACCGACTTTACCAACATGGCGTCCCCAAGCGAGGCACTGCTGAGCCCAGAGACCATGCCCTCGCCGCTAAAGGGCGACCTAACGAACCACGCATAATGTCCGCCCGTATGCGTCTAGTCTTGCCCCCGCCCGCTCCCCATTTCTGAAGCACTTCTCGCTCCGCGACAACGCAGGTGGCGACTGGTCCCTTCGCCAGTCCCCACTACCCACATCCCCCCCCGCTCTGCAGCCCTCTCAGTTTTGCCTGCTATACCAGTGAGCGACATCACGCGAAGCGCTCTCAGCCCTGACCGATTGGATCCGTGACCTCCTAGTTCGTGTACCTCTGAAAATCTGAACCCGCCTCATAGAGTCGAGCCTTCCTAGAAAGGCCTTGCCGTTCTGCCTAGCGCACCCTCCTCCGCCTCCGACAACAACAAGTACCTCTTATGAAACCTCGATAGGCTCGCCCTTTGGCCTTCCCTTTCACTCCTTCATCTATTTGCCGCAGCCTGGGTTGCTCCCTTCCACTCTCCTCTCCTCTCCGCTCCTCTCCTCTCCGCCCCTGCCTCCTCTCTCTCCCGCTCTCCAGTTCCTTTTCCAGCCCTGACTTTATCAGCGCGTGTCATCCTTGACTCCTTTCAGCCCGTCTCGTATTCGCACTTGTCCGTCTTGGTCGTTCCCACTCTCATTCTCCGCCCTGACTTACAGCGTTTCCAAAATGAAATGGGACTCCCTGTTTTTAACCATGACTGTGCTTTTTCCGGAACCTGAATACACCCACCCGCTCATCGCATTCATGGCCGAGCACAGCACCATCTTGATATCGAGATATGATTGAGCTGTCCAGAGGGTCGAATGCATCCACCACACTCCCACATCGAGACATCAATGCAGCCAGGAACATGATCTCGGTATGCCAGTCGATCATCGCCACAGGAGATCGACCGGGTGTATTCAAGACCATGCTTCCCAAACCAACCAAAACCACTCGATCGCCAACCAGGACGGGAAACAACCTCACGGCTTGCTCACTGGGCCTACAGTCAGTCAGCGGGTTTCAGACATCTGAAGCCAGGAAGGGGAACTGTCCCGTTTCTTTCTGGATTGACTGTAGATCGACTTGGTCGGGTGTGATATGATCCGACTATGCCGTGTTGTCCGAATGAGTGAAACGAACGAGAAAACTGCTATAAAGTATACCACTTTGGTCTTTTGCTCCTGAGCTGTGCTGCCGATTTTCGGTGGTTGTGTTGGGGCTGAGGCATTGCACTCTCGGTTGTTTGGCAGACCTGACATGCTACCCAACAGAGGCCAAAAGTACCCTCCCCCCGTCACTCTCACACTGCTTGTTCAAAACGATCGACGGGCGAGATTGTGTCCAATCATTGTGGGGTTGTGACAATAGCCGCTCAAGATGGCAGTGTGGTGAAAAAAAATACTAGCAACAATGGAGCGCACCGTTTCGCTCGGACACAAACCCGCCGCTGCTGGGCCATATCATGCGCTCGTCTGCCTGAAATCTGCCTGACATCGACATATTTGCAGAGCCGTTCCCACGCTCACGCTTTGCCATCTTTCCACACCATCGCCTCTGTCACCGCAAACCTCCATAGATGTCCACCAGCAACGATGGCAGTCTGGAGCTGGATGATCCCCCTGAGCTCCTTCCTTCCTTTGTCTCGTCGACATCGTCCTCGCGCTCCTCAGTGTCGTCAGCACATCCGTCCAAGCCGCCGCCATCACGATTGCATCTGACCGACGATTCGGTTGGGACGCACGACTCTTTGGAGAGCCCAAAGAGACAGTCTTTCGCAGCAAGCTCAAAGAAGCGCCGCTCGTTCCTGTCGCAGATGGGACCTGCCCGGCTCCTGCGGCGCTCAAACTCGCGAGGGTCAAGGACATCGTCGTTTCAGGGCTACTCGATCCTCTCGTCTCTCACCCGGATCAAGCGCAAGACCGAACGACAAGGTAGAGTGACACTCTAGTCTGAGTACCGGTGCCAGCGACAGTGCCTTGACCCACGATGCCGTTTTTCTGTCATCCCGCTTCGTACGCATTAGTGCATACGTGCTCGCAATCTGCCTTTGCTGCTGCCGCTCATCCGCCCTGCTCTCGACTGAATTGCCCCATGCTCGTATCCGTGTGTGTACTCTAGGCAGTACTTCCGAAGATCCCGAGAAGCTAACGGTCGACAGCGACCGCACCCGGCAGGGCCAAGTCAACAAGCTGGGGATGAATGAGGACTATAACAAAAGCTGCACCAGCGTCGTGATCCAGATCGAGAAGGATACCTGCCGCGAGGAGAAGCAGGATTTCTTGATCCGATTCGGTAGGCTCCCCAATCTCTTCCTCTGGTCTGGTCTGTGTTGGCAGCGATATAGCTCAGCGACGATATGGCTCAGCGGGCCAACTTTGCAGTGAGCCAAGTATCCAGACGCTCCCTCTCCTTTGCTCCTGTTCGCACGCTCTCGCTGACTTGCTGCTACCATATGCTAACCGGCCCATCGGACCTAGGCAAGGCCCTGTATCGCTACGGCGCAACAGGATTCCGCACCGAGCTCTATCTGCGATACATTTCCAAGGCCCTCGAGATCCCCGCCGACTTTGCAACCTTTCCGAGCCTCATCCTCACCTCCTTTGGCGTCCCGCAGATCACCACGCGCTCGAGCCGGACCTTTCTGGACTTTGCTCCGCATGGCTATGACATGGGCAAACTGTACCAGACCACCAAGCTCGGCGAGCGCCTCTGCGATATGGTCCACACCCTCCGGAACAGCGACCAAACCAACGCGGCCAGCGATGTTGCGAGCCCAGCCGCTGTCGCTGAGCCTGCCATCGCTGGAGCCTTTGGTGGGAACGAGAAAGCACTCGGATCCACCCGGCAGCCCGACCCGCCCAAGCTTGACCGGCCACTCACATCCGGTAGTAGTCTATCGAGCCCAAGTCCAGCCGATAAACTCCTCGATTCCGACAGCGGGCCAACATCGGCGGATTCAGACCCGCACCGAGAAATCGTCGTCAAGGCGATCGAAGACCTGGACGTGATCCTCAACAGCCCTGGAACATGGAGCCAAGACTGGGTGCAGGCCATGGCCTTTGGGAGCGCTGGAGCCAGTGCCGTCATTGTCATCTTCAGCGGCAGCTGGCTCGACGTCCTGATCAGCTTCCTCGTTGGCTCGCTGATCGGAGTCGTCAGCACCTTTGCGCCAAGAATCTTTCCCAACTACGTCAACCTGATCGAGCTGGTGTCCTCGCTCTTGACGACAATCATCCTCCGGATCATCCAAACGTGCATGCCGGCGATGTGCCTGAGTTTCGTGCCCATCTTTCTGTCGTGCATCCTGATCCATCTACCGGGTCTGTCGTTCACGCTGTCGCTGCTGGAGCTAAGCGCCCAGAACCTGGTCTCGGGGACGGCCCGGCTCGTGAGCTCGCTCCTGATTGCTCTGCTGCTGGCGGCCGGCGTCGTTATCGGATCCGCGATCCCTGGGCTGGCCCAATTCTTTGCTACCGGGCCCGGGCCCGACATCAGCAACACATGCACTCCTCTCGATCCGGTCACGAGCCTCGCCTGGGTTGCCGCAATGTTCCCGGTCCTGACGTTCTCCCTCACGATCAACATGCGGGCCTCGCTGCAAGAAGCGCCGGTGGTATTCCTGGCTGCGCTGTGCGGCTTCTCAACATATACCCTTTGCGACAGCGTCTGGAGCCTTAACAGCGCAGCCTCATCGGCGCTCTCGTCGTTTGTCGTTGGCCTCGTCGGCAACATCTACGCCCGCTGCGGTGGCCTCGCCATGGTCCCGGTTCTCACGGGCATCCTGATCCTCGTCCCTGGCTCCAAGGGCGTCCGCGGATCGCTGCAGATGATGCTGGACACGGACATTGGCAGCTCCAATGCCGTCTCGGAGATGTTCTTTGTCGCCCTCTGGCTCAACATTGGCCTGCTCTTTTCGACCGTGGTGGTGTATCCGCAACGGGGAAGCTTTATCGAAGGCGAGCATCTCTTCCGGGGCTTCTGATTCCAGTGCAGCTTGATGCTCCAGGGCTTGACCCAACCAGGGAACAGGACGGCACAACAGGGCGACACAATGAGACGACACAGTGGGACGACACTGCAAGATACGGCCGAGATGCTTCCAGCGTTTGCAAGCCGAAGCGAGTCATTTCCGTTTTCGAACTCGACTGTCGCACTCTCGATTCTGGGCCAAGGTCGTATTCACTGGTATCCGCAGATAGAAACAGTCCGTCGGATGGACATGTCAACGATGCGCTCGCAGTTTTGACTGGCGAAGATGGTGTGTCGAGCAGAGTATATTTTGTTTCGACCAAGACTACCATTCGTATACATATGTTGTGCCCCCCCCCATTTTCCCGACGGGGGGAGGGAGGCAGGCATAGCCGAGCGGAGGATATCGCGATGGCGGGTGAAATCGATATACAATAGGATTATTTCGGCGTGACACCACTGCGGCGGCATTGGCTTTGGCCACGCCTATGTACAGCTGGGCATTCGAGGGAGGGGATAGTGCAGCGGGATAGAATGAATCCACATGTCCGGGCGCTTTCCTTTCTCGTCCCTCTCGCCTCTCCCGCCTCTCCCGCCTCGATCGGTCCGTTCCTCAGAGGTTTGGGTCGTCAATGGGATCAAGATCTTCTGCCGAGTCGGTGCCGGCTTCGACCCACGAGTCGTCGTCGGTAGTCGAGGTGTGTCCGATCCGCGTTTCCAGGGCGTCGTTGAGCAGATCCTGGAAGTTGTCTTGGAAGCGATCTGTCTCGGCAGAGGATTCGTCGAGGGCATATTCGGATCGAGATTCATCGGCCGAAGGCGAAGGGGTGCCTTCATGGGGGAGCTTTTCGCAGTCGTCGGCCGTTTCGCTCGGGAGAGCCGGTTCAGCCGTCTGTTGCTTGGGACCCAGAGGATCCGCCTGACTCGACTGACTCGACTGGTTCGACTGGCCTGACTGACTGCTGTGTTCATCATGGGCCGCAGGTGCAGTGGCCTTCATTTGACGGATCCACATTCGTCTGCGGGTAAACGTCGACACGCTCGGAGTCGAGCTCTGGTTGCTCCACACGTTGTCGGTGTACTGCCAGCCCTCGGGATCGGTGCCAAAGTGGCCTGCCCACGAGTTGCTGACGGTCCAGGTAGGCTCGACCCAGGTCCACTCGACATTGTTCTCTCGCGGCAAGGAAAACGAGTCCTTAGCGGCATAGCGGACGATGCCGGCCTCGTCGCTCCAGGCGGCGCGCTCGGACTCGAGCAGGTGTGGGATCCATCCAAGACCTGGTTGCAGCAGTCAGGGCGAGGAGGGGTGAGCTCGCTGATCAGGATGCACATATGACGATCCGACTGAATCTGGACATGTCCTTGCCGGACCTGCAGATCCCCAGCAGGGTTCTGCGGGTCTCGCCACGGATCCCGCGTGTGCCAGGAAGAAACAATCCAATTCCAGGCAGCCTCGCTACTGCGGACAGACGGCCCGCATGTCACTCACCGAGCCACCACCGCTGATTCTCAAACACAGAGATGGTGTAGACCTTGGAGTCGACCGAGGGTTTCAGGCCGCTCATGGAAATGACATTTCGGAGGGCATCATCGACCCTTGGCGTGATCTGGTTGGTGAAGATCCGCATCGACGTATCAACGAGTGCCTGGAACAGGAATGTGTTGTAGAACAGCGCCAGCGTCGCCACGACTCCCACAACGACGTTCAGGGGCACAGTCGCATAGATGACATAGTTCAGGGGAAGCGACGCGAGCGCGTAAATCAGGATTTGTTGCGTTTGCTGTTCATCGGACCAGTCCAGCTTTTGCACCACCGAGCGGGCCTGCTCGATGCCATCGGATGTCCTGGCATACGAGGCATGTCGGGCAGACGGACGGTAAGTCGGCAGTGGTCACGAGGCGGGGTCATTGGCGAGCACGGGTGTATGGACATAGGTTTGGCAGCGCCAGAGTCCGACAGGCGAACGACTGCTGCTTGGCTGCCATTCGGGATGGCCTTCCGCCCAGGAGGCTGCTGACTTTGCCAATCCACGTCGGAACCATAGAGGAGGTCGCTGGCAGGGAAGCGGGCATGGGTCTACTTACAGCGACATTAAATTCTGAATAAATTGCATGTTCCGCCGGTACTCGACGCTGTTGTCCGCGCCGGTCTGGGCTGGCTGGGTAGCCCGGACACAATACTTGTAGGCAATGAACGAAGCGACGACAGTCTGCGGCAGAAAAATACATATCTTTGGGTGGAGACCTGATATTGCATGACAGCGGGAAGGGCCATGTTAGCGGTCCATCGCTTGCCACGCGGGAGCGACGCTGAGATGACCCTGGGCATTGTCAACAGGACAACCCCCACGGACCAGCTGCAGAGCAAAGGACGGTTCATGGATCGATCGCTGGATAGTGCAGCAGCGGCATGCGGACGAGAGGACTCACAGAAAAACAGAATCGAGATCCAGCAGAGGAAGCTCTTGGAGGGATTCTTCCAGGTCAAGATGCCAATGACCTCGGAGTGGAGCTCGACCAAGGGGCCGACGGTGTTGACAAAACGCAGGAAGTTTTTTGGGGTTGTGGTCAATAGATTCAGGGGAGCCGGATCGGACAGGCTGCTCAGAGATGAGGACGAGGACGAGGATGAGGACTCGGGCTTTGCCGATGGCAGGCCGGCTTTGGCATTCCGGACGAGCTTCTTGGTGAGGACGCCGACGGACGACAGCGTCGAAAATGAAGACGAGGATGCGGTCGCAGGTTGGACAGGAGCAGAGGCCGTGAGTGCCTCGGCCTTGGCAGCTGCATCCTCGCTTGGAGCAACGATGGGGTCGTCTTTGGTGAGCGACGAAATGGAGGACCTCTTGTTCAGGGTGTGGGCCCGGGACATGGATCGGACGGACTGGCTGGAGCAGGCAACATGGGTCACCATGCCAGAGCACCGGGGATGGACGTTCATGCGACAGGAAGTGCATTGGAGGCCCTGGTGCACAAGCCCCCAGAGTATATGGCCACAATAATCGCAGTTGGTGGGCGACAGGTAGGAGTGGAGCTGGAAGACATGGCCGGGGCTACCTGGGTTGACGGCGGAACTTGACATTGCTGGGGGGTGGCTCGGAGGATCGACGGAGCCAAGCTGCGAACGAGCACCGATGCCAGGGAGCGAAATGGGATACGAGATGGACGGCTCGGGAGCGACCAAGGAGAAACAGAGAACCGGGATGCAGAGAGCCGGAGATGCAGAGCGAAATCTTGGACGAGATTGAGGAGAGGCGCCAATCAGGCCAAACAAACGTGGAAGGACAGTGCGTGGGGTTGGGGACAACAGCGCCAAGCCCGAGCGGGACGGCGATGCTCGGACACCTGGACCTGGCGGGCCGCGCCTGCCCCGTGGTCATGATCGTCCAGCAAGACAGGACGAGGAGAGCAGAGCAAGGATGCACAGGCGGCAGCGGGGCAATGCAGAGAAGCCAACGCGCAGGCAGTGCAGGGTCGATTGCCGACGGAGCAGTATTGGCGAGAGTGCGGGTTGCCGGCCAGACCGATCCGACCATTCAAAGTCGATGGTGAAGGAACAGGACTCTGCGGTAATGGGAGGAGATTGACCGAGAGAACATGTTGCGCTGTCTCGGGGCGATTGGAAGAGGGCCATGGAGGTGGGCGGATGTATCGGGCCGGACACGACGCATCTCTGTCGACCGATCTGCAGCGATCGGTCTGTCCACCCGGACGGGGACTGATGTGCGCACGAGAATGTGGACTAGGCTGTCGATTGGCAGGCTTGCGGGATGTGCATCGACATGTGCATCGACACGTCTATCGACATGTCTATCGACCTGTTCATCGACTTGTCCATCGACTTGTCCATCGACTTGTCCATCGACTTGTCCATCGACTTGTTCATGGCCAACGCCATGGACGGAATGGACGGCGACGGTGCCCACGCCGCTGATTGGCCCGCTGCACCTGAATTCGAGCCAATCGGCGCGCTGTGACGGTGTCACACGGCCTTGTGGCGGTGCCTGCGCCCAGGCTGTGGGTTGTTCCTGTGGGTTGTTCCTGTGGGTTGTTGGAAAGAGTGCATCGCTGATCGATACTTGGTACTCCACATCCCGACCGAGGGACAACTTCACATCCAGACCGAGAGACAACGACTCGGTCCTGCGGCCTCCGATGCCACCCCACGCATCTTGCATGCATATGGCATCCATCGGCGGCCTGCTGTGTCCGGCTGTGCTCGCCGCTGTATCAGGCTGTGCCATTACTTGGGTGTGCGAGCCCCGATGCAGAGCGACAACCGAGACCAAGAACTCACTTCTCCTTGTGCATTCCGCTCGCCATGCACCTTTTTCTTCTTGCCTCCATCGACACCCCCACGCGGCTATCAATAGCGACTCGGAGAGTGTTCTGCAGCTTGTCCTTGGCCTTCAGCATGCCGCCGCGGTCGCTGCCCTTGTTGCCCCGTGCCACGGTCCCATGTCTTCATGCAACCTCACCGCCTTCCTTTTTTTGCATCCCTGTGTCGGGCAGGATATATTCCTTGTCGTCTGCCTGCGTCTGCCCCCCCCCGGCCTCGAGTTTCTCTTCTCAAATCCCCTCCTCTCTTCTCCGTCTCTTCGTCGCCAGCTTGTTTCCTGTCGACACCGCTCCCTCAAGTATCCCAACTCCAGGCCGCCCAAGGCCCAGACCCCGATCAGTCCCGTCTCTCGCTCCTCCAAGTACTCATCACCCACCAACTACCATCTACCGTCATGGGCCAACACATTCTTCTCTGCATGGACGAGTGCATCCCGTCAACCCAGGCTCTGCGATGGCTCTATTCCTTCGTTCTGCAGCCCTCCGACACCCTCACCGTGCTTTCCGTCTTCGTCGTCGGCGACTCGGCTTCGTCGCCCACGTCCCCCACGCAGCGTCATGCCGCCCCGGCTGTCTCTCTTTCTGGCAACACCCAGTCGACTCCCTTGCAGAACCGCCTCAGCTCGCTCATCAACATTGTCCGCTCGGACTATGGCCACCTCAAGTCAGTCCCCGTCCATCTGCGCGTTGTCCCCCTCAAGATGCCTTCGGCCTCCCCAAGCGTAATCTCGGCAAATCCCTTTGGCTCCTCCGAGGCCGACGTCCACCACGACGAAAGCGTCCACATCGCCAAGCTGATCTGCGAAAAGGCTGCCCAGCTCGGCATCAGCTATATCGTCATGGGCACCCAGGGCAGCTCGTACCGTCCCGGGTAAGTGACCGATGTGCATGCAATCGACGCTGTCGTGCGGTTCCTTGGCGCGGTCCGATTCGGCATCCGCTGTCCCTCTGCCTGCGATCGGCGTCCTGTTATCGGCGCTCTATTATCGCCATTCTCGTCCGAGCCTCGTCGGACGGCATCGGCCGTTGTGGAGGATCCGCCAGCGTCGTCGGAGCCAGCACCGGCGATGCAGCCGTCCGTCGCCGTTGGGGAAGCGTGCTGGCCAAGAGGACCCGGCTCGATCGGCCCTTATTTTCCATGCGAGTTTGCACGCACCCCACTTACTTTTGCGGCTCTGCCGTCCTTTCTTTCTGCAGGGCTCCTTTGGCCGGCTTTGGTGCCGTGGCCACCTACGTCTCCTCCCACGCTACTGTTCCCGTTATTACTTCAACCATGCCAGCTCACTGAGCCCTGATCGCTGGTCCTGGCTTGGCATTTTCCGTGCAGCTGAGCTTCTTCCGTTCTCGTTTTGGCTGGGTGCTTGATTACCTCTTATCCAGTCCCGTCTCTTTTGCTCCCGACAGGCGTCGCCCGATGCCGGCTCCGTCATTGCCGTTAAGAGTGGGATCGTCTCTGTGCCGTGTTTCCCTCCTCCCCTCCTCCTTCCCTGCGGCTCATTGTCGCCTTCTCCCTCGATCTTCAATCTTTGTCCGGATCTTACACACCGGCGATCCACTCCCTCACCTAATATCCCGGCTTGGCCGTCCGTCCGTCGTGTCTCGTTTCATTCCGTTTCGTTTCATCATACTCATCTTGTTTCCTTGCCTTCCGCCACGTCCGCCGCAGGGGATTGTACCATAACATCCGCTTTCGCTTCATCTGTGTTTCCTTTCATTTGGGTTTTGTTGCTTCGTTTGTGTCATCGAGTCTGTCGTTGCGTTGAGTCTGGATTTCGCCCAAGCCTTTATGAGCACCACTTGCCAGTACATCAAATATGATCTATTTTCCTCTTTATATCGCGGTGCTCCTGGAGGCCCCATAGATCATCCTCGGGGTTGGTGCATCCACCGTAGCAGTATCAAAGGGATATCGCACTCGGCCACGGCCGCGTGTATTCATGATCCAGAAGGACCGGAAGAAGGATGAGAAAATACAGCAGCCGAAATCAGAGTAACTCCCGTCCCCAACGCTCAACATCTATCCGGCCTTCTCGCACGCCGTCCCAGCATAGTCGCACGGCACGCTGGGCAAAGACGGTCAGTCCCAGCAGCGGCCAGTCGGCGTCGTCCAGGTAGCTCAGGTCCGAAAGCATAAAAATATCCTGGGATTTCAAGATCTCGGCCCATTCGACTCCCTTGGCATCGTCTCGTTGTGTGGTCACCGCCGCCATGTGCGTTAGTTTCTCGATCGCGATTCCCGAGAAGCGAGGGTCGATGGCATTCATCGGTCGGCGGAAGGATGTTGCTGGGCTTGAGGCCGGCTCCGTACTTTTCGAGCTGTTTTCGGACTCTGTGGATAGCATTCCCCCACATCCCATCCCGGTGCAGACCCGCGGGTTAGTATGGGCTTGGTTATCATCCATTTACGTTCGAGGACCGAGTCCACCGAGCACCGCACTTACCGCTTGCAAGATAGTCTGCACCATGGTTCCTCTCCGACATCGAGGCAGCGCTCGAGCTCTTCAAGATCGACTCGACATCAAGCTTCATGCACGTCGAAAGACGTGGCCCAAAGTCCATCTCTGGGAGACTGGTATCGGTAAGCTCGCCGCTCCTGATGCTATGGGGAATTGTGCGGGCGTCCTCGTATACATCGTCGGCACTATGATCGCTGTCGTAGGCGTCGGCGGGGGCTTGGGGAGCAAGACTGGGACTTTCTTGACGATCGTGATGCTTGAATGAAGCTTGGGCGGATGAATATGGCTGCATCACCCGTGGTTGATGTAGCTCATCCAAATCATCGCCCCATTGAGCGGCAGCGACGGCGGGCTCTTGCTCCTGCTCGGCCGGCAGGGTGTATGCATGTGCGGGCAGGTTGGTCGGTCTCGGCGACTCTCTACGGCGCCCATCTTCATGCTCAGATTCACCTTGACCTTCATGTTCCAGTTCACGTTGGCGATCGCGGCCATGTTCGTGATCATGTCCAGATCCGTGTTCATATTCGTATTCGTCCTTGCATTCCGACTCCGGCTCCGGCTCCGGCTCCGACTCCGGCTCAGGCTCCGGCTCAGGCTCCCCAGCCTCGTCGCTCAAGGTGGTCTGGGTGGTTATGGTGCACTGCTCAAAGTCCCTCTTCGGTGGTTGAGTATATGTGAGCGAGTCCGAGCGACTGCAATACTTGGCCATCGCGTACTCGGCCACGGGCGGTGTCGGAATCACTGCCGCCTGGGTATACATCTTGAACATATGCGGCATGTTCTCGCTCGCAATCGACCGATAGATCTTGAACGGGAACCGCGTGTTCTTGTTCTTGGTCGACTGGCACTGGCGCTGATACGACTCATAATAGGTCGGCGGTACAGGCGGGAGCGGAAAGTCTTGAGCCAGTCGGTCGTCCTGCGAATCTGAAAGGGTATATTCTGATCCGATTGTGTCGACATGGGTGCTTTCGTAGCTGTAGGGCGGGTAGCGCTCCAAAAGATTTTGCTGGGCCTCGATCCAGCTGTACTCTCGGGTCAGCTGTAGTCTGTCGCTGCCCTTTCCGGCAGAGTACCCGGGGACGATGTCGTGGCTACAGGCCGGCCCCGCTGCGTGGCTGCACCGGTCGCTCAGCGATCTCTTGTGTCTCCGTCCGGGGCTTTCCACAACCGACCTTGGGCTAGCCGATCGAGATCCGACTTGTGCTTGGCCATATGTAAAACCATGGGATTGCAGAGAGACTGGAGACAGACACAGGTCCAGCTCGGACGATGAGTGCATCGACGAAGCAGGCGTTTTCAGGGGCGTTGCCTGGATGGTATCAGATATGCGCTGGATCGCCTGGGAAGCACACTCATGGTCCATCTGTATCGGCCGTTGTGCCAGGCAAGATAGGCTTGATTTAGTCATGTCGGGCCGGAAGGAGGATGTCATGACGCTTCGCACAAGCCACCAAACCTTTTCATCTCCACGCTTACCCCCGAAGCTAATCATGCCGCAATTCCATCTGCTGCGGTTGATCTGCCAAGCGGAGGAAATCAGCACTGCCATGGCTGTCCTACATACCGCATCGTCCTTGCCATAGAGCAGGAGCATCCACACAACCATCTGTTTGACGAGGCCATGAATAGGCTCGTATATCTGCGAGATGGCGTCGCGCAACTCGTCCAGGCTGCTCTCGGCCGGCGAGCGCTCTTTGAATTCCCGGAGAAAGCCGCAAAAGTGTCGCATGAACGACTTGAGGGTCTTGCGGGCATTGCGGACGTCCTCTGCGACCCCAAAGGAGCCTGTGAGAAGAGAATCGTGTGGGGGCAACGATTCGTCTGACACTGCGGGGGCTTGCTTACCTTCTGGACATGACATGCGATGGCTCGCCACGTCCATTTCGTTCAGCAGCTCAAACATGGCCTTGATCTCTCTGACGATGGTCTTGGGTCCGATCTCAAAGGCTGCTTCGCTCTCAGTGTCGGTGCCGGTGCCGGTGCCGGTGCCAGAGGCCAGAGTGAATGCCGGCGATGCGACCCGCGGAAGCGTGGCCGAATCGGATGTCTCCTTTAGCCACTGCAGAATCTCGGCCTGGGTTTCGTTGATGAGTGCTTCGAACTTCACAAAGGTTTCCCAGATGGCCGCGACACTCTTTTCCCATTTTCGGCAGTGGGGCTCATAGTTCTCCTGGTAATATGCAATGCTGGAGGTGATCGAGTCCGAGACCTGGATCCTCCATTTCTGGGGGGGGGGCGATGGGTGCGCAGATGTTAATGCTTGGACTTGTCAAGTGGTATGGATTAACGAGGACCCGGCAACCGATATCAGGCAAGCAGCATTTGGAAAGCCGTGTGACCAGTATGGTGCGGTGCTTCAGCGGACCGAGGCGATGGACCGCTGGTGCAACTCGGCAAGCCTTCCCACCTGATGAATGTTCAGACAAGCGGCGTGCCATAGCTCAGTCTCGGAAGCGTTCTCAGGGCCATGGTGGGCCCCAGAGATCTCCACAGGGAGTTCCAGCAGGATGGGTCGCTGGCAGCTTCGGCATTGCGGCGCCGTCGAAAGATCATGGATCCGGGACTTGATGCGGGTCGAGTAGCATATCTCGCAGAGAATCAGCGGGACGCCGTCGAGACCACTGAGACTGTACTGCTTGTCGGTGACGGACGTGCAGTCCTGCGAACGGCCAGGTTTTGGTATGAGTGCCAGCAGCGAAAGCTATTCGCACAATCGGCATAAACCAGCAAGCGGATCGCCGGTGCGGCGAGCAGCAACATTGAAGGCGCATTAACCCGGAACAGATGAGGCGGGATATCCGCCTGCCCCAAGAGTGCTTACGTTGCAGACGAGGATGCACTCGGCGTGGTAGAACCGGCCGCTCAGGGGCACCATCTTGTCCCGAAACGAGATTTTCTTGGTGCATGATGCGCAGGTTTTGGTCTTTTTGAAGATGCCCGCGAGCATGCTGGGCAAGTGGGTGGGTGGGTGGTGGGATCTATAGGAAAGTGGTCTGTTGCAGACGAGCCTTGTGAGTCTTGTGTCGGAGCAAAGCAGTACCGGAGAGCCAAGTATCCAAAAACCGCCCCCCCCCCTATTCCTGCCCCATGGATATCGATCGGGGGCTGGCAGTCGGGCGCTGGCGTGGACGGGTCTGGCGGACGCTGCACCTGCCTCTGGCCAACGACGGAAAGGTGTCCAGGAGGCGATGTGGATCGGCCAGCAGCGGCCGGTGCAAAGCACTGTCCGATGGCTGGGGCGGTCTCACCCAGACAACCAACCGCCTGGCGTTTGCCTCGCCGCTCCTGATGGCTTGACCACCCTGCGCCCCGGCGACTTACCAGTGGGTCCGAGCCTATTCTATAGCAACGGGCGTCTATCTAACTGCGGACACCTCGAGGTGCATGCGAGAGCCAGCCTGGCGATGCCTGACCAAGGTTTGTCGGTGCGCCGGGTCGGCCGGCCGCGGAGGACGAGCGATGCCCTTCCTTTTCTCTCCATTGGGTTGTTCTGGGTCTGGGCTTGCTTGTCCCTCAGCCTCCGCTCAGAGAGATGCGTTCGTCTGGAGGCTGGATCGGGAGACACTTGGAGGTCGGCGTTGGATCCGTGCGGGGACGGAAGACCCTCGGTGGGGCAGCCTTCAAGTGACCGATATCGGCGGACCGCAAGAACCACCAGGGCCTGCCCATGATCGTTGCCGGAGCCGATCAGCACGACCCTTTCGACTGGACCGTATCTGGTTGGATCTCGCAGCCCACGCACCGAAGTCTTTGGGATGCCATTCGCCGACGGGCCTGTTTGGTCCGCACATGGCCGCCCATGCGCGCGGGATTCCAGTCCCTGTCGCTGGGCCGAGGCCAGGGTGCATACGGAGGAGAAAAGCGCTGCGAGCGGCGCCGCTGGTTCCTGGTCTTGCTTCTATCTCGGCTGGCAAGTGGATGTGGTTGTTGGCTGTAGCCATGTGCATCGTGGGTCCTGCATCGACTTGCAGTGACTCGGCGGTGGACCGACCTGCGTCTCCACCTGCACCGCATCGACCCTCCAGTCGCACCACCAGCCCGATGGGTATGCATTTGTCTGGCGCCGAATCAATCGGATGCCAAGTCCGAACTTGGTCTCCATCTCCGCCGTTTCCGGTCCTGTCAATCGCACACCCATCCGCGGCGGTGGTTTCCGCTCTGGGGATCCTTCGCCTCCCCGTCCGCGAACTCGTTTGCCCTCGACGGGCGGGCATTGTGAGTATCCTTGGTTGGCCAGTTCGACAGAGGGCCGAAACGAAGCCTGTTCGCCGCGACCGACCATCGACAGGGCCCAGGTCCCTCTCCCAGCTGTCCGCTCCCTCCCCCGATTGAACCGTCGCTGCGGTTGGAAGAAAGCGGAACACAACAGGACAGAACACAGCGCAATACAAGGTATCGGGCTTTATAATGGCAACGAGAGAACGCGACAGAGCAACCCCAAAGTACCACGAGGCTCATCATTAGCGGGGTGAGGGTCGTCGCGCAGATCAATCGGCGCGGTTGTAGAGCCGCGCGAGCTCCAACAGCATCAGATACATGTAGCAGTCCATCTGGTCGAGCGTCAGGAAGCGTTTGGAGAAGTATTTGGAGTTCAGGGCGATCTGCTCGGCTTCTTCGTCATGGTCGATGGCCCACTGCAGCTTCTCGGAGAGGTCAGAGAGGTCGACGTTGATGGGGATGTAGTGGACAAAGGGCTCGAGCCAACCATCGAAATACTCCTGGAAGATGGTCATCTTGAAGACGAGCGAGTTGGACTGCAAGAAAGGCATGTAGCGCTGGCTGAAGGTGTTGCCATCCTGCCGTGTCCAATTATCGAGAGCATCAAGAAGCGCGGTCAGCGAGCCTGGTCTCGGAGCAAGTGCCACTCGTCATTTGGATTTTGCCTGGGTCTGCCCTCTCATCTTTGGCTACCTGCTTCGAAAGGCGTACTTACAATGTCGATGAGATACTTGTACTTAAAGTTGTTGGAAAAGGGAACCGACGGAGCGAGGGGATAGTTCAGGCGCATGTGCTCGCAAAAGTATCCGCACTGCACCAGATCAGTGAAGGCAATATCCATGTGCGAGTCGTTTGTGGCAAGCTTGACCAATCGATGTCGGTGGTAGAATGCATAGCCAAGATTGACGGGCGAGCCACCTGCGTTGGTGGTGGTGGTGACGGCGCGAATTAGTGTCAAGGCGGCCAAGCTAGCGATCGCTCCGTTGATGGCCGAGTGCCAGCATCATCAAATCGATCCATTCATCAAAGGATCGCCAAAACGGTTGGTTCAGCTATGGAAATGCGAGTGGGGCGGTGGTGTGAGACTCGCGCACACAATGGCTCACAAACCTGTCGTGGATCCGCGCCAGAACATCATGGGGATCTTTTCGCTCCATGGAATTGTGTCGACTTCGCTCTGGGTGTCGAGTGACGACGTGATGTAGTAGTTGGATGGCACGACGATATCGGCAAAGCAGTGGCGCAACTTGGTGTTGGATATGATTGGAACAAGGGACCTGAGCGAGCAGGAAAGCAAGATCAGACCGCAGCCGGCATGGGTTGCTTGTGCTTGAAAGTGGGGCTGCTAGTCGTATCAGCGAGGGGTGTCTGCAACCGATCCACCATGGCCGCAGTCGCTCTGCGATAACGTACTCGGTGTAAACTCGCGTATCGGGGTTGATTGTGAATCCGTGATACTTGTTCAAAAGCTTGCTGAACGGGCTTTCGCGGTAAGGACAGCGTTCCAGCAGCCATTCGTAGTGTTCCTCGGCGCTGGGACGATGCCAGTCGACGCGCTCCAGTGGCGAATACAGTGCCTCTTGGACAGCGTTGGCTTGCTTGTGGTTATACACAACCCGGGGCTCATCATACGGGTTGAAGACGAGAGCCAAGTCGTCGATGTCGGCCGCGTGCTGTTGCGCGTTAGGATGGCGATGATGGCGATGATGGCGATGATGGCGATGATGGCGAGGATGGCGAGGGCGCGAAGTTCGAGCGAGATTGGGAATGGCGGTGGATGCGGGATGATAAAGTTAGGTGTGATAACGGTTGCGTACCAAAGCGACCCCATTCGAGATAATGGCCGCATTCGAGGCAATAAATGATTCGGGTCGCGTAGATCCCGCGCTGAGGAGCAGGCCTGATCGAGACTACATCATGCACACACAAACTCCTCCTCCCAGCGAGCTCTGTTGTCTCTGTAGATTCTACACACATCTGCGCGGCTGAGGGGTATATACCTTTTCGATCAGAGAGAGCCATGCGCCCATCCAGCCTGGGACGGGGCTGTCTCGGCCCGAGGGTCCTGTGACAACGCCTTGGTTGATTCGGATAAAGTGGTAGGAGTGTTCGCCATCGGGCGCAGCGCCTGCCTCGACAAGCATCTTGATGCGATCGCGAAACTCCTGCGGGGGAAGCTTGAAAAACGGCTCGAGGTCTTTGTGGAGGGTGTCATAGTTGTCGATCAGGCATTGTTTCTCCCTGGCATAGGCAAACCACTTGTCGTAGTGCTTGGGCGGGTTACGCCCGGTCTTGAGCCGGTACGTGGAGATCGCGGCCTGCAGCGTCTGCGACTGCGAGGCCTCAAGAAGCCGGATGAGGTTCATGGCCTTGGCAATCTTCTGCTCGGCTGTGGTGTTGAGGACATATGCGGGAGCCTTCACTTCGTATGTGTCTCTCGTTGTGGGAGCCTGCTCCTGGATCGTGATCTTGTGTGTCACGGTTCGTGTGGGGATGTACCGGGTCGCCAGGAGGACCATCACCAAAAGAACCAACCCAAACAGGAGGCGTTTGCCTGACTTTCTGAAGATAGCCATCGTCGAAGCGCGAGGAGACCGGCAGGCAGGCTGGGGCTTTCGTCGGAGAGGACGTCCTTTTGGGCGATGGTGCGGGCGATGGTGCGGGCGATGGTGCGGGCGATGGAGCTCCGAGTGCCGGGGGCGGGGGTTGGGTTGCTGCAACGGCTGCTTTTACGGCCCTGGGAGACCTCTGGGGCGGAGGAAGCGGTGGCGGCAGGGAGACGCGGCGCGGTTGGTCACAGGGCCCACCGAACTCCCTTGGTCACGCGCCGCGCAACGACGCACACGCCAATCAACACCGCCGTCCCTGAGTGGATGGCTGCAAGCCGGTGCGTGAAACGGGCCGGGTTTGTACTGGTCTCCTGATGCTCACACGATCTGTGCCCACCGGCTGATCCGCGCAGGCACCGTTCCGGCACACGTACAGGAATTGGGCGTTCGTCGCTGATGGCAGTGTTTGTATTGTTTTGGCAGGGTGGCGAGACAGCCGGTTCTGCATGACTGCACTGAGTCAATGTAGGGGAAGGGACAGGGATCGGGCAGCGAGCCGTTGCCCCCTTGGTGATAGGTGCACCGCGGGTCACACGGAATGGGCAGCTGGCGCTCTTGGTTACCCAGCTCAGCACCATTTGGCACGGTGCTGCTCAGCACGGTGCAGCTGTGCTCGGTTGTGCTCGGACAGCTTTGATTCAGTGCGCCGCGGGAAGGACAAGCTCCTCGCCGGAATAGAGCCGCGCGAGCTCCAGGAACATCAGGTACATGTAGCAGTCCATCTGGTCGAGCGTCAGGAAGCGTTTGGAGAAGTATTTGGAGTTCAGGGCGATCTGCTCGGCTTCTTCGTCATGGTCGATGGCCCACTGCAGCTTCTCGGAGAGGTCAGAGAGGTCGACGTTGATGGGGATGTAGTGGACAAAGGGCTCGAGCCAACCATCGAAATACTCCTGGAAGATGGTCATCTTGAAGACGAGCGAGTTGGACTGCAAGAAAGGCATGTAGCGCTGGCTGAAGGTGTTGCCATCCTGCCGTGTCCAATTATCGAGAGCATCAAGAAGCGCGGTCAGCGAGCCTGGTCTCGGAGCAAGTGCCACTCGTCATTTGGATTTTGCCTGGGTCTGCCCTCTCATCTTTGGCTACCTGCTTCGAAAGGCGTACTTACAATGTCGATGAGATACTTGTACTTAAAGTTGTTGGAAAAGGGAACCGACGGAGCGAGGGGATAGTTCAGGCGCATGTGCTCGCAAAAGTATCCGCACTGCACCAGATCAGTGAAGGCAATATCCATGTGCGAGTCGTTTGTGGCAAGCTTGACCAATCGATGTCGGTGGTAGAATGCATAGCCAAGATTGACGGGCGAGCCACCTGCGTTGGTGGTGGTGGTGACGGCGCGAATTAGTGTCAAGGCGGCCAAGCTAGCGATCGCTCCGTTGATGGCCGAGTGCCAGCATCATCAAATCGATCCATTCATCAAAGGATCGCCAAAACGGTTGGTTCAGCTATGGAAATGCGAGTGGGGCGGTGGTGTGAGACTCGCGCACACAATGGCTCACAAACCTGTCGTGGATCCGCGCCAGAACATCATGGGGATCTTTTCGCTCCATGGAATTGTGTCGACTTCGCTCTGGGTGTCGAGTGACGACGTGATGTAGTAGTTGGATGGCACGACGATATCGGCAAAGCAGTGGCGCAACTTGGTGTTGGATATGATTGGAACAAGGGACCTGAGCGAGCAGGAAAGCAAGATCAGACCGCAGCCGGCATGGGTTGCTTGTGCTTGAAAGTGGGGCTGCTAGTCGTATCAGCGAGGGGTGTCTGCAACCGATCCACCATGGCCGCAGTCGCTCTGCGATAACGTACTCGGTGTAAACTCGCGTATCGGGGTTGATTGTGAATCCGTGATACTTGTTCAAAAGCTTGCTGAACGGGCTTTCGCGGTAAGGACAGCGTTCCAGCAGCCATTCGTAGTGTTCCTCGGCGCTGGGACGATGCCAGTCGACGCGCTCCAGTGGCGAATACAGTGCCTCTTGGACAGCGTTGGCTTGCTTGTGGTTATACACAACCCGGGGCTCATCATACGGGTTGAAGACGAGAGCCAAGTCGTCGATGTCGGCCGCGTGCTGTTGCGCGTTAGGATGGCGATGATGGCGATGATGGCGATGATGGCGATGATGGCGATGATGGCGAGGATGGCGAGGGCGCGAAGTTCGAGCGAGATTGGGAATGGCGGTGGATGCGGGATGATAAAGTTAGGTGTGATAACGGTTGCGTACCAAAGCGACCCCATTCGAGATAATGGCCGCATTCGAGGCAATAAATGATTCGGGTCGCGTAGATCCCGCGCTGAGGAGCAGGCCTGATCGAGACTACATCATGCACACACAAACTCCTCCTCCCAGCGAGCTCTGTTGTCTCTGTAGATTCTACACACATCTGCGCGGCTGAGGGGTATATACCTTTTCGATCAGAGAGAGCCATGCGCCCATCCAGCCTGGGACGGGGCTGTCTCGGCCCGAGGGTCCTGTGACAACGCCTTGGTTGATTCGGATAAAGTGGTAGGAGTGTTCGCCATCGGGCGCAGCGCCTGCCTCGACAAGCATCTTGATGCGATCGCGAAACTCCTGCGGGGGAAGCTTGAAAAACGGCTCGAGGTCTTTGTGGAGGGTGTCATAGTTGTCGATCAGGCATTGTTTCTCCCTGGCATAGGCAAACCACTTGTCGTAGTGCTTGGGCGGGTTACGCCCGGTCTTGAGCCGGTACGTGGAGATCGCGGCCTGCAGCGTCTGCGACTGCGAGGCCTCAAGAAGCCGGATGAGGTTCATGGCCTTGGCAATCTTCTGCTCGGCTGTGGTGTTGAGGACATATGCGGGAGCCTTCACTTCGTATGTGTCTCTCGTTGTGGGAGCCTGCTCCTGGATCGTGATCTTGTGTGTCACGGTTCGTGTGGGGATGTACCGGGTCGCCAGGAGGACCATCACCAAAAGAACCAACCCAAACAGGAGGCGTTTGCCTGACTTTCTGAAGATAGCCATCGTCGAAGCGCGAGGAGACCGGCAGGCAGGCTGGGGCTTTCGTCGGAGAGGACGTCCTTTTGGGCGATGGTGCGGGCGATGGTGCGGGCGATGGTGCGGGCGATGGAGCTCCGAGTGCCGGGGGCGGGGGTTGGGTTGCTGCAACGGCTGCTTTTACGGCCCTGGGAGACCTCTGGGGCGGAGGAAGCGGTGGCGGCAGGGAGACGCGGCGCGGTTGGTCACAGGGCCCACCGAACTCCCTTGGTCACGCGCCGCGCAACGACGCACACGCCAATCAACACCGCCGTCCCTGAGTGGATGGCTGCAAGCCGGTGCGTGAAACGGGCCGGGTTTGTACTGGTCTCCTGATGCTCACACGATCTGTGCCCACCGGCTGATCCGCGCAGGCACCGTTCCGGCACACGTACAGGAATTGGGCGTTCGTCGCTGATGGCAGTGTTTGTATTGTTTTGGCAGGGTGGCGAGACAGCCGGTTCTGCATGACTGCACTGAGTCAATGTAGGGGAAGGGACAGGGATCGGGCAGCGAGCCGTTGCCCCCTTGGTGATAGGTGCACCGCGGGTCACACGGAATGGGCAGCTGGCGCTCTTGGTTACCCAGCTCAGCACCATTTGGCACGGTGCTGCTCAGCACGGTGCAGCTGTGCTCGGTTGTGCTCGGACAGCTTTGATTCAGTGCGCCGCGGGAAGGACAAGCTCCTCGCCGGAATAGAGCCGCGCGAGCTCCAGGAACATCAGGTACATGTAGCAGTCCATCTGGTCGAGCGTCAGGAAGCGTTTGGAGAAGTATTTGGAGTTCAGGGCGATCTGCTCGGCTTCTTCGTCATGGTCGATGGCCCACTGCAGCTTCTCGGAGAGGTCAGAGAGGTCGACGTTGATGGGGATGTAGTGGACAAAGGGCTCGAGCCAACCATCGAAATACTCCTGGAAGATGGTCATCTTGAAGACGAGCGAGTTGGACTGCATGAAGGGCGAGTAGCGCTGGCTGAAGGTGTTGCCATCCTGGAGAAAGACACGACGCCGCGTAAGTTTAGGTTTCTGCGCCAAGACTCGGCCTGTACATCAGGTGGCTTGCCCCACCGGCAGACGGGCAGACGGGCAGATGGGCCATCATCTCAGCCCGCAGGCAGCGCACGCATCGATCATGCGGCTCTGGAGACATGTGCAGTTCAGGCTCCTCTGGCTGGTGACGCCAGAGCGGCGTTGAAACCTACAATGTCGATGAGATACTTGTATTTGAAGTTGTCGTCAAAGGGCGAGCGGTCGGCGAATCGGTATTTGGTTTTGACGTCCTCGCAGTAGGCGCCGCACTGGATTGCGCCGATAAAGCCCATGTCCATGTGGCTGTTGTTCTGGGCGAGCTTGACCATGCGGTGTCGGTGGTAGTTGACGTATTTTTCGTCGACGGGGGTTCCGCCTGTGCAACGCGGGTGGGTGAAAACCAAGCAGTCAGCACCGGGGAAGCAGAGACGCGATTTATGCCAGTGCAAAGCCAGGGACCACAAAGGCGCGGGAGGAAGCACAGATCCCACACAGGCCGAAACTGCGGCAGAACTGGACACCGGATCAGCAGGGAGTCCCAGCCCAGCAGCGAGGCGAGTCATACCAGTGGTGCTGCCGCGCCAGAACAGCTTGGGGGTCTTTTCGGACCACGGAATACTGTCTTTGAACTCTCCCTTGAAGGCGTCGAAGAGATAATAGTTCGACGGGATCAGAATGTCGGAGAAGCAGTTGCGCAGCTTCGTGTTGGACAGAATCGGAACCAATTGTCTGGTGAGGAGCAGCAAGGCGGCAGGGGAGGGCATCGAGACAGGTCAGCAACATAGCCAGATACCAGCCCAAACCGCAAATATGCCCAGACGGATAGATACAGGCTGTGCTCATAGTGCAAGAGAGTGGGCAGCCGACCTGGCCCGAACAACACATCATGCTGGACCCGGACAGTAGCGGAATCTGGACCCCTTGGGTCTCGTCGGGACGGGGTGGCGGCTATCACCAGTATCCGCGAGCACTTACTCGGTGTAGACTTTTGTATCGGGGTTGACGGTGAAGCCATGGATGCCATTGATGATGGGTCCATCGGGATATTGGCGGAAAGCGCATCGCTCCAGCAGCCAGCTGTAGTGCTCTGCAGGCGCGGGCGAATGCCATTTCACCTCCTGGAGCTCACCCATCTTGCGGCCGAGTCGCCGAGCGGCGAGGTGATCAAACACGACTCGGGGCTCGTCGAGTTCGTTGAGGACGAGCTCGAGGTTTCCAATGTCAGCTTGATGCTAGAGGGACAAAGACGTGCATGGGACAGACAGAGGAGCACAAATGCCCGTGTCAGTTTCCGGTGGCGATCGGCAATGAGCCATTTCGATAGCGACGCATGCACCGAGTGGACCAGGGCTTGAGCGGCAATCAGCAGTCAACCGATTGACAGTGGCCCGCTACGCCGCAGCCGCAAACCGGAAGGGCGTAGGGATTGCTTACCTTGGTAATGAACGAGACCCAGGCCTGAGACCAATAAGGAAAGTCTTTCTGCTGCAGCGCACCGTCCTTGACAATAACGGGATAGGTGCGTCGGGCGCCCGTGCTGCTCAGGAGCGAGGTTCGTCTGCGGAACTCGGCCGGAGACATCTCAAAGAAGGGGGCCAGGTTTTCGTAGAGGATTGCATAGTTGTCGATCATGCACTTTTTTTCCTTGGCATAGGCGAACCACTTGTCGTAGTTTCGCGGGGGGTTGCGGCCGTGCAAGAGCTGGTAGCGGGCAACAGCCTCCTTGAGGGTCCGTGACTGAGAGCGATCGATGGCATCGATAAGCTGCTGGGCTCGCTCATCTTTGGTGGTTGAGGCAGTTGGAACGGTAACAGGTGGGTTGACGGGCGGATTGGTGGGCGGATTGGCGGCAAGATCATGAGTGGCATGATTGTGGCCGGCGGAGGTATGGGCATGGCCACTTGCAGAGGAGGTTGGTCCGTCAGTGCCAGTGCGAACCGAGAATGTTGTTGGGGTCGGCCGCAGAATCAGCAGCGTAAAGATGATGGCGATAAGCAGGCCCAAGAGCCGGGTGGCATGCAGCTTGGGGAACATGGCGAGGAAGGCCTGAGGCAGCTGGAGACCGAAACAGAGGAAGGGGGCGAGGGCGAAAAATGCAGGCGAAAAATGCAGGCGAAAAATGCAGGCGAAAAATGCAGCAACACAGGAACGACCAAGTTCCGGAGATGGGCTTGGCTTGGTCCGGTTTGGGAACAGGAGAGAGAAAGAGAGGGCCAGTGTTTTTGTGGGTGGGTTTGAGCAGGCCAGCAGCGCTGCTGCCACGCGCAATGCAGCATGCCCGCCACCACCGAGCGCGCCGGCTCTTGGCAAGGAAAGGGAAGGTCGGGGTCTGTGGGCACGGTCGGGCAGTGGCGGCCACGCGGTCTCGTGTCGCATGGCGCCGGTGACGCCCTTGTCGACACTGTGGCCACAGTGAGGGTCGCGCCGGTGCCGCGGCGGCGTGGGCCACGACCATGGCAGCGCAGCAAGCAGCGACACACAAAGAGTGGGTCCGTAAATATTTCGAGCCCGCACTATCGCTTTGCCACTGAACAGTCACTTGGGCAGCTGCACAAACAGGGGCAGAAAGGGCTGTTGCAGCGGTCACATCAACAGCCGCGCCGCGGGCACAACAGAGGCCCTACAGCAGGCACAATGGCAGCCTTACCGGGCACAGCAAGAGCCGCGACAACAGCTGTGTCTGCTGCCCCACAGCCAACAGAGACAGCAGTCACATCGGCAGCAACAATAGCAGCAACAACAAGCCTGGCAAGGCGCTGTGGCAATCGACACATCGACAGCAACGGCGGCATGACCCTCTCGCTGTGCTCGGCCAAGGACGGGGCGCTGTCCAAATCCGGACGGACACGGCCCCATGTGCTATGGTTTTCAAAAGGCTGCTGTGCGGCTTGGCGCGCTGCTCGCAAAGCTTCGCTCGGTCGCCAGGCAAAGAGCAACAACAGCAACAACAGCAACAACAACAACATCAACAGCGGCTGCACGATGTCCGCGACAGGGACCGGCCAATCGCGGGGCTCTCCATGGCCAGCACGTTCAGAGCCATTGGCAAATGATCACACTGCATCGCACTACATCGCACTGCATCGCACTACATCGCACTGCATCGCACTACATCGCATTGCATTGCATCGACCTCCAGACCCATGTCGCTTCATGAAACGGTGTATTTCAGGACCAGGCCGTCCACAAACGCACAACGATAGTGAATCAAGCGGCCCGAAGCTGTCTCCGCCCTATCTTGCCTAGGCGTCGTATTCGGGGTCGTTGACTCGTTGGATGAGGATGGCAAAGTAGCGGATCATCTCGGCTGGTGGTTGATGATGCAAGGCAAGAAGTGTTGGTAAATCAGCGGGCGCCGGCTGCAAACCCAGAATGCCATTGCTCGGTCCATCCCTTAACACGCACGCTCGTCCAGCCTTGCCCTTCTGACTCTAAACTTACCGTAATCGGCAAGGTGGATGCGCTCATTGACACCGTGGATGCGGACCAAGTCGGTCGAATTCATACGAACAGGCATGAAGCGATAAATCGAGTCGGTGAGGACTTCGTAATGCTTGCTGTCGGTGCCCGCGAGCATCAGGCCAGGCGCAACCGCAATCGAGGGCCGAAGGTGTTGGAAGCATGTGTGGTAGACCCATTCCAGGGCCCGGAACGGCGGGTTCTCGATCGAGGATACGGGGGATGGCAAGTTGTCGCGATGAATGGCGATCCGCAGCCCATGAATCTTGTGCTTCCTGGCGACGGCCTCGATGTACGCCTGAGTACTCTCGCAGCTCTCGCCCGGAACCGTTCGTACGTTGATGTTTGCGGAAGCGACTTGGGCAATGACGTTGTGGGCTGTACCGGCCGTCAGGATGGTCGGAGTCATGGTCGTGCCAAGCATGGCTTTGACAGCAGGTTTGTCGAGGACGGACAGCAAGAGAGGCTCGAAAAGCTCCTGGTTGGCAAACATGACCTGATGCAGCGGGTTGGTCATGAACGGAATCAGGGACTCGAGGGTCATGCCCATAATGCCGCTGGCGAGCTTGGCAGGCAAGGGCTCGGCTTCCAGGGCCACCAGGAGCTTGCTGAGATGGATGATTGAATTGTTTTGCGAAGGAGTCGAAGCGTGGCCGCCGATGCCCTGTATTTGAAGCTCGATATCGCAATACCCACGCTCGGCGATGCCGATCGAAGCTGGCGCATATGCAACGAGTGCCGCGGCAGTGGCAAAATGATACATGGAATCAGGCGTGAGAGATCACGGCGCGGATCAAGATTCAAAGTCAGGCTTGCCCGGCCTGATACCACTGGCGTGACGACCCTTGTCGAGTCCAAATAGAATGAGGCTGGTTCAGCCATAGCACTTGCCTACGGAATTTGCGACAATGTCCATATCGCCAACGATGGGCAGGCCCTCGTCCACGATGAAATCAAAGCGGGTGCCGCGAGACTTGAAGAACTCGGCAATGTAGCGGGCGCCGTGCATGCCGCCGATCTCTCTGCGGGTTTCAACGAGTCGATGGTCAGCCCCGATCGACCTCCATCGATGTACCATCCGATCTGGAGCGCTACTCACTCGTCGTGTCCGTACGCGAGCCAGATCGACCGCTTTGTCTGATATCCGACCGAGAGGAGATACTCAACTGCTTCGAGTTGGCTCATGACCCTGCAGATGACGGGCGGATGCGGCGCGGCATGGCATGGTAGTCGAACAGCGTTAATCAAGTGCATACGATGCTATGACATCGGCGAGATGGGACGGGGCAGAGGCGCCCGGCGATATGCGATGCGCGAAGATACACACCCGTTCTTGACGTCCAGGGTGCCGCGACCGTAGAGCCAGCCCTCGTCATCGACCATGCCCGCAAACGGAGGGAATTTCCACTCATGGAGCGTTTTGTCCTCGACAGGGACGACGTCCTGATGAGACGTCAGAAGGATCGGCGTGGTGGTCTCGGCCGCGGTGCCTGCATGGCCCAAGGAGACAAATCAGCATGTTTCCCCTGTGGGTCTTTGTCTTGCCGGTTGTCCATGCCATGGGGCAAGGGACGCTGGTTGAGATCAACACACTTTTATCTCTGCTGCAAGGGGGGATGCAACCCAGAAGCAGCCCAGAAGCAACCCGGAAGCATGGCAGAAAGAGGATAGAGCGAGCTAGACGCCGTCCTGCACGATGTGGCCCACAGGGCCCTGTGGACCCAGGCTTCAATGCTCGATCCACAAATGCACATTCCCTTGAATCCACATGCAAAGACCTCCGTCAGAGACACATGGATCCGCAGACATACCTCTCCACTCGAACACGAGCGAATAGTTGGAGATGATGTGTTTGTTCAGCTTGGAATAGACAAGCGGGAACGACGCCTCCAAGAAGGCATGCCATTTCACAAAGTCGTCGTGGATGACGACGTTTCCACCGGGGTAGTTGAGCGACGAGATTGTTGGGTGCTGGATGGCCCTGATCATGCGCTGCTGGTGCGGACGCCAGTCGATGTTCTTGAGCTCGTCGTACGAGTGGTCCGCAGCAAGCGACTGGGCAAAGCCACCATGTCGGGTCAGCACATGGGATCGGATAGTGTAGGTGTTGTAGGCGAGCAGCGAGGCAAAGGCTGCAAGGACCGAAACGAGGATGGCGGATATTTGGAGCATTTTGCGATGAGGCAGGGCGGTCGCTGAGGAAAGCCTGGCGACGGCGCTTTTCAAGCCAGGGCCTGCCAAGGGACAGCCCCACGCACCGCGCCAGTCACGGTGACCGCCCACGACGCCCTGCTCATGAAAACGGAGGCGGATGAATGGAAGCAAGCGCACATGCAGGACGACACCCCCGGCCGACGGTTCTTGCGAGCCGGGGAGTGGCCGACCCAGGCTGCCGGCATTGCTCCATCGGCGGAAGCCCGGCCAGTCAGGTGACCGTCCCTCCCGGCAGACCGCATGCCGAGCTGATTGGCCAGCTGCTTTTCAGACTCCGACGCTGCCCATTCGCAGGATTTGCCACAGGCAAAAGCGAAAAAAAAAAAGATCGCCCAAGCCAACGCCCCAGGCGGCTGTCGTTGCTCGGATCCCGTTGCTTCCTCTGGCCTCCTGCTGCCCCCTCGCTCTGGCCAACATCCTGCCGCAAGCCCCATCGTCCAGCAGCATGCGCTTTGTATCTCGCCACAGTCTGCTGCCTCGGCCAAGACTGCCGTTCTGGCCAGCCCCTGCCGTGGCCCCACGACGATCCGTCGCCACCTTCGCCCTTCACCCCGTCGCCGCTGGTCTCGTCCAGAAAGCCAGCTGGGCCCATACTCAAGGACTTGTATTGACGGCGCCGAGTGTGCGCTCGGGCATCCGTTTCTACTCCACCGTCAATGATGCAGCTGCCGATGGGCCCAATGCCAGCGGCGGTCGTTTGATCCCGCCCGAGAAGATCCGCAACATTGCCATCATCGCTCACGTCGACCACGGCAAGGTATTATTTCGCTGCTTGTGCCAGCCTGGAGTCTGCTTCTCTGTTGTCGCTGGTGATACCGGCATACTGGACTGGTGCCCGATGTTGCGTCGCCCCATACGGCTGCGATTCGCTCTCCCGATCGGCTCAACTCTTCCTCATCCATTCGTCTCCCACTCATGCTGCGCTCATCGGGGGCCAAGACCACTCTTGTTGACTGTCTGCTCAAGCAATCCGGAACCAATCTTGGAGACCAGCAGGGCGTCACCCGTGTCATGGACTGTAAGCAGCCTCCCGCCCCATGCCCGCATCGGCGGGGATCAGCACTGCTGGCATCGGGGTGTGTCTCGGCGATCTGGCCAAAAGTGGCAGCCGTCCGCGATGACTCACTGGAGTATTGCACCGGACCCACCACCCAGCGAACGCTCTGGAAAAGGAACGAGGCATCACCATCCTGTCCAAGTGCACTAGCATCAAGTACAAGGACCATCGCATCAACATCGTCGACACTCCTGGCCACGCTGATTTTGGCGGAGGTGAGCTCCTGTTTGACTGCGGGCAACATAGGCGCAGAGCCAGCGTCCGCATCCAGCGCACCGGCGAGGGCAGCCGGTTTTTTGTAAACGCATCACTGAGATTTCGTCCCCGGCAAAAGAGGTCGAGCGTGTCCTTTCCATGGTCGATGGTGTGGCCCTTGTTGTCGATGCCACCGAGGGGCCGATGACCCAGACTCGATTTGTCTTGTCCAAGGCACTGAAGCACGGTCTGCGGTGAGTCGTCGCAAAGACCAAACAGCCTTGGGCCTTGGATGTGCTCGTGTCTTTGCCATTCCGCATCCATACTCATCGATCGCCGTGATCTTGCTGCCCACAGTCCCGTGGTTGTCATCAACAAAGCCGACCGTCCGACCTCGCGGATTCCCGAGGTCGAAACCGATTTGATGGATCTGTTCTTCAATCTGGAAGCCACCGAGGAGCAGCTCGAGTACCAGACAGTCTATGCCTCGGCCAAGGAGGGCTGGGCCACCGGCGACATGGACAACATTCACAAGCCCGAGCTTCGAAAGGACATGAGCCCACTCTTTGACATGATCCTGCACAATGTGCCCCACCCCAAAGTCGACCGCGCAGAGTCGTTCTCGCTCCTCGTCACGCAACTGGACCACGACGACTACGTCGGAAAGCTGTACCTCGGCAAGATTCAGAGCGGCATTCTCAGGGTTAACGATGAAATCCAGGCCTTGAACCCGGACGGCACCGTGACCGACTCGGGACGGTGTGTCAAGCTCTTTGTCCAAGACGGTCTGAAGCGTGTGCCTGTGGAGGCTGCTGGCGCCGGCGACATTGTTCTGATTGCGGGTCTCAAGAACGCCACCGTCAACACCACCATGTGCTCTCTCCAGATCACGGAGCCGATCCCGGTTGGTATTCCGCATGTCTATCTGCGATTGGTTCTGGAATTGCTGGCGAGCTCAAGCGGAGGGGAACAGCGCAGCGGCCCCGTGCGATGAAATGGGCTGAGTGGGTGTGCAAGCGGCATCAGCGCCGCGGTTCCGAGTGGTACTGATTCTGATTCCGTTTCCCTTGCCTTTCGGCTCTCGCCTCTCGCCTCTCGCATTGTCTATCTTGCGGTGAACTAGTCCACACCGATCGATCCCCCGACTGTGGCCATGAACTTCTCTGTCAACGATTCGCCCCTGGGAGGACAAGAAGGCACCCGTCTGACCTCCAACCTGATTCGTGAGCGGCTCCTCAAGGAGGCCGAGACAAACGTCGCGCTGCGTGTCGGCCCAAGTGCCGAGAACCCCGAGATCTTTGAGGTCTCTGGCCGTGGCGAACTGCAGCTCGGCGTTCTTGTGGAGACCATGCGTCGCGAAGGGTTTGAAATGTCCATCTCTGCCCCGAGAGTGCTCCTCAAGCCCGATCCCGATGACCCCAAGCAAATGTACGAGCCCATCGAAGAGGCCATCATCGACGTGGATCCCAAGTTTGCAGGCACCATCATCGAGAAGATGAGTCAGCGCAAGGCCGAGCTGAAGCTCTACACCGATATCGGCGATAAGACCCGACTGGTGTTCCGAGTCCCTGCGCGTGGCCTGATGGGCTTTGCGTCCGAGTTCCGAAACGACACCCATGGCGAAGGCGTCTTGACCCATTCGTTCCTCGAGTACGAGCCCTACAAAGGGCCCATGGGCAAGATTCGCAAGGGTGCCCTTGTGTGTAAGTCTGCGTGACCGGGAATCGAGATACTGGGGCATCGGGGCAACTCTAGATGGAGCCAGCAGAGACCGTGCTGGAGCCCTGGTGGTTTTCAGTCAACCGGCTGGCTTGTTCACTCGCGCGACACTAACTGCCGCATCGTTTGCTCCATATTCTGCAACTCATACTCATTCTTGCGGCTCCGGCGCTCCTTCCTGTTAGCTGTTGGTGATGGCGAGGCAACTAACGATGCTATTGAGCGGCTGCAGTCTCGTGGCATTTTCTTCATCTCCCCTGGCGACATCGTCTACAGCGGCATGGTTGTGGGCGAGAATGCCAAGGAAGGCGACATGCCTGTGAACCCCGTCAAGGCCAAGGTGGTTTCGAACGTCCGCAGCAGCGGCAAAGAGGAGACCATCAAGCTCGTTCCCCCGAGACTGATGACTCTCGAAGAGTGCATGTCGTATGTGGCCGACGACGAAGTCATCGAAGTGACTCCGACCCGAGTGCGTCTCCGCAAGAGACCGCAGGACAAGGGCAAGAGAAAGTGATCGTGTTTGACACAGCACGCCAGCTTTCGACACAGAGCTGACGGGAATGGGATGCGCCCCTTCGCCAACCCACACTTCTAGAACATCAGGAAAAAAGTCAAATAAACAAAAGAGAATACATTACTCCGAGACTGGAGATGAATGAATACAAATGTGTGTTCGTGGATGACATTGGAAGAGCGCCGGAAATACCGGGAGGCTCAAATACAGCGCTGTATGGTGCTTCTCCAATCCAACAGCCGGCAGCGGTTGTCGGGCAAAACAAGGTGTTTCGTTCTGCGCGAGCTGTGGTTGCGAAAGCACCATCTCTAGAGATCCGTAGCAGAGGAGCCAGCGATCAGGGCTCTCAGAACAGAGCAGCAATGGCGAGACCAGCCAGCAGCACCGAGGCACCGAAACCGACAGGGAAGGCGGATGTCGCCGCTGCAGACTTGGCAGTCGCCGTGGACGACGCCGCCGCACTCTGCGAGGCTGTCGCGGCAGCAGCGCTCGAGGAGCTGACCAAAGGAGCGGTGCGGGTGCAGCCGTATCCGATGACTCTCATGTAATCGATGCGAACGTGAAGCTCAGATGTCAGGTTGTCAAAGTTGATGTTGCCGTCGCCAGCCCAAGCGTTGTCCTGAGGGTTCCAGACACCGAACTGGATGCGAGAGGGCTGGATGAGCGAGTAAAAAGATGGAGGTGAGAATGGGCCGTGGTGCATGATGCAACGTCGAAAGCACAGGCAGTCGATGCGCTAGAAGACCCCAGCGATGGCTTACAGTGGCCGGATAGCGGTACGAGTTGTTGCCCAGGGAGCTCTTGACGACGGTATCGAAGGGCTTGCGTTGCCAGGAAATGACACGGATGAGTCGCTGGACACTTGATTGGAGACATGTGTGAAACGCGCGGTGTGCGATGGCAGAAATAGGTGCCACTTACCACGCCGTCCAGGCTCCAGGTGATAACGTCGGGAGTCCAGGTGACGTTGTAGATGTGGAAGTTGTCGTAGGTGTTGTTGTTGGCTTCGCCAGCTTGGAAGTCAACCTGAACGGACATTGGTGGTTAGTTACTGGGACTGTGTCGGAGCGGGCTCGGCAGCAGGAGGTGGTGGGCTTACATTGAAGGTCTGCTCGCCGTTGTGGTACCAGTTGGCTGGAGGAAGCGAGCGGAGGGTAGTCGGTGAGTGGAAAGAATCGGACGGCACAGAAAGCCAGACGAGGTGGTCAGCGAGCAGCGACGGTGCAATATCATTGGCTCGGACACAACATACCCTGGACCTCGTTGGCAGAGGCGGCGTCCTTGGGAACCATTTCAAAGTCGATTTCATCCTGAGTGTTGGAAATGCTGACTGCGATGCAGAACAGATGGGCGCATGAGAACAGTAGAGCGAGACGCCAACCTCCGACCAGTACTTCTCGCGGAGGGGAGGGACTCGGACAGATGATGGTCACGTACTCAGGGTGGAGACGACACCAGAGCGGCCGACGGTGGCCAGACGAGCCTCGAAGGAGCCGTAGTTCATGAAACGGGTAGTCGACATGATGGTGGCATTGGCGTTGGGGACACCAGCAGGGGGCTTGATGAGCGGCATGTACAGGATGCTGCCGTTGACATAGGGCAGACCGGCTTCGATGACAAAGTGGGCGGTGCTTGGGTCGCCTGTGTAGTTGCCCCATTCGACGGCACTCAGGGTGTCGAAATCGTCAAAGAAGTAGCAGCTGTCGTCCTGGAAGAGACAGGCAGAGACGTCGGCGGTCTGGTTGCCGCACTTGAGGGGATAGAACTGGGCCGAGACGGCAGAGGCGACCGCGAGGATCAGAGCGGCAGAGACAGCGACCATAGTGCAGAGGGGATGTCGGGGAAGGTGTGCAGATGGGAGACGGCCAGCGATAGAGACAGAACGGCGCTGCCGCCGCCGACGACGACGATGGTCTTTTTCACTTCGCCCTCCACGCGCCGCTTCCTCCAGACAGAACGATACTTGGGCCGCCGCAGGAACGTGCCTCGCCACGCGTGCGCATGGTGCGGCGGGAGTGTGGGCTGTGCAACGGTCTGGCGGCGGCATGTCCATGCAAGACAAGGCACGGCCTGGTGCACATGTGCCATGTGGACCGCACCCGTCCCGGGCCCTGCCTCCTCCTGCGCGCACAATCGGCCCCGGCGACCCGTTCGGGAAGTGCAATCTCGGCGCGCGGCATCACTACAGCGTGTTCAGAACGAAACGAGACGGTGGGTGTCTGTCGAGAGGGGGTCGTGCTGGCGCCGGACCACTTGGCCTGCGGGCTCGTCACGACAGCGGCGTCGCATGCGTTCGCTGGCGGGCAAGCGCCGCCGCTTTCTGGGCTGTCCGCTGGAGAGAAAAAGCACATTCGCAGCGTGAGGAACATTGTCGGCGAAAGCAGCACCCGTCGCTTGTGTCGCTGTCGCGGCCGCTGGGCTCACCTCGACAACGGAAACACCTTCGCGGAACCTGGTCCGGAACAGCACATTCGCGTTGCTGAACATGCCGTCCTTGAGCGAGACGATGATGAACTGCGAGCCCTTGAAGCGCGTCTTGAGAAGCTGGCCAATGTTCTGCGTATGTGACAGATCCAGCGCGGCGTCGACTTCGTCGAGGATGTACATGGGTGCGGGCTTGAACCGCAGCAGCGACAGGATCAACGCGAGCGCAACGAGCGATCTGGGTGTCCGACAGAGAACCAAGGGGGTCAGGGCGCAGATCCACAGACGAGCGCGGGGCGGGGGGTCGCGAGCCCGTGGGATGTTCGCGGCTGGCTTCGGCCTGTGTGTGTGCGAATTGCATCTGCAACATACCTCTGGCCTCCGCTGAGTTCCGTCAGGCTTTGCTTCCACACCCCACCGAGGGCCACCTTGACCTCGAGGCCCTCGGTGATGTCCTGGCCCTCGGGCGGCTCGAGCTTGGCATCGTTGCCCGGCAGCAACTCGCCAAAGATGGCGCCAAAGTCCCTGTAATCCCAGTCAGCATCCACAGTGAGTTAGCAGTGATTCGCTCCATGAGACCAAAATGTACATGAGCAGGAAGAGTAGTCCTTGAAAGGCAGAGAGGGAGAGGGAGAGGCCTGGGCACGGGTGCTTGCGAGTCCGCCATACCTGTTCACCTTCTCCCACGTTTTTTGCAGAGCCTCGGTCTTGTAGGTCTCGAGCGAGAGAATCGTCTCGTCGATTTTGCGCTTGTCTCTCTTGACTGTAGCCAGGCGCTGTTTGAGCGCCAGCTCCTGCTTCTCAACCCTGATGGATCAAGCGGAAGCCGTCCGATGTCGGAGAGTCGTTTCGTGTCAGAGCGACGTCTCATGCCGAAAGCACATTTCGTACCAGGAGAGCACCCCGACTGGGGGGGGATGAGCGCCAAGATGTGGAACAAGCGGCTCTCGCTAGCACGGTACCGAGCACCAGGCTCAAGCAGCTCACCGGGTAAACGACTCGGCTGCGGAGGGATCTAGCGTGCGGCTCAGGCTCTGCTGGCCCTCTTCGAGCTGCCGGGCTCGCTTCTTGCACTCGGCAACGTTGTACCGTGTAAAGTCGAAGACAGATCCAGGCTGGCCAAACAAGCTGGATATGTGCATCGTGGAGTTCAGCTTTGGTGGCTCGAGAGAATGGATGGCCTCAACGAAACATTTGCTGCCTGGCTCTGGTGGCATGCGCAGTAGTACCTGCGCTGGTCCTGGATCCATGCATGCTCGCGCTCAAGATTCTGGATGGTCAGGGAGGATTCCTTCTTCTCGGTGTTGAAGCGCGAGATCTCTTGCTTGATCCTTTGCAGCTCGCGCCGCTTCTCCTCCGTTGAGTCCATGATGAGCTTCTTCTCCTTCTGCAGCTTCTTGCCGTTGGCATCGGCAGCGGCGATCTTGGCCTTGGCGGTCTCGAGCTCCTCGGTAGATGCGTCCAGGTCGCGCTGTGTTGATGCGATAAAGAACAGACACAGGGTTTATCGTAAATAGTCGCGATCAGCTGATGAAATGGAGCGACTGCGTCGGAAGATGTATCGGGTCGATTGGCAGATGGGCTGCATCCGCCAACCGCTGCCCATTGCCCTGAATTGGCACGCACGCGTACCTTCACCCGCTCGATCTTTTGTCGCTGGTTCTGCTCCTCGGCCAAGTAGATGCCCAACAGCTTGGTGGTTTCGTGGATTCTCTCCTCGACTTGAGCGATCTGCAGCTCGATTTGGTCTGGAGTTTATGCGGACGACCGGTGTCAGCAGCAGGAGCAGCTGGCGGCGCTTGCTTCCTTCGTATCAAGACGATTGAAAGTGCAAAGTCGCTATCCTTCTGTGGAGCAGCCGGGCACCTACTTGCTTCTTCCTTGAGAATGTCCAGGGACATTTGCATTTTCTTTGTAGCGGGGGCATTCTTTACGATTTCTGCGCGACCCTCCTTGACTTTTTTCTGCAAGAGAGATGTATGTGAGTCATCATGCTTCAACGCAGCCAGTAAAGGACACGTATGTAACGAACATCCCTTTGACGGCCCGAGGGATTCCATTGGGGCTGAGCGCCTCTGCCTCTGCCTCTGCTCAGTGATGCCTATCGTATTGGCGACAGTACCTTGAGGGAAAGCACCTTCTCGTTGCGATGCTCCGAGAGCTCGCTCATCTCCTTCTCCAAGTACTGGATTTTCTCGGCAAACTCGCTCTTCTTGGACGAGCTCTCCTTGAGATTCTGTCGGTAATCCTGCAGCTCCTGCTTCAACGAATCCACCTGGGAGGCGATCTGGATACCACACAATCGATAATGAGAATGCCGGGGTGGTCTCCCAACGATGTCTGCTTCCGCTTCGTCGATCAATCTGTCTGCACAGGCCGTCGATTTTGGGGTATTCTTACTTTGGCATAGCGGCTGGACTCGATTTGCTCGTTAACGAGCTTCATTTGATACTCGTCCAGCTCGAGCTGGCGTTTGGCCTGACTGTAGTCGCTTGCGGTTTGCATCAGCGCCTCGAGCTGGCTGCAGACCTCGTCAAGCTCGGCCTGAAGCTTCTCGATCTGATCCAGCAGCTTCATAGATTCGAACACCTTGATCAGCTGGCTGGTGGTTGATGACCGGAATCCGCCAGAGAGTGTTCCAGTGGCTTCATAGACATCCCCGTCCATGGTAACAGAGCGCAGACGCACGCGATCGTTGAAGGTTGTGGTTTTGGCAGAATCCGCATCTATGGATTTTCCGGTATTAGAACGTATGGTGGCTGAGCCAAAGCGACGATGCATTGATTTCGATTGCCCTGCCTTCATGCACAGGCTGTATGTCAAGTTACAGAACAATGCACCAGGTTTGGGCATTGCTTCAAGTCGGACGCGGCAGTGCACGCTCGGGCAACAAAACTTCATTCATACAGACTGTATTGGCCGCAGCGATCTTACCTTTGCAGATGAGGGTGCTGCCAAACACATATTCCATCGCCTTTTGCAGGTCTTGCTCGAACTCGATCATGTCCAAGGCGAGGGATACCTTGCCCGGAGCCAAGTTCTTGGCTGTTCGAACTTTCTATGGAGTTCGCGGAGAAATCGACAGGCGCAATCGCCAACTCAGTCCATTGCAACGACATGGGCGAATAGCCGTGCGGCTGGGATCGTTACAGCTGTCAATACTGCAGCCCACCGACAAACCCACCTCGGGAGCTGCCGGGTTACTGTGGATTTTGTTGAGAGGAATCAGCGTTTCTCGCTTTTGGAAGTGCTTTCCGCTGAGCAATTGCGCGCCGATCTGTTCTGTCTCGACCACAATCTAGAAGGCGAGAGCGTTGTGATGAATCATCTGACAAAGCCACGAGGAGAGCTAGAGCGGGATAGGCGCTCGCCGCGGGTGATGCCTTCCTGATGCTCCTTCGCGTACTGCCAGTGACTTCGTCGGTCTTACATTTCGAAGCTTGCCGCCAGCGGCGACCTCAAGGGCGAGGGCGTACTCGTACTGATCCTCCGACAGCCGCATCAAATTGGCAACGAGTCCCCGGACCTTGGAGCGGTCAAATCCCTTGTATGGATCCGTGAACTGCAGCTGAAAGCCGGCAAGCTCATTCATCAGGAGGTTGTCATAGGTCTGTGTGGAGAAAGCGCAGCAGGTCAGTACCCCACGGTATAGTTGCGAATCCAGTGAACGACACCGGGCCGACTCACACCTTTCTGAGTTGATTCAGTGTCGCTCGCAGCTGGCTCTGCTTTGCTGCGAGTTTTTGCTGCTTCTCGGGATCCCACTCCAACTTGGCCAGAAGCTCCTGCGATTTTTTGACTCGAGCCTGGGTCTGCTCGAAGCTCTGCACGAGCTGCCGGTTTTCCTTGGAGGCACTGCCCATGGAGCCCTCGAGGGTCTTGAGTTCCTTTTCGGTGTGGCTGATTTTGATTTTGATCTCCTCGATTTCTGCCACGGTATTGCTCAGGTCGGCTTTGGCGACTGCGAGCGGAGGCGGTGGGGGTTGTTAGACACAAAAGCAACACGCCGATCGACATCGAGGTATCGGGCATGCCAGAAGTCCCGCATCACCCGCATACCGCGAAGCTGGTCCATGTATCCATTTTCGTGGCCCTCCGAAGCAGAGATGCCCGTGGTCAGGGTTTGCAGGAGGTTTTCGAGGTTCTCAACTTCCTTGACTTTGTTCGCATGCGCCAACGATGTTGCTTCAAACTTTTGCGAGAGCTCCTTGAATTTCGACTGGGCCTCTTCCAAGCTGGCAAGAAGCTGGCGGTTGGAGATCGAGCGCGTAGAAGCAGGTTGCAAGTCAGACTATGGCAGGACAGTAGGCGCTGGGTATAGCCCACACAAACACGATTCGGTTTGCACGAGCGTGTTGGAGGGGATGTCGTATGCTTTCGATCGTCATTTGAGCCCACCTCGTTTTTGGTTTCGTTGAGAGAATCGCGATTGCCGGTCTCCTCCTGGATCGAACGGGCCTTGAGCTCACTCTGGGTCTGCAGCTTGACGATGGCCTTGGCGTACTCTTTGACAGTCTCGTCGAGCTGCTCGACGCGCTCGTCTCGTTGCTGTGATGCAGCAGGAAGCCGGGTTGTCGGGGTGTCAGCAAGCTGATGAGACAGGTCTGTCATGCTACATTCCGAGGCTTTGCGACATAAACGTGACGACGACGTTGCATATTGACCTGCTCTGCGGCGTTCTCAGCTAGAAGCTGCTCGATCTTCCGAATCTCTTCGGCCATGGTGTCAATGTCGTTCTCCAGCGAGGCGATGTTGCTTGTAGAGTCGATGAGAAACTCGTTCGATCGGGCGAGTTTTGTCTATGTGTCAAAGTCGTGTCAGATGTTTTTTACCGGATCGGACATTGCGGTAGCAGCATTCGCCCACTGCCCTGAAGAAGCTGCGACGCCAGGCCCAGTCGGTGCGCACGCATGCGTGCAGTGGGTATCGCATATCATCGATCGGCTATACCTGACACTGGTGGTACTCGTGTGCGACTATCAGACGCTTGAGATCACCCAATTCCTTGTCGATCTTTTGGAACTCAACAAGAACACGCTTCTTCTCGCGAAGACTGTCGAGCTTCGGTCCGATTTCGGTCGCCAGTAGCTAAGAAAGATAGCGACGGTGACGAGGATAAGTATATCATCCTCGGACACCACCGTCGTTTGCCGTTCTCGGTTGCCGCCCTGTTTATTCGCACAGGCTTACGTCGTTGATCTCTGCGAGCTTGGCGTCCTTTTTGGCCATGTTCTTGATGGCCTTTTCCTTGCCCTCCTCAAACATTCGAGTGCCAGCTGCTTCCTCGACCATGGCCAAGATCTCAGGTGGCTTCATGTTCAGGACCTTGGTGATCTTGCCTTGCATGATGAGGAAGTGCGGGTTGTTGACGTTCAGCTGCACCGATTGAAACATCCGGCTGACCTGCTGCACTTGGACGGAATGGCCGTTGATGATGTACTTGTTCTTCCCGCCGATAAGGATCTGGGCGCCAGTGCATGAGTTGATTGTGGTGTTATTGGCTCCGCTGTCAAAGTCGATATGCTCTCGCCCAGCCCACTGCTCAGCTCTCATTACACCTTGCCTCTTGGTTGCAGGCCACCACAGCCACACAGCAAGGGCTGAGTGGTTTGCTCAACCATCGCCGATTGTACATCCAAGAGCTACGGTCGAAACAGTAGCCGAAGCTGGAGGCTCAGACTCGAATGGCAGCCAGAGCGGGGCTGCATCCAAACTCAGACGGCTCACCTGGCGGGTGACCGAAATCGTTCGGTGGTCCTCGTATCCGGGCGGACTTGCGTTTCGATCATCGTTGTTGAAGACGATGGTGACAGAGGCCTTGGTGACGCCGGCCTGGCCTCGCTTGTAGATAAGGTCTTGCAGGCTGCTTGCACGCACCTGGCAGACGGCATGCCAGAGCAGCGATCCAGGATAATGCGAGTGTGAGCTCATGTCTCGTCCAAGACTGAATCGATCTTGGCTCGACTCAGGCTCGAGCGGGCCGAAAGGACGCCCATCCTATGGATTGCATCGGGCCTCCTTACGTGCGACAGCGTTGTGATGCCCAGAACAAAGCATATCGAATCAAGGATGTTGGACTTGCCGGAGCCGTTGAGGCCGGTGATGGCATTGAACTCGGGGTCCCATCCTGAAATGACGGTGCGGTTGGCATAGGACTTGAATCCGTCAATGATCACCTCTTGGATGTGCATGGCGCTTGGTTTGCTGCGGGAAGGGAAGGGAAGGGAAAGGAAGGGGAGGGGAGGGAGAGGGCCTGGGGGCGAGTGGGAGGCCAACGGAGCCGCTCGATTGATCGTCGCCGGTGTGCCGCTGGTGGTTGTGCTGGGGCGATCGGCCAGGGAGAGGCAGTTATGCTGATGCCCAGTTCCGTGCAGCGCCGTGCGGTTCCGTGCAGTCCAAATGCGGGCTAATTGAACGGACGTCACGTGGACTGCGTGCGAATGACGACGGCCTCATGAAGAGGAACCCCGCTCATGGGCAGATTCGGTGTGAGCAACGAGGGATATGGCGCTTCGCGGTGCCCGAGATAGTCTCCGACTTTTGAGATGCTCAGAGGCGCCGTCCATTGTCGGCGCATCAAAGGCAGCGACGGACAAAGCGGTAGAATACGAGTCCCATCCCTTTCGGTAGTTTGAGCACAGCCGTCGCAGATTGATGGCGATCAGGTCATGTATTGCATTACGAAGAAAACACTGCCCTTTCCGAGACTAGGATGCACGCACATATGCGCGCCGCACTCCCATCGGTATTTCAGGATTGTCACGGCCGTTATGGAATCAAGTATAGCGCTTTATCTTGCGATCCCGGTCGGCAGATTTCTGTCCGACCAGCAGAGGCCCCGTTGTGATGTGGCCGTGGCTGCCTGCGAAGGTGCCGGGGCTGATCCGGCCATGTACCGTGCGAGCCATGTCCATGAATCGTGGCCCACGGGGACCGGGACTGGTCGAGAAGTTGAGCTCGAGGCGCTTGTCTTGGACGAGGACGCCGTTGAGAGCATTGATGGCGCGGATCGCATGGTCGCGGGACGGCAGCAAGACGAGCCCGTATCTGAATCACGAACGGCGGTGAGTTAGCCTGGGCAACTCACACGCAGACTCCAGGCTTGCAATGAACACATGCGGAATGCGGACGCCTCACCCTCTATTGCCCTTGTTTTGGCGGTCCGAGTGAGGAATGGATGTCTCGACTGGTTCAAAGGCCGTAAAGATAAGATGGAGGGCTTGGGCAGTGAACAGCGCAGGGATGCCGCGAACGTGCACCCAGACCCCTTGGTCCGATTTGCCCATCCGGTCATCGGACACAACGCACTGCGAACCGTCAGGCCCGACGACTTGATATACTGTCCGAGCAGGTTCATATCGATTGGCAAGGTCAAAGGAAGAGGCCGTGGTGTATGACACGAGGACGTAAGCGGGGTGAATCATCGTGGCCGGTGGACAAGCCACAAGCACCGTAGGCCATCCTCCACACCGCTCCCGCATACAGCCCGCACCCTGAGTCAGTCTAGTTGCTACGGCTGCCATATCCCCATCTACATCCACCCAATAGCACGGTCGCTATACCTTCATCACCCTGGTCGTTCTCGTCCTGTAGTGTCGCCAGAGCAGAGAACGACGACCCGGGTCTATCCTCGGTCTCGGAGGCCTTGACGCATTCGTTGTGAAGTGTGTCGCAGGAAGACAGGGTTGACGGAGCCAAGCCAGACTTGACAGGCTGGGACCCGCTCTGGGCGAGAGCAAGCGTGCTGCTTGGCTGGGATGGCTGCGGTTTCGGCGGCAGTGGCAGCGGCAGGGGCGGGATCGGATGCGTGCTGGCTGATGTGGACGTGAGCGAGGCTGGTGGCGGAGGCTGCGTAAGGGCAGTCGGCAGTGACAGAGTCTGGGCCGGTCGTGCCGGCTGCGACGACAACACAGGGGTGTGTGGCACCGAAGGTAAGGGTGTCGAGGCAGGGGTCGACGAGACGGCTGATCCAAGTGTTCCAGCCGGCTGTGAGCGGCCGCCACCTCCGCCGCCACCGGTGCTGCTCGGCGCTGTTGGTGCACCGGCATCCTGGGCGCAGTCGGGGGCGCTGGTGGATTCAGAGGGGCGCCGGGGTGGGGGCCTGTTGGGAATGGACGTGCGGCCCATGACTTCCTCGATCTGGTTTCGGAGCTTCTGGATCTCCTCGTCCTTTTGAGAATTGCTGGAGTTGAGCTCGGAAATGGTGCGGTTGAGGTTGAGGAGCTCGTCTTCGAGCTGGCGTTGCGTAGCGCTCCAGCGCTGGACCGTTTCCTGGGAGCCCAGGTTCGAGCAGATGATGAGACAAATGGACAGCGCATGGGATGAGTCAGCAGGAGATGGGGTAGGCTCCCAGCAGCCGGGCGGTCCGGTGGTTCTGTCCGGGTCAGTCCAGAGCCAACGAGAAGAGAGCTTACCTGCAACTTTCGTCTCTCCTCATCGTCTGCCCTTCGACTCTTCTCGAGCTCGACGACCTGTTCGCGGAGGCAGGATGAAAGGTACTCCCAGCTCCGCGATTTTTCTCGCTCGGCGTCGAGCCGGTTTGCCATTTCGTTGCAGCGACAGGAGAGGATGACGACCTCGCGCCGCTGCTTCTCAAGCTCAGGGAGGAGGCTCGAGATCTCTGCGCCTTGGTCACGGGCGAGGGCCGTGAGGGCGGCAACTTCGAGCCGCTGGCTCTCGAGTTCGCGATAGATCTCCTTTGCGGTCAGGTTGGAATGGATGTCCATCATAGCGTGGGAGAGTGCCGAGGCGGGGGGATGGGTGGCGCTCATGGAGTTGGGGCCGCTGTGGGCTGGGTGGGCCCGGTCGAGATTGACGAAGGAGTCGATGGTGGTCATGCCGCCGCCTCGGGAGTGGGATGGCCCGGCCGAAGAGGAACCGGGACCGTTGCCGCTGCCGTTGCTGCTGCCACTACTACCGCCGTTGCTGTTGCCGTTGCTGTTGCTGTTGCCGAGATGGAGTGGGCCATTCATGATCATGCCCGAGGTCGCGTTGTGGGAAACGATGCACATGCCCCCTCCTCCCACCGAAGGCGGCTGTGATGGGGCGGGGCCGTTCAGGGGCTGGCTGGTGGACCGCATGAGCGTGTCGCTCGCCTCGCTGGCAGAGCAGCGTCTTTCATTTGACGAGGGAAACAGCGCCGCTTGGGCGAGGGCTGGTCCGACCAAGATGTTGCTCTCCCATGCCTGCTGAAACCCGTTGGACGATGAATTGGCAAAGGAAACGCCCGAGGGCGGTGGTGGCGGGGGAGGCGGAAATATGGCCAGATTCAAGTTCTTGTCGGATGTCGGTGGCGCCCACGTCGTCATTCTGAGCATTGATTCTTGGCTGGGCTCTGCTGAGGGGAGCGGAGGTTGATGCGCACACTGATGATGAGCGGTGGCGGCGGCGGCGGCGGTGGTGGTGATATAGAGTGGCGTGGGCGTATCCGTGTGGATGAGGCTCTGGTGTTCCGGGGTACGGTATCAAGGCAACATGGGAGCAGGGCGACGGGGCGACGGGGCGGTAGAAACGCCAAGTGAGAGTGCGATGCAAGAACAGAGACTTGGATCAGCATCGCGGACTATCGGAGCAACGAATCTCAGCCTCTCACACACAGTAATCGACAGATTCGCTCGCCTCGGACCTTTCCACGAGCCCACCAAGTCGCGCATTCGCATCAAACCACGCTCCGAACATTGTCATCCCTCCTTGCATCGGATGCGTGAGACCGGGCGGGCGGCGTGTCCCTTTCGAACGGATAGATGCGCACCCGTACCTATCCTTGATTGTCGCGTCCGAGGCAATTGACACGCCGGTGCTGAAAGATAGACGAATGTTCTCTCACTCCGCTTGATGGCGATGGTATGTGGCTGAGGCCGAGGTTGTCGGGAGCGACGTCTATAGGAAATTCTCCGCGACAATGTCTATACAATCGCTTCTATGGTAGCAGCTTCTGCGTGATTCCAAAGGACAGCCAGGTCAATGGACTATTGCCCCAACCTTGGCTCGAGGCTGGCCGAAAACGAAGGCGGCTGCAATTGTTTGCCCTGCACGCCACTGAAATGCATCACTCAGGTGATAACGACTCATCCAACACAACGGGAGAGCCGTCGCACCCAAGTAAGTCAAGATGGGGAACGCGAGAAGGGTGGCGGCAAAAGGTGCTTGTGGGGCCCTGGGAACACACCTACGATACTGCCGGGCGGGTCAGAGAACAAGGTTGGCGGTTATTGGTGTTGAGGGGTTGTGTCTGCGAGTTGGAGATGGGTGTGAGAGACCTGATTCCTCGCCTTCTATGCCCGCTCCGACTCGCGCTTTTGGTCGTGAGCGCCAGGATAGTTGTGGAACGCGAGTCTGTGGCGACCGATTGACAGGGGTCTGGAAGGGGTGGTGGATTGGTACGGGGTATGGGTGAAGGGTGAAGTGAAGGGGCCGGGAGCAGATAGCTAGCACTACCAAGTGCCTGCACGGGGCCGGACGGTAGAGAGAAAGGGAGAGAAAGAGAGAGATATAGAGAGATGCACGGGTCAGGATCAGAATGAGAGTGGACGTGGACGTGGGGGGGGGGCGAGCCGTAGAAGGCCGGCTGCGTTGGTGGGAAAGGCGAAAGGCAATGACGCGACAAGGAGTAAAGTCAGGGGGGAGTGAAGGGGAGGCGACCAGTGGCGGCAAGACACACAGGAGGGCACGGCAGGGCCGGAGCAATGGGCAGAATCCGGCGTGGGAAGCAGCGTGATTGCGTCCGAGGGTAGTGCACATGGACCGAGTCGTGAGAGAGCAGCTCGGCCGAGGCCATGATCGGGCTTACAGTACAGCGCGCCGAAGAAACAATGGGACACATCGTCTCTTTCAGACAAAAACACGCCGCAGTTGGATCATATCACGCACTCGGCCATGAGCGACCAAGTGGGGTCAATCATCTTCCTGGATGTCCTAAGCAAGCAGAGAGATTCATGGAGTGAGCAGGAGCGACGAGGACCAGGGAGTCACTGCAGATGCAGCCACTGCAACCCAGGGCAAGATGGCACACCCAGGAATCAGGCAAGACAGAAAGCAAAGGGCAAGATCGCTGGACGGCCTCGGCAAGCTGATGAGTTCATGGAGCACGGGTACCAATCAAGGTCGTTCAGTCAGATCGGTCAACGTCATTCAGCCCGCACAAGCCATCTGTCTGCTGAGGTGTCCTGCTATCATCAACTCGGGTGTCTCCCTGGGCGTCCAATCAGAAGATGCAGAGGAGGGCGGCACGACAGGGGGGGGAGTTTGAAGGAGCGGTAGAGCAAGACACAGCCGGCGGCCGTCCTCATGGGCCCACACTGCGTGTTCGATTGAAATGAGGCAGTGCCCAGTTCGTTTCCGAGCAGAGTTGCAAGGCGAGACAAAAAAAAAGGCAGTGTATTGCCAAGTGGGCGATTTGCCACTACACTTTATTCAGAAAAAAACGGGACAATATAGCCGTTTCCATGAACATGTAGTATGTGCTGTGCTTGCGTCAAGCAAAGCCACAAGAAATAAAACAGATCACTTTGGCAGCCTCCGAGTGAACACCACCGGTCGCTCTCCGATCTCCACAATCGACTTGCATACTGTGATCATGTTGCGCGCCGCATTGACGTCGCGATTCCACACTGTCCGGCAGCTGGGATTCTTGCAGCTCCTGACAAAGTGGGAATTCGCAACACTGGGCGCATCGAGTCCTTCCAACCGAACTGGCTCCAGGCACTTGGAGCACACTTGCGAGGTGTTGAACTCGTTCGTCGAGACTACCTTGACGCTTCCGTGAGGGTGAGTGGGACGGCGTCGGTGGTGCTCGAATTGCTCAAAGTACCGAGCAAACCGCTGCCTCCGAGGGCTGGATGCATAGCCCTTGCCCTGTCGCCATGACGCATTGCCAAAGGCGATCACCACATCGGTCCGTATCGGGGCGTGCTTCAGGACGGCCTTGCACATCTTGTCAATGGCCACTTGGCGCCTCTTGTGGCCCGTGAAGCGATGGTGACGGGCCTTCTTGCCAAGGTGGAAGTCGAGCTGCACTCGCAGCTCCGGTCGCAGGACATGGGTGAGATGGACAAGGAAGGCCTCCGAGGACGACACCTTGGGCGAGGGGGTGGTCGACATCCAGGTCTCGATGCTGAGTCGATACTTCATGATATTGTGCCACTCAGTATTGGACTTGTGGCCACACATGTGCTGGTAGTGGCCATTGGAGAACGAGACTACCTCGTCTTGGTGGCCCGGTGCTTGGATGACCGCCGTGAAGATGGAGCCGACTCCAGGATCGATGCCAATCCAGGTGGTACGGTTGGGGTCTGGGTCACCGATGTGGGCCTGGATGCGCTGTTCGGCAGTCGGAGGAGGCTCGATGGTCTCGGTGTGATCGGTTCGAGGCAGAAACTTGACGAGGCCGATGGTGCATCCAATGCCATCGGTGCTGATCTCGTAGTTGAACAGCTTCTTGTCCCTGACCCGCTCTTGGAAGAGGGAACTACGCAGCTTGAAGCAACTGCGCCAGAGACGATCCTGGTTGTTGACACCGTCCTCACCTTCTTCCTTGAGCTTGTCCCTGGTGAGTCCAAGGCGCTTCTTTGGACCCAGGAGCTCCCAAAGAGTGACCGTGTCAATCTTGATGTATTTGGCCCTTGTAGTGCATAGAGGAACTATCGTGCACACGGCCGGAGGAGTGTCAAGAGCGAGCTGCTTGAGTGCCCAGTTGAGTCTGGAAGCCAGCTTGTTGATCTTGGCCTTGGTGGTGCCGAGCTCAGACTTGGCCGTGGTGAACCTCTTGTCGTCGGAGGGAATGCCTTGGGTAGTGAGCTCGTCCAGCTTGGCCTGGCGCTGCAGCTCGGTGACTCGGAGGGCGGGCATGTCACAGTCGATCCACTTGTGGACATTGTCGACCATCTTGTCTCGGGCGAGGATTCTCACATGGTGTGAGAGGCGATGGAGGGCCCGGAAGCGGTCCTGGTCGCTGCTGTACCGAAATTCGTCCAGGACGTGGCCAAAGTCGGGATAGAGGAACTCGAGATCGGCCTTGGGTGGAGTCTGCCCTGGTTTCTCGAAGAGCTCGAGACAGGCCTCGATGGCTTCGTGCTTGTGCTTGTTGGCTGAGAAGACGGCAGCGCAGAAGCGGCGAAGGAGTCGCCAGTAGGCCAGATCGAGGTGGGTGGTGCAGTTGGTGGCATAGGCATTGACAGCCAGTGTGAGAAGCTGACTGTGAGCACCATCAGGCAGACGAGGGGCCGGAGGCAGGTCTGCGTGCCGAGTGGTCTGGTAGTCGCGAAAGGAAGCGACCAGATGCTCGTTGTATTTCTCGTTGTCCCTGGCCGTCGAGAGGGCACCGTCCTGGACGATCTTGAAGCATTGACGGATGAAAGCAGGGGTGGCCTTGGAGATGACGGGGACGGGAAGATCCTGCTCGATGCACCTCAGGATGTGCAGGTTGAGCAGCCTGGATGCCTCGAACTGGATCTGGGTCATGGCCTCGACGGTGGCCTGGATCTTGTCGCGGAGAGCGGGATTGAGACAACAGCCATCCATCGTCTGCTTGAAGCAGCTGAACTGAGGGGCGGATGACCTTCCATCCACGAGTGGGACGACAGAACTCTTGAGGGGCCGGTATTTGGGACATTTGCTGGTGTTGCTTCGCTCGTGATCGGTGCCATCGCACTTGGGACATCGCTTGCCAGTACTCGAGGAAGTAGATGAACCAGGCTCGGTGGGATCGACATCCATTGGATCTGCAGAAGCAGTGGTGGTGAGCGACGGAGCAACAGACGACCAAGCATGCGTGAGATCAGAATACGAACCAGAGACAGGCTCCGACTGTGACTTGGCTTTCTTGGGCCTGGGTGGCCGAGGCTGGCCATCACCGGTACCCTTACGCTTCGGAGGCATGGGGGCAGAGGATGCTGGATGCCTGCCAGTGGTACTGGTCAGAGCAGAGACTTCTCTTTATCGTACAATAGCGCGATGATCAGATCAAGGCGAGATGAGGGAAGAAAGCAGCAGGACGAAGGTGTGGCATTTATACCCGAGAGCAGGAGCCCGTCTTTGCGGGCTGGTTGGGGAAGTGACCTGTTCAAAAATCGCCGAGAGGTTCAAGCCAGGGATGTGAACGCGAAAATGGCGGAGTGATTGGAGGGAACTCGACCCCAGAAGCGCATCGCTCGCTCAATCAGCCGTGGGAAGACATCTGGAAGCACCCTCCGAACGGCAGACTCGAACAGGGTCACCATCCCGACTCTGAACCCCTCGGACGCATTCAGCGCTGCTGCCTTCCTGTACTGATGCTTCACAATCCCAAAGAAGTTCTCGATGGGATTGAAGTCGGGCGAGGCAGGTGGGGTGAAGATCACTGACCATCCTCGGCGCTCGATGCAGTCCAGGACAGCCATTGTCTTGTGCATGCTGACATTGTCCATCACAATCACAGAGTCGTCTGGGAAGCTCGCTCGCTCAAAGAACTCGACCATCGAGTGTGTCTTGAATGATGTGGGGATGTACATGCGATGCAGCACACCAGAGTGGTTGATGGCAAATGCAGCCGAGACGGACTTGTGTTTCATGTGATTGCGCTGGCGAAGCGGAGCACCCTTCGGTGAGTATCCGTAGAGAGGGAAAATGGATCTCCTGATCCCTGTCTCGTCGACAAAAACGAATCGTCGTGGGTCGATGGAACGGGTCTCGTCCCTGAACTGTGCCACTCGCTCATCCAGTCGCTTGGACTTGTAGAGGTGTGTTGCCCTCTTGTGTGAGAGACCTGCTCGGTGGATGGCAGTGTGGCAGAGTGAGAGTGATACTTTCCTCTGGAGGATGAACTCGAGCTTGCATCGCAACACAGGACCAGTCTGGAACGGGTCCTGTTCAATCAGGGTGCGAATGACTGGACATGCCTGCTCGAAGAAAGTGGATCTGCGAGCTGGGACCCGGGATGGGTCATCCAGCTTGCATCCTCGGTGCCATCGATGGATGGTGCTCTTGGACACACTGAATATGGAGGCGACCTTACGCAGGCTATGGATGAGGGCGTAGCATCGCAATGCGGCGGTGCGAAAGTCGGATGTGTGGCGAATGGTCATGGCCAGCGCGCGATAACATTGGGTAACAAAATATTCGATGAATGGTCAAAAACCCGGGTGTCCCGTTTTTTATTGGATTGCCACTAATCTTCCGTTGTGGCCTATCAATATAACCGGCGCCGCGCTCACAAACGTCACTTCTTTCCAAAAACCAAGAAAAGTGGTCGGCTTCGCTTTCCCGTCCGACTGCCGGTGGCCATGGCACCGCCCGCGAATGCGAATACGATTGCAAATATGCTTAGGGGGCCATGAACGAGTTCTGGAACTGAGGTTCGTCCAGCTTCTGCGAGCCGAGCACCATGTCGTGCAGAGCCTTGCCGGCAGGAACCATCGGGTAGACGTGCTCGTCCTTCTCGACAACGGCGTCCAAGATGACGGGCTCCTCGGTCTCGAGGAACTCGGCCATGACGGCCGGCAGCTCCTCCATGGTGCGGGCGCGCAGGCCCTTGCATCCCATCGACTCAGCAAACTTGACAAAGTCCGGGTTGGACATGACCGTGCCAGAGTACCGCTTTCCATAGAAGAGATCCTGCCATTGCTTAACCTGGTGGCGATGGGGATGAACGAGGAGCAACGTCAGAACTCGACACACAGGGCGCAACTGGCACACAGGACGAGCCATTCTCCCTCCAGCCGGTCGATTCCAGCAGAGCCGCAGTGACAGCACCGCAACGTACCATGCCCTGGAAATCGTTGTTGAGGATGAGAACCTTGACGCCAATGTTGAACTGTCGGGCCGTCATCAGCTCCATGCCGGTCATGGAGAAGGAGGCGTCGCCGTCAATGTCGACAACAATCTTCTCGGGGGCGCCGCACTTGGCGCCGATGGCGGCAGGCAGGCCAAAGCCCATGGTGCCCAGGCCGCCCGAGGAAATCCAGGTGTGCGGGTGGCGGAAGGTGTAGTACTGCGCAGCCCACATTTGGTGCAGACCGACGCCGGTGGTGATGACGGCGTGCTCCTTCATGTGCGAGAGCTGGCGGTCCAGCTCCTGGATGACGGCTTGGGGCTTGAGCGGCTGTCCGGGCTCGGAGGGAGTGAAGGTGAAGGGGTACTTTTCTTTCCAGAGGCTGATCTGGTCGAACCACGCCTTGCGAGGACGGCTCTCGATCAAGGGGATCAGATGCTTGATGTTGTTAGTGACGTCACCCTCGACGGCCACGTCCACGTTGACAGTCTTGTTGATGTTCTTGGGCATGATCTCAAAGTGGACGATGCCACCGCGGCCCATACGGGAGGCGGCCTTGGCGGCAGGGGCAAACTCTGCCATGGAAACAGGAAGGCAGACGCCGTCCACAGCGTCAGTTGCAGCACGACAACCGACAGGCACCGCACCCCGGAGAGCGAGTAGGAGGTGACATGCACCCATATAGCAGACGACAGCAGCGCTGAGACTTACTGTCGAGGTTGAGGGTGACACGGTCGTCGAAGCGGGCACCCAGGGCAACGATCAAGTCAGCCGACTGCATCGCCAGGTTGGCATAGGCACTGCCGTGCATGCCAAGCATATGCAGCGAGAGAGGATCCAGCTCATCAAAGGCACCCAGGCCCTGCATGGTGGTGGTCACAGGGACGTTGGCCTTGTGCGCCAGGGCCTTGAGCATCTTGGGGCCATCGGGCGAGTTCATGATGCCGCCACCAACGTAGAGGATGGGCTTCTTGGCCCGATTCAGGAGATGGGCAACTTTGTCGATGGCCTCGCGGGCAGCAGGCGAAATCTCGGTGTTGTCGACCAGGGGCGGGAAGGGAGCGCGTGTCGAGGGAATGTTGGACTTCATGCCGTTCACGCCTCCGGGAATGGGGCGATTCAGAACGGAGGCGGTGACGTCCTTGGGGAGATCGACGAGGACGGGGCCGGGCCGACCCGAGGTGGCAATCTCAAAGGCCTCATTGATGCGGCGAGGCAGCTCGGTGATGTCCTTGACCATGACGTTCCACTTGGTGCACGATCGGGTGATGCCGACGACATCGGCCTCCTGGAAAGCATCCGTGCCGAGGGCCGTTGTGGGGACCTGGCCACAGAAGACGACCATGGGAATGCCGTCGGAGAGGGCGTCCTGCAGGGGGGTGACCATGTTGGTGGCGCCAGGTCCACTGGTGACCAAGCAGACACCGGGCTTGCCGCTGGAGGCCGACCATGTCGACAGCCAAGCAGATCGATGCGCATAGACAGAGGAGGATGCGACAGGAGAGCGGGAGCCGAAGCAGCGGGTGAGTGGCGAGGGCAGACTATCGCATGGCGCGGATGCAGCTGGATCGGCAGACTCGTTCTCTGGCCAGGCAGCTTCTCTGGCTGCCGGCACGATGGCGATCGCAGATGCGCACATGCCTCCGATCGCTGCGCAGGCAGCAGCCACACCACCGCACGCGAGTCATGCCACGGACTATCTTATCAGCGGACACTCACGTCACACGGGCATATCCCTCGGCCATATGACCGGCGCCTTGTTCGTGTCTCGGCAGAACAAAGTCAAAGTAGTCGCTGTTGTGGATGGCGTCGTAGACAGGAAGGATCGCACCGCCGGGATATCCAAAGACCATCTCGACGCCCTGACGCAGCATCATTTCGTGGAAGATCTGGCCGCCGGTCAGGCCCACGAAGGTGGTGTCGGTGACGGGCTCGAAGGACTTGGGCCGTTCCCGGGGCGTCTGGGTCGAGATCGTCGGGCGCTTCAGGGGCTTGTGTGCGGATCGGGGGCCAACGGTGCAGCTGCTGGCGGGCTGGGCCGATGCCTCGGCAGCACTGAACGGGAGGATGCAGCACCATTAGTACGCAGCGCCATCGGATCGCCCAAGCAGCAAAAGCTGCAGCAGCGCAGTCGGCTCTTTCGTTTAGCAACGAAACAACGATGTATGTGGATCCGAATTATCGGTGTGCTGCGGTGACCACCACCAGCGCCGAGTGGACTGATGCCATGACGTGCGTGACCGACGCAGCCAACATGATCCGCCACCACAGCTGCCGAGAACGAGGTCTTACCCAGAGTGCTTGTGGCGAGCCAGGAGAGCCGCTGAGCGAGTCGAGGGAATGGAGGTGGGCGCAAGCCACCGACGGGAGGAGGATCGCAGGGACGATGCCAGCATGATAGCGAGTGTTTGTTGTGGTGTCCAGGTATGCGCGGATTATGGAAGTGGGAGCTGGCGGGTGTTGGATTTGGAGGGCAGAGAGGGTGAGAAGGTCTGCAGCTTGCCAGCGGCAGAGACAGCGCACACGAGCACACAGCACAGGCCACTCTCCCCGAATGACAAGACACGCAGCAGGAGCAGCACAAGCGGTAGCCACGGTGCAGGCCATGCCTACCAGCGACAGAGCCCGCGAGGAGATCGAGCAGCAGCAGATGGAGCAGGAGGCAGAGCAGTGTCGAGGGCAGGTGTCGGTGCTTGATATTGCGAAAAAAACGGTCGGGGCCGATCTTATCGCACAAGCGTGAGTGTCAGGTGACGGCGGTGCGGCTGATCATGCGACTTTAGGCACAACACTGCGTGGATGAGCCAACTGCATCATCCCGGGATCGCCCGGCGCCGGGTTTGCCCGACAGTGGCCTTGTGCGCCGTGCGCGGTCGCACAGGGTCCAGCAAGGCGTGGCGCTGGTGACGCATGTGACTGCGCAGACGAGATGCATCAGTCGGTCCGGGAGGCGGGCCGAGAGAGCGCCGGGTCTGGGTGGACGGATGTTCGAGTCGGCTGGTGATGCGGGTTACGGTGGGTGTGCTGTGACCGGCGGGAGGCGCTGCGAAATGAAGAGCACACCGGCATGGTGGTGCGAGTGAGTGCGTCGGCCCGTCACTACAGAGGCAGGGGATGGGAACGAAGACGCGCAGCACATGGGATCGGCCGGGTCTGTTCAACGCCGCGCTTCCAAAACCAACCAAATCCGCTGAGGGACTCTCGGGACGCACTGCCCCGTATTGTTCTGAACAAGCTGTATGAGGCTTCATTAGAGTACCGGGTTTTCTGGAGCACGGCTGGACCGGGCATCCGCAAGATATCGAGGAAATTAACTGGCTGTACCAGCAAGGAGAGAGGAAAAGCCATGACCGGAATCGTTCGATGCGGCGGGCCAAGTCGGGAAGAGGAACAGTATGGTTCACAGAAGTTGAGAGAGGTGCTCAGAGCCGATTGCGAGTCGCCGCCAGCCCACCGCGTGGGAGTGCAAACGGGAGAGCCGATGGCCATCCACAGGGATAGCGGCGGCAGCCAGAAAAAGTACAAACCAGGCCCGCTTTTGTTCTCCATTTTTATTGCTACGCTCGACCAAACCCTCAGTCGGACATGTCTCGGAGGGCCTCCTTTGTTCGTTCGTAGATCGGAAAGAATGCGCCAATGACCAGCATCCACTGGAGATCGGATTGGAGAAGCAAGAGTAATGTGTCAGCGAGGTCGGTGCATCATGACCCGCCCAGTTGCTGGATTTGCGAATGACTGCGTCTTGCATCCACGGCAGTGTTCAAGCAGAGCCATGTGCCATCGGCAGCCGTTTCCGCTCCAATGTCATGTTATGAATGGCTACATACCCAGGTGCTGCGAGCGGTCGCGCCAGTGAAGAAAACGTCGTAGGCCTTCAAGCGACCGACCAGTCCCCGGGGGCTGACTCCGGCCTTGGCCAGCTCGGCTCGTCTCTGCTCCAGGATCTGGGCAGCCACTTGCCACATGCGGACCCGGCCACCAGCCTGGGCCTTGGTGGCGGTCATGACCTTGGTCTTGATCATGTCAAAGGGAGTGGTGCAGAAGCCCGCCAGGGCACCGGACAGACCGCCAAAGAGGGTGGATTTGAGGGTCGGGATGGGAATGTCGTCGTCGTCGTCGTAGCCCTCGGACAGGGCATAGTACGGGGGTATGGAGGTGTGGATCTGCTTGAAGGACTCGTATGTGGTGAAGAGGATGACCATGAAGGGCCAGTCGCGCAGAGTTGTTGACCAGAAGCCTCGGAAGAAGCCGGCAGGACCCTCGGTGTGCATGATATGGTTGACGATCGAGAGGGTGGTGACTTTGTGGCCCGGGACTGAGGAGACGAGGTGTGCGGTCTGGAGACGAGCAGTGATGACCTCACGAGGAACCTTGATGATGGACGAGACCGTGTCGCCGCATACCGCCGAGATGGCCGAGGACATCATTGGGTTGAGCTGTGGAATCGAGTCGTAGGGGGTCGGGTGGGTCTTGCTGAGATGCGAGCGCACAAACTCGTATGTCGCCAGACGGAGACCGCCCTGCAGCAGCCGAAAAGCGCCTCGGTTAGTTTCGGTTGGCTGGGGTTGGTAGCGAGGGGTGGTTGAACGATCGGGGTTTGTGAAGGGGTGGGTGGAAGAGGCGGCGTGTGAACGGCGCCACGAACCTGAGGAGCAGCACCGAGGATGCTGGTGAAGAAGCCCTTTCCAAGAATCCGCATGGTCTCGCGGGAAAAGGTCAGGTTGAGCTTCCGGACGCCGGCGGTGGCCTGCTGCTGTGTCTTGAAGGTGTCGAGGGGATGGACCAGGGCATAGGCACACGACAGGGCGAGGCCGCCGGAGAGGAAGTTGTCTGTTGGCAAGCATTCCACGGGCGATCATTCGAGAGCAGTGGTCAGTCGCGGACAGGGAGGGTTGTTGTTGTGAGCCATGGTCAGCCGAGGCGGAGGACCAGCACCGCCGTGGGGAGATTCATCGGTTGATGGAACTTGGACGCAATCAAGAGTGCCCAATGGTACGCTGATCCCCTCGGACAAACAAAACAGACAGGCACTCACTTCGAACCCGTTGGAATTCGGTCAAGTGATGGCCGTGCTGGCGTGCAATGCTGACGGCCTTGACGGGCTTTGACGAGACCGACTCGGGCGAGACTACTCGGGAAGCCAAGTCCATGGTGGTGAGAGACAGCGAAAGAGAGGGGAGAGACAGTGGAGAGTGAGGGGGAGAGACGGCAGAGGCTGAGAAGTCGGGCTCAGAGAGGATCGCCGAGAGAGGGGGATGTGGGAGGCGCAGAGGCGGCTGGAGGAGTCGCTGGAAAACCGAGGGTGGTTTGAGGGGTGGTCCGGGGGGTGGTCTCGGCTTATGAGCGGGCGGTAACGACGACGGGCGGGACGAGAGGGGGGAAAAAAAAGACGGCCATGGTGCAGCAGGTGATGGACAGGAGCTGGGGAGTGGGGACGGGCCCACTGTTGCAGGGCTCGTGTGCCACAAAGGCCCACTGATAAGAGAGCCAACGGCGCGGCGAGACCGCCCGAGGACATGCCGAGACTGCCCGAGAGCGTGCCGAGACTGCCCGAGAAGCACGCCCAATATGGCAGGCGGCCACTGCGACGGAGTCTGAATCTCGGGCGCTCCCGGGATGCGTCGCGGCTCCCCCGGGCCAATCACCTCCCGTGTCGCCCGAGCCCGCCGCGCCTTTATCAGGGCCGCTCATCCCCGCTCGAGCTGCTCTCCCACCTCCGTCCTGCTCTTCCTCGATCCTCGATCCTCCATCCTCGATCCTCGCTCCAGCTGCTCTGCCATGGCCACCGTCGCTGATATCGTTCTTCTGCCCGGCGATGGCGTCGGCCCCGAGGTCGTCGCCGAAGCCAAGAAGGTCCTCGAGGCCGTCTCCCAGGTCCGATCGCAGGCCCTGAATCTGTCCTTCAACTTCAAGGAGGAGCTGCTCGGCGGCTGTGCCATCGATGCCACCGGTAAGCAACCCGGTCTTGACTTGCACCGCCTGCACTTTCACTCGCACTTGCACTTGCACTCGCATCGCCTGCACTGTCGACAGGCCGTGTGATCCTCTCCCCGCTCATCTGTCGCCTCCCTTGTCTCGCAGGCTCTCCCTTCCCTGAGCAGACCAAAAAGTCTTGCCAGGCTGCCGCCGCCATCCTCCTTGGTGCTGTTGGCGGTCCGCAATGGCCCCGTCCCGCCACCGCCGAGTGCCCCAAGCCTCCTCGCCCCGAGCAGGGTCTCCTCGATATCCGAAAGGAGCTGGATCTCTTTGCCAACATCCGCCCGTGCCGCTTCCCGTCAAAGTCGCTCGTCCAGCTGTCGCCCCTCAAGGAGCATCTGGTCAAGGGCACTGATTTCATTGTTGTCCGCGAACTGACCGGCGGCATCTACTTTGGCAAGCGCGAGGAAGAGACCAATGGCCAGGGTAAGCATCTCGGATCTGCTGCTGCTCTCGTTTCGCTGGCAACAGGTGATGCCGGTGCTGATTCCGCCCGAGGCTGCGTCCAGATCACGCCGGTTGGCTTTGTTTGCATCTCTTGCTGTGGGCCCGACTGCATCCGACTGACTTGTTGCCTATATCCGCTCTCGTTTCCCCAGCCTACGACACCATGTCCTACTCTGTTGAGGAGGTTCAGCGCATTACCCGCATTGCCGGCGAGCTCGCTATGCTCACCTCGCCGCCTCAGCCCATCATGTCCATCGACAAGGCCAACGTCCTGGCCACCTCCCGCCTGTGGCGCCGCGTGGCTACCGAGACCATCGAGAAGGAGTTCCCCCGGGTCAAGCTCTCCCACAACCTCGTCGACTCGGCCGCCATGCACATGATCAACACCCCCCGCAAGCTTAACGGCGTCGTCCTGACCGAGAACATGTTTGGTGATATTCTCTCCGACGAGGCCTCGGTCATTCCTGGCTCGCTGGGTCTGCTGCCCTCGGCCAGTCTGAACGGCTGGGGCTCCAAGAGCGTTGGCCTCTACGAGCCCATCCACGGCTCTGCCCCCGACATTGCCGGCCAAGGTAAGCGCTTGTCCAAAGCAATTGACCGTGTCTGGGAGCCGCTGCCACTCTCCCTGCGGTGTTCTTGTCGTGTCGCTGGGATCTATGCATTTGCTCGATAGGGTCGATGCTCGCTCCTCTGGCGCATTGTTGCTCACTGCTTTGCTTCGCTCTACCCATCATAGGCATTGCGAACCCGATCGGCACCATTCTCAGCGCCGCCATGCTCCTGCGTTACTCGCTCGGCCTGGAGGCTGAAGCCAAGGCCGTCGAAGATGCCGTCGAGAAGGTTCTGGACAACCAGGAGGACGGCGGTCTGGGTCTGCGCACCCGCGACCTCGGCGGTTCCGCCACCACCTCGCAGATCGGCGATGCTGTCATCTCCATCCTGATCCCCCTTCTGCAAAACCTCTGAGTGCTTGCCAGCGCCAGCGCCGTCGCGGCATGAGCCCGCACTGCATGATTTCCCGACCAGATGCCCGTGGTGGCACCTGTGTAGATTTTTTTGTATACATAGTCTGTCACAGCTCAGACCAAAACATACTTGTCTCCCTGCAATGCCAGAGGTGCTGCGATTGCCCCAACCAGCCATTTCTGTGGGTGTCTGTCCCACGCCGTCCGTCATCGACCGTAATCCACGGCACTGCAATTCATCACATCAGTTCCGCTGCCAGCAAACACCGCCTGCCTGCGAACAGAGGCAGCCACCGCCCAGCGCAGCCCAGGCGCCTTCCTCCACGTTGGCTCGCTGTTCAGACCGCAGTCCAGACTGGCCCCGCAGATTGGACACCCTGGCACAAGACCACCCCGCCGCCCCGCGGCCAAGACCCCCCTCCTCCGTCTCTCTTGGTTCTCTGTCCAGGAAGTCGTCAGGACGCTGCCTCGGTTCTGCGCGAGAAATGCGACCCACTGCCAGAGACTTCCCCGACCAAGCCCCAAAATGCCAGCCAAGCGCAAAAACACAGCAACCGATCAATGTCGCAGCAGGCACCCTCGACACCACAAACAGGTCCCCCCTCCTCCTCTCTGCGCAACATGAGCGAGCTCTGCGAGGCCGCAGACGCCACCGCGTGGTCCAGCGGATCGGGCCACCTGCCGGCTCCCGTCCCCGCTCCAGCCGCCAAAATGACTCAGGCCGCCCATATAAAGCCAGGCCCGGCTCGTCCAGTCCCAGCCTCCCCATCCAGCCTCGCTCCAACAGTCTCATCTGCCAACTCTTCAACCGATCGTCTTTTGCTCAACATGCCCGGTCCCGAACAAGGTACTTGCACCTCCTGCAGCTGCTCCAACTGCCAGTGCGCCGCCGGCAAGTGCAACTGCGGCAAGTAAGCTCGCCCACCAGCCAGTCAATCCGTCTCCCAAAGGTAGGGCGCCGTGTCCTGCTCGTTCACTTTGGACCGCCCGTTCACTTGGTCTGTTCGTTCCTAATCCGCCACTGTGATTTCCGTCGCATTCCTAAACAGAGCCACCACCATACCTCGAAATGTCGGTGCTTTGATCGCGAAGACATAAGCAATTTGCAATAAAAAGCGGGACATCCCGAACTTTATTCCTTCTGTCGTTATGGACTCCGAGAATGCACATCCTCGAGTCCACATAAGATTTTGTGATGCGCCGGATGGGTCTAGATTCAGCGCAGCTTCAGCATGCGTGCCCAACCAACCGGCCGGCCCGACAGGTGAAATCGTCTCTGTATTCCCAGCGCCCTCGAACAGTTTATTCCCCTCCCCAATGCCATCTGCAGCAGCTCAGTCGCTGCTGCCAAATTGCTTGCGTCTGTAGTAGATCTTGCGGAACTTCATGCCGGCACCCTGGCTCCGCAGACTGGCGCTCTCGCATTCGCGCAGACAGGCCAGGACGCTGGCCATCAGGTTGGTTGCGCATCCGATAAGCTGGTCGTCGCGATCGGCATCGCCAGGGGCACTGGCCTTGACGGCCGTGACGATCTTGAGCTGGCTCGACAGGCTCTGGATGCGATCGGTCGTGCTCTGCAGCTGGTTGCGCAGACGTCGGTCGGTGCAGTGGCCCGCCAAACCAACGGCATGGCGGCAGAGTTCGTTGGCAGCGGCCAGGATGGCCCGTCCCGTTTCGATAAACTCCTTCTTGGCCTGAGCGCCTCCCCGCCTCGTGAGCTCATGGTGGTGCTGGGACAAGTTGTGCATCAGGTTCGACAGCTGGTTGGAGTAATCGATGACCGGATTCTCCTCCGAGGTCCAGGTGGACGAAAGTACTTTGAGTTCCTGGGCTGCAGCCTGCGGCGTTGCGGTGTGAGCGATGCAGGAGTGATGTGCAGGCGAAGTTAGAGCGATTCGTGAGAGCAGCACGAACATGGGCGTGAGTATCCGATGCAAGAGTATCTGTCGCTCGACCGGGGAGCACCCAAGGGCATGGAGCATGGCTGCCAGCGCCCATGATTCTGCTCACCTTGATCGGGCTGGCCTTGGCCTCGTCCTCGTCCAGCAGTTGCGGTGCTTCAGAGTCCACAATCACGACCTCGTCGCCATATTCTTTCTGAATCTCCTCCAACGTCGGGCCGCTGTCCTGGCTGCCACTAGGCTGCCCTGACGCCGTGGTGGCGAGACCGGGGTTGTTGTTCTTGATGATAGCACCAATGTCCTTGAGCTGGTTTGTGATCTTGCCGATGCATTGCTTCAGAGTACCAAGGTCCAGCGTGCCCAGGGCCGAGCCTGTGACCATCGGGACCACTGGGTGCATCGTGTCGACACCGAGCAGCAAAGCGGTTTGGAGCAGAGGAAGGGGGGAGAGAAGCAGTATTGTCAGGACCTACAAGGGTCCGAGATGGATACTTGCGCATCGCCAGCAGTGCGACAACAGAACTATGGATGGAAGCCCAGACACAGAGTCACTGCACTGTCCAACGTACGCTTCTCAAGCTCGCCCAACTTTAGATCCAGCTGCCGCTCGTAGATTGGATCGAGGGCATTGCGCTTCTCGAACTGCACAAACGCCGCATACTCCTCCAAGAGCCTGGGCAGCTCGGCCGTCTTTGCTCTCAGCTGCTCTGCAGCCAGCGGTGTATCCAAAGCCAAGAGCGTGCCGACCTCTTGAATAAAGCTTTCGACATTCTCGAGGGTCTTGCTGGGTTGGACGACCTCGGCCGTTGCCGCTGTCTGTGCCTCTGTCTCTGACGCCGATGGCTCCGGTGCCGAGATTGACTCAGATACAGGTATTGGCTCGGGTTGTGTCTCTGCAGTGTGTACCTCCTCGATCACCGGCAGCGGTGGAGGTTCGCAGGCCCGAGATAGAGCAGGTCGCTTCCAGGCTGACCCGGGGTGGTTAGCATAGAGCGCCTCGCTGAGCGACTCGACCTCCGAAGCCAGTGCCTCCCTGCTCTTTGTCAGACTCGAGCGTTGCGAGGGACTGAGCTTGGCCTGTTCTCGTGCCTCCTGGACAAACTCCTCGTATCCTGTGAAATGCGAAGCAAATGTCGGTATCTTTTACGTTCGAGGGCGTTGATACGGGGGAATGCGTATCACTTCGACATACTACACTACCTCGCTTGATTGCCGCAACCTGCGACTTGAGTCTGGCTCTTTGCTCTTCATCCGGGACTCGGCTGGCGTGCTTGTCCATGTGGTCGATGTAATACTTTGCCACGAGCGCGGACTCGGGAAGGGCTGCTTCGACACTTTCCGGCGATGCACCGGAGGACAGTGCTGCCACAACACGATCGAGCTTCTGCCCAAAGAGTGTCTCTGCAGAAAAGCATTTGGCAAAGAAACCGGCGCCGGTCAAGATACGCAGATATGATGCGATGCGATCGGATGCGGAACAACACGATGTGAAACGTCACAGCGTCATGGCATATGATATGCAGCTGTCGCATTTCCAAGTGGAGTACACTCACTCGCTCCCTCCAGCAGGGGTGCTTCGCCAAAGGCGCCATCATTTCCATAGAGGAGCTCTCCAATGTCGTCGCAGGTTTTGTGGTACTCCTCGCACGCTTGCTTCAGATCCTTCTTGGACTTGTCGAGTTCGCAGTGCTTGGCCACATTCTGGGCACTCTTGCCGATCACCGAGGCGAGGCCGATGGATCTTGCGTGGAGGCGAGCAACCTCTTGGGCCACCTTGGGCGAGGCACTCGATATGGCGTCCATGGCCATCAACACCTTGTCGCCCAGCTGCTCGCTTTCCGCCAAAAAGTCCTTCTTCTTGGCTTCGAGTGTCCTGGGGACAATCTCGGCGCCGCTGCTGGCGATGCTATAGAGCGCACCGAGGTTGGTGTCGCCAGAGTCGAGGCGAGTGCTCTTCAGCGAGTCCGAAAGTCCCACCACAAGGCTCTGGTTGACGTGTGCCGAGAGTTGGTTGAGTGACTGGTCGACGTAGGGGATCAACTGACCCACTTCGGACTGTGCCTTTGTTGTGGATGGCGATGCTGCGAGCTCTCGACAGGCCTCCTGGATGCGCTCGTTGGCCACACAGATGTTGTCGAGGTACTTGTTTGTCTCGGCCTGCTCCCTGGCCTCGCCGGCCGGGAATATCGTCTCCATCAAGTCTGTGTCGTCGATGGAGTACACGCACAAAACCATTGTTGTTTTCGCCACACAAGCGCGAATGTAAGTGATTGCGTCGATTCCACAGGGGGAGGGGGTGGCGTCTTGCTCAAGGTGATCACCACCAGTCAGAGCAGCAGCGGAAGGAATGAGGCATATCGGCGGCAAGATCGTCTGCCTACCCTGGGTGTACTCCTTGAGCGAGTCGATCAGGTCGCCATACTCCTTGCTCAGCTGCGTCATGGCAGCGGCATCTGCGCTTTGCGCTGCGTTGTTGAGCTGCCTGCCTACATCAACGATCTTCTTGACTCTCTTGGCTGTGTTCTCGGCACAGGGAGGCGCTGGAGGCGCGATCTTCCAGATCTCTTCGTTCTGGGAGGACTGAGCGGCGGAAGCCGGGATGCAGTGGTTGGACTTGATGAGCTTCTCGACTTTTTGCATCTCATCGATCGAGTTGTCGATCCATTGGAACAGCGGCTGGTAGTTGAGGCTGCCGTTGGGCTGCATCATGGATTGGTCGAGCATACTCGAGTCTGACGTGCGAATCGATCGAGTCATTCCAAGCAAGTGCAACCCGCGTCAATCATTGGCTACGCCGGGCCGCAAACACCGGCGATCATGGGCATGTAGCGCACGAGGACGTATGTGCTCGCCCTTGATTTTAGTCCACGCTCCATTGCAACAACGCTCCATTGCAACAACGCTCCATTGCTAACCCATATCTCGCTCTGTGTGGAGCCAACTGAAGCGACGAAAGTCGATCGTTCAGCGCGGGCCGAGCAGCACCCAAAGAGTCATGCATGCGCCTCACCTCTCCGGATTTTGTTCATGTTGGCAGCAAGTTGCTCGCGGTACTGTGGGTCCTCGGTGTTGTCCGACTCGCGCTTGGCGATCGAGAGACACTGATTGGCACAGGCAAGGAGCCCAAGGGTGTTGCTCTTCAAGCCAGAATCAGAACTGAGTCGCCTTGCCTCTCGGATGTGGCCAGCGTGGGTCTCCCGTTTGAGGTCTAGATGCCGGTGCGTGGAGATGGACAGAGTCAATTGGGGCGGAATCAGAACATGGCCACCAGTCGAGGCTCGCATGTCAGAACGGGTGGTCTGCCTTGTGCACTGCCTCCGACGCCAAGATACATACTCAGCCCGGCCAAGAGGTCCGAGGTCTGGAATAGCCCTTCCTCGACAACGGTCAGGTTCTGAAGCTCCTTGACACCCTCCTGCCACGCTTTGCACACGATGCCAAAGTGGGTTTTGGCTGCCTGGTCGCTCGGGCTGTCGGCAACGATCTGGGCGGCCTCGGTTAGTGCGCTCTGCAGGCTTGAGAGCCGATCGCGATAGAGACCAATCTGCTGGACGCGCTGGTAGTCGGCCTTGCCGCTTTGATTGAGTGCCTTTGAGACCAGGTGGATCATTTTGTCGGCTTCGGCGTCAAACGCTTGGGTCACCGTCGCCAAGTCGGGTCGTGCTCGATCGCCAGGCTTATCACTGTTGACCACGCCAGCATTAAGGATACTGATGATGGCGGTTGGGTTCTCGAGGTCCCCGAGTTGGTTGAAGGACGAGGAGAGATTAGCGATGAGCCCCTGGTTCAGATAGCTTGGTAGCGACTCCAAAGCCTTGGTTTCGTACTGGAGTAGTTGACACTGGTCTTGCTTGAGCAGCTCGTTTGAAGGGTCGCCCAGCAGATTGTTCACGTTCCTTTGAACCCGTGACTGGCACGTTTCGAGATTGGACATGATGCACTCGATTTGCTGCTTGACCGTCGAGGGCTCAAACTGGGAAATTACATCTGATAGAGCAGCGGTAGATGCATTGAGCAGCCGGAGGGAGGCGCGGGCGGCTCCAAAGCGGAGCGATTTCTCTCTGAAGGACATGGCGATGCAGCCAGCGCCAACGGTGCTGCCACTCATACCTTTCGAGCGCTCGAGGATCTGGTCGACGATATTGCTTCGCTCCTGCTGCGTGAAGAGCATGACTTTGGTTGCCTCTGTGTTGGTCGCATCGATCAGCTTGGAGTTCAGCTGCTGAGCTTTTTGGATCTGGCTGTCAAGCAAGACACGGTGCTGTTTGGCGAAACAGAATGGAGAGTATGGATAGAATGGATAGAATGGATAGAATGGATAGAATGGATAGAATGGATAGAATGGAGAGTATGAATAGAATCGATGGAATGAATAGAATCGATGGAATGAATAGAGCGGATAGAATGGACGATATAGCAGTCCGGTGATTGCACAATGAGGCAAGCCAATGGTCAGCAACGACTCGAAATCTCTGTCGCGTATTTTGGTCGCGCCATTGGACACCATCCCGACGATCCATGCTTTCCTGAGTGTATGCCATGCTGCCCTTCTGGAAGTACGACGAGCGAGCAGAGCCTACGTACATCCTGCGGCATGGCCTGCTCTTCCTCTCTCCACTGAACCACGATTTCAATGTCATGGCAAGCCTCGATCAGACGCCGGCTGGAGTGCTCGAGCGAGTAGCGCTTCGTCTCGTCGCTGGACTTGCTGAGAGCCAGCTTGCAGGAGCTGATGAGCAGCGGGCTCTCACGCGTAAGCACGCCGATGTCGACCTTGAGCCGGGCCTGAAGTAGCTCCAGGACAAGCTCGTCAAGACGCCGGGTGGTCATCTGCGCGAGCGAGACGAAGGTCTGCGAGGTCCGGGCGATGGTGCGGAGGAGTTCCTGGCTGACGGCCGGGTCGGGCACCTTGGCAGCGAGCTCGATGATCGAGTTCAGATAGCTCTGGCACTGCTGCGAGCTCTTGACGATCTTGCGGACCTCAAGGTCATCGTGGACGTTAAGGACCTGGGTCGTTCCCACGAGGATTCCCTTCACAGCCTCAAGGAGACAGTTCCGCCCAGAGACTGACTTGGGGTCCTTTTGCAGCTCAGTTGTGGAGGCGAGCAGGAGCTTGGAGCACTTGCTCACTGGAGCAGATGGCGGACATGATTAGTCTGTAGAGCCGCATGACGGCAATGACACACTCTTCTCGAGTGACGCTGGGCTTGCATGGCGCCGCTTCTGCATCAGTGCTTGCATGTCCACAGCCACAGGCTCTCGTCTTGAACAGCGCCTTGCCAACCCAGTCCCACGCACGGCCAAGTACCATGCCGCCAACGATGCTGCCTCGCGCTTTCTAATCGCCCGATGCAAGCGCGGTACCGCTGGTGGAGCACTCTACCTGCTTCCGACGCCAGCGGCATCTCCTTCTTGAAGGTCTCATCGGCCGAGGGTCCCTCCTGGATCTTCCGTCCGATACCCACGAGGTTCTTGATCTGCTCGTCCACGACCAGCGCTACCTGAGAGAGATCAGGCAGCCCCGTGTCGTTGATTTCACACTCCGAGACCACTTTGAAATCGAGGCAGCAGAGCGATCGGGGGTTAGCGCAAGCGCAGATACTTGCCCACTGGCTCGGTGCCACGATCAGCATGACGCTCTGTCGCTGCAAACGACACGCAATCTCGCCTGCCCTTGCGCTCGGGTGGGTTTCCAGCCCCGCTCGCAGGCCCCGGGCATCCGAATCGGCCCAAGGTGAGGCACCGATGACAAATGCTGTCCTTCGCGAGGCTCCGGATGCGCACTCGGCCACGCGGCATGAGAAAGCGCACGGATTCTCGCCATCACCGCCGTTTCGCTGACAAAGTGTTCATGCAACCGCGCCGCGTGCCTCTGCAGCATGGCTTACCTCCGATCAGCCCGGTGACGGCGTCGGCGAGGGGCGAAAGTACCTGGCGTGAGGTCTTGGTGTGCATTGGCGGTTGCGCTGGAGGGCGAGTTGGCGAGCGGAGAAGTTTTGGTTGAGCCCAACGCGGCGGTTGGCCGGGCGCTCTGGAAACGTACTGGAATGGAGCGAGGGCGAGTGCGAGTGCAAGTGCGAGTGCGAACGCTTGTCCGCGATGCAGTCGGCGCTTCGGGTCGGATCCGAGACGCACAATCGAGGCCGAGGCAACTCGCCGACCGAATCGCGCGATCGCCTGGGGATTGGGACATTTGGCGCGTCCTGACAAATGCCGCGACCACCAGGCAAGTGCCGGGGGCATCGTCCGTCGCCGTCTCTGGAGCCCATCTGCCGCGATACAAATAGCATGTCTCGGCTGCTGAGGACCAGAGCTCATCCATCGACCGCCCTTGGATTTGCCCCGCGACATCTGCCCAAGCCAGCACCCAGGCTGCCCTCTCCAGCTTTCGCCACCCAGACCCGCTCGTTCTTCCTGTCCAACATGACCCACTCCAGCACCTACCAGGCCGTCCAGTTCGACCAAGTCGGCGGCCCCGAAGTCCTCAAGCTCGTGACCATCGAGAAGCCTGCTGTCACTCCAGGTGAGCGAGTGGATGATTCGGCGGCGGCGTGGTAGGGATACGAGGGGCTGCCAGGATCTAGTGCATGTCGGGCATGCTCATGAACCACCGCATGATCGACTTGGGAGCATATGCACCGCACTCGCACCCGCACTCTACGATATGGAACACCGACAATGTCCAATAGTGGCTAACAGCGCCTCCCGCGGGTTCTCTGTTCGGCCAGGCCGTGTTTTGATCCGCAACCACTTCATCGGCGTCAACTTTATCGATACATACCACCGCGGCGGCCTCTACAAGGTTCAGCTTCCGTATATCCCCGGCAGAGAAGCCTCCGGCGTGGTCGAGGCCGTTGGCGATGGCGTAAGTCCACCGAGCATTGCCAGACGCTGCGTCGTTGCCTCGAGTCAGAATCGATTGGGGTCCTCGGTACACACACATCAGCGACGCTTCTGACGAGAATCATCGGTGCTGGCGACGCTTCGATCCAACAGGTCGAGGGCTTGAAGGTCGGCGATCGTGTGGCCTACTTCGATCCCCACACCTACGCCGAATATACCCTGACTTCGCCAGGTGAGCAGCCGAGCTGTTTCCAAGAGCGGCGCGTAGCATGCGTCTCCTCGCTCTGCGGCATCGAATGAAAGGGCTCAACCCGGATCTCTGTCTTGTCTTGCAGCCGAGGTTCTCGTCATCCCCGACGATATTGGCTTCCATGACGCAGCCGGCCTGTTGCTCCAAGGTAGGGTTGGACTCGCAGCAGCTCCTGTCGCAAAACCAAGCTTGTGTCTTTGCTCTGTTTTCTGAGCAGCAATCTGCGTCGGCTCTGTCTTCTCATCGAACGATACACAGGCCTGACAGCACTGAGCTTGGTGCGCATCGCATACGAAGTCAAGCAGGGCGACATTGTCCTTGTTCATGTAAGAATCGGCTGACCCTCCAAACCTGCTGCGACCCTCCCAGTCTCTACGTACATCGGCTCGCCCTAACACTGGTCTCACTGATGTGCCCACAATGTGCCTGCTTCGTTTTACTCACCGATCATCAGGCAGCGGCTGGTGGAACTGGCAGACTCATCGTCGCCCTTGCCAAGCATTATGGCGCCACCGTCATTGGCACTGTATCGACACCAGAGAAGGCTGAAGTTGCCCGCAAAGCTGGTACGGGAATGGATGTGGATGTGGATGTGGATGTGGATGTGGATGTGGATCACTGGACTCCATAGTCTTACCACGACGGCATATCCCATCAACAGGTGCCGACCACATCATTTTCTACAAGGAGCAGGACATTGTCGCCGAGGTCAAGCGAATCACCAACGGCGAAGGCGTCCATGCTGTCTTTGATGGAGTCGGAAAAACCACCTTCGACGCCTCGCTTGCCTCGCTCCGCAATCTTGGATTCTTCCTGTCCTTTGGCAACGCCTCGGGCAAGGTGAGAGCGAGCTGCAACCCGATAGACCTGTTTTGGATCGGCGATTGCTTGGTGAACCCCAGTGGGCCCAGCTCACATTTATTGCCGATTTCCAGATCGACGATGTTGACATCTTCAAGCTGGGCCCAAAGTCGATTCGTTTGATGAGACCGTCGCTCTTCAGCTTGATCCCGGCCAAGGACTTCAAGAAATGTGAGTATCGTCGTCGGCTGTGTGGATCGAAAGCTCAGTCGATCAGCGATGGCGCCATTGAAGGAGGGGAGAGGGGGAATGCTTGAGCGCACAGGTTAATTTCGATGTATCATCTAGCAACACACTAACCCCGACTTTCACGGCCCATCGACCAGACGCACCGGAACTGCTCGAGCTTTACAGACAAAAGGCCGTAAGTAGTGTCGATACGCTCATCCGACAGAAGGCCAACTCTGCATTGCCGCGAAGCGGCTTGCTAGCACGGTTTAGGCCATCTGCTCACCCATCGCTGCTTCCTTACACGCTCTCAGTTCGACATCTATGTTAGCAAGATCTATCCTCTCAAGGACGCTGCCCAAGCCCACACTGATCTTGCTGGTGAGTGACACAGAGTCAAAGATGCGCCCTGGGCCATGGTTGTTTGATGGGCCGTGCTCTGGTGATGCTGTCACCAAAGTCGGTGCGCATGCGGTGTTATCCGCGCACTTGCTGATAACGTCGCTTTCACATCTCCTGGCAGGCGGAGTGACTGTCGGCAAGCTCCTGCTTCAAGCTTGAGCCACTTTTCCAGCTGTGCAATCCACGAAAGCAGCGAAAATCATACTGCAGATGGGAGCGAGCTTGGTTTGCGAGCTACTTTCATCATTGTGCAAGTCCGTCGACCTCCAACTGCGGCACCATCGGCGTCCCATCTCTCCCTCTCTCTATCGTTTTGTTTGGCATTCCTTCCGCTGCACGTTTCAAAGCAATATAACCTCCGCATGACAAGAGCCCAGACAGCAGTGTGTGTGAATTGGTGTTGAAATCGTCCAGGAGGGGGCCATCCGAGCGTTGGATGAGTAAATGTATATATCAGGTCCCTGAAAGTTGAAGAATGTGAAGGAGGAGAAGTAGTAGCCGCATCGCTACTGACTATGGACACTGGCGATGTCCTATTCCGCTAATTATTGGAACAAGCTAAAGTATTGGAACAAACTAAAAGAAACAAGGAAGGGAAAGGGCATCACGATGGGCAGCACACAGGACCGAAAAAGGTGCCGGGATCTCCGGGGCAGGGAAGATTAAGATGCGAATGTGCCCAAAAGCCATCTGACACATGTTGGGCAGTCCGAAGACGACGGGCGGGTACGAGAGGGACTTGCTCATCGCTTCAATTGGCTGCGCTGCGACCGATGCATTCATCGCGCCGTGGATATGTGGTTGCCAATACCAGAATGACTCCCCACTGTCCCTCCCTCCCAGCACTTTCCCAATCCAACACGGCACCGTCATCGCGGCAGCCAGACATTATCCAGACGTCGACTTCTTTGACACACCAAACGCGGATTCGATTCCAGCTTTCCTCTGAATCGCTGTCGGCTTCGCTACGACTGCAGGCACGACGCAATTATGGCCTCGTTCTCGGCCTGGTGACGTCGATCCAGCTCTGCCAGGAACTGCTCGACACGGGCTGAATGCGGGTGCTTGGCTTTGCTGCGTTTGGCCTTTGAGGATCCGATTGGATGTAAGGAATTCGCGGAATCAAACAAAAGCAGGATCAGCTGCGGAAACGAGTGCAAACCAAGACTCTCGTTCGGGAGACGGTCGGGAATGCCACAGGAAAGCGTCTCTACTATATAGACAGAGCGTTCCCCACGAGACATCGCTGTTCCATGGGCCATATCCCACATTCAGCAGCCCGGTCCACAGCCTCAACAGGTTCTTACCACGAGCTTGGGGTGCTCAGCTTGATAGCTCAGCAGGATCGGCAGCATGTGCCAAAAGGTAAAGTCGGGCCAGAAGGCATTGACAAACTCGATGAGGCAGCTTCCGCTGGTCTGCCACAGCAAAAAGTCACTGAAGCGAATCTCGCCCGAGGTCCGGACAAAGATGTCGAGATCGGGACAGTCCCGGGTGAGCAGACATCGGGTAAGCAGGCCGCTGTCGATATCGCTTGGCTCCAGCAGACCCTCACTGACGCCCTGAACCGCTTGATCGATGGCGTGGGTCATTTCGTGGCGAGATGTGTAAGGAAAGCAGATGTTCAGGATGAATCTGCGGCCGAGGGTTGGAAATAGAGACGGGTAAGATTCGTGGACAAGGGGTCCGCGGATCGACATCCGGAGCATGCTGCTCTGGTATTCTGAGCCAGCGGGAGAGCGGATGGACAGAGACTGCGATCGACGTACCGCTTGTTGTTGCGAGTCATATGCTCGACCTGGGCAGCGGCTTCCCGCACATCGGGGCTGAGCAGGCTCCAGTCGCCGAGGACACGCACGGCAATTTCGTTCTTGGCGATAAACTCGCTAGTTCAAGGGAGTGTCCGAAAAAAAGGATCGAGCAAGGAGGAGTCAGCATAAGCGAGCAGGCCGCCAAAGTTCGGTGTGGGTCGTTGAGGCGTAGTATAAGCCACCGATGCAGATTCCGATGACGGGGGAGGAGATGGGGGGGGGTGCAGATCGGGCCCGGAGTGTCTTGCATTGGCGGCAACAGAGGCACAGGTGAGTCCAGCGAGCCGGAGGTTGGGCTGCCGAGCTCCAGGGTACTGAACCGACCTCTTGGTTGCAAAGTGGTGGAACTTTTCCTTGGCCAGCTCCATCAGGTAATCGACCTCGTGCTTTGGCCGCTTGAAGTTCTCGATACTGAAGGCGTATACGGTGACGACTCTGATTCCGAGCTCCAGCGACCAGTTCAGGGTCTTTGCGCATCAACATCCGAGGCCGAGTGGTTGCGAGTCGGGTGCATTGATTTGACCGGATGGTGGTCGAAGCAAACGAGAGCATAAGCGACGGCCCTCATGAAGGGCAAGAGTGTGTTGGAGCCCTTTGTTGGGAAATGCAGAGCCGCACTGCTGGTCTGCTATTGATAGCAGCAGCAATGTGGATATGTAGATATATGGAGCTGTAGATATATGGATATGGCGTACCTCCTCAAGCTTGATGAATCCCGAGTAGTGGCCCTCGGTCGTGGGCCGATTGAGCTGCTTGGCAAAGCGTCGGTTGCCATCCATGACAAAGGCCACATGGGCCGGGACGGGGCCGAGCTTGAGAATCGATATGGCTGAGCGGAGGAGGCACGAGTGCAGATACCGACCGACTTGGTGGATCGGCAGCAGATCCGAGAAGGCGATGGCCAGGATCAGCAAGAAAGCGAGCGACAGGGTCGTCAAGACAGCCGGGTTGAGGAGCAGCGATATGAGAAACGAGATCATGTCGGAGGACGAGTGGAGCTGCGGCAGGATAGGCAACCGAGAGAGCTGCAGCGGCAGCTCCTGAGCGGGCACTGCGGGATCCATGATGACGATGGATGGAGCTGGACCGTTTCGAGTCGTTGTGCGGGAAGCTGGAAGCTGGAAGACGGAGCCGGGCAGCAGGACGCCAAATTGGACGGCGACGACAAAGGCGAGGGCTTCAAGCTGGAGCTGGAGCTGGAGCTGGGGCCAGACGGCAGGCGCTGGGAGCTGCGATTAGGGCGGGGGTTTGGGATGGTGTCGAGATTGGGTGCAAAGGAAGAACAGCGGAACAGCGAGAAAGCCGGCAGCGAAGGCCACGTTGGGCCAAGGTCGCCAAAACCGAAACAAGGTCGCACAGCACAAGACAAGCCTGAGCGAGAAAGTCACAGGACAGCCGACAGAAGGCGGCTGGCGGCTGCGAGCAGGCACCAGCGATGTTCGATGGACAGATGCAGCGGAAGGGACAGATGCAGAGCGCCAGACGCAGTGGGGACGTGGAAGATGCACAGCGATCGGCGGCGGTGATGGCCAATCAGCGCACAATACAAGAGCGACAGCGAGCAGGCTCAGGGAAATCGGTCAGCAGGCTCGTTCGGTACGAAACCCGGGGTGCAAGTCGGCATGGCCACCACGATTCCGCATTGGCTGATCGCATTGCAGCGGGTGTTTGCTGAAGCTGCTTGGCTGCCGATGGCTCTTCCCCTCTTCCCATTCACTGAAAGCACGATCGGCACAGGATCTCGCGGACACGAGGAGCAGAGGGTCATGAGGAGTAGTGTGCAAACAGCATGATCCATTGATGGCACTGTACAGTCAGCCCAGAGAGAAACGGGACAGTTCCTTCCTGGCTTCAGCGGCCTGCAGCCTGCCGAACTTTCGTAGACCCCAGTGAGCAAGCCGTGAGATTGTTTCCCGTCCTGGTTGGCAGTCGAGTGGTTTTGGTTGGTTTCGGGAGCACAGTCTTGAATACACCCGGTCGATCTCCTGTGGCGATGATCGACCGGCATACCGAGATCATGTTCCTTGAGGCATTGAGGTCTCGATCCCACAGCGTATGGCAGCTTGCACAGCTCCGGACAAAGTGTGGTTTCTCGATATCAAGATGGTGCTGTGCTTGGCCATGAATGCGATGAGCGGGTGGGTGTATTCAGGTTCCGGAAAAAGCACAGTCATGGTTAAAAACGGGGGTGTCCCATTTCATTTTGTAAACGCTGTAAATACATGGCAGAGAACTGGAATCAAAAGGAGGCGGGCGATTCGCCGAGACACGGCGGGCCCAGTGCGGTGGATGTGATGGCAGGTAGGGCGTGGTTCTTTGGAGCGACTGGCGGCCAAGGCGCGGGATCTACTGAGCCAGCGGAGAGATCATCTTGAGCAGCGAAGGCTTGGGGACCGAGCGGGTGTAGCCTGCAGCAACAACGAAATGAGGATGTTAGCCGCAGGGGCTGCTGGACATGGCGATGCTCTGGAAGCGCTGGTGGTCCGTTTGTTCTTGATGGCGGCGATGGCGATGCTTGATGGTGATGGCGATGATTGAATGGCGGTGATGGCGATGCTTTAAGCATGAATGATGGCTAGATCAAGACTCACCGATGTAGATGATCAGCGGGATGAATCCGATGTGGACAAAGCGTCTGGTCCACTCGAACAACTTGACGAGTCTCTCTCTGGTCTCTTCGTGCATGGCGATGGCTCTTGTCGGCGTTGGCGCTGGCGATGGGCTCCGGTGGTCTGGGGGTTGCAGATCAGATCGCAGATCGAATCGTGGATGCAACGGCGAGACTGCGTTTGAGAAGGATTTCGGAGAGCGGCGAGCACAACGGCGAGGGTGCTCTCGGCAGCGTCTCGGCGGCGTCTCGGTGTGCTCTCGCCCGTGCCGTTCTGTGCCCGTCTGTGTCGGCGACTCGCAGTCAGAAAAAAACCGGTGCGAGTGCGGCTGCAGCCGGCTCGATCCGGAGTGCCAGTGCCACGCGCGCGCCGGAGACACAAAGTACGAAACGCGCTGAGCTGTGGCACGGCACGCGCGACCACAATAGAGCAGCCAGGGCGCACATGTACAACTGCGCGAGGGGGAGCGCGTCTGTGTCGCGATGGACAAGTCGAGACAGTGCAGCTAGTTGAAACACTTCCCACAGTTGAAACACTTCCCACAGTCGAAACACTTCCACCACTCCCTCTTTCCTTCCTTCCCAAGAGCGCCACTTTGCCGTCTTTCTTTCCCCCACGCCATTGCATCGGTCTGCGTGCCCCCTCGGTCGCTCCTGTCCTCTGCCCTGCTCGAGCGCTGCCGGCCGATTCCCCTCAAAGTCGGCAGGGCATCTCCCCCCTCGTGTCTGCCCTCTGCCATCCATCGATCCCTTTCGATCCGTCGCCGCCTGTCGTCGTCGGCCTGCCGCATCGCCCTCCCGCCCGTGTCCTAGCCAAGAGGGTCAGTGTCTGCTCCTGTCACTGTGCTGCTGCTCTGCTCGCCCAGTCGGGCTGCCGCAAGCCCTTCTGCGATTCACAGCCTGGGCAACTCTCCCCTGGTTCTAACAGTCCTGCTCTCCGTCTCTCCGCACCACTTGCACCGGCACTGGTTTGATTTGGTCGACTGGTCGCTATCCGATCCAACTGTCGATCCGCTGTCTCCAACTTCTGTCGACCCCGCCCGTCTCGGTTCTGTCCGGGATGCACCGCTGTGTCTTGATCCCAACCCGCTCCAACCTCGCCTGGACTTGTCCTGACTTGCATCCGACCTGTCACAACCTATCTCGGCTTGCTCGCACCAACCTCAACTACCTCTCCCTGCGTCCTGATGTTACGCCTTGCCCTCCCACCGGCTTTCCTTCTCGCTCGTTCTGATGGTGGTGCTGCAGCTCCGGCCCAATGGACTGGCAAGCTCTTCCCATATGGGTGTATCTGGCCGCCGGGCTTGGGGTTCTGCTGCTGGTCTTTGCCGTCGTCTTTTGCTACATGTGGTCCAAGCGGCATCGGTCCCAGAAACAGCCAAAGCGGACATCCCCCCAGCGACCCACGGCCTCCGGCTCTGCCCCACCACCCATATCGACCGACCCCGCCCTGACCAAGCCATCGGATCGCGCCGATGCCATTGTGATTCCGTCGTCTGCGGGCGAATCGACTTCATCCACCGCTCCTTTCTTCCCGTCGCCAGCCACTGTCTCCGAGACCGTAAAGCCCTCCCCGCTCCTGTCCACATCCAATCTCTCCACCACTGACACCAACCTTGGACGAGTCCCGTCCGTCTCGCCACCCCAGCACCCCCACTATCCAGGCCATCCGTCCCATCCCAGCCAGCTGCAGCCCCAGTACCCTCCAGCGCCGCAACTGTACCAACAGCAGCAGCAGCAGCAGCAGCAGCAGCAGCAGCAGCAGTTCTACCCGCCATCGCAGCATTTCTATCCCCCACCGCAACAGCCGCATCTTCCGCAACAGCCCATCACGTTCCAGTCTCCTCAGGCTCCCCCCGCTCACCCGCATGCCAGCTTCTACATGCCAGCTGCCTCCCATGTCTCGTCTCTTTACGATCCAGCAGGGTACCCGTACCCTCCACAGCCCCAGTCGCAAGGCTATGTCCAATCGCCCCAGCTCCAAGACTACTCGCCTTCAGAACGAGAGCTTGCTCGCCTCGCTCGTCTCACAAAGAGACATTCGCCTGTGCCTTTTGTGTCTGGTAAGTCCCCTGCCCACCGCCGAGCTGTCGTTGATCACGTTCTGCGGTATCCCAACCGCATGTCAGCCACCATCTTCCCATCCCTCAAACATGTCGCATCCCTCAAACATGTCGCATCCCTCAAACATGTCGCATCCCTCGGACGTGTTCACGGGATCGACTCACCGCCTCCACGAACCTGTATCTGCCTGTGTATCTGACTCCCCCGACCTTGCTCTCGCCGGATCCGTGGATATGCATCCTGACCTACTGTGCCAATGATCTCGTCGCTTCTCACCAATCCCTGCATCGTCCATCGCCCCGTATCTCGCATCAATTACTTTTTGTGCAATCTTGTCCCCGATACGCGGCCCACAACTCCCCGTGTAGACGATGCTCGCATCCGCCCGCCATCCTATCTCTCCTCGGCCCCGACAGATCGAACCCCCTCGCTCCCGCCCTCGGCCTTTTTGCGCAACCCGGTGGTGCAGTCCGGCGCACCCGTCAACGTCGGTGCATCGTCGGGCATGTCTCCCCCCCTGGCTCATGGCTCGCCGTACCATGCCGTCAGCTCCTATGGCACAAACAACGGCCCAGTCCCGGTTGCTGCCCAGCCCAGCGCCTCGTCCCTGCCTCAGGCCAAATACGCCCCTGTTCGCCACACCCCCAAGGTCATCAAGGTTGTGCCGCAGCCACATTCGGTCCGCGACGATGACATGACCGGAGCCGCTGCCGATACGCCCGTCGGGACCGAGCCTGCGCAGTACGACTACACCATACCCGATCTCGGAATCGCTGGCGAGCACCGGATGTTCCCCGACGAGCCCGACAACCGCACTGGCTACTTATCTGATTTGGTGCCCATAGACGAGGCTGGACCCACCATGGAGCAGCGCAGATTGGAGTCGGCATGGGCGGACAACGCCGTAGTTGAGCCGCTGGGAACCGAGCTCGTGGGGGCGCTCAGCGACGACTCGTCCCTCAGCCAGAGAAGCGACCGACTTGCCCTCAAGCCCACGCCGCTGATGACCCAGCTCAATATCATCACCCATCTGCCTGGGCCCGAGAGCGCCGCTGCCGTCTCGGACGACTCGTCCTCTCCCTCGCCCACCCGCAACTCGGCCATCTACAACCAGCTCGAGGTGCTCATCACCGATCTTGGCGCCAAGACTCACGGCGCAAAGTCACAGTCTCCTTCGCCTCCAAACACGTCGCCAGTCGGCGCCAGGCCCAAACCACCCACGATTAGTCCTCCCAAGGCCATGGATCTCAATCCCCCGATCCTGGACTACGGCCCGCGGTCCTTCGAAGGAGGCTTCAAGGACTTTGTCCAGTTCAGAGAAATGCTCGGTACCATCTCGCTGCCCGACTTTTACTACCAGAGCCCACCCGACCGCCCGTCCTCGCCCAACATCCACATGGTCGACACCGACAGCGATGGCAGCGATGGCAGCGATGGCAGCGACACCGACTCGGAGGACGACACCCGAATCCGCAACATGGACACCAGCAACTGGCGCGATGATCTGATGCGCGACCAGCAGCGCCTCGATGCCGAGTGGGAGCAGTTGGAGGCCGCCGAGCGTTCGCTCTTCAAGCGGTCGACCCCAACCCCGACCACGGCGTCGCCGCTCGAGACCTTCCCGGACGTCAACGCCTACCGTCTCAGCTCGTCGTCGTCACAGCCTTCGCCGCGCTCTCCTTCCCCGCCTCCTGTTCCTCCTCCGCGACGCACCAGTTCCAAGAAGTCGCTGAGGGAGACTCCGCCGCCCTCTGTCAGCAGCTCGGTCGATCGCTTGGACACCGTCGCGCCCCTCTCCGAGGCCCAGACCGACGCGTACAGCCTGGCCGAATCCCTAGATCCGAGCGAGTCCTTTGTCGCAGTCGATTCTCTTGACCAAGCGGCTGCCCCGAGCGCCTCGTCGCTGACGGATGTCCAAGGCCCAGCCCCATCGGCAGTTCTAGAATCCACCTTGGATGCGGTGACCCTTCCGCCTGCGCCCGACCCTCTGGCTGGCGACGGTCTGCCTGCACCCGCCGAGTACACAGTCCCGACGCTGTCGACGATGCCCACTCTATCATCCACGGCCTCGTCCTCCATGTCGCGAGTTACCATGGACCGCAGTACCGAGTCCGGCACGCTCGACTCGACCTTCAGCCTCTCGAGCGCCCAGCGCCGCCGCGACCAAGCCTACTCGATCCGGTATTCGGAGATATTCTCGGATTCGCAGGGAGACGACCGCCTGCCGAAATCCGGCGACTACTCCCGCCTCGACTGGGCCAAGCGACGCACGGGCGACTCGATCCCGTACTCGGAAATCTTTGGCAACACCAGCAGCGAGGAAATCAACGACCTGCCGTCCTCCAAGCGTGACTCGGCAAAGCGACAGTCTCTGGAGAATGCGCTTCCGCCACTCGCACCCGAGTCGCTCTCCCAGTACCAGCGCGCTCCGCCAGCGCCGCTAGAGCCTGTCCCCGAAGAGTTCCCGCCGTCCGAGAGCAATCTGGACTCGCTGTCGCGCACCGTCCTCCACAGCGTCGACAAGGCCGGCACATACCCCGAGTTTTCACAATCCGTGTCCTCTCAGACACCAGCCAACGAGTCCGCTGCAGATGTTTCCAAGACATGGCAAGGCTACGGCGCCTCGGGCCTTTATCGCCACGCCACCAAGGTTCTGCATACGGTTCAGGGCATGCACACCATGCCCGAGCCCGTCGAAGTTGAGCCGAGCGCCATCGATCCGAGCTTGCTCGGTGTCTTCTCGGGCACAGTCGAGATCATGGAGCCCTCGCCAGACTCGGCCAGTACATCAAAGGAGAGCTTCTTTGGCCACCAGAGTATCCGAACCGGCCAGCCCCTCGCGAGCCCTGTTGCCGTTGGTTTTGCGCCAGCGCCGTCCGAGCCGCCGTCGCAGAAGCTTGCTGACCCCAATGCCGCCGCCAGCCCCACCGACACCCCCGCCGAGCACCCGCCCCAGGCCCAAGACATCGGCACCATCATGGACGCCTTCCAGAGCGATCTCTCTGCCGCCCGGCAGATCTACGGCAAGACGAGCAAAGCTAGTCGCAAGCCCCAGCCGGCCCGCCCCACAATCGAAGACACCGTCATCCAGCTCTCGGAATCGAGCCGCGGCGAGCTGATGCGCACAGACTCGGCCTCAAGCCAAAAGTCGCTTGGGCGGCGGTCGGTGGATTTTGTCCCGCCGGCGTCCGGGCGGGCAAGCACCTTCACCATCGACTCGATCGCCACCACCCATTCGTTCGATTCGTTTGACGACGCCCTCAGGTCGGCCATCGCCGGCATTCCCGAGCAAGACTCTCCGTCCGGCCCGCGAACGCTCTCGGACGAGCTCAAGGCGGTATCAGACCGACCCGCTCGCACGTCGTCGGCGGCCGCTGGGTTGCCGACTCACCCGGTGCGGCCCTCCCGGTCCGGCCAAGATATCCGCAGTCGCTATGTCGAAGACCGCATGCCTGTGCGGGTGCCCGGCGGTGTCGTCAAGGCTGTGGTTGTCAAGAAGGCCCATGTGCGCTCCCCATCGGCTTCCTCGCCCATCTCTCCCGGAACCAGCCCGTTGGGGACCCGCCCTGAACTTCGCCGCCTGGCACCGATTTCCGACGCTGACTTTGAGGCCGTCGACGATCGATCTGACTCGCCGCCGCGCCCCGACGAGGCAGTCAAGCCGAAGGAGCCGGTGCGATCGACCGTCCCACACGCGCAGCCCGTGAGAATTGGCGGTGCTCGCGAGCCAGTTCGGATGGCTGTTGTGCCCGCAGCTCCACCTGTCGAACCGGTCCGGAAGACAGGCATGGTCACCCGCATCGTCACTGCCGTGCCGAGTGCCCAGCCAACGGTGGTCTCGCCTGTCTCTCCCCGGGCCGAGGCTCTGTCGCCCCAGCCAACATCGGCCCATTTTCGCGTTGCCCAGCCCGTGGCGGTCCAGCACGTCACGGTGCAAAGATACAATGCTCCGATGCCGCAGCAGCCGCAGCAGCAGCAGCAGCCACTGTCTCGCCCCCCGATGCAGCCCACGACAGAGCTCGAAGACGCTCGTGCCGGCGAGCACGACCTGCAAGCCTTTTTGGACCAACTGACTCGCATGCAGCCGCCCTCGCTCTCAATTGCCCAGCTCCGGATCCACGGCGAGCCCGTTCACCAGCGCCAGCTCCGATGCTTCCAGGTTCAACCCTCCTTCGATCCGGCGCTTACTTCTGCAAACGAGGGCGCCGTTCGTATGGAAGCAGGAGATGTCGTGGTCCTGCTCATGATTTTTGGTGATGGCTGGGGATTCGTGGCCAATTGTAAGTACAGCGTATCCCGGCCATGTTGCACGAGCATATGGGCACAGCCTGCCGGGTGGGTTTGCAAACGCTGCTCCGTGCCACGCCAAGCTGTACTGACTTTCCTCTTGCAATCCGCTGTCCGTCTCAATCTGTCGCCGCAGATACGTCCAAGATGATGGGATTCATTCCGCTGCATTACCTTCACGCCCAGTAGAAGATTGATCTGGGCGGTCGCTCGATCCAAGCCAAGCTCGTGCAAGTCATCTGCGTCAGCCTCGTAGAGACACGGCCACATCCCTCCCCTGTCGGCACGGTCCACGGATGATCCTGGACTCGCCTGCCTCCTGCCTCCCAAGCCATCGGTGCTCGAAATCTAAGAAAGTCATTGTTACTGCCGTGGTCTGCTGCGACTCTTGGTATCCTCTTGCTTTTTTGCCGCCCACTTCCCTCTTTTTATTTCAATATTTTGTCGCGCCGCTGCCTTGCCGTCGTCGTCGTCGTCCACCCCATGCGATTGTAGCGAGGTCGGTTCTTACGAGTCAGCGCCTGTTGAAGGTCCGGATCGAAGAAACGGCCAGCGTCGCTACCTTCACGACGCACCCCCGGATGTCCTACCACCCCGACCATCGACAAAGGAACTCCCGATTCTCACCATCGTCGGTTCGGGCTCGGATCAACGCCATGGATGCAGATTTGGCTGTGACGGCGGCAGCAAAGCTGCTTGCTTTTCTATCTGCGCTCGGATGTGGTTGCATCAGCGCTTTGGCTTTCGGACCTCGGCAACTTGTGGCTTGGATGCTTTTGTGAGTTCTTTGATCATTTGCCTCTCTGTCTTTGCCGGCTCCCCACCCCGTGCCTTCCTCGGCCGATCAGCTCCCCCATGGGCTTTTGTTTGCTGCCCCGACCGACATCCCGCTCGGCTCATGTGTATCCACCCCTACCTCACCCCCCCCCTTCCTTCCCTTCCCTCCTGCCTGTCTCTGCTACCTTCTGACAAGTTTCGGCCTCCACTTTCTTGTTGCATCCGGGGCTGATCCGCTCGCTCGTTTTGCGGCCATGAGCAGCCGCGCTCTCGTCCGCTCGTCCTCCTTCTGTCCTCTTGTTTCAGGTACCGCCGGTGCCTAGTTCAACCCCCCCCCTCTCTCTGGTCCTCTTTTTTGATCCTAGACAGTTGATAGATCGCTTGTGTCTCGGCTCGTCGTTGTTGAAAAATCGAAACAAAAAAAGAATATACTCAAAGATATACATGAATATTGCCAGCTTTCTGTCATATCCAGCGACGGCGACACAAGTAGCCGGTCGATTCCAGGCCAAATGATGCGCTGCCAATGGCGACCGCAATGCCAGTGAGCATCCTTGGACATGCCCTCTGGTCAGGCTAGGTAACGGATGGGTGTGTATTCAGGACCCATAGAGAAATGACATGCCTTGTTCAAAAATTAGGCTGGTCTGGTTTCGAGTGCGCTGCAGGGCTCCTCGTGGATGGGCTGGCGGAATGACGGTCACTGCGACTTGTATCGATCACTGCGACTTGTATCGAACCAGGCTCATGCGCGAGTTCCACCGCGGATGCAGCTGGACGAGCTCAATGAGCTTGTTTGCCGGATGCCCCGCCGCCGCACCTTCATCGATTTCCTCTTCGGCATGCAACATCGTCTGCGACTCGTACTTTGTAAAGTGGAACTTCAGGAACGCCTGGGCGTCCATGGGCTGGACAACAGGCAGGACCAGCAAGATCGCCAGCTGGACGATGAGTCCCCAGAACAGGAAAAACATCCAGAAGGTCGTCCAGCGAAAGTCGGTCATGTCATGCAAGGTGCACACGCGATCGAGGCCCTCGCGGCTGGCCTCGATGGTGATGCGCAGGAGCTTGCGGTCGTTGAAGAGCTTGCGGAACTTCCAGTCGGCGATCGATAGCCCGATCAGCAGCGGCACCAGGACTGACTGTCGCAGACGGAAGAGTGACGGCAGGACTTGGGTTTGCTCGCTTGCCAGATTGGTGGTCCGCAAACAGGCCAGAAGTCGAGCCGTGATCTTTTCGGTGGCAACGCTGTCGCTCCTCGAGAAGAGCTGCGGGCCATTCACAAAATAAGCGGTGATCGGCTGGTGTGAATGGCTGCCTTGAACCCCAACGAGGCGTTCTTTGGAGGGAATGGGATTGAAGGCCTGGCCTTCGAGCGGGGCTGGCCACGAGATGAAGTTTGCTTGTGAGCGTACGATGCGGCTTGCGACAATGCCACAGCTCTGGATGATGTAGTGGCAGTCGCTGACGCCGGGCGAGAAGCAGTAGAGGATGCACTTTGGGTTGGAATGGATTACTTGAAGAAGATCTCGGATCCAACGGCCGCGCAGTGCCGCCGATGATACTGCAATGAGGATACAGTTGAAGTCCTGCGAGATTGTGGGATTGTCAGAGAAGTGGTCTCGGTAGCCGGCAGCGACGCCGGGGCAGGGGCAACGGCAGGTCGTCAGGAACTCTTTGCAGACAACCGGGGCATATCTCCCATCCATCCACCCATCCATCCATCCAGCCAGCCAGCCAGCCAGAACCAGGCCGTCATTCGGCAGCTCCGACGACATCCCGGACATACCAGCGGGAGCTGTCCAGCTTCGACGTCATCGATGGTGTAGATGTTTTTCTCCGGAATGGAGAGCAGAGCAGTCTTTGTTGGGATGCGCTTCTCTCCAGGCGCACACAGGCGATGGACTCGCATCGGAATTGACCGGAGCAGCGGGGCCTGGTAGTCTCGGACCAGAAAGTGGACATCGGCCCCGCCTTTGCTCAGATGGTATCCGAATATCTGGTGGGAAGAGCGGGTCGCCGCCGATTGTTAGTCATTGGAGCGGCTCTGCGCTCCTCGGCCATGAGCACGAGCGAACGTCGGTGCTGTCCGGTGCTGTCCGGGCTGGACATGGTCTCTGGGCGCAAGCAGCATCCATGCCGACACCGCAGCCCCCCACCCCCACATTGGCGGGCACCAGACATGTCGGTTTACCTGCCCAACGGACCCGGCGCCGACGATGAGGATCTTGAGGGGTGGAGGTACTGTCATGCTGCGAAGGCAGAAGACGCAGGGCGAGGCCGTCCGACAATGAGGTTGTGGTGGGGAGGTTGTGAGTCGGCAGAGACGATGAGATGCTTGGCCAAGGCAGATGCTCTGGCCCGATGTATTTAGGCCCCCTCCCCTCCCCACCACGCACCAGCCATGCTGCTGCCGAGTCTTGCCTTTGTTCTTGGCTGGCTTGTGCTGAGCTGCTTGCGAAGGACTCTTGACCGGGATGATGAGGACAAGGCTGGGAATGCCGGCCATCGCTGCCCTGGCTGTGTCGGGATTTGTGCTGGCATGTCCTGGTGGTTGTCGAGACAATGCATATTGTGGGGGACCGAGAACGCGGCGCGCCCTCGGTCCTCGCTCGCTGCCTGTGTGCGCTGGACGAGGAGCAGCTCGCGGTGCTCTCGCTCGCCAGGGCGAGAGGTCTCTGGGACGCGTGACCCGCTCTTTGTTCGGCCGGATCGCATTTCACGTGATGAGCCACAGCCACCGAGTTGCACCAGCATGCCCGACAGCATCGACATGCATGAGGCGGCTGGAGCGAGCGCTGCATGTGCAAACGGGCACCGAGTGCTCGGCGACGCAAACTACGTCCTGTTGCACATGCAGGACCATGAGGTCGATCGAGCACTGTATTGGATCAAGACGGGCGCGCTGCTGCTCTCTCTGGGAAATATCAAACCGGCGGTACCCTGGGAGCAGCTCTACTTGGGCCGGCCCCGGCCCTTGGGATCGTCATCGCGGAAGACGGGAAGTTGGCCTTTGGCAATCTCATATCGCGGGTCGTTTGGATCAATCACGGATTCGCCCTGGCCGCGCTCGTGAGCGCCATTCTTGTGGCCTTTGGTGTCCGGCCTGCTTGAACCGGATGCCTGGTGTGCAGCGCTATGCTTCTGTGGATCCAACTGCTCCTTGGGCTTTTTGATGTTGGTGTCTGGCGCCCGTCCGTCCTCACTCTGTCTGTTGCTTGTTTGTTTTGCACCCTCGGCATGCTGATCAGTGTGGAAGCCAACTTCCAGACTGTCGGATTCTTGGAGTTCAAGAGTATCCGTCTGAATGGAAGGATCGTCCTCGCCAGCAACATCAACCGGGCTCTCCGGCTTGCTGTCCAGGATGTGATTGGTGATGGGGCACATTGCCTGGAACACCTTGCGAATCAGTGTTGTCTGGTTCATGTCGATCCGCTGTTTGTAGACCGACTCGAGGCTTGCCCACCAATGCACGCCGATGCTTTGGGATGCGATCCAGCCAAGTGTGTCGCAGCCTTGAGCCGAATTCCATGTTCGGTTGAGCATTTCGAGCTGGGAGTAGTGGATGGGGAAGAATCGCTGGCGCTCAAGGAGCCGGGCCTGACACACATGAGGTGCAATATGGTGCGGCGATGCCTTGCACCTCTCCTTGATGACGTCTGTGACGACCCTCGGTCCGTTGTTTCCCCTGGGGTTCACAAGAGGCCAGAGCATGACAGCGAAGAAAAGCCGTCAGCAGGAGTATCGAGGGCGCTCACCCGCTCGGTATTCTCAACAGTCTGGGCCACACCTGCTGTGAGTCTGCCAGCAGCTCTACGCAACTCACCAGACATATCCATTGAAGTTCTTGACAAACTCCTCCATCAGCTCCCACACGAGCTGATCCCGTGGCGGGAAGCTCAGGAAGGCGTTGTTGACCCTCGCGTAGTCCTCCTGGCAGAGTGCCCTGCCAATGCCTTCGATAGTGTTGGTGCTGATGATGTCGAGATCAATGTAGACGCCTCCGACCTTCCAAATGATCGCCAAGCGGACAGCGTTGCCGAGATTTTGCTCGATCCAGCTGGATTTCTTGTAGAGACCGCTCTCGTACCATGTCTGGAGGGGTGTCTGTGCGAACCACTGCTTGTACGTCAGAGATCGAAATCGCAGTCGGTGCTGGTAAACATCCAGTGGCTCCAGAATGGACTCGATCGACTTTACAAACTCGGAAGCGATCGGGACGTGGACAATGACATAGTGCTCTGGGTTCTGGTGCAGAGCCGATTCGATGGCACACAGATAGCGCTTGTTTGTCAGCATGGGGTTGTAGTGGATGAAGTGGACGAGTTTTGGGATCGGCAGCGGCTGAAACTCGGTGATCATGAACCGATCATCTGATTCGTTGGTGGTGAAGGTGTGGTCGAGAGTGCTGGGCAGCCCCTCGTGCTCTCCGTTGAACAGGATCGGCTTCTGCTCGAAGCGAGTGGCCAGGAACTTGCGACAGCCCTGCTGGTAGTGCGCCGTTAGGGTCTTGATGTCCTCCAGAGCGTTGTAAAGATCCTTGGCCTCGTCTTGCAGGACACGGTACTCGGGCCGGACCGGCGATGACGCCGATGACGTCGATGACGCCGATGACGCCGGGGAGCTGCCTGTGCCAGCTTTCGGCTCTGAGACGACGCCATGATCGTGATCTTGGTGGACCGGGGCAGCAGCGTTTTGCTCAACGGCATTCTGCCCAACGAGGGTGTTGATATCGATGGCTCCAGGGGAGTGCGACTTGAGACGGCGATCGTCGTCGGACAGGAGATTCGACTGGCTCCGCTGAGTGCCGACCAGATGAACCAGAACCAGGATGGCGGTTCCGAACAGGGCCAGACGGATAATGGTCTTCCATCGGATCAGCTGCTTGGCCAGGGCAATGCGGCGGCGGACTGCAAGGAGCGGCGAGACGGGAAGGAGCATTCTGCTGGGCCAAACACAGTGGTGCAGCGATGATAGATGGAGTCGAATCAATCGATGGCCAAGAGTGAATTGCACTGGGCCAGATCAGATCAGCCGATGATGGTGCTGCAGACGAAACGGATGGACCGGGGGGGCGAGCCAGAGAAGGCAATGTTGAGGATTTGTCTTCAATTGTGCTGCAGCCCAGCGCCTGTGAATAAGAGAGCTAGTCTGAAACCTGGGGTGGTCTCCAGCAACGAGCAAAATGGCTGTGGGGGTCGACGATTGATGGATCGATTGCGGCTTCTCGAACACAACCAGGCCACGCACGACAGCGGTGATAAAGCCCAGTCCGGGCGGCCACGGGGATAATGGAGGGGAAACCAGAGCAGTTGTTGGCGCCAGAACAAGCCGCGAGAAGCGGCGTGCGGTTTCCCGCCATGAAACCTTGAACTGTCTGGAGACGGCGGAGACAGCCAGCCCAGTCCGAGATTCCCACGGAGGGAGCTGCAAGTCGGCGCTGGCGGAGCCTCTGGGTGGGCGGCGCTGTTGACCAGGATGCCAGGGACCAGTGCGGCGGGAGGCACAGGCGGAGCAGCCGTCAGGAATGGCATGGACACATGCGTCCCGTGTGGTTGCATGTTGGACACTATGAAAAAAATTTCATGTTAATAAAATGAGCGAGAACGAAAAAACGCGCTTTCGCAGCCACCTCGGTCGGCGAGAAGAGCAGTCTCTGGCGAGAGACCCCCGAGGGAAGGCGAGAAGCCTCTCGCCGTCACACACACACACACTTTGCACACACACACACTTTGCACACACACACTTTGCAAGGGAGTCAACCACCTCCCATCGACCATCCCAAGAGGGATGGCAACCCCGAAGTGGACTGCCCAGAATATGGGCGACCCGGCATCCACTGTCGAAATGCACAAGGAACAAGATACTTACAGTCTATCCAGAAAGAAACGGGACAGTCACTTTCTGGCTTCTGAAGCCCGCTGACTGACTTGTAGGCCCAGCGGGCAGGCCATGGCATTGCACTCCTGTCTTGGTTGGCAATCGAGTGGTTTTGGTTGGTTTGGGAAGCACAGTCTTGAATACACCCGGTCGATCTCCATGGGCGATGATCGACTGGCATACCGAGATCATGTTCCTGGCTGCATTGATGTCTCGATCCCACAGCGTATGGCAGCTTGCACAGCTCCGGACAAAGTGTGGTTTCTCGATATCAAGATGCTCGACCTTCTCGAGTCGCTTGGCATCCCGGCAGTGTGAGCACACCTGTGATGTGTTGAACTCGTTCACCGAGCACACATGGATCTTGGAGACGGATCGGTCTGGTGGTCGTCTCTGGTGGTCGTCTCTGGTGGTGGAACTGCTCAAAGTACTTGGCAAACCTGAGTCTCCTGGGACTGGATGCATATCCCTTCCCCTGTTTCCAGGATGCATTCCCAAAGGCAATCACCACCTCGGTCTCCTTTGGTGCCTGGTCGATGACTCGCTTGCACATCTCGTGGACAGTGCGCTGTCGCTTGCTGTGGAGATCGAGTCGCTTGAATCGCCGTCGCCGGGTCAGGCTGAAGTACAGCTGTTTGTCCAGCATGTCTCCAGTGAACACATGGCGAATGTATTGCAGGAAGGGATCCAACCCAGGGATCTTGGGACTTGGTGTGGTGCTCATCCATTGCTGCAGACCAAGGATCTTGTGGGTGCTCTGGATCCACTTGGTCGCCTGGGGGGTGTCTTTCTCTTGGGAGCCATCTGGCGAGAAAATAGCGGCGATGGCTGGTTCTGCCCTTGGGGAAGAAAAATTTTCCTCAAATCCAGCGCATTTTGGGCTGGCAGAGATACTGCGCAGTGGCGTCCTTGATTCGGATCCAGAAACGCATCGCTCGCTCAATCAGTCGTGGGAAGACATCTTGTCAAGGTGAGTCTTGCCTGATAGCCAAACGATCATGTCATCTCGCTGACACACAGCCACGCTTGACTAGGTTTCCAACCAGAGAGATTCAGATGGTGGTGGTTCTTGTCCGCAATCGGAGTGGAGCTTCCAACAATGATACAATTGGCCATTCCTCCACACCAATTGCCCACCACCACCGTCAATCGGCTCAAGACGATACCAAATGCCGTCAACCGACCATGGCTGGATTCCAACTTTTGCTGCGCCACATACAACGTGACTTTCAGGTGACCGAGATGAGCAGCCGCGAGGGGGCCGGAAAAAATTGCATGTTGGAATTCATGTGGGATCCAAACACTGGATCGGCTCGAGCCAGCACAGCCGGATCGAGCCAGCTCGGCGTCACATGACGTCACCAATGGTTTTCGTTTTCGCCTCTTCTCGCCGGCTGCTCTCGCCGAGGCACTCGCCACGACACAGTGCGGTTCTCGCCGGCGCTTCTCTCGCCGGCGCTCTCGCTGTCAGAAAAATCAAAATCGCTGGCTCGCGGTCTGGGTGTCCTGCGGTTTCGTTCGCCCAGTCCCCGATCGCCCAGACCCAGATCGCCGCTGCCACCACAGCCCAGCCGTCTCTAGAGCCATGGTCCACATCCGAATGAGTGCCCAGAAGGGCTTCCGCTCGGCCTTTGCCGCCTCCAGGACAACGTCAAGATCGGTCCCGCTGTTCGCCCGTCCCTCGTCCCAGTTCACAGCCGGCGCTGGCTCCCAGCCCGATTCAACACCGGCCTCTGCGTTTGCCGGCATGCGTTCGGCCTCGACTGCCTCGGGCATGTCTTCGGCAATCTCTGCACTGACGGTAAGTCACGAGCGTGGCTCGCGTCCTGGACAATCTCGGCGACGATCGACAGCACTACCAGGCAGCATCTCAAGCACCACCACACCATGGCACAACCGCCTGCCGAGGCGGTCTTGGGATCGCTGTCGCGGCAAGACACCTGTCGATTCCAAGTAATGCAGCGCCACAGGGTCTTGTGGAAGCTCATTTGGGCTCCATGGATCGTGGCGGCCTGCCGATTCCCGCCACGGTCCAGTGCCGCGATCGCCGCCGATCATGGGAACTCCTCCTGGATCAAGCATGATCTCACAAACCTGCTGCCGCAACCTGTCAAGAGGTCTGGATCCGTACCTGCTTCGAATAACACCTGTCTCGACTTTGCCTGTGTGCCTTGCTCTGTCCCCGTGCCTGCAGACCTCCAACATTCCTGAATCTCTTGCGTCGGCGCTGAAGCGGCAGACCGATCTTGCGATTCTCTCATTCGCCTCTGATGCGGCCTCGGAAGGTTCGTAAGCTACTTTTCCTTTCCCCCTCCCCGTTCTCTGTCTCTTTCCTTGCAGCCATCTCTTGGGCTTCTTGGCCGCTGCCTCTCATTTTCGCAGGCGCGCCTTCTTTGCCCCTGCTCTTCTGCATGTGTTTCTTCCTTCTTCCACACGGCTTTTGCTTTGAATCACCTCCCACCTCAACCCACCTCACCCCACCCCACCCCATCCCCTGGAAAGAGAAGGTGTGCCCTGGGCACGCCGCCTGGATCACTGTCAAGTAATGCGCTTCCATTTCAATTCTTTTGTGGATCGAATGCGGGCGCACATCCAGATCGCTGAGTGTGGGTCTCGACCGGATTCCCTCCGCGCTCTGGCGCTGTGCTGCTCGGGGGCAGGATTCTCTGGGCATCGGATGGTCGTGGTACCGCGACTCTGGCTCGCCCTGCAATCGGCTCTCCTCTCCTTTCCTCACCCAACTCCCCGCCCTTTGCGACCATTCATTCTGACGATATTCGTCGCGGGCGCCTGTGTGTGGGACTTTTTATTTACTGTTCTTTCTCTCTCCTTACGCTCACCCAATGTCCACTGCCCGCCAACAAAAGATATCTGATATCAGCCTTTATAACTATCGTTTCGTTTCTCTTCCTCCCGTTGCTTCCTGACCTACTGCACCGCATCTGCAAACATATGCATCCGTAAATGTGTGTTTACTCCATTCTTTGTTTGCTCACCCGCATGTTTGATGCCCGCCGCCATGCTGCGTCTGCCCAACCCGGACTCGATCCCACTCCTTTCTGGTTGCCTCCAAAGATTTCTAACATTGTCCTTTCCGCTGTCTTACATCTGTGTATCCACATCGGATCCGCTGCCCTTTCTCCTCACTTCCGCGGCACCTCCCTTCGTTGTCTCTGACTTTGCATGTGTCTTTCATTCCTCCTGCATGCTTGCACCATCGATTCGGCCTTACTTTCTGTCCGTACGGACCATGCCCATTTCTCTTGTTTATGGCTCTTCGTGGCGCGGCCATATCTTTTCTTCTTCGTCTTTGTTTCATTTCACTTTATTTTTCCTCTCTGGGACTGCTGTCGGCGCTCGATGATCGCCTCTCTGGACCGGGAATATTCCTGTTGAATCTTCATCGAACCATCGCAATGCTTGCGTTCTCGTGGGGCCCCTCGCAACAATCGATGCGGTATGTGTACTACTGTCATCGCCGCTCCGTTATGTGGCACTGCGTTCTCATGCCAAGCTTTGACCTCGTTTTCGGCTTGTTGTCGGGCTGACGGGACGGATCACATGTCAACGCCGCTGACGCCCTCCTCCGGTCTCCTTGCCCTCACCCCGCTGCAATGCGTGCAGTCGTTGTTTGGATCGATGATGCGGCTACGTTCCGTTGGGTGGAATTTGTCCAGATGTTTAATTTCAGATATCACATAAAGCATCCCTCAGTGCCTCTCTTTGCCACAGAAGCAGCCCAGGAGCAGTAACACTGCATCATAACGAAGCGTGGGAACGCCGGAACGGGTGTTGGCACAGATGCAACGGTCGGATGAGCCTGCGGGGTAAAAGGTGCAAGGATGGAGGCTTCGGAGCGGCGAACTGGAGTGACGAACTGGAGTGACGAACTGGAGTGACGAGAATGGGTCTCTGCTCTTGGTCTTGAACGGGATAGAGATCTGTGGACAGGCGGAGGATACCCAGGATCTCGGGACACTTGGGTCGCATGGCGGGATCTTGGTGCCAACAGCGCTCGATGAGGGTACGGATGTCGTCGGGGATGCCGTCGAACTGCTTGGGGCGGTTGCCTCGGAGGACCTGAGACTCGAGGGGCGGTTAAGTTCTTGAAGTGGCTGAGGAAAGTGCCATTGGGCAAGACGGTGGCGAGGGTGTTCAAGACCTTCGTCCGGCCCATGCTCAAGTATGGACTGACCCTCGAAGTGCTCACGAAGCAGCAAGCCGTGGTACTCAGACGAGCACAGATGCACTGTCTGACCCGACTCTTCAGAGTGGTGCGGAACACGTCCTACGGAGCGATGCACCTCGGATGCGGACTCATCACCCTGCCCAACCGCCTCAAACAGCTGGCCCTCCAGAACCGAGCCGTCTGGGAAGACCGTCTGGACCACAACGACAAGATGGTCTCGCTGGTGCTGAGATATTCCCACACCCAGCCCAGCCTGATGGATGCATCCCTCGGCTCCCAGTTCTACCTCGACGAATACTGGCGGCAGTTGAACATTCTGAAAGAACAGCGCCAACCAGACTACCCGATGAAGGAGCTGTTCAGGAACGGCTACTACCAGCTCCCAGGGCCACCAGTCAAGCTGCAGATTCACATCGATGACGCGCAAGGCTTCGACAGGTCAAAGGAACTGACTTTGGCCCGCACCGTGACGAAGACCATGTCGGGACTGTGGGCCGAGCGAGGGCCCAAGAGAGATCGATATTATCACAACATGATGGTAAGATGGACCCTCGGTGCCTTCCCCGGACACCCGTATGGCCACTATCGGCTGTGCATCTCCTGCACGAAGAGCCGAGGAGAGTTCGTCGCGATGTGCCGGACCCACACCCAGAGCTGCGTCGGAAGAGGCGGCTCGTGGCAACGGATATTGCCCCCAAGAGTTCAGGCTGCACTTCGGTGGACTGGTTTCATTCTCGCATAGTCATACCACATAGGCTGGCGTGCTCCAGTGTCCCTGGGTCGGATCGAGGGTGGATGGTCTGGGTCGTACTGACTCTTTCCACCATCTATGGTTGCAGAACGAGTATCGACAGTGGTGATAGAGTGGTCATTGTCGAGTCATCGGATGGTTCTCCCGGTCGATCAACATCAGCGATTCTTATGGGACAGCACTGTTGTATATTGGATGCATTGGATGTATTACTGTCGAATATCCTGTGGGGCTCTGGTGTCTGGGACGGATGATGGCAGTGCGGTTGCTTGGCTGCTTGCATGTTCAGTGTTACGAAATGGTAGTTTGGAAGTGGAACTTGAGAGGGCATCGGAATCAAGGCCACTTACCGAGTTCTTTGAGGCTATTGATGGCATAAGGCCATCCATGGTCGGCCGACTTGCGGTACCAGAAAATGGCGGTGTCGATGTCTTGAGGGACACCTCTGCCACCGTGGTAACAGTGGCCGAGCCAATCTTGTGCGTATCGATTGCCCTGCTCGGCAGACTTGCGATACCACTCGACTGCCTTGGTGTGGTCCTTGATGACACCATATCCATGGTAGCAGCAAAAGCCAACTATCCACTCTCCGTATGAGTTGTGCTGGTTTGCCGACTTGCCGAACCACTCGAATGCCTTCTCGTAGTCCTTCGATACTCCTCCACCATGGCGGTGGCACATTCCGATCCAAAACTGGCTGTCGCTGTGGCCGTCGTTGGCGAGTTGCTCAAATATGTCAGCTGCTTTTGCCTGGTCTTGTGTGGTTCCGAATCCATAGTACAGACATGCAGCCATCAGGTGCCTGCACAGCCAGCCTCGGTCCGATCCGAGCTGGCACAGCTGGAAGAACTTGCGGGATGTGCGTTGGTTGGACAAAATATCGTTCAGATATCCTGCCAGACTCTCGTCCTCCCCGAGCTTGAACTCATCCGATTCATTGTCTCGGATGATCTTGATGCCTTTCTGTTTATCGAGCTGGGTACCCCGGCCGAGATAGTGCATCCACCCAACCATGTGGGTGGCGATGGGTTTGATGATCGGATCGGTGGATTGGGTGATAACTTCCTGCCAGTGGTTGAGAGCAGCGACATCGCTCTGTTCGACATTGTGGCCAACGAACGAGAACCATCCTCGGAGGAACACGATATGGAGTCGACCATCCTCGCTGCCCTGGTCGGCGGCCTTGGAATACCATTCGATGGCTGTGCTATAGTCTTGATCGACACCCTCGCCGCTCTCAAAGCATCGACCGAGAGCAACTTGGGCTTGTGCCATTCCACATTCTGCAAGACTGCGAAACATATCGACAGCTTTGGTGTGGTCTTCGTCGACCCCGACACCTTGATAATAACACTGGGTCAAGTGGAACTGTGACATTGTGTGGCTTGTGTTGGCGGCGATCTCCAAATGGCGGAAGATTCGCTGGCGGATAGCTTGCTGCTCGGATTTCTCCAAAGACTGATCGATAGCGAGATCGATTTGAAGGATCCGTGCCAGGAAATACGAGGCCACAGCATTGCCCATATCGGCTTGATCTTCGAGCCAGGATCGGTCGGCTGTGACCGGATCGTCGCAATGCAGCGATATGGCAATCAAGTCGCTCGGTGTGAGACCGATTCGCATCTGTCCATCTGGATTGCACAAGCCTGCATTCTGGCACCAGCTGTGGAAGCGAGCCACCTTGGAGCTCAGGAGAGGCTGGACATGCCTACACACTCGGAGGAGAGCCTTGATGGTGCTGTGATCGAGGGCAAGCTGGAAGCTGTCGTTGCAGCATATGATGGTGAAGATATCTGGGCTGTGCTCGAGTGAGAATTGGGTGATATCGGGCATCGACGAGGTTGCTCTGGTTTCAGCTTGAGCTTGGTGAGTGGGAGATGACTCCGTGGTTGGAGCAGGCTCGTTGATGCTGGCCATGTTGAATGTGGGATGGAGGAAAGTGGATGATGGCGATGGACAGGGGACAGAGGGAATTTGTGGCAAAGCAAGCCAAACAATGGCAGGCCATACACTGGCCATTGAACACACACACACAAGCCTGGCTCGATCCGATGGTTTGATGGCTGGAGTCGTTGTTCTTTGCACTGCCACAGGCACCGCCACATTCATCGAATGTGGAATCGAACATGGAATCGAACCCCACAACACACACACAGTGCTCACAACCATGTCCATCCTAGTTCCCTCATTTTCTCATTCCCTTGCATCTCGTAGCACACCAGAACCAACACCAGCTTGATGGTCGGACAAGATGTAATCCAGATTGCAGAGGTCATGGCCAAGATCACTTGCGCGAGGCTTCCACCAGGGTGTTGTGGTTCAAGTATGGAGGGGCAAGCAATGCAGTGACTCCTGGGAGGAGGAGGGGTACTGGACGAAGTTGAGACCAAGGGTCGTCCTTGTCCCAGGCTATGGGATAGAACTGGGTCGATGGTCGATGAGAGTGAGATGAGTGACTCGGCCATGAAATGCAGTCTTGGACCGAAGTTGGTTCGTGAATGTAATCTCGGTTCTCTTGGAATGCTGCGACTCTGGTCCGCAGAAAAGGGATCGCATCAGATGATCCTGTGGTGTTTCGTTATTTCTGGTATTCGTGGTCAGCGCCGATGCAGAGAGGCCAGTGACAGCAGTAAGTTGGAGCATGTGGTTGAATCAGTAAGGATGAACCAGGCAGTGGTAGACAGGATGGTGATCCATGAGGAGACGACAAAGCAATGCACTATACGGCTTTATCATACGCCATATCAATGAGATCGGTCGCATGATCACTTGGATCAGAGAGCGTCCGCGTGTGTTGATGCAGCACTGGGAGATCATATCCACCCATGCGGGTTGATGAAATGCGAGGAATCGATGGCAAGGGCGTCAGTGTCAAGCACGATCGGATGTCGAGGAACGAGGCGATATCGCCCCAGATCTCAAGTGACAGTTCCATCGCTAGGCGTCATGATGTACATGTGTATTGATCCACTGACTGCGTTTTGTTGTCGTTCGATGGTAGCCACACACCCTCCATCACAAGTGATGCCCGTTCCAGTGAACCGACTTGGATACTTGGCTGTGATCGTTGTCATTGGATATACATGTTAGCTGATCAATAGAATCCACAATTGTCCCCAACCGCTCGAGCAGGCCGATAGCGGTCTCAGCCTCCCATCAATGAGAACCAGTTCGTACCCTGTGCCACAGCAACCGGCATCATTCAGTCCAACTCCAACAAATCATACCAGCAGTGCATGCTCGACAACAAAGACATCACTCAAATCGCACAGGGCAACACAACCAAGACATCGAGCCAGTTCTCGTCTGACCAGACGACTTCCGGTCTCGACTCGACAGCGATCATTGCCCTGGTTGCTGCATGTCTCTGCTGTTGCAGCTGCATCTCGTCGATTGCAGCCATCGGGTATTATGCTTACCAGAGCATCGATTCCGGGAGCGGCAGCAGCGGACCGGGCGGTATGCCATCACCAGCATCCATCGTGAGCAAGCTCAAGAAGTAGCCGCAGGTGGTGGGTATGCCGAGTTGATGGAGGTTGTGCTCGGTGCAAAGAGCATATTGACGATCGAGCGATTGTCACTGTTCAAAATGACATCACACGGGTCGTTCGCTGCTTCGTAGCCTGTGCGGTTCCAGAGCTTGTAGTTGGTCGAGTTGGGTCCGCAGGTGTAAATATCGAGATTCAGCGTCTGCTGGGAAGCCAGTGTGGTCGGGGTGGGTACATTTTGGATCATGTTAGCACACTCATCCATCGGACTGACACTACCATCACCTGTGGCGGCACCCGGGTTCACTGGGAAATAATAGCAGCCATTACCGTCAGTGTTGTACATGCACTCGGCGTTGTTCTGGTTGATCGTGCAACGGTGTACATCTTGATGGTCGGGACGTAGATGCAGGACCATGGTGTTGTCGAGTGGGTCTTGTTGTACTGATAGAGCCCAAATCCTCCACTTGCAGTCAGGAGCGATGAGGAGACGCAGCACAGAGCGATAACGGCCACGATGATCCAGATTTGACTTGACATTGGTCTGCTGCGAAGGGCGTGTCAGAAAAAACGCAGTAAGGGTTTCATCCTCGGCATATGCAATAGCACCCGATGGACTCGCAGCGTAGCATCGCCCTGCAAACCCTCCAGGCAAAGACGCCCGACCACGCCGAGGTCTTGGAAGAGAGCATCTATCGCTATGCCACCACAACTTACAAGGGCGTGTGCAGCTGGATCAACCCGCAGTTCCGAGACGCATACAAGTCCCGCGCCATCATGATGCTATCGAACGTGGAGGCCATCATCGGCATGTTCAACTCGGGTGCCATTCAAGACCCTGCCAACTGGACGACCTGACACACCAGAGCCTTCGTCCGGACGCTTGGCTGGTGCAAGACCAGGGGGCCACTGGCACGACAGCGGCAGCAGCGACAAACGGCAAGTCCGGAGGAGCCGACGGCCAGATGAAATGCACCGACTGTGCTCGCATGGGCAGAGACTCATACAACACCGAGTTCGTCCTGGCCCAGCATCGCTCTTCGGACGAGGCCAGCACCATTTACGCCCACTGCTCCGCCCACATCGCATTCCATCGCATTCCATCGCACACCATCATACCAAACGCAAGTCACCACCTGTATCATTCTCCCAGATTGCCAAGAAGAGCACACTTGGCAATGCCCAAGAGAATACCACATCCATGCATTCCAGACCACCCGGCACAGCCACAGAGGAGCTTCATCGTGGCCTTGGTCAATGCCGCGAATACTGGATGCGTCTCTTCCATGGCAAAACTGGCGTACCACTACGCAAAGGGAGATGGCGTCGAGAAGAACGACGGCATCGCATCCAAGTGGTTCATGAAGGCTTGCGAGCATGGTCATCTACCCTCGCAGTACACACTGGGAGTTCGCTTCCAGAATGGCATTGGTCTCCCAATCGACCATGTGAAAGTCGCCAGGCTACTGAAGCAGCCCAATGGATCAATCATCCCGATCGGGCCCCATCTCACCAACAGCATCCTCGACCAGCAAGATCCTGTTTTGGCTGCCAAGGTGTATTCCATCCTGGCCGCGAGGAACAACGCCGAGTCACAGGTTCGTCTTGGTCGATGCTACCGAGATGGCATCGGAGTCCCCAAGAATCACCAAGAAGCATTCTTCAACTTCCGAAAGGCGGCCGAAGTGAAGAACCTCACTGGCTGCTTCGAGTTTGGAATGCGGCTACCTCAATGGCATTTATGTCGACAAGGACTCGACCAGGTGCCTCAAACGGCTTGTCCTCGCAGCCGATGGTGGTCTGGCCTGTGCTCGGAATGGCATTGGCACCCTCTACTATGACAGTATCGGCATCGTCAGAGACAGCCACATTGCAGTATCATGGTTCAAGAAAGCCGTCGATCAAGGACATTCGAGCGCACAGTACAACCTCACCTGTGCGTACTTTGAGGATGATGGTGTAGAGAAGGACAACGACAAGGCATTCGAGTTCTTCTCCAAGGCAGCTGATCAGTCATTTGCTGAGGGCATCTCGGGACTCGCAACATGCTACCAGTCTGGCCGTGGTACAGTTGCTCCATTATCATGTCGTTCGAATTGCACACTCAAGCAGCCGCACTTGGGTCAGAGTTCTCGTTTGAGGTGATCCGCTTCAAGTACCTCAATGACTTGGATGACAACCAGGTCAACGCCGTCATCAGCGATATCCCAAAGAATCTCCCCTCAACGATGCGACACCTGGCTCGCCGATATTCCGATGGTGTGGGTGTCACCAGAAACCCAGTGGTGGCCAAGGAACTGTACGCCAGAGCAGCTGGACTTGGCGATTCTGATGCAGAGCTCGCCTTGCGCCAGATGGAATGAGCGTCGTGGTGATTGCTGCAAACGTTATTATTGACTTATACACAAGATAATGCATTGCTCAGCATGGCGTTTTCTGACTCTACCGACTACATTTCGACCAACCCGAACATCTTCTGGGGGCATCATCATCGCTGTCGTCGTGGGTGTGAGGTATGTGGCGGCGAGAGTTCTGCCCTTGGTTCGGCGGTGCTTCCACTTCTGCCGGAGAGTGTTGGCAAGAAAGCAGTTTGGACACCGACATCGTGGAGTCTGGCAGGTCGAACCCTTGTATCCATCCCAGACACATACCCTGGAATCATCCATCATTCTTCTGATCCAGTGGCTCACACAAAGGCTACCTGGGTTCGATCCCCACGATTGGAGAGAGGGGTTTTGCTCCGTGGTGGATTGCATTTTGGCTCGTCGCCTGCTCGCGATATTCATATCCGGGGGTTTCTGCCCTCGCCGCTGCTGGAGCAGCGGACTTGCCCCTCCCCACTCCCCAGCAGATCTCTGCTCCTCCATCACCATTTGCCTCAAACCGATGCCAGCTTGACACTCCGTGCCCAGTTCAGCCCCCATCGGGTCTTGATACTTGGTAAGACCTTCAGCAACCCCACTTACCTCGATTTGGCTCCCGTCCTGTTGTCCATGTCTTCCTCCTCTGACCTCTCTGAGTCCCATCTCCAGGCCATCCAGGCCGTGATCACCCCCAGTCCGTAGGGAACGTCCGTTCTCTCCAAAGCTTCACCAGGTTCCTCAGGGAACAGTAACTGAATAGCCTTTCCAATCGATGAGCCACTGCAACTTTTCGAGCATGAGCCTGGTGGCTACGATCTCCGACCTCCCACTTCAAGTTCCCATCGATGACCACCACAGAAGGCGCCGGAGCGGATACAAGCATACCCGGAGAAACAAGTTGAATGAAACCACAGATTTCCCTGTTGATTTCGCCTCATAATCAGACGATATGTTCATCCAACAACAGGGGGCAATCTCGGAGGTGCCAAACCACAGAGGCAGGTCTGCACTCCGCGGTCCCCGCCTCATTTCTCCCAGCCTTGCATCCAACGCCGAAGCGGACACTGCATTGGCGCCCGTCAACACACTGGAACATGAATAGCCCGACCTACGCGATGTGTAGTCGAGTCCTAGGGTTCAAACTTGGACTCGATGATGTGCCTTCGACTTGATATTCTGAGTGTCCATCCCATGTCACTTCGAGACAAGGCTGAGCTTGAAAGGATAACTGCCTCCCTCTCCGAGTCCAAGCCGGTTATTCGATCCAATCGGGTTCATGCGCAAGTTGTGTCTTGCCTGTGACACCGCCTGGCAGCGCAGCAGGCTCGTGCCGTGAGGCTTGACACCCTATCGGCATCCACAGACACTTACGGTTGTATATTACTTGACGAGGTGTTATACATATTGCGTTGTTGGTGGCGTCCGTCCTTCCCCTTTCGCATCGCGCAGCTATGGCCGAGCTTGGGGGCTCGGGTCTCCAATTCACCCGGAGAAAGGACGATATAAAACATCCACCCAACCCCCGGTCCTCCCTTTTCTCTTCGTCCTGATCTCACCCACGATGCTCCTGTGGATCATCGTCATATCCGCCCTCGTCGGACTATTGTCCCTCTGGTGGCTGCACCGGAAGAAGCAAGTACCAGGTCAGTGGAGATCGTTGGTTGCTGAGTCGATTTTGATCAATAATAGCCGTGAAATAGTTTCATTCGAATCGGCGGCCATGGATTGTGATGAATCAGGATGAGTTCTTGGCCATTTTCTCTCGGCGACGTGGTCCGGAATCGAACTCCCGCCGCCGGGGTGATATCGGATCGAACCACGAGTTCAGTGCGACTCGATTCACCTTGGCTTGAGTGATATTGGCTCGATTCGTATCGGCTTGTCATGTGACCTGATATTCACTCATTCGACATCGAAAACAACTCCAAAGTTAACACCAAGGAACCCAGCGACATTCAATCCAAGATCGAAAACACCTCTAATGAAGACGAAGAGACCGAAGAGACTGAAGGATCTAAAGCTTTTGATGAATTCATAAGGAAATGTGGACTCGATAAAATGAAGCATCTCTTCATCGCAAATGGATTGGACACCATCGAGTTGGTAAGCTTGACCTCGGCTTTGATCCTCGGTACTTTGACTCGCATTGCTAATTAGTGCGCCAGCTCCTTACACTAGATGACGGAGAGATGAAGGACATCGGCTTGAAGATTGGCCATGTCAAAACCCTCAAGAATGCGCAGGGAAGGCATCGTCAAGCTTTTGCCTCCACCTCCAGTTCCAATCTGGCACCAGCATCCACTTCGATTGTCCAGGAAGCGAGTGTGACTGAAGGTAGAGAAGCAACTCCCGAACTCAAATCAGACGACAAAAGGGCAGGAAATGAAACGCCACTGGATACCACTCTCCCAACTCCACCTCCCGAATATCAAGCCAGTGTCAACGATACCATTCAAACAGAGTCAATCAAAACAAGCACCGCGATCGAGCGTCCACCAAGCAATAGCTCTAATGCGTTCCATAAATTTCTTGAGGACAATGTACTAACTAAGTACAAGGGCCGTTTTGAGGAGCGCGATTACGACACCGTCGATGTGGTATGTGTGCTTTGTCATTCATAATGTTAACCAAGTGCGTTGCTGACTCTTGAACTCCACAGCTCCTTGCTCTCGACGATAACCAGATTGCCAAGATCGGACTGAATGATGGTGCCACCATGAAGCTCAAGATTGCACAACAAAAGCATGTTTCACCCAGGCTCGATATACCAAAGGAGTCACCAAGGCTGACAGAACCCACTTTTGTTCCGTCCGAGCGTCTCCTGGATCCAAGCGAGTACACTCCGGTAAAACCGACCCTGAATTGGGAGTGCAAAAAACATTATGTGAGGCACGATGTCTTCATCAGGTACGTGGTGATTCGTCAGTTTCTCCTCCATTTCATAATTCTAATAAGTGATTCCACAGCTATCGGGTCCGAAGTGACACAATCAATGCGACCACCTTGCATGGGACCCTCGCCGTCCCTCCGCGTGGTCAAACAGCAATCCATCCCTATCTGGACACTGTTTGTCTCAGTGATGGAATGGATTGGGCGCAAGGCTTTATCAACGGCCTCTATCGATCGAATGTGATTGTCCTGATCCTCTCAGAGGCTGGACTCGAGCAGACACTCAATGCTCATCATAAGCACGATAACCAGTTTCTCGAGGTACGCAGGCTTGCATCACACTATTCCATCGACTTTGAACCTCACTATATTGTGTCTATAGATCCAGCATGCTCTGAAGAGAATGAAGGACGGTGAGAAGAATGGACAATCTGTCATCATCCAGCCCATCTTCATGTGGTCCACCAGAGAGTTTGATGGAGAAACACTCCACATGAAGTATTTCCCATCCGTCAAAGAGTTCCCCGACTACCCTCCGATCCATAAGAAGAGTCCGTTGTTCGATGGCAAGCCAATGACGATCCGTGAAACCTTTGCCGAGCTGTTGAAGCTGCAGGCACTCGATGCTGCCGATGGGAACGCTCTCAGGAGGTATGGATTTCGCTGTCGCATGGGATCTTGTTGTCACGAACTCACACGATCAATGTTCGATAGGTTGGTGCCCAATATTCGCGAACTCATAATGAAATCTTCCATTGCAAACAAGCAAGGCGATATGTACACACAAGGTGGAAGTGTCGTCCTCACCGCCGAACAAAACTCGCTCCTGCGATCCCTCCTCGATCCAGTCGACTCCACTTCCGACAGAAGGGCACTCGAGGATCTGTATGTCGAGAGCACCCGCCAGTGGCTGTTCGACCAGACCACCGACTGGGTCAACCAAGACACTACCGACACTGTCCTGTGGGTCAATGCCGTTGCTGGTGTGGGCAAGTCTGTTGCTGCCGCCCAGATCGCCAACATCCTCACAGCCAGCAACCAGCTGGTGTCGGCGCTGTTCCTCAAGTACAACGACACTCGCAAGAGCGATCCACGAGTGGTGTTGAACACCATCGCATATGGACTGTGCAAGTGGCACTCGCCGATCGGCCGCAAGCTGCTCGAGGCTGGCCACACCAAGGACAGTCTCGACAAGATGAGCATCCCGGACCTGTTCAAGGCCGTGATTGCCGATCCACTCGAAGCCATCGGCGAATACAGACCCAAGGGATCGGTGATGATCCTGGTGGATGCACTCGACGAGTGCTCTCCGCGCGACCAGCTGCTCAGCCTGCTTGCCTGGCGCTTCGTCGAACTGAACAAGACCCGTCCGTGGCTCAAGTTGCTGATGACATCCCGTCCCGAGGACGACATCAAGGCGGCATTCGATGGAGTACCAACCAAGACGATCGAGCCCTCGAGCGAGGAGAACATCCGTGACCTCGAGGTGTTCATCCGCCACCGACTCGGAGTGTATGACACTCTTAGCCACTTGGACCGCACCGAGGCAGTCGCCATCCTGCTGGACCAGTCCAAGACATTCGTGTGGATCAACCTGATCCTCAACACCGTCGACGCAGCATCCACAGACGGCCCAGTGACACTCGCCACGATCAAGGACATCAACGACAGCGCCGCCGATGTCGGCCAGCTGTACCACAAGACATTCGCCAAGATCCACTCGCAGTCGAGCCACCCGGCCGAGTTGGTCACGGTGGGGTCGGCGATCGCCACGGCCCAGTCGATCCTGACCCCACAGATCATCGCCCATGTGTTTGGACTCGAGATCGGCGTCGTTCGCGAGTGTCTCAAGAGCCTCAGCCTGGTCCTCGATCCTGGCGCCAATGGACTGGGTCCCCGAGACAGCCAGTCCACCAACACCGAGGTCAAGTTCAACCACAAGT